TAATGGCATTCCTCTGAATTTGCCCGTGGTTAAAGACCTAAATTAAACTCTTACATTTAATTTAAATATAACACGACATGGCACACCGATATTAAATGGAAGGAATTTTTGCTATAATATTACTATTTAGCAGGAAATGGGAATGGTGTTGCACGCGTTTCACGCCCCGGGTTTGCCCGACGAACTGGAGTGCCGGAAAGGCCCGTCCAGCGCAGCAAGCGGCCACAGTTGAATGCGGTAGGCCTCGGACGAGAAGATACGGAGACTGAGCCTTCTTCGGTCGACTCAGTAACACTGAAGTTTCCTGATTTGGCCGTGGCTGACGATAGGGATGATATGGCCATCGCCCAAGCCGTTGATCCAAGTGTTGATATCGCCGCGCTGAACCAGCAACAAGCGGAGGTTAAAGCTGCGGCTGAGAATGCTGGACGGGACAGCGAAGATTCGGGCGACGACGCCGACGCCGAGGATGGTGAAGAAGCGCATGGTGATGAGGACGCCAGTGACACCAGTGGTTCGTTGGATACGGAAACGGATAGCGACTCTGCGACTGATCACTCTATCAGTTCTGAAACCAGTGTGGAAACCAAAGCTGGATGGGAGCATCTTCAACGCATTAAAGCAGAACGCCGGGTTCGCTTCAGCAGTCTGATCGGATCTATTAAGCGCAAGTTTGATGAAATAGATGAAGAGGCCGGAAGTAGTACGGAGAAACCGGAGGCTGTCAGCATTTTCCAGCCCCTGTCTACGATTACTAAGCCGATGGAGAAGAAAGATGATGCGTCTGATTCGGACAGCGAAAACGAGCGTGAAATGCGGATTTTCGAAGATTCGCTTATTATTTATTCGGACCAAGAAGATGCCCCGATGCCTGATTTTGAGCATCCGCCTATCCTGCCAAAAAAGTCTGTTGCGGAAGTTGCTATGGAGGAAGCGGATGTTAGCGACTTAGTGGATTTTGCTGATGAACAGCCAGAGGAGGAAGAACAGTCTCAGCTGCGCATCGATGATGACGAGCAAGCGGAAAATGTTCCAGCAGCAGCGGCAGTAGTGCAGATGCAGGTCGTCATCGAGCAGCAGGAAGAAGAGCCACGCTCGGGGGAGTTACAAGTTGGACAGCTGACACCAGTCCGCAGCCCCATTTTGGATAATCGTGGTATTTTTCCTCTCAACCCATTTGTGCCATCGATTTTTATCAAATCAGCATAGTTAACTTTCATCTTTCGTATGAGCTTGTTGTTACGATTGCCTTTATAGCGAGATTAATTAGCGATTTATTGCTATATGATATTTCATCTCTATTTTTGTAACCTTAAATTGAATTTTTGCGCCTTTTGTACGTCCGGAATAGCTGACTGCAGTCTTTTGTTGCCGCGGTGTGCCTGGTAAAATTTTTAATCTGATGATTTGATCATGTATGGAGAAGCCGATGCTGTGACGTAATCTATCTAATTCCTATTAAAAGAGCTTTAACCTGCGATGGTGATTGGTTAGTTTGAATGCAATTTGAAAGTGGGGAAATTTCCCAACACACCGGCACGCTTGATCAGAGAGCAGGCACAGGTATTTAAACGGGTAAAGCAGCACAGATTGCACAGTGCACCGTCTCATTTTAAAATTTGCACTTTTTTCAGTCACGCCGCACAGGCTGTGTACTAGTTCCTTGTTATTTCGTTATTCCGTGCGGAACTTTTACTTCACTCTTTTGCTGTCTAAGGTCACTTGTTTCAGTAATGATTTGCTATGCCGCCAATTGATCCGAACCGAGCTTTTGAAAAGCTCGTTGACGCCGTATTTCAGTCATCGCAGACGGCGCAACAACAGCAACAGTATGGCTGGAGAGGGGGATACCGTGGTGGCCGTGCGCGCGGCGGATTTCGCCCGTATCGCTCTATGTACCATCGAAGTCACGGAAGCAACAACATCCGTCGTGGGCCATCTGATTGGATCCGTGGAGGCAGACCCTTGGGGGAACAGGGTCCTGCTCCGAATGCTGCTGGACCAGATGATCCGGCTCAACGAGTGGAGAATTCCGGCGTCCCTATGGAGGTCGACGTCGCGAACCCTGCGCAGGCGCCTCCACCAGTTGAAGATCCGAGTCGCGGAGTTGTGGGCCAGATTGTCGCCGCTCCTCCTCATGCTGATCAACATTTATCAGGCCCGTCTGTCCTGATTGTCGGAAGCGTGCCAGCCAGCGTAGCAGCATTACCACAGCAGCCCGTGCAAGCAGTACCAGCAGTCAGTGCACTTCCGGGATTGCCACCTGGAGTCGATGCCTTTGCAGTACCGGTGAATACGAATCGTGACCGTTCAGCTTCGCGAGACCGAATCGGGAAGCCCTCGCATGATTTTGTGCCTAATTTCGTTGCTGACCAAGAGTTACTCCAGCAGAAGCAGCGAGAATCGGAGATGGAAAAGCGACGTAAGATGGCGGAAGAAGTCAGTCGCCGTCTGGATGCTGTTTCAGCCTCGTTGAGCTCGGGACAGACAGGATTATTTTCCTTGGCACCAAGCAGCAGCAAGTGATATGGTAAATTTTCACTTATTTATTGTTGATTATTACTGGTCATGGGCAGACATTTTTGATTTTGTTGTTGTTCTGTGATATTACCTGACCTGACCTAAATGTTGTTGCTCTTTTCAATTTTGTTGTTTTGGATTTTTACTGGTGTGTGGCGTGTCATTTTCAAAGGCCACTGAATTGTTTCTTACGCGTTTTGTGTGTTTGTTGTTAACGGAAATGGGACAAATCCGGTTAGACCGTCGTCCCCAAGTGCAGTATCAACCGTACGCAGCCCTCAGGGACCCTAAAATAATGAAAGGTAAAATCCAAAAAAAAAAATAAAAAGCTAAAAAGGTCGTCTGGGTGCTTGTTCCTTCTAATTAGTAGTTAAAATTAATATCAAGTACAAACACTCAGTAAAATATGAAATACAAAGAGCTAAGCAAGTACAACCGGTCGTACAAGCCAACCAGTACGGATAAGCGAAAACTCGTCGTGCACAGATGCAATAGTACAATACCAGAAGTCAAGCCTTTAAATCTGAAAATTTAAATATATGGCCAGTACGGTACAAGTTTTGCCACAAGTACTCGCTAGTTTTCATTTGTAGCCGTGATCGGAAGCCTACACTATCATGGCGAATAAATCGCAGCGCAACAACACGTTTTTCCAGCGTTACGCTTCGGGTCGAGAGGAAGAAATGGCTTCCTGTTTAGCAGCAGCTTCTGTGGAATCTGTCAGTAAGATTCCTGTCATGATTGGATATGCGCAGCGCCATGGGTCCTCGATCGCCACTGAGTTTGGATCGCCGCGTAGCTATCGTACTGGATCCATTTCGTCGTTGTTCTCTATGCCTGACGAAGAACGAGAACCGAAGGAAGCACCGAATCAGCAAATGGTTCGCGCTGCTCAGCTGATTAACATGGCACCGGATATGGTCGATACCGTTCCTCTAGATCAACGAACGATTGGAAAGGATGTTATTTGTGACGGTATGACTATTCAGCGTTGGGAAAAGGTTGCCCCGCTACTGTACCGAGACACTGTGGAGCAGTTGGATGGAGGCGCCCCGCAGATGGCTGAACCACATTCTGCGCCTACGGCATCGGCCAACACCGGAGGATTTGGCTTTTACGGCTTCCCGCTGTCACCGTTGAAGGAGAACTTGTCGGAAGTGCGCTCCAGCAGTTCGAACAATAAGCCTTGTAAGTTGTGCATCCAAGAGGACAAGGAGCCTAACACGGTTTGAATGGTTTGCGTATCTTTTTACCGCCCATGTGTCGATAATGACTTCGTTTCCAGTTTTAATAAGATAATAGTTTCTTTATTTTTGTGCTGTTTTGCTTCACATGATAACCTGTCTATTAATCTGGAAAAGATGAAGTTACGTAGCGGAAGCCGATAATTCCAATTAAAATTAAAAATTAGAATAAGCGGTACAGTGTATTTCCGGTTCACGCACCAACGGAGTGGCAGTCTGATACATTTCCGGTATACACATTGCTGCATCACGAGTGGATGTCCACAGCTATGTTCAGTACATAAAGCAAAAATTGAGATTCTAACACGAGTCACAAATTTAGAAAACCGTGCAGCCCCTACAGAGTTGTCTCTGAGTCTAAGATGTCGGCCAAGATCGTTACTCGAGCTGCTCGTCGCGTTGTTACGCGTGGTGCCAGACGTTTGGGCATCAGAGCTTTGGAAGCATATGATCGCGCTCAGCAAGAATGTCAGAATATGCTTGCTGCGATGATGGTTTATGTGGAAACGATGGAGGACATGGATGAAGTCCGACGTGAGAATGATAAATGGGCTGAAGAAGAACGACAGGAAGAGCATATTCGGGAGATTTTGCGCATGTTCGAAACGGATGAAGAATCTCAGCGTTGGATTCGGACGGCAAACTTGTGTGTAAATTTTCGTGGTCGACTGATGAAGAAAGAGCCTGAGGAGCCTTGGTCGTCTCCTGCTGCATTTGATATCAAAGGCTATGAAGAGTGGTTTTCGGAGTGTATGGGCGATGTTCGGGAGCCAACTCCACTGCAAGAACCTGAAGAACCTGTCGCAGAAATGCAGATACTGGAGCGAGAACTGTCCCCGGAGATTCCTTACTCACAGGTCGTGCGACTGGATGATACTGGTAATGCTCAGGAGAATGTGCAGCCTCAATATGTCTCCATTATTTCTCTGCATAATTTCCCTCGTCTCGAATAAATTATGGCGGAATTTTTGTGTATTATATCCGATTTTTCATACCTTGCACTTAATTCTGCATTTTGTACATTTTTGTAGCATTTTTTGTCGAAAATTCGTCAGGATTAACCCACGAAGTATTGGTACAGATCCAATAATTAAAATCACTGTATAGCATTCTCCGCAGTTTAAAGATCTGGAAGAACAGCATAAAGTAATTCAGTTTAAAAATTATCATTAAAGCCTAGTGCCTATACAGAACACAGAAAATTCATCACATGAAAGGCACAGTAGTACGCAGTAGATTCTAGCCCCCTGGATCCTGGACCTCCTCCTCGTCAATCCCATGGACTTCCGGATGCCAACGACGCTAGGATCCACACATTAACATCTCACACGGATCAGGCGTACAGTCATTGGGCATCGGATAGACATGCGTGGATTGTGGCGAAGGACGGGAGATGGATCAGGGATGGAGCGCTCACAATCTCACGGGATGTTGCGGATGGACTTGTTTATGTTGGCGGGAGCCAAGAAACGTTTGTGGGGGTGACGTGTGGAGGAGTACGTACGAGGGATTCCACCGTACATCCACTGACTGTCCGCCTTCACCTGCAAGTACAACACCGGATATCAGCACCGATCAGTTCTGTGATTCGTTATATTCATGGCTTAGCGGTGTATCTGATGTTTTTACTTCTGAGTCTATTTAAGTCTGAGATTTTACTAATATCGATAGGGATTGGAATTCAGTCTTGGATTTCTGATCTGACGACTACTTGCTTTTAACTTTCCTTGTGTTGTGCATATGATTGTGTGTTAGCGGAGTAAAGCATCTTCTGTGATTATCGACGTTCGTAATTTGTATCGGATTATAGCGTGGTAAACACGGTATGCTCGTACTTCGTCCGACCCGCATATGTGACGACCGGAAGTTAGGAGAATTCTTCAGCACAATCGCTTAGGGATTCCTGATCTTCGTGTTCCTGAACCTACCAGATTCCGCACATTTCCCGTGATCCGTTGTAACGATTGAGACAAGAGCTGCGATACTCACTGAGCAAGGCAGGGATAGTGGTTACGACGATCCCGTCCGGAGAGTCGTTAGCTAATCGTGTACTTCTTTGTACCATTGGCAACCTCATAATACGACACGCTTTTTTAATCAATTTTTCCCTCTTTTACTCGCTTGAATATTACTTGGATTATATCAATCTGTTAGCGCTCATAAAAGCTTATCATACCAAATTTTGGGTTTATGACGATACTGGCATAGGATCGGAAATACGGTATGTGAATATGAAATTATGAACAGATTGCTCACTACCCAGGAATGCATAAGGCAGGCGCGACTGCCGCGCTGCACGCACATACATACCAAAGCAAAGCATGTCCTGTGTGAGTTTGCTCACTGGCCAGTGTGTAGCGGTGTTCCAGATGTGCTCGATCAATCTGCCTTTGCATCATTTGGCCCGTGTAATAAAGTTTGCATTCGCCTATTCGGACATAATTGTATGTGCAGGTGATCTGCTCTTGTAAAATAGCTGGTTCGCTAGCGTACTTAATTGTTGTAGATCATGTTTAATCATTTGCAGCTTCCTGTTGATGAAGTTAGATCAAGGCCATACTAGTTTAAAACAAACAAATTGTGTTACGAAGCAGCAGGCACATTATCGCAGCTATGTTGTTCGCTCATTTCATCTGGCTTTGTGCAACGGCGCGTTTCCTGTGGGCTGTAGCAAAATTTGCAGTTTCCAGATTTGGCCTTCAAGAATTGTAGAGTTGCATGGTCCTATTCGGCCCAACCAACCTGCCAACCGCCAAAAAAACATGGCTGTACCAAAAAAGATCTTTGTACACCGTTGTTAAATGCGTAACAACGATTGACTGACAGTGTTTTGGAAATTGCAAAATTCATAAGCTTATAAATGGACAACGCCAACGGGGAGATAAAAACTGGAAAGCAGACTGGAACGCTTGTATTCCGTTTATCCGGTGGACGACCATGGGGATTTACTGTGAAAGAGGTCTTTACGGAAGGGAAATCGGAAGTGAACGATGTTGCGGATGTAATACTAGTCATTTCCAAGGTAAAAAACTTTTACCAACTCTATACTGGGTCTTGGTAATTTCGATGACTTTATTAAGTAATTAATACTAGTATGATAGGATAACTCGGGGATGTATATTTGTATATTTACATATGTGTATGCTTTATGTATGCTTTAGCGTGCGAACAGTTATACGAAATTTTCACTGAAAGATATTCAAAGTTCAGCCTTGGCGATGCTGCGGGTAAAATTATGTCTTTCTTTACGGTAGCTGGTTGTTACAGTGTTGCAAGTATTTTGCAAGCAAATCACTTGTATAACTAATCTGATAACAGTTTTCTTTGGGGCATGTATTTGCGACTTCCTTTATCGTATTGTAGCGATAGTATTTGTACGAACGATAAGACCGCCTAGTTATGATGAATCATTCCATCGCGTTATGAATTTGTCCATTTTACCGGCTAGTTTCCTTTCTCATGAATTTCTAGAATTCAGTCTTGTGCTCAGCTTGCTACAGCTTGCATCTACTTGATTGTTCCTCTTGCTGAAACCCTTGCTTACAACCTTGCTGTGTTCTTGATTCCCTTGTCATTAAACATGCCTTGAGTTACGTTGTTGCGTTTGACCGCTTGGGATGAACTAGCGTCATCCCAATCGGAGCCACCTGTGTAATTGTGTACATCAGTAAGAGCGTCCTCGGCCAGCATCGTTGCCGGCCGTGCCACCTTTCACACCAACAGCCGTTTAATCGTGGTAAAGGCTGATCGCCACCCCACTAGAACAGTAGCCAGATAGGCCACTGTTACAGTATTGTTCCTAGAAAACTGGCATGCGATGCGGAAGCTTTTGACCAGACACACAGAACGATTTTGGTCACTTCATGTTGTATTCGTACATCTGCACATGTGACGTCGAGTAATAAGTGCATGTTTGCGTATGTTCTGAGTAATTCGAATCACATAATTTATGACATGCGAATTGTAAAAATAATCGATGTTGTTGGGTGCACTTGTCGAAATTTTTGGCATCACATTTTGCTTCTAAGCCGGTGTTCGAGTTTACAGCCTACTACAACTGTAGGGAATTCCGGTACGAAACTACAGCATATTGTGTAAACTTTATTTTGATAATCAAAGGTCGCTGACCATAAAACATTGCAAACTTGTACATAACCGCATTATTGCAACTTGTTGCATTTGAATTGGTTTGGAGAAACTTTGATGAAAGTATATTTTTTTGCAGGTGGACCAAGAAGGAAAGGCCGCAGCTGCTGGGATTCACGTGCGCGATATCCTTGTATCCATCAACGAAAATTTGTGCGCTTCTTTAAATGACGCCCAGATATGCATACAGGAAGCAGCAGATGACCATTTTTTGGATCTCAGAATCTGGAGGTAAGATCATTGAAACACTGTAATAACACCCAAGATTCGGTGAACTTTAGAGCGCGCTAAACGTACTAGAAGTATTCACAACTCCGAAAAAAATGGAAGCTGAAATTCACAGGCATACCCAAACATTTGTGTAGCACTTTCAGGATATGTTTGGTGTCCGCGAAATTGCGTTTTGCACAAATGCACCGTAAGAATGGATTTGTTATTTTATTTTAAGTACAGGATATTTTTGGCTGTTGACACTTTCTTTACTTGCCATAATTTAAAATGAAACGAAAAGGGTGGTAAGGTGTGGTTGGATTAGGCCTTATGTGAAGGTTGTATACTCTGAGATTTTCTTCAGGAATAGCGAATAGATATGAATTAGGAGACCTTACAAGCGTTTTTAGGATATTTGTTTGATAGTTCTGGTTAAATGGCAAAGGTGTTGTTGCTGCGCCTTGCAAGAAAAGCGAGCTGGTAATAAACATAATCCTTATTGTTTTTGTCCGGCTTATATGCCGTTGTGGTCAGCTTAGTTTACCGATTCTTTACTCATGCAGGGCATCGATCGCACTGTTGCAATTGACAAAAAATTTAAATTGTGGCATTTTAAATGTTAAAATCTCTTTAGTGCAGCAAGTTTGTTTTAGGTGATTTTTTGCTTACGTGACAGTAGCGACAACGAACGGATGCACCGAATTGTATCTCACATTTAATTGGTTTATTTTTCTCTTTGATGCCGCTTAGTCCATCTCAAGTTAACTGTGATTTCGGCATATGTTGTGATAACACTTATGCAGTGCAGCGCAAACGTCTTGTTTAAACATCTATATTAACAAATTTATTTCTGGGCTTTTTGGATTTCCACTTATAAGAGTAAAATTACTGCATTGCCACAATCATTTGTGTGCAAAATGAATCTTTTCGGTACCTTAGAATATGGCTCAGGCGCCAGTATTGCTACTTTCTAAATTATTGTCGATAATAGTATGTGCTGTAGCAGTATACACAGTAATTGCAGTCAGTCAGTTGTGACTCGGTACAAATCACGATGTTAATGTAATCTTAAAATTTCAGATTGGTTTGTACGCATTGGTTGAGCGTATTGTTTTTCACACTACCCGAAAATGTAAATGTTGTTGTGTGGTAAACCGTAAACCGAATTGTAATCGCATTTTCTGGAAGTACACACTGCATAGATGACCTTCCGATGCAGTGTTGGCAGTTTAAACGGCAAAAATAAACTTTTCGGCATGTTTTCGCTATTCGTGTTGCCGTTCACGGTACACAGATCCTGGTTGCTTTCTCTTGTGTGGAAAAAATGAAGTGGGTCTGGCGACATTGCATTTGCCCATTTTGTACGTACTTCTAAGCATGTACTGAACGTTATTTTGTCCAAGCAAACCAGTTCGTAGGAATTTTAGAACAAACTGTTCTGTTGTTATTACGATATCTGCACGGCGACATGTAATGGTATCTCCACAAGCGGTGTAAGAATTGAAGTATTACAGTTTCAGTATTGTTTATAGCTATCAAGTAACGCCAAAACGCGTTCGTTTTTTTTGCTACAGTTGGAAGCAAAACAGTGGTTTTCGTTCAGGACCATGTTCGTTGTTTCTTTTGCGACAATTGCTAAACAGTGCCGGTAGCAGCCGAAACAAGTGGCACCTGCTTGCCTTCGATGAGGCCACTGCTGCTCAATTTGTTCAACTGCCATAAATCATACGAATCCTAAACGCGGATGGTCAGTGCTGAGTCGACTGATCATGAGGTGCTAGGCTACTCTAGGGGACATACACGGAGCTTGCGGCATCAGTTGTGTTCGGTGATGCTTTGCGTTTACTGCGCCAGCCCACTCACATCGAATTATGATTGCAGCTTTCATGCGTTGGTCAATTTCCGTTTTGCGAGACCATTTGTTTTGATCTCATTATTATTTTCCTCTGTACCTGACTGGCAGATGTGTGTATATGTTCGATAGGGCTGAATGATGGTAGACGGAAAAGGCCATTGTCACAATTAGCATAGCTCGTAGCCTCATCGGTATCCTGCGTTGAATAATTTATTTGAAGCGTGAGCCGACGAGCGGGAGGTAAATGTGCTCGCCGCTGACCGATTCATTTACGTACCATTGCTTGATCTGATTCGACTCAAACTCCCCGAATGCATAATTGCCCTATGATTTTTTCAAGTGTATCCTGATACCTGCCATAAGCACCGCGACACGAATATTTATTCTGGTGTTGATTATCAGCGAAGGTACAGTTTTCATATTACGCTTTTAATGTTCTACCATGGTTCTACTATGGTCACTTAATGAAGTGTACGAGCTTAATTGGCCTGTTAGATTGTGATTGTTTGGTAAAAATTACACTTATTGAAAGAGGACAATTAGTGACGTTAATAGTTTAACAAACTTACCGCGACTGGGTTTTCTCATTTTGGTTCAGTTAAGGTTAGCCGGATTTCCTGGCCCCGTTTGTGGGTTTTAAAAAGATTTTGAAATGCATGGCGGTACGACAAGAATCCCCTCTGGCGTACACGTGCTTCCGTGTTAAGGTGATTATAGCGTATAATTATTGTTGAACTAAATTGCATGTCGGTAGCGCTGTCTGAGAAATGACCGTTTAGGTGATTTTCCCCAGACCTATCTATAGTCGACGTCTTGATACTAGTTGATACAACTTGATAGTATTTTATTTTGACGCGAACAAGAAGATGCACATGAATTCTGTGATTTCCAGTGGCAAGCAATCAGCTTCGGCGCTGACTTCGTGCTTGCTAACTCTGACAAAAGATAACGTTTCTGAAACATTTCCCATATTTTCGGTCTGTTAGTAAAGAAAGATTTCACCTGGCTATGTTGATATTTTTTATTAATACTTAAGCTAAATAATATAAAAATAGCCTTTAGGAAGAATTTCTAAATTTTTTGTTGCAGAAGAATTAATATGAAAATTACATGGTATAATAATGATTGTTATATGCCACTTTTCGAATACACGGGTATTCACGAGTCAGTGAAGCACTACTTACTGTTTCAGGCCCGGCCTTTACCGGTAGAGTTGACCTAAAGTACACTTGGAATACTTTAGCAAAATAATCTTCAGTGCTCCTCATGGACACGTTTAGTATTTAATTGTTTACCAATTCTAAACCAGTATTATTGATCTTAATGCTCTCTATTACTTATGTATTTAAGTCGCCTGCCATTTATTAAACGCTCTTGAACGGAATTTTGTCATCGGATTGACCGCCAAGGTCTGCTTTTGCATTGATCTACCGATCCATCTGGCCAGATTAGCCAAATTCCAGTGTGCAGCTTCAGTTGATACCGCGATCATTACGAGCACCAGTAGCGTGACAGCTTTCTTTTGTCCTTGTTAGTTCTTGCTATCAGTGTGATATATTCATTCAGAAAATTAACTGTCAGAACTCCTTTCATTCTTCTCACTAAAATCGGCGATGATTTCAAATTATTACGGTAGTTGAATCATGTTGGTTGGTAATTATTACGGTAGTTGGTCATGAGTTGGATCGTATAATAAAAATTACTATAGTACATCAGCGTCCTAGCATCGATCAGTTCCTTTAATTACCGTATGGTGCGCATACGTTTTTCTGAAAATTTGACAAAATGTTACTTATCCGCTCCGTAATCTGATGATACGCAAGCAAAAGAATTTTGTTGTGGATTTTCAGTTCCAGTGTTTAGCTGTGAGCATCAATTTTACAGTTCTGCTTGAATTTACGTAATATTATTGTGCGTTTTGTGCGTGGCGGCTGTATAAAAAGCGTAAGCGGGTGTTTCTGGATTCTTTTACCTTGTATGTACTAAACTTTTCATTTCGCGTTCAAGTGCAGATAACAATGCGTGCTGATCGGTGAATTATTCCATTGGTATAAGCTTAACTGATTTGAGTAAGTTTATGGTGGTCATCGTGCGATTCGAACTCATCCCAATGTTCTGCAATGTTCGCAGGGAGGATTCTGCAGCCGATGACAGTGTAATCTCAGTTGTTACCGAGAGGAAATCCCACCACGACCACACAACGTCTGGATACACAGATGGTTATTCTGCCGACAAGGACGTCCCACCATTGATCACTAACGCCGCAGAGGGGGAAAACACATCACCACCTGGCGCAAATGCTAAAATGGACAGCCCGTCGGAATCATTCCTCTCTGGTATGCCGCTTTCAGCGCGTCGTAGTAGTTTATACGCTTCCCAGCCGCTGGCCATGTATCGGACAGAGAACATTTCGTATACAAAATCATCATCCCGGGCTTTATCTCGTCAGTCAGTAGATGCTTCCAATTATCCTGTTTGTGGATTACCATCTAGTACCCTTTACCGGAAGTCAGCCACAAGTAAAAAAACCGCATTTGTTGAGCCCTTACCTTATCGAGGGTACGAGAAACCATTACCGCCCGTGCCTGGACTGCAAGAGTCGTCTTCATGTGTGAATATTTCGTATTCAGCACGGAAATTTGATGAATCTTTGAGTGGTATGGAAAAACAACAGTCGGGTGTTTATGGTTCAAGGAGTAATTCGACCTTGGAGGCAGCCGATATAGGAACCCCTGTGCCGCCGGTCTCGTCTTCGTTGAGCGGGCTCAAGCCGAAAAATCAAAGAATGATGGATCTTCTGCACAGTCACCACGTATCTAATAATAATGTCTTTCACGCAACGCCTTCCTGGTCACAGACAGAATCTCCAGTCATTACGCCAATTATGCCTCCACGCATTGATCATAAGAGCATTCCGCGGCACAGCCTGCCTGTTGATTTTAGCCAACGTTCGGGATTTGTACCAGAAGAAGTGACAGAACTATCGGCTACTATACGCAGTTTGCCACTGAGCATTTCGTCGCAGCAATGCAGTGAACATTTCCATGACCCTTCCCTGCGCGATTATAGTAGCGACGGGTTTGGACTAAGCGGAAGCTGCACTGGGGACAGTGTAAGCAGTGGTCTGTTGTCATCGCGGTCATCCTTATCGTCGGGACCATCGGTTTGCGGCCTTAATTTGAATGGAAGTCGTAGCAGTACAGCCCACGCGAGCAAGGTTAGTACGCCCGGGAGCGAGTGTTATTTATGGTTGCGCCCGTGTGTTTAACACCTATCGATTGTGAACGAACAAGCATCGAGCAAAAATCTTCTTGTGGTATTTGCTTTTTATATTGCAGTAATGGTGTTTAGTTTACATTTATGCAGACGAATACGAAACAGTCGCATGCTTCCTTTATGTCGTAAAATGAGAACATGATGTGCAATAGAATCCGCCAAAAGCACTTGAGAGGTGCGGCAACTTGCGAAACGTAAGCTAGCATGGCTAATTTATGAGCAGTGCGACGGAGCGCAGAAGTTATCGTTTGACCATATTCCACTTGGCCGATAAGAAAGTGGCTCAGTCCAGCTTCTGTATTGATGGTTTGTGTGCTTGCAGTTGAGTGGGGATCGGATGAAAAGTCGCAAGAATCTCACAAACGCCTCGATATCCTCCGATGAGCTGGACGATTCGGCCAGTCTCAAGACCAATCGCAGGTACAAATACCGTATAATGCATCTACGCTTTACTTATTGTCAAAGTCAAATCATTTGAACAAATGTTGGGCGGCTTGATGAGTGGCGAAGTAAACACGAGGCTTTTGTGCCCGTGGTCTGGGTGAACTTCGTTGCATGTCAGATTTTCAACGGTTACCTCCCTTATAGTTGATTAATTACCAACCACTTTCCAATATTTCGCTGTAATGCGAAGAAACAAAGTACTGGCGCGGGGATTGCTTCTCCGATATGTTTGCGAAGCCTCAGAAGCTATTTAAACTGCTTCTGTGAGATGCGGATTAAATGTCTAACCACACTTACCACAGCATTATAACGCAACAGGATTTTCATTCTCTTACTTGTAGCTTGTTAGTACCACCGTTAACGATAATTTATTTCTGTAAATTACAGAAGTTGACGACGTCCTTTGCGTTTTTGTATTATTTGCCTGACCTTGTATAGGAAATTAGGACTTAGTTAAAAAATAATGCCGACCGGCAACCAGTGGTCCGCTGAATTGGTAACCATATAATATCCCGTAAGCAGAATCTGTACATATTATGCATCCAGTACGACATGCCAGGAAACTCGATACTCTGCTGTGTATTGCCCTGTTTCCTGTAGCCGAAGGGAAAACGGGTCAACAACCTGGCGTCTTCCTGTTCGCATCCGAATCTCCTGTTTGTGCCCAATGATCGTAGCGAATGGTGACTATGTTTTGGTCACTCAAGGTAGTGAAGTTGTGAATCAATAGATACAGGCTAGGCCGGTCATGAAACCTAACCATGGCGCTAAACTGATTGTAAATAAAATTCTGTTACCTTCTGACTGCATGGCTTCTGAACCCCGTAAAGTCGAAGTGTATCTGTAGAATTTTCTATTGTACAGTTAAGTACCTGTAGTCCTGTATTATATTTTTTTGCAGTTTCATGTGAATACTTGAGCTACTGCTGTTTGTCGAGAAGGTACAACCAGTTCTGAGTTCGTTGATGATAAATATTCGAACTAATGAGGCTACAGTAAAAGCAAAAGATCTGAGTATCCTTACCCAGAGAAAAACAATCGTGAGACAGGAAGAGATCTAATTGAATCTTATGCAGCTGTTGTTATTTCGTGTTATTTGTTCTGTTTTCGCTGTATTAATATTTTTGTCTTCGTAACCATTCTGGGAGTGAAATCCGTATATTTTAAAGGCTTCGTGGTATTCTGGGAAAACGTATAAGCAGTAACTGCGATATACAGACGAGATTTTAAGTAGAGTATAGTTTCACCGGAAGCGAAATATAGTATACAGATAGATATGGATATATGTGTAGATATATATGTAGATTTATATATATGTATTCTGTGCGATTAAGTGTAAATTAGAATACCTACTCGTACACTACTCTATTAGTTATTCTACTCTGTAAGTACTAGTTTCATACGACTGAGAGCGCAACGGTACGCATACGCAACGGTACCATCGCTAATGAGGTGTGATTTCGGCTCTATTGTGTCATTTGGAATGAGACGCTCCACAAGGTTAAGCATATGCGTCTATGGGAAAAACACCAGTGCAGTCCATATTTCCAAGTGTATACGCTCTTCTACTTGTTTTTTTCAAGCACAATCAAAGAGGACTTGTTCAGTACAAAAAGTCCTACAAAACTAAACTAATCTTAACAATTTTAGCTGTATCAACTAAATGTCACACACAATTTCCTACAAAAGTAAATGATGTCCCACGTTATAACTCTTGCCATATACACGCACCCAGGGCGGCGAATTCGCTGTACTTGCACAGCTTTCGTTACTCTAGTACAGAACCTGTGAAGTGTGAGCGTCATTTACTTGTCGTTACAACGACTGAGAAAAACGTTTTATGACAAGTTTTTTAGTAACGACTTACATATGTTACACTTTTACTGCCTTTACTTTATAATAATATATTTACAACTTCTGTATTTGCACTTTTTCAGCAATTTATTACTAATCATTAAAATTTTGGATAAAACTGAACTAGTTTTGAAAAGTTTAAACGGATCTTTGAAGTGCTGCAAGCACAAACAATAACGATGTCAATTTTGTAACAACTTAAGCTTATATTACTATTTGAAAATATACTGTAACGTTTGCACGGTGATCCAATATCAATATTTTCGCTGAAAGACGTTTTCCTTTGTATCATAAAAAGTATATAGTAGTAGCTAGTACTTGAAACTACTATTTTGTAAACACTATCTGAATTATTTACATATCCTGAAGATATCCCAGAAAGCGCATGCGCGCCCTATAACATCCTAAATAAACTTTTACAGTATTTAGCGGGCGTTTTTAGAGAATCGCAGTTATAATCAAATTAGCTACTACAGCCATTCCACAAGATCAAGCAATTGTCGTTAATCCACAGGCTATTCACAGAATGTTTTGGAACTACTTACAGTAAACACAATTCAAAAATATTTTCATTTTCACATTTTGCGTAGCATATAATTTCAACACTGAACTCGCAAACATATTTGCACCATGTCAGTGCAAAAGCATGGTTAGATTACTTCCATGTATACTCGTATGACATTTCAGTAATAAAGTGTATAACTTTGTTTAAATGTGTTATAGTAAGCGACATTAAAAGCAAAACGATATTAAACGACGAAACAACAGAGTGATTCCGAATAGAGTTCTGCATATGGCGGTATATGTCTCATGATATTCTCTCATTCCAAATGACAAGCGCTACGCACGCTACGCCTCTTATACCCTCGGCACGCCTGATGGTACCGTTGCTAATTCTTATCAGCGCAAGCACCGACCGTTTTCCCAGCCATTAAAACACATCCGTTGTTTGCGCTTTACGAAAAGCCTTACGAATAGATATTTGTTGACAGTTTGACAACTTACCTAGTGAGTTATTTTAATACCGCGTTACACTTACGTTATAGGATTCGTTTCATAATAAATTGTTTCTAAAAGCGCAGGAGTAATGGATAAGGTGACTCAAGGTTTAAGACTACGACGTCATTTTTGAATTTTCTTCGCCGAACCGATTTCTTCTTTCATACTGATAAAGTTTTATTTGCTTGATATCCCAAGGAATATGAATATTTACAGTAGCTTATCATTCATTCTGCGATAAAAATATGTGTGCCTCACAGTGCCTGCTGTTTCTCGCAGTCGGGCGACTGTTTTAGTGGGTTGGTCCAAAATGACCATTGCGAATGAATCACCATTTATACCCGCCTAGGTACCTACTAGCTACCTACCTATTTTCAAGCAGTGTACTGCTTGTTTCTGTTCCCTTTCTGCGCCAAGGAAAGTGCTGTGTGCTCACTCTCACACTCACAGACCATAGTCACTGAGAATCAGCCTATGTGCACGGTACCGTCGGAACGCAAACCGGATTTGTTTCCACTACTGAAACTGTTAGCGTTAACCACACTGGTGTTTACAGTAGTTACAGTACTTAATATTTTTGCCGATTTTGTTTCTTTGCTGATCTGATCGCTGGATATCTGCCAGACCAAAGTTTCCACTTTCTTTCTTATTAAACCAATCACCGCCTTAAAGTGGAATTTGCGGTTGGTTTGGCGTGGACAGTCTTTGGTTTTTTACATGTTCAGCTTGCACGGCTTGCATCAGCGCTTCGGCGCCTTGTATCTGTACGATTAGTTGTGGTATTAAGGATTTGCGATGGATTTTATGAAGTACAGCAGCGCATGAGCTTTGTAATTTTGGAGATACCTGAATAGTATTCCAATACTGGTAAGGGTACATTCGACATTACTCCGATATTACTCCAATACTGCGTTCTTACAGGTTGTTTTCTCTGTCACTAGCAAGTAGCAGGATCAGGCGTGACATGACGTAGTTCAGTTTTTCTTCTTGAAGCCTTGTAGGCTTGTAGTACTGAATCGCACTCAGCTTGCGATTATGAGTTATCAAAATGGTATGCGGTTTATTATGCCGTTTTACGACACCTGGCCCTGAATCACGCAGGCTCTCCCAGTACCGATCATTTAATAATTTTCAGCTGTTGAAAACAACAGATTTGGTACAGCTGATTTGCACTTACATTTATACTGACTAGAATAATAATTTTATGTTAACGCATTCTTGTGAGATCCCAAAATGTTTTTGTGATACAATGGTTTTTTTACAGCTCCGCGACTGATCGAATGTCAAGTAGTATGCCTGGTTGCCGCAGCGGTAATAGTGTTGGTGATCTCTCACGCGAAAAAGGAAGCAATGCGCAGCTGACAACCGTCAAAGAAGTGCGCACCTTCCAGATGCGACCGAATTTGAACGCGCTGAAGGAGTCCGGTCCCAGTGATTCGCCGTCCAGTGTCCGCTCCAGTCCGGAGGAATTTCAGCATATTCGCAATGCTTCAATGGATTCCTCTGTTTCCTGGCAGTCCAATTCCACCACGAGCAGCGGATATTCCTCGACAACATTATCGTCTTCCAATCTCTTGGGGGATAACAGTAATGCAGGGACCGATCCAGATTCGGCGGTGCAGCGCAGGGAACGCTCCAACACTGCGTAAGTTTCGTTTTCTTTCAGTTTTTATGTGAGTTGTCTGCATAAACTAAATTGTGAAATTATCGACCTATCCTGACCATGGATCCCCTGTTTGTGTTTGTACATATGCATTCGAAAAAGGTAGACGGGATTCCCGAGCAGGTTAGGAGCAGTTTTTGGTGAAATCATTTAGTATTGTAGATGTAACTCGTTTTGATTGCCGAAAGAACTTTTATAGTGGCTGCAGTGCATAAGTTACCCTGAAGCAGAAAGCTCCATCTCGGTGATAGTTAACTGTTAAGTACTGTTACCACTACAGTGAGTGAATCGGAAGCACTTGTTGCTGTGATTTTAAGAGTTGTTACCGGTTTGCAGGTTTTTTTACTGGACATTTGATCAAGTTTTAATTAAGTATCTTTCCCGAAAACTGCTCCAAAATAAAAAAAAAAAATAACCTGGAATCTGTTCTAAATCACATTAATATATGGATGATATTAGTATTACGCTGTACAGATATAGCATTAATGTTTTTGTATCATTCATTTGTTATCGTATTTGTATGTTTCGGTGTTCTTCGTCCAAGACGAACGGACGTCCTTGACCGTTAAGTTCAATTGTCAACTTCTGCAGACCGGTAACTGCGACGCTGACGGATGTATCTGTACAATCATCGGCTGACGATAATGCCGAGCGATGACATTTGGGCAGGCTGCTTTTGAACATTTGTTTCATAATTGTGTAGTATGCCGAAGGAACGCACCACCTTAGGTCACTACGAATGTATTTGTTGAGTATTGTCGAGAACGTACGCATGGTGTTTTATTCCACTTATAATAGAATTGCTGATTTACTCTCTTGTCTTGAGTGTTCTCGCGCGGTTTATGTGTGTTACAACCCGAAATTTTGAATACTTCGAAGCTGGGTTATCGAACATATGGTAATTAAGGTTTTTTAGGAGAATAACACATGTGTCGGCAAAGGTTTATTTTGTTTATTTACGATTCGTCATGGGCAGTATCATTTTGTTTTTGCACAGCTCGAACTTCGTATATATGTGAGCTTCTAATATGCTGATGCGTTTTTTGCAGTGATGCGGGTGCGTCGTCTTTGGATCGTTGGTCAAGAAGCACAGCAGCCCACAACGAGACAAACGAGCAGTCTGATGTGCCCGTTCGTTCCATGTCCGTATCGGAAATGGTGCGTAATTTTTCGGGAACGAAACTCTTGCCCAAAGCCCCTAATCCGCCTCCTAAGCCGCGGTACACCCACCTGCCTGCTGCGCCAGCCGACGCTGAAGTTTTATCTGGCTCAAGTCCGCCAAAACCAAAGAGTGCGCTATCGCAGCACGGACAGAAATCTCAGTCGATCCGACCAACGCAAGTCACGTTTGCCTCCATGGAGGATGTGCGTGTACTGAGCGATGCTCCCATTCAGAGTGCACAAGGACGTCGTTCGTCCACCGCGGAGACGCCGTCCGGGAGTTATCCGTTTCCGGGCGAGGAAATCAAGCCGTCTCCGGTGTTGAAATCCATTGTGCGCCATTCTGGAATAAATTATCCCGTACCTCCACCGAAAAAACCGGCGCTTTCCGTTAAACCCAATACGATTTTTCGAACGGCCGTGCATAGCATGGTGCTTGGTGCGAAAAATACGGACGATTCCCGTCGCAAGAACTCTATAACTGAAGAATCACCTGCGATGTTGGAAAGTGAATCGAATAAAGAAACAGGAGAGCAACAGAAATATGTGCCGAAATACAGAAAATCAAATGAATCGGCAGAACAGGCCGATGTGGCAGAAATTCGGGCAAGCGTACCCGTTATGGAGCAGCACGCAGAAATTGACCAGCAAATGGTAGTTTTGTCAGAGAAGGAGATTGGTAATGAGAATTTACCGCCATGGAATAAGGATTCCGAGCTGAACAGCGCCAAGGTAAGTTTTTTTTTAATTTCAACTTTGCTCTTTTTCTAAGGGTTTGTTTAGTGACTGAGTCACTAGAGTTTAGTGATTGAGTCAATTATTACTACCGCAGAGACTAGAGTCACTGTGACTCTAGTAATAATTAATATTTGGTTTCGGCAGTTTTTCTCTGTGCGAACGTTTCGTTGATAATCTACATATAAACGCAAGTGTTATATTGCTGGGCAATTTATTTATGTTACGTTGATGAGATGAAACCAGACTAACCTTAAGATTGGCATTCTTTCATTTTGCAGCGAGAAATTATTGAAAGGTTAAGTGCCAAACTTGACTTATTGCGGGAGGAACAGACTAGCTTGCAGGAAGAGATCAACACTACTGATCGGTGGGGAGACAGTATTTTCCAGAAGTTCTCAATAAAAGCCACAGAGCCAGATCTGGAAAAGTACATCCAGCATCTACGCGAACTGGAAGAAATTACAGCATTAAGCATGAGCCTTTCTAGCCGCATTGAACGTTTGGAGCTCTCACTGGGACAGCTAACGTTGCCGGCTGATGATCTGGAAGCTGTAAGTTTCCGTATGGTTTGCCCATTGCACACTCAAAAACAATGTGAGTCATTTTTGCAGACAACTTTGAAAAATAAGAGAAGCAAGCTATTAACTCAGCAAGAAGAAGCCAACTACTTGCAACAAGGAATTGAGCGCCGTCGAAAGGTATTCCAAACCATTCTAGCAGAGAAGTACTTTGACCGAGATGGATACGAAGATTATGAAGACTTCTTCAAAACCAAGGCAACGCTGCTGCGTGATAGCCGTCAGCTAGCGGATAAAATTCGATTGGGAGAAGAGAAGCTCTTCTGCCTTTTAAACTCCAGCATCCCTGGTTGACTGCAAATAACTGGGGTTTTGTATAAAATGCAGTGTACCGGTTATTTTGCTATTGTTTCTTTGTAATGCAGCTAAATGCAGTTGGTGATAGAAATGGTTGTTTACAAATTCCGACGTTGTCGATCCATTGCGTATTTCGGTAAACTCTTTTTCTTTTGTGACTTCCTTTTAGTGACCAAACGGAATTTTTGCGCTGCAGTTCAGTTTTCTGTTTCATGTTATTGATCTTTATTTAAACTTCGTAGTATCTGGTACGGAAATCCTGCATCAGAATGCAGTAGTCATAAATTTTTTTATGGTCAACAAAACGGTAGTAAAGTGAGAAAGTGTTTGGTTGGATCACTTCCTGTTGTTCGTTTTACGGTTTAGTTTGTGCCACTCAGGTTTATTAGTCTGGCAAATTTTTTAAGTTACAGGTGCAGGTTTTGTGCGTTTGGTGTTTAGTGATAGTTAAATCGACTTATGGCCTCTGAAATTTACAAATACTAGTAAGTGCAGATCTTTATTCCGCATGGTATAATCCAACTGTTTACAAAAATTTTCCTAAACAAGCTGTCGGAGACATCTTTACATCGTACACACAATGATAAATCTTCGGCCCATAGGATTTCACTACCTCCAAATGCAAGAGATGACCAGTCCATGTACCACCGTGCACACCATCACAGATTGAAACCAGTTTTGATAATATGTAAACCGCGAAATTTTTAAAACATGATAATTTAAAATGGACCGAAAAATTAAACGTTATTCGTGGATTCTCAGCATTCCAAGCAGATTTCAAATCTGAAGCGTCAGACTCCTCGACATTCATATGAACATGGAGAATTCCACCGGAAGCAGAACGCAAAGCTTTGCAAGCCGTTTCCCAAGACAATTCGGAAGAGGGAATAAGCCCCAGAACGACACGGTCAGCAACATTCACTGGACACATCTGCAAGCACAAGTGGTGCCTGAATAGGCAATAAAAAAATGAAGTCACATAATAACTAATACAGCTTAGCGGGATTTGCGTTTATTTACAAAGCTTAGGTAACTTTGATAAACTTTTCATTCAGAAATGGAAGAACCATAAACTCTAAGTAGATGATTTCAGTTTACAATTTCCAAAATGAACAAGTTTTCGAAAGGGTTTTATCGCCTCAGTTAGCGACATCAAAACAACAACCAACACCGACACCACATCAAAACTCATAAGCCCCAACACTTCTTCAGTGATGCAACGAATTCAGTTTTCCGCTACAATTCGTATTGTAAGTTTTACGCGCGCATATGCGGTGCAGAATGCAGATCTCACAGCTCAGGTTAAGAAAACGAAGCATTTTGGGTGCATTAGAAAACACACCACAGCCATATCTCTGGAAAGCAATTACAAAAAATGCCGCAAAGACACTTCCATGATGATCATCATAAAACTTTTATTTTCAAGATTTTATTGTGAAAATCCACAAAAGACAAAGCAATATATTCGTTCATAAATCTCAATATTACTTTATCTTATAGCAACAAACTAGGTTAAAGATACTGCCAGAGATACAGAAAACAAAACAAAGAAAAAAGCAATACCATTCAGTTAACTGCTGTGTTTGAAAACTTTCTTGGGATTACATATTTAGCATAAAAAAGTAAACATGTGCTGACTTCAGAAAATTTGTTTGAATCCAAATAGTAAACGGCTGCTGTCACCACTTCTCCTCTGGAAATGCTCACGGTTCAACCGTGTACGGTCTTACCTTTCGATTGTCACCAAACAGTATCTCACACCGCTTCTCGACACCATTCAATCTGAGATTTCGCTTCAAAGCCTCCACCGATGCCGGGTTCCATTCGCAAGCGTACACCCATTTTGCTCCAGCTTTTAGTAGAGGAATAGTGAAATACCCGATACCAGAAAAGAGATCCACAATGCACTCATCCTGACATGCTAGCGTAGACATCCGTATCTTTTCCGTGATGTTGCCCGAGCTAAACATGCAAGACATGAGATCAAATTCGTAGATAATCCCGTTGTCTTTTTTCCGGACCCAAGTACAAGTTCCTCGCAGCATCTGTGCCTGTGGACTGCGATAGTCACCGGGGAGGATTCGTCCATGCCGAGCAATCCGCGATACCTTAAATACTGTGCAAATGGCATCATACACTTTCTCCTGTATTCCTCTCCAGCAGTCAGCAGTGAATGCATCTTCAGGGAAGAGAATAAGATCACCAAAGATCTCCCAGTGCCGCGGAAATGTGTCAAGTGCACCGTTCACAGGCAGATAGTATTCTTCAAGTAGCGACTGCATGGATTTCCGCAGCCTGGCGTGTGGAGTTTCCGTCTTTTTTTTACTCATTATTTTAAGTTGTCGGCCCGGTAGTCGGAAAGACGGAAACTAATACCAGATAAAATGCTCACTCTCCGTAATGCAAGCCTTGCAAAATGCTCATGGCAAAGAAATCGTGTAAACGAGCCTGGACACCAGTAACTCTAAAAATAAAAAAAAAGCATGGAAATGATGTTCCAAAAATTTACAAAAGAAGTATTTTACAAAAATCAGCTGTTCGGTTGGTCAAGTGAAATGGCCCGCTGCGGCCGCGACCCGGCTGCTGCCTGGTGGCTGAAGCCCGATGAGCACCGATTTCGAGCCAGCCGCTCCGCTCCTGCTGCCTGCCGCCATAACTAGCAAACTCTCGCAAACCGTTAGTGACGAAAATTTCAGCGTTGGTTGGTAGAGAAAATTGAGGTTTTTCATATTTACGTTAATTTTGTATTTTTTGATAAATGTTTTAATATGAAATTAGTATACGCGATATTAAAATGGAGGAAATAATTTTGCAAAATATTTAGCATACCGTTACAAACAGTTTGTAACGCAAATTACAGAGTAGCAGAGGTTTGTACTCCCTTTTGCTGCGGAACAAATTTATTTGTGTGGAACGGCTTTACATGAAACGAGTCACTTGTTGGTTGTTAATGCACACGGCTTCGAAAATTTTCTCGTTTCAGTTTGAGCGTTAACCAGTCGCTTTGGCTTTTTGAATTCTGACTGTGTCGAGCGAATTAACGATATGATTCACGATTCCACTTAATTCATTTTTATATTTTCATGAATTATTTGAGAGTGAGTTTATTCCGGTGTGTCTACTAATGATCTCCTTATCTTAGTGAAGGTTCTTATTGGAATTAGAGCGGTTGTGGTACGTATTTTATCTCTTAGCGGCAGGATTTCCCGCTTTTAAGCATTTGGTTCTCTGCAGGTAGGTCTAGTTCGTGATGTTTCTCAGGCAATTGTTTTATAACTTAGTACGAACTGGGTCTTCAACGTTTGGGTTTTCTTAAGATATGGTAGTGGAAATATGTATATGCTGAATTGCGAGTAGCGAAGAGTTCGAAATAAAAAATTTGTAGTCGAAGAACCCAGGTTTCCAGTAGCCGAATTTTTTTATTGGCCGAAAAGCAGGTAGAGATTCCTCGCATTGGTTAGTCTGGTTTTTACGGGCAAATCAGACACGCGCATGCTAAGCATATCCGTTGAACCATGGCAGTTGTGTTGAGACTACCGGCTGCAGAATGCCGCCATTTAGCTTTGCGCTCAACGTCCAGCGCAGAAATTCGGGGTGGGCACTGCATTCATAGCTGACCATGAGGGAAGGAATTCCCTCTCACAGTAGTGGTTGTGCAGTGGCAGTTATTGAGAGCGCGCACAGAAAGGAGGCAGAGAGACAGAGAGTGGACCATGTAACAGTGGGATGACCAGCTGACGTGAAAGTTGTTGGTGTTTCAGGCCTGCTGCGCTGTGTATGTGGAAGGCTATGTACGATTTTTACTATTTTAGCTTTCAGAGCTGTTGACCTGAGAAACGTCGTGTAGTACTGATATAAATTGGTTCCAACATTCGGGTTTTTCGGAATCCAGGAAATCAGAAACGCATTTTTGCAGGTTCTTCGGCAGACCGTTGCACTCTGGTGAAAGACATGGGTAGTGAGATGTCTTCACTAGGATTAAACTGCTCTCGCCATCCGTGCTCTTTCACCCGACCAACGGTCGATTTCGTTGGATATTCGGATTGGTTGGTCTGTCACGAATCAACTTCGTTGAATCCGTCAAAGTGGCTGTGAAATGCAGCGATATTGCGGGTCCGCCTGCAAGAAGAAGAAGCATATCACAGTCATCTTTGATGACTTCAACGTATGGTTTTGTTGTGGATTTGTGGATGCCGAGCAGAATCGGATGCCTTCAATGGGATGTACGGCGGGATAAGTGGAATGGTATGCACTGGTGGGTACGTATGTGCACGTGCGATGACTGATACCTTTTTGCGATAGTTTGTTTTCAGATCGGCATTGATACGGGACACATTTGGCTTGCATCACATGCTTTATGTCGTGATTTCCGTGTGCGTATTCGCTAGCTACCGTTTTTTGCTTTTCTTGATTTACGATGGCTTTGCAATGGCACAAATGCTTGGCATAAGTTTTACGTCTGTTATGTGCGTACATTGTAGAGGTCTTTTACGATATGGCGCTGCCTACGTTTCAAAACGCATTAAAGCTTTAAGACGCCGAATGTTTCCTTCCAGGAAATATGCGGTGAGATGTGAGTGTGATGTGTATCGTGGTTGATCTCACTGGCAAGTCTTCATTTTAACTTCCGTCGGTGCGCGGTTTAGCTTGTAGATTTGTAGTGAATGGTGAATGGGCGTGCATAATTTTACACTGTAAGGTTGTTCGGCAAGTACGATGAGTTTGCAAGGCCAGTGTGTGTTTGAAGCGGTTAGTTGGCTTGTACATGTGTTGGCCGCATCTTCAACCGTTACATCGATATCGCTGACGTCACATTCGTGCCGGGTGCTTTGTCCTTTGTAGTTGCTAAGTGAGTCACTGCCTCGTGACTAAGTGATCGGGCAGAATCTGGCTGGCTCATACGCTACTGCGTGGCAGGCTGGCAGCTGCTTTTGTCTCGGGCCTGTCCACAGGTCAAGCATGGCTTGGATTTTCGCTTGATCGTTAATCCAACCCTTCCACCAAACTGCGCTCCAATTGGTTGCCGGCGAACGCTGAAGCTTGAAATTTATTTTCGCTTTTCATTAGTAAGAATAAAAATAATTCCACAATGTCGGTGACAATGATAATAATTTTAATACTATTTACAGTCCGTAATTGCACACAATGGCCTACAGGCCCTATACACAGAGCGCTTGCAGGTACGTACATAATAGTGATAATACACACTTTTGACCCATGCATGACGCTAATTTTAGGCACGTCAATTTGATTCCTGTACTGTATTTAAAAGGCAGTAATGAAAAAGAAAAGAAGTATGTACTTGGCATGCTCATCTTGATATTCGAGATAGTTTTAACCTTTAAGTGCAGTAATTTAGTACTAATCAATCAAACAAACTTACCAAATGTCGCAGAAAAATAAGAGTACTTACGTATCTTATTTTTAGTAAATCGCATTAGACTTAGTTGTTTTAACCTGACATAATGAGCATATTATTACGTATAATTCGTAAATAAATGATCAACAGATAGTCGGATAGGTACAGTATAAATCTAGAGCTAATTATTGAATACACTTGCCCCAATCAACAACAACAAGCCCCTTGAACTCACAGGGAGTTATAAAAACTGAAGCATCACCTTAACTCAAAAATATAAAATAAACGCGAACTATGGATGCTTAATGGAACGTGCAGTATCACAATAATCACAATCAAATTAATCACCACTCACGATGTCAAACATCTCTGAGTGCAATCATATTCCCACAGGAGCTTGATTAATGGCGTTGACGGATGAGTCCGCAGTCGTCGGAGCAGGATTACCTTCGGCTGGCGGTTCTTTAGACGTTTGCTGAACTGACCCTGTTGGGTTTGTTTTGAAAAATATACGCGCGCTACTCAAGGAGTAAAACAGCAACTCGAACTCTTTAATATACGAGTCCAGTCGTCGTGCAGTAAGTTTGAGGGCTTGACGCAGTTTCTCATCGCTTTGGACATCGCTCCTGTTTCCTTGAGCATCCATTCTATTCGCCTGTGCGGCCGCTTCCTGTATATCGACAAAAACAACATCAAACAAAAGCCCAGAAAATGTCCTTACCTATCACACAGACACTATCTATTCCGTAATAAAGCAGGAAAGAGTAAAACCAGACTGACTAAATCGTAAAATTAATACAGGCTGCATATGTGCTAATGGTGATTGGTGAGTTACTAACTGAGAACGTCAATTATCTTGGTTGTCAACGTGCTCCTTTCTACATACCGCATCTTTCCGAAATTTCTCCCGAACGGCATCTGTCCAGTTAAGGGAATCGAAAAGACCGTTCTGTCCAAGCAGTGCCAGAATATAAGCCACTCCCATCGCGAAACCGTCATCCGTGAATAAAACAAGCCCGGAAGGATTTTTTTTATGTAACCGCTCCTTACATGTTACCGCATGTTCCACAAAGTTGACCATCTGAAGATGAAAACAAAAAAAAACCAAGTCAATATCAACGAGGATACGCGCCACATAATGGGATGCCACGAAAGTTTTGCGTTCATTCTAAGGACTTTTAACAGTGACCTGAACATGAACATACCAACGGGGGGATGATCATATAAAAGTTGTGTAGATGTCGATTGCGGACATTCTGAAATTCTCCCGAGAAAACTTCCAAAAGTAGCTGCAAAAATTTTCCAAAACCAGCATTACTACCTATAAAGAAAGAGGCTGTCGGCACAACACGAGTATGAAAGGGAATACGACCTTGAAGAATTCTGTGCCATCAGAAAGATTTTTGTTCAACATAGTAATAACATCATCAAGATCCTTTGTGGCGGTATTATTCACGGCTACTTCCTCTTCCTTTGCAAGGGTTTCAAAGGATTCAATATCTTCCAAATCGGGAATAAAGCAAATTGCTTTGCTGCAGTGATGCAGGCCACCGGATCGTACGGTCCTCACGAATCCCATGGCATTACCTGGCAAAATAAAATACATTTGGTTACTCTCTAATCTCGCTCCGGTTCATGTTTATCGTCACAACTGTTAGAAATTTTACAATTTCGTAAGCAAAATTCAAATTTTCACTGCAATCCCGCAATCCTGACAAATGACTATTTCTATTAGTTGCGCCTTGCGGACCGTTGCGGTACTTTTTAAAAATATAATATTGTGATCGTTCAAAACTTAAGTCTATCAAATGCAAAATAAGGGTGCGGTTATGGCTTCATACCGATGTATGTTATCAGCATTCTGAACTGATCCAGACGTGTCTGCCCATCCGCCGTCACACCCAACGTTCGAATCGCTTTGTTGAATTTTTCCGCTCTCTCGAATGGATACTTTGCCATGGCATCGTTTTGCTTCATATCGCGGAATATCTTTATGTCCTTAATTAACCTCGATTTAATGTGCTCGTCAAACATAAACTGGGAAAATAAATTGAACTTATTCCGCAAGAACTGATACGTGTAGTTGACCGTCGTGTTCATAATACCGATCCCATGCGTTCGCAGACTATTAGCAATGTGCCGGATGCCGATGGTGTTCAGATGTTTGCTGTTGCTGGTTCTCTCCACAAACACTTGATTATTCAGATTATAAGCATAATTCGATACAAAATAATTGATATTTCGCATTATTTCCAAGATATCTGCCCCTTGTTCAAGGGTTTGGCATGGTAGATGGGCTTGCATCACATGTAGTCCATACATATGCAGCGCTAAACTGCGCATTTCGTCGTAAGTTTTCCAATCGTGCAGAGCTACAGTAGTCAAATCATAGAACGTCTTATCCAGATAACTTTCCACTTCGTCCCTCACACAGATTATGTGGTTCAGGAACTGAATTGCGTCCAGGGATATTATCTGGCGAATATCCCGCACTACCGCGTCGAACGGATTCCGTTCCGGTAGCGACAAATGCGAATGTACAGTGAGGCGTAAATTCATTTCAATTTCTCTACACAGTGGATTGATAATGCATTCGTTCACTTCGCTGCGCACTTCCTGACCGAACTTCTTCACCAATCCATCCGGATCAGCATGACGAACCCGGCGTAACGAACGGCTGCTGGTCTCAAAAGCCGCTAACAGGCAAAAAATTCTTGGGCTTTGATTAGGATTTTGGAAGATTTCCTCCAGGTACGGTCGTAGCACTTGGCGATTCCAGTAGAAAATCGACATGTTACACGCATTATCAAACGCTTCGTGAAAGGTTGCCAGATCTTTCAGCAGCGGGACAAAAATTTGGACATAATTCAGCTCATCTTGTGGCCACTTTTTCATAGACAAGCCAACGCCCAGGCAAGCTTTTAGAACGATCATACGCTGTTCCGTCATCGGACCTGACACCAGACACTGCTGAAGTAACTGCAATGATGTCAGCGCATCCACGTGTTCCAGCGCACCAACGCGTTTCTCACCCGCCAGGCGCTTTTCCAGAGTGTAACAAGCGTTCTGCATTCGGTTCGTGGTTAACTGGACGATACGGTCGATCAGCTGGCTAAGTGTAATGTCGTACGTTTGTTTGCAGCCTTTCAACACCATGAGAATCTCAAGCATGTTCCCGATGAGAAAAAGTGTCTGCCGTGGAAGTGGTTTCAACAAGATGGAATGAAAATGGAATAACTGAACGACGGAATTCTGGACTCGCCGAGCCAAAAGCAAGCCAGAGCGAACAAAACGTGGAGTATCCTCGTCGATGATGGGTTGGGACTCTTTGGCTAATGCCTGAATTCGGGTAACCCATTCCATAGCGTCAACGCGAAAACTCGCCACATCTTTGGCCAGATTTTGCAGTCGAGCCTAAAAAACCAAGAGCATCCCAATCTCATGTGAGCAACACTCATTTGCCATTTGACGTTAATATCCGATAACAAATTTTTTTCGTAAACATGTTTGCATTGCTGTACGTATAGAATGTCAAAGCCATTTCAAAAAAAGTTGCATACCTGCAGAATTCCTTCCTTTGCTTGCTGGATCAGCTGTAACTGCTTTTTGTCGACGTGCTTACCGACATCGGGAATCATCGCCAAAACAACATCCGCGGGACAGATGGACATATTCTGCCACAGTGCCACTATCGGCGCGGTTTTGCACACATCCAAAAACATCCGCAAAAATTTTTTATCGACATTTCGCGTGACCACTACATGCAGAATCAGAAGCGAACCGCACGCCATGACCCGTTCTCCAATTTTCCCAGGGTTCTGACTCTGTGAAATCGGATTATCAACGTCAGCGATCAACTGCTGGAACGCCACCGACCAGGAATCCAAAAATTTTCTGGTCAAATTCAATCGCCCCACGTTAGATAGACAATCGAGAAAAATGGTTCCGCTGAGTAAATCCCGTTCAATATTCATCAGAAAGGACTCAATCTCCTTGATATCGGCGTTCTCCAGCCCGACCTTCGCGGCCATGTTCGCACTGTGGCTACAGGCATTTAGCGAGGCTTTGTATGTCGTCCAGTGATCTCGCAGAGTGTTGTTGCTTTTAATGATGCAATCCGCTGTTATGAGGCAACTACATAAACCCGACAGACATTCGTACAGGAACACCATTGTTCCCGACGCGAAATCTCGCTCAGCCAGGACATTCAACTGTTGCAGCACCAGTGCGATCACTTCTTTGCAGCGGGATTTAAAACAGGAAAATTCCTGAAGGAAAGGCAGAAAACGTCCGAGAGAGAGATACGACGGATTCTCAATGTAGGCGTCGGAGTAGTGCAGCAGTGGATCCAAAAAACGCTGACGTGCTTCGTGCATGAGGAAGCGCAGCTCCGCAGCCATGACGGAAATGGCCACCATGACTTTACCGAAAAGATCATTTTCCGTCTGCACAAAATCTTCGATGCAGGCTTTCTCATGCGGACTCAACTGTCAGCGTGAAAAAAAATGATTTTCACATGTGTTTAATGTGTCATTAGTACCGAAAACTTTGTCTAACAACAATGCTCAATTTGCTCACCACAATTTTGATAGGATTTCTTGCTGTACTGCCGTAGCTGACGACATTTGCGAGCCATGATTCAGCGTCGTCGGAATTTTCGAAGCGTTTTCCCAGATCGCTGATGTAGTCTCCTACCTTCTTGTAAAATCTCTTTTGCAAAGACCCTGAAACAGCCAGGCAGTAGCAGATCATGTGCATGTGCTGTGTCCGTAGTAGTTGTACCGACGCAAATACAAGGCATTTTCAGCAGTGTAAAAAATAATACGTTTTTAATAAAATTTTATTGTTAATATTGTTAAGTATGACTAATGTTACATACTCGCACTACAAGGGGCAGATTGCAGAACATCTAAAAATTCAGAATGCCATATGGCATGTTCTACGAATGCAGAAGCCTGAAGGCCAGGTACGAGCACTTTTGTTAACTAGGAAGCATACTTATAAAATCAAGTGCAGGCTTAACAGTGGAATTACCTCGGACCTCCGCGCTCAACATTTTTCCGGCAGAAGACTAAGAGACTCAAAAGAGGGAGTAGCTGTTGTACCCAGCTGCATTCGAATTTCCAAGCACAACTTATTCCCAAATCTTACGTCATGTAACTTGTTGATATCCGCATGTGTGGGAAGTTGGGAACAGCGTTCAGTTTCTTACATATGGAAGTTCAAGAATAGAGTCCATATAAAATGCACACTTTTGGAGTTACCTTGCTCCTTGGGGTATGCAGATTTTTATTTTCGTAAATAAATCGTACTCTTCGCAGCCAAAGGCGAAATTTAAGAGTTTTTACTCGTTAATAAGACACGGGTTGGGAACATTCAATTTTCACGTAATATATGTTGTAGGGCGGGCAGCATTGTAGATGAATATCTGGCAGTCTGCCATCGAGCTATCGCGATGACTTCCGGTCCAGATATTTGTGTGCCCGATGGCCGGCCTTATGCTGTACCTTGCTAGTTGCACAGTACGTACTGATGTTCCAGTTTTTTACTTCGTCAAACATTTTTACCAACTAAAATTTATACGGAGACGGATAACGGTTTGGAGTCGTTCGAGAATATGGATAGTTGTGGCGACCAAAAACATTCTGACAGTTCTGGTACAAATACTCAATTGGATCTGTTCGCTTACGCACAGAAAAATTTACTCGTTAATAAAACCAGAAAGGTACACTATAATTATACTAATTATATTGTATCTACGGGCAATACTGTACATGTGTTTGATGCGTAATACGATTTCTACCGCCAGCTTCATTGTCCAACCGGTAGCGAGTAGTAACCTTTCGACAACTAATGGGCAGCCAGCCTACTGTGAACAGCCAGAAAAACGATCAGTAAGTAGTATTTACTATTTTCTAATTGCATAACTACACAAGTATTCATTTGTGCTGCTAATTTGTAGTCCCAAAACTGTTTTCTAAAACGTTATTTTTATACAAAAGCGGTTTGCAGAAGTACAGTAGATTACCTTTATGCATTTTTTTCTTGAACAGCTAGTACTGTATGTCAAAACTCTGAAGTTCCACCTACGTGCTTATTATATCTGACATTTTGCTTGATTAAATCAATTTAAATTCATTATCGTACTAATTATTGGATGAACGACTTGGAGCTCCCGATCCGCCGGCCGATTCGTGTGCTCTATGCACCGCCATGCCGCCACGGGCGCTTACCAACAAGCCGCCCTGAGTGTAAGCGGATCCTAATGCTTATGCAATACACTCCACATATACAGAAAAATTATCGATTATCACGATTCATGAAACCCGTAGATGCAATGGGAATTGGGGAGAACATCCTTTCATTATCGTAAAAAACCATTCCAACGCGAATGCCGGATGGCGCGGTGCTGCTAACCATAAGCCATCGCCCGCACTGGTCCAGTCGGCGGAGAGATACAATCGTACCACATCGCTTGAATTGAATCGCTTGAATAGAATCTGAAGTCCGACTCCGAGTCTGATTGTGATAAGCAACGAAACCTATACAGTCGTACGCATGCGTATGCGTTATATTACGGTAGCACAGAATGGAGATAACGGGCTGCCAGTCGATTACTGGTACACAATTTGATTTTACCTACAATTTTTGTATTCGTGTTTGTGATACGCACTTGAGGTTTCGACCACCACATAAATGTTATTAAGTGCCTAATTTAAAGGTGGAAATTGCGGCGAAGACGCTGGGACATCAGTTGAAAACGTTCCGTCTGAAGGAGATCCGTGCGGGAAAATCGTGTACTATCTCTGATGCGGACTAATTTTTCCACTTGTTAATAATTTGTAATTATTATTTGTGACATCCAAACACCGTAAAAATGCCAAATGTTCGAGGGGATGGCATGCGAGGACTGGCTGTGTTTATATCGGATATACGAAATTGTAAGAGGAAACCGCCTTCTTTGGCACGCTTCCTCATTGTCGCAAATTACTCGTAACTTGCTGATTGGGACTAATCGTAATGCACTGGTTGCAAATTATTTTCTGCAGCGTTAAGTTGTAATTACTTTTACAACAAAAATTGCGTTTCGTGGATTATTAAAATTGTGGAGTGAAAAGAATACTGTTGCAGGCAAAAGCAAGGAAGCGGAAATAAAACGGATCAATAAAGAGCTTGCCAACATCCGATCAAAATTCAAAGGTAGCGTAAGTGTGGAACATAAACACTAGCCGTGACTAGCGTGTTTCCTATTTTGATGATCAGATTGGTAGTGGCTGCAGTGGTATACAGTAGTGAAGACTATTTTATATTTGTGGCCTTCCTCAGTGATGCGGTGATTGTTCTGCAGGAGACAAAACCTTGGATGGATACCAGAAAAAGAAATATGTTTGTAAACTGTTGTTCATTTTCCTGCTGGGCCATGACATTGATTTCGGACACATGGAAGCCGTTAATTTACTCAGTTCCAACAAGTACAGCGAGAAACAAGTGGTATGTCATGGATGCAGGAGCGTGCGGTGTGTTGTTTTCATTGTACGGCTATTCGCTTGTGCTTTCAGGGATACTTATTCATTTCGGTCCTGATTAGCGCCGACAGCGAGCTGATGCGCCTGATCATCCAGTCGATCAAAACCGATTTGAACAGCCGTAATCCGATCTTCGTTAATTTAGCCCTCCAGTGCATTGCAAACATCGGTAGCAAAGAAATGGCCGAGGCATTCCAACAGGATATTCCACGCCTGCTCGTATCGGGGTGAGTGCTCAAATGTCGCCGCATCATCCTCGCGTGCTGCCTACCTGTATGGGCTGGGCTTATGTTATCCAGTTTAATTTGTAAACCAAAATTATCAAACGAAATATCACACACACTTTGTGATGCGAATAACTGCAAAAAAGTGTACACGAATGTTTTTATTTTGTACTCAGACAATAGAAAATTCAAAGGTCTTTACAACAGCCATTTGGATGATGTAGTAGAATGCGTTACTGCACGCAACCTTTCCGTGTTTATAAGTTTCCATATCGTAAGTTAGTGTCATTACTTAATGTTTTTGAAAATATCTGCAGAATAATACATTTTACTGCATTAGACTGAGCTCCGAAAACGTAGCAATCGAGACTTACGGAGTTGCTGTATTAACTCGTTCGTTCAATTGTTTTTTTACAGAGATGCGATTGATATGGTTAAGCAGAGCGCAGCGTTGTGTTTGCTGCGTCTTTTCCGGGCTTCTCCGGATGTGGTTCCCGGTGGCGAGTGGACATCACGCATTGTGCATTTGTTGAATGATCAGAACATGGGAGTAGTTACGGCTGCGTCGAGTTTAATCGATGCGCTTGTAAAGAAGAATCCGGCGGAATATAAAGCATGTGTTTCGCTGGCCGTATCTCGACTGAGCCGCGTAAGTTCAAAGCAGTAAATACAATTTTGAAATCACCCATTTTTTGAAGTATTGTTACGATCCACTTGACCTTATACAGATTGTGACTTCTCCTTACAATGATTTACAAGATTATACGTATTACTTTGTTCCTGCGCCGTGGCTTTCCGTAAAACTGTTACGACTGCTGGAGAATTATCCACCATCAGGTAAATGTCAGGGAATTTTTCGTCTACTGACATTATGATTTTTCAGCTAATCGGCTTACTTGCACAGATGACGCCAGCATCAAATCCCGCTTAAATGAGTGCCTGGAGACCATACTGAATAAAGCTCAAGAGCCGCCCAAATCAAAAAAGGTTCAGCATTCCAATGCCAAAAATGCTGTTCTTTTCGAAGCCATCAGTTTGATTATCCACATGGATTGGTTGGTTGAGTTTTCGTTTTGCTTTGTGCTGATAAATGTGGCTTACTATTTCAATTTTTCAGCGAACCGGGTCTGCTTATAAGAGCTTGCAACCAACTTGGTCAGTTTTTACAGCATCGAGAGACCAATATGCGGTGAGAATTTACAAAAAACAGTCCGTAGTAAAGTTAAAGTTGTGTTCTTTTGTACTGCCATATGCACGAAGTTTATGGAGCTCGCAAGTTCGCAGCTCATAATTTCCATTTTAAATATATGCGGAAGTTAAAAACAGTAGTGGTGTTTGTTGACGATATTTTTTCATTTTATTTCAGGTACCTTGCTCTAGAAAGCATGTGTCTTCTTGCGACCAGCGAAATTTCCCATGAAGCCGTTAAAAAACACCAAGAAACGGTTATCAATGCCTTAAAAGTGAGTAAAAACGGCTGCTTTAATTTAGTGAGCATATGGTTGTGACATTTATATATTGTACGCGACCACTTTCTTTAGACCGAGCGGGACGTCAGTGTGCGACAACGGGCTATTGATCTTTTGTACGCTATGTGTGACCGCAGCAACGCAGAGGAGATTGTTCAGGAGATGTTGATCTATCTTGAATCGGCCGATTATTCTATTCGGGAAGAGATGGTATTAAAGATTGCTATTCTGGCTGAGAAATACGCCAGTGATTATTCGTGGTATGTTGATGTTATTCTCAACCTAATCCGGATTGCGGGAGATTATGTCAGCGAGGAGGTAATTTAATACTGATGACCTACGCCTACTGGATGTATTAAGATAATTAATTTTTAGGTGTGGTACCGTGTCATCCAGATTGTAATTAACCGCGATGACGTGCAGGGGTATGCTGCAAAGACTGTTTTTGAGGTGAATTTCTCGTTTTAATCTGTACGTGTGTAAAGTGTTACATACTGAGGCGGATTACAGGCTTTGCAAGCTCCGGCTTGTCACGAAAACATGGTGAAAGTTGGCGGATATATTTTGGGAGAATTCGGAAATTTGATCGCTGGCGATCCTCGGTCAAGGTGTGGTGTCGAAAACTGTCTTTCGCTATTTTGAAATATGCTGATCTGTTCACTCGAATTGCAGTTCACAAATTCAGTTTGACCTGCTGTATTCGAAATATCCACTGTGCAGCGTGGCTACACGTTGTCTGCTCTTATCCACTTTCATGAAGTTCATTAATTTATTCCCGGAAATCAAGATTACGATTCAAGATGTAAGAATAACGAATCTGTGCGCCACAGCTTGCGCGAGTAACGCTCCACAGTAAAAGTCTAATGATTGTATAGTCCACTGATAGAGTCTAGCTTGTTATCCCTAAAATTTTTTGATATTTTAGATTTTGCGTAATGACACAAACATTCGCAATTCGGATGCAGAACTGCAGCAGCGTTCTGTAGAGTATCTCCAATTGAGCAAGATTGCCTCTGTGGATATTTTGGCGACTGTGCTGGAGGAGATGCCGGCCTTCCCGGAGAGAGAATCTAGCATTCTGGCCAAGCTGAAGAAAAAGAAGGAACTGCCGGATGACTTGGATACACCGAAGGAAGCGAAGCATCTCCCACAAGCAATTGTCAATAACAATGATGCCGTTTCGGTAATTCGTGTCGGCACTCGAATATTGTTGATGAGATGGACATGTTAGAATGATCGTAGTCTCCGGAGCGGAGAGGTAGTTTAAATCGTGGAGCGTCGACGGATCTTTTGGGCCTTAACTCGCCGACAAATGCAGCTCCTGCATTCGGCGGCGGTTTTGAACAGCAGTCCCAGGCGGACTCTTTATTGGACGTTTTTGGTTCTCCATCAGCGGTTCGTAATGGCGGAATGGTGAATGGCAATGTGCAAACTGCCAACGATACAAACGTGAAAAAGTGCGTTGATATTTGAAAGTTCATTTGGCATTTATTGCTTGCCTTCACTTGGCTAACGTGATTGTGGTGTAAAAGATATGCTAATTGTTAAAGTAAGGTGATGCGAAAATTATTTGCGTACATTTCTATGGTATGTTATTGTTCAGAAGCGCATTCATTACAGTAATTGTTTCGTATTGTATTTTTGTTTACAGGTTTGTTTTCCGGACCTCGGGTGTGATTTTCGAAAACGACCTGATACAGATTGGCATAAAATCGCAGTTCACCCAGGCTCAGGCGACTGGCCAGATAGAAATTTATTACGGCAACAAAACTGCGAGTCCCTTTTCACAGTTTACCGTGCAGTCGCGAACGGATGATTCCGAAGGGCTCTTGCTGCAGATGAACCAAATTGGGCCGGTGGTGCAGGGCAGTGCTCAGGTCAAACAAGTGCTTAATGCTAAATGCATGTCACCGTTCCGTGGACCACCAGTCGCTGTTGTTAATTTCGTGTAAGTCGCTGTAAAAAATTGTGGATATGTTTTTGGAGGTGTTTTGACCTTCTTTCGGCTCACGGAGATTGTTGTGAGGAAACAGCAATCATCGACTATTGCAGGTGCAACAATCATCCCGTGTCCATTGAATTTGCAGTCCCGGTGTTCATTAACAAGTTTTTGGACGGTGCAGCCATGGATTCGGAGACGTTTTTCGCTCGTTGGAAGAAACTGAGCCTGCCGGCTCAGGAAGCGCAGGACCAGTTCTTCGCAAAATACCCCATGGATACCGCAGTTACTCGAGAAAAAGTACATAGTGACTACAAATTTGATAGTCCTCGTTGTGTAACCTAATGTAACGTATGATTTTCGGGTCGATATTGTTTAATATTTAATACTCTAATATATGATGTTTTGTCACGAGCAGTTAAGTTCGTTTGGATTTGCCGTTATGCCAAATATCGATCCCAACCCGGAAAATTTTGTGGGAGCCGGTATCGTTTACACATCTGCATTGCAAGTAGGCTGTCTACTGCGGTTGGAACCGAGGCGGAGTGACAACAAGTACCGGATGACCGTTCGGACCAGCAATGAGGTGGTGTCGCAGAGCCTTCTTCTGCTGCTGAAAGATGAATTTTAACCTGTTTTAATTGTCTTTTAACCCGGCATTGTGCAAGCAGAATATTCGTCAGTGTACCATTCCAGGTGGGCGTTTCTGTGCGTACCTTTTTTAACGTGATTTAGTACGAATAAAGATTTTGCGCCTTTCTGATTAGGGAAATTTTGTCTTTGTTTGGAAACTTGAAGTCACCGTGCTTATTGTGTCGAAATGTCCGACAATTTTAACGCTGTTCGTGGTTTCTTTGAATTATTATGACTGTTGGACTCTTTCTGTTTAATTTGTAACTGACCAGTGATTTTTCCACAAGTGCACATCTGAACTGTGTACCACCTACAGTCTGTATGTTAATTATTGATTTTTTGTTGTAATTTATGCTTAATTCAAATCCCTGTGCCGTTTTTAATAAAGAAGTCATCGTGATCTTGGAATAAGATACTGGCATGGAACTTTGCGTTTGCCAATCACTTACAGAAACCAAAACAAAGAAAAAGCGCAAAACCAAAACAGATAAAGTTAGTAATAGTCTATACATGGGAGGACGAGGAAGGCCTACTGCAGAGTGCAAAATGCATTAACAGTACGTAATGCCAGTACAAACTACTACGCACAATAAATTGTTACATTTATTTTAATACTGTACAATTGTATATTCTATAATTATAATGTTTATAATTAGCTGTTGTTTTAATGAGTGTGTTTCGATGTATGGGAGCTAATGCTTTACAGACAGGTATTATACTCGTAATTGTGCTATCCAGCTGCAATAGCCAAACTCCATTTAGCCAAACACCATCTTCCACCTCAGGCTAATTTATTTTTTTGCAAATTTTGAAAATGTAATACTTTTGTGGTTTGATGAAAGTTATACAACTAGTTTGATCAAGTTATGCTCCATATTTACTTATTAACACTATACCAAATTTCGAATAACTCTTCGGTTTTTCCATACATTTCTGGCTGAGCTAACCTATAAATGCACTGTTTGAAGTATGTTAAAACAGCCAAATATTACATTACATTATTACTGTAAATATTACATGCCAATATTTACAGATCATGATTTGCAATACTCCGAAAATTACTAGTAAGTACTGTATTGTATCAGTAGTTTTGTTGTACTGTAATTAATAAAATATTATTAAGTACACTGTAAACACAAGTTACAACTGCTTACAGTTACGAAATTCTTTCTAACGCAAGTGAGTCAAAACTCCAAAGCTCCCTGAGTGAACATTTATATAGAACCACAACAGTAACTGACAAAAGCCAAACCTAATGTTAAAGACAGGAAGATGTGCTTGTTCTTAATTCAACAAATACCAATCACTAAGCCAGTTCAACAACGGAATTCCACGATATTTCTTGCAAGTCCACAGGAAGCGTTACTAAATAAAATACTCAACAAAAATTCAATCAAGTGTCAAGTGTAGTAAAATCCGAATGATCTCGTCCACTTTCACTTCTGTTGCTTTTAACGAAGTTTAACGACTTCCCAACAAAAAACAATGTGAAGTTAGGTAATTTATGATCGGGATCGGCGACGACGAGGCGATCGGCTCCGAGACCTAGAACGCCTAAAAACATAACAATGAAAATCTTTTACGTGCGGTTTTCATGCGCGAAGTAATACCGAGGAGACCGAGGTGGCGGCGAACGATTTCGCTGGGTAAGGCTGAAGTCCACTCGAATACGACGATCATCCAAAACCATTCCGTTGGCCCCATCACGAGCCTTTAACAAGAAAACGCAAAATTTAATCTGTAAAACTGTCGGCTAATGCATACTGAAAGCAGCATCTTTAGCTTACAGCTTTCGCATCTTCCAAGTGCGCGAAATATACAAAACCAAACCCTCTTGAACGACCAGTCTGCGAAATGAATACCGTTAAACAATCAGCACGGTCAGTACGATCACAGAAAAATCGCACACTACAGCTATTGCACTATCGTACCTTATGATCGTGAATCAACTGGACGTTATCCAAAAGCCCGTATTTGTCGAATTCATCTCGCAAATCCTTTTCCCGAGTGCGGGTACTCAAACCGAAAACGCCAATGCATTTACTTGGCTTCGGGTTATCCTAAATTGTATAAACACGCTGTTTCTTGAAACAGTAGACCAGGATGGTGCGGAATACACGCGGTGCACGAAGTATACTATTTCTTATTGCTTGCATACGCATTACAATACAGTATTTATCGAATCGCACATACCCTTTCGGAATACCGCCCATATCGCGGGCGCGGCGGAGGGCTGCGGCTACGACGCACAGGACTCCGTCGGCGCGGGCTTCGGCTACGCCGACGCTTCTCCGAGCGGCCATTACGATCGCGATCTCGATGACGACTTCTGTCAAAAAAAACTAGAAACTGATCTTCTGACGAAATAAAATATTCTTGCAGCGCAGCGTCACGATAACTTACCCACTACGCGAACGACGCGGACTATCATCCGATCTGCGCCGAACACAAACAACCATCAATGCAAAAACTAAAAAAACAATTTCAGTAGTCTCACCTAGTGCGCTTTCCTTTGCGCGGCGAAGGGGAAGGTGTGTGACTACGACTCTTTCGTACAGGACTATCCTTACGGCGTCTGCGCTTCGGGCTCTCCTCTCTAAAAAGCACAACAAAGCGTCACCAGCGGTGGAAAAAGCCGGGGTAACAATGGCCACCCACCTGGGATTTCCTTTCTTAATGTCAACATCCACACGACGGCGTGAGTCATTTTCACTGCGGGCCGATCCTACCGACTCCGAGCGTCCACTGGGCGAACTGGTCTGATTGCGCACCAGTCGGCCATTGTCGTGTTCATGTCGTTCGTCCCCGTTATTTGTGGATTCATCAATGATCTGGTCCACTTCCTGATCTCCACTGCCCATCGTATCATCGCCTCTTTCCTGCAATGCCAAAACAGGGAATCAGAAAGTACCAACTAGACTGAGATTCGCGTCGACGCAGTACGTCATATGCATGCAAGACTCATAGATCCATGGATACTATATTGTCACAGTAACAATTTCGATACTATGAAGTATCAACCATAAAGGCATAAACAAACCATTAATTCACCGTCGGCTTCGTGGTAACCCAGGGCGACAGTACTTACTAACACTCGAAATAAGCGAAAGCGCTTTTTCATAATAACACCGCACTATGAAAAAATTAATAAAAACTTCCAATAGGTAATCCGTAATCGTGAATCGTCTAATACTTTATATCGACTTTTTATTACGAGTAGTTACAGTAGTAACTTAAAATTAAACCAGCTGCCGCAGTTAACTTCCAATAGCCAGTATTTCCGCAACACTGACTGTCTGACGGTATGAAACATGCAGAAAATCAGGTAAAAAAGACCATTTTTCTCCAGATTTATAAGCAGCAAGCTATTCAATTTTTAAATGACTCATAAATATGTCTAAGGCAGGATTCGATAGAAAAATTACGGGCAATATCGAAAACAAAATCACAAAATTAACATATTCATACCGCTTCATCGGGAAGAACTGTTTTCACTGAATGAATTTGCTTTGACTGTGACGGTCACTCTTCTGTTCGTTTCGTTCGTTCAGTTTGCTTTCATTTTCGTGTTCTTCCCTCTTATCTTTTCTGCGATTTCTGACGTAACATACCTCCAAGGACTCCATAACTGGAAGCAAAGGATCTGCGTGCAGCTTACCCTTTATTGGCAAAAACAGCTGAAAAGGCACAAAGGAAAACAATTACTGTAACAAAAACCTGACGGCTAAATCAGGTGAAATTCTCCACAGGTAAGATAGTCCGCGGCAAACTCAAACAATACCGGAATCGTAGTCGTTGCCAAGGCACCTCATTAAAGGGTTTTTATCGAAAGCGCAGTCCCACGGAAACAACAATCACAATTCTACAGCAATGATGAACACACTGCGGCTTGCATTCACGAAACTTTACACACAAAAATTGTACCAACTCAAATCCGATTTGAAGCTCACACGTTGGGACAAACAACTGACCAGACTGAAAGTTTCGATCAAAACGATCTTGGAGAGTTCGCGCTAAATCAGCTAAATGAGAAGTGTTTCGATTTAAAATCGAAAATTCCAAATGGAAAAATCGTTGGTTGTTAGTTCGCACCAGCCGCTTTCAGACTAAAATTTTTGGGCGGGCCATTTTTGTCATTGGTGCGCGAAAAACAGACGCTAATTATGATTGGCTAACCAAGCCATCGCCTGCGGTAGCGGCGCTCTTTGACAGTAGAAAAGGACTAGTTAACGTTAACAAAACCAGTAAATGCCAGCGACTGAAATTAAAACTTTAACCTTGACAGTTATGGATTTCTAATTTTTATTCTATACTTGAATTAATAAAAAAATATTGAGAAAAGAAAAGGAACGGAGGATTCGCAGCCGGCAGCTCCCTGCCAAAATGTTGAGCTGTTTTCAAAGACAGAGCCCAAGGGTTTCACCGTTCCTGACGGCAGTCTTATAATACTTACGTACTGCATGTGTTTGAAAATCTGGAGAGGCGGCCGAGCAAGGAAACACTTTTTTGTGGCCCTAAAAATTAAGTTTGGATTCCTTTCTCATAATTGTCAGGTTTGTTCTATACGGGAGAAAAGTTCTGTTTACTCGTTAAAACTCATTCTTAGTTTTCTGCTTTTTAGAGGTTTTGAAAAGGAACCGAAACGGGAAACGCGGAGAATAAGGTGAAAATACGAACTAGGAAGGTTATTGTAAGTACTTATAAGATTATGAATAAATTTTTAACTATTTGTTAGCTAGTTGAATAGTTAATATAATATTTTCAACATTTCATGGATTTACGATTTCTATGGTTTGCCGCTTGATATCGTAGGATTTGCTGGTATGCTGTTATACATTCCATTAAAAGTGACGTACTTTAGATTATAGCTTGAATATTGCTGCTGAGCAGATGGGGTCTTGCAGTCTTGCTGCTCTGGATCTTGCACTCTTGCTGCTTTCCCTTTGTAAAACGGTCCATTAATTTCATTCCATCGTTACAACTTGATGTCGTGAAGTGTTCCTCGTTTGTTGTCTTTTTGAATCTTGGATTGTTGATCTATTTCACTCTTTCGCAGGCTGAAGTTTGCAGAAGACACTAGTATCAGCCACAGCTACAATGTTTGAGAAATTCTCGTACTTCGGAATCGGAGAGTATCCCCCGGAATACGTCCGAAAAGTGCATGGCCCGTATGATCCTTCGCGGTATTACGGAAAGCGTGAGTACAGTACAATGCACCTGCCCGACACAATATTTCTGAAACGATTACCAAGATCGTTGCGATATTTTAAGAAACGATTATCGGATGACGCAAAGGTTCATTTCGCTGTGATGTTTGTAGCTGACATGCCACTGGCACAGGTGAAACTTAGCGAACTGCCAGCATGGTTTGGTCGGCGCAGTTTTCATCCGTTTGCCATTGGGAGAGCGCTTTCCCGCGGTAAGCTGCTAATTAAAAGGTGTATTATAAGTGTGAGATGTTGGGTGACTTACGATTGTTCTCTTATTTGTTATCTGTAATACTTGCTTTCTTGTTGTAGCATACTGGCGCTGGCAGCGGAAGTACATCCATGTGCGTTATGGCACGGCCGCCCCGCTGCTGCAGTTCGTTGTAGCCGTCAGCGCCTTTTCGTACCTCCTAACCTATAAGTCACTACGTGAGTGTAAAATACTCCAATTCAATTAGTATAATATTTACAGAATATACGTAAATAAATTAGTACAATATTCATGCACTCATACCGCATGAGTTTAAAATTTCTTTCAGGACACCATAACCATGCCAAATATCACTGAAGGTCGAACATTAATTGGCCGATGGAGAGTTGTGAAGATTTGTTTATGTGCAGTGAGGTGCTTGACCAATCATGGAAGTTTAAAATTATAAGATTCGCGGGGTTTTGTGTCCAAGCCCCAAAGTGTGTTTAGACAGTGTGTTGATTTTTGGATTTTGGCTTTATGAGTTGAATAAAACCACCAAAGCATATGCGTTACAAATCTGGTTGGTTGTTCCGTTTATCGGTAACTCAAGTGGTTTACCTTTACGGTTAATGGAGCCCGAAATCTTTTGGACATTATTAAAAGTCATTTTTACCATCTTGGTTTCCTTAGTAATGTTGTTTGGTTTTGGCGGTTTTGCTGAAGTTCGAGCACATTAATGATGTACCTGCCCTGCAATGGTAGATCCAGTGATCAGTGACATTACGCTGTAATTGCTTTACAAAAAAACAGAATGCCCTTCTTTAGATTTCGCAAAGCACAATTTGCAGTGATTTTGCACTCGCAGTACGCGCTTTAGGTTAGCAATAGTTTCTTACCGTTTTACTGCTTGAGTATATTCCGGGTATTTGCTTTTCTAATTACCCCGGTAAATACAACCGGCTGCCGGCATCAGTCCTTTGCAGTTTGCGGGAGTAGCAACGGCACGAAGGCTCGAAGTAAATTATTACCTAACGTTTTATTAATAAGTGGCACAGAATACAAATCAGTACACATATATGAGCAAACCAAACAGGAAGCAGCCACACAAAACTTAATAATTATAACAATGTCAGAAGGAGCTCATTTTTAACTTGTTTACTCCATCCGTTGTTCTCACAACTGAAGCCGCATTGAGCCAATAATGATATGATGGATGACCTTCCACTTGGTCCCGGCTTGAACCACAGGTGACAGGTCCACAACACCCAAAAGAGCTTGAACTCAAAGTACTTCAATGTAATTAATTTACTTTATTATCATGATGAGCAGTCACACCCAGATACTAAAACACTAATTTTGCCCGAATGGGCATAAAGCAGAGTATAGCGTAGATTCACTGTAGAATCGGTCCTATGCACTATGTACAATACAATCGTGCAAATCCATTATCTTCTTCCCTAATGACCAGTATCACTTGCTCCTCTCAGTCCTCTGGAGTCTAAATGAAAATTTATGTGTCCGGCAGCTGTCAGAATAGCAAGGAAGTTTGACTGAGAATCCACTTAACGCAGGGAACACTGTCAAGAATCCAAGATTTACCGGTTAGTTATTTTGGTATACTTTCTGTACTCGTACTGGTACTAACATTACCGTACTTGTATTAGTACAAACTGTACTCGTACAGTCGTACAATATCATGGTGAACTATAAGGGGGGATCCATAAATTACGTACGCAGCGAACCAGGGAGGGAGGGGTCCAAAAAGCGTGACAAGCTGTGACGGCCTCGACGAACCCAGGGGGGAGGGGGTGGTCAGCTCCATATATTACGATTGAACGAACCAGGGGGGAGGGGTCAAGCAAATGTGACGGACCGCTACGAAGGGGGAGGGAGGGGTGAAAAAATCGTGGTTTTCTGCGTACGTAATTTATGGATGCCCCCTAAACCTAAATTCAACTTAGTACTTACTTAATACTGTAATGATCGCAAAACTCATCAGTATTCTGGATAGAATGCACCGGCTGTTCTTTGTTCTTCGACATTAGTTATTCGGGCTGTTCAAGGCAGTTTTCGGACTTGTTGCAGACTTGCAGCATAATATCATTCTTCTTAAGTTGCTCTGGTTCATCGTCTGTCGGCTTTCTGCCAAATTCGCCTTTACTGTTTCTCGCATTACTCTGACTTGACAGTTGACAGGTAATTCGACAGTAGTTTAATATGTGGTGTGGTTGCGGTCATTTCTTTGTCAGAAATTCCAGTGATCTAAAAAATTAGTCGCACTATCTTGCCACTTGCCAGCGTAACGATTCGGTTTGTCAAAAAAGTGCAATAGCTTTTTATTTCAGTTATGGCTGATAATGCTCAGATGGAAATGATGGCAGCCATGATGCGCTTGAAAAACGAAGTCGACGAAAAGGTAAGTTCGTCTCTTATAACATTCCATAGCTTCGCTCACTGTTCAAGAGTCAGGGCTGCCAAAATTAAAGAATCCCCACAGTGAAGTAAATCACTTCTTGGATATGTTTCTGCGCTTTCTCCTATTGTATCACTCGTCACTCGTTGAGCCATTGCTAGTCGCTTTTTTATGAATGCTGTTATCTTTCAGAGGAAGACCACACCCAAATCGGAGCTGAAATGTATCAATTGCCACCACCATCCAACTGTCTTCCACAACGAAAACGCTCGAAAGGAGTTCGAGGAAATTTCGCAGATATGCGGTGCTTGTTGGGAAGTGATCACGCTGGAGCCTGACGCGACGAAGAGCGACATCGAAGCGGCTGAAAACATTCTCAAACTGCAGAATCGCACCTTCCACTACAAGCCGCGCGGATGGACTTGTTTGACGTGCAAGAAGCGACTGAATCACCAGTTCATGCAGGATAAATGCGACTGTATTTCATCTTGAGGATTATTTCTTCGATACGGGTTAGCCGGAGGCCCGGAACCATGATTTGTACTGGGATTCATCGTTCCAAGTTTCTGACTCATTTTCAGCATTCTTTTCCTACAGTGTTTTTCTGCTATCCCTCTTTTTTGTAGTCATGCGGTAATTGTAGAACGTGCAATAGCCTGAATGGAGTAGAGCTTGCTTACAATTAGGCAAATAGAAGTTCAGTTGACTTTTGAACCAACGAACTTTGCCAAATGGACTTTCGTTTTGTACCAAATCTTGAGCTTTAAAATCTCGTCGGAAGTTGTATTATATTCTTACAATAATTATAAAAATCAGGCGCATAATTTTTTACCGTTTCTGCTTAAGTGTCACAGTAATGTCACTAATGTGTAAGTTTATATGTCTATTAGAGCAAGGAAATTTTAGTAAGCCATGAAATTTACTCCCCATTTTCCACAAATACTTTTACTTCGTAACTCATTTGTGAAGCTGCAGATTATACAGGAATGCTAGTAAATCAGCCAGGAACAAATTCCCGTCTTGCGTACATCACAAAAACATTCACCAGTAAATTCAGGACACATGCGCATCGGATGTTAGGCCTACTTAGCGGAAAACTGAATACAACTACAGTTAAGCAACAGCTCCACGGAAATATGCAAGAAAACCTCCGATTTCCGCTGTACACGACCTGTGATGAACACAAACCGAAGGGTTTATATGTCTTTATCAATACGATATGCACCGAGAAAAACTATGAAAGGGCTGAATCGGTTGCGACATTTCCATTCTTCGTGCGCGGTCCAAATATTCCATGGCCATTTCGTCGTTTCCCTTCTCGAAATACAATTCGCCTAGAGCTGCCCAGGCTTCAAAGCAAGTGGAGTCGCCCTGCAAGGCTTCCCTAAAGTGCCGCTCAGCCTCATCATCGTATCCTTCCTTTCGCAACATCCAGCCGATCTGGATATGCGACGGTGCATGCCACGGATTCACAGCGAGGGCGTTTTCGAAAAACCGCCGTGCTTCCGCGCATGGTCCCTTTGTTCTCAACAACACACTTCCCTGTAAGTAGAAAACGAGAAACGAAGGTGGACCCGCCATAGCAGCCTCCGACAAACAGTCAACTGCATTATCCGGCTGATCCAGTGACAAATACAACTCTGCCATCAGAACCCATATATGCAGCTGACTGGAAAATGCACGCTGTGCGTTGGCCTTTGCCAGATAACTTCCAGTGGTAGATGCCATTTCGGAAATAGTACCCTCACCACGCGGTAACGTCATGCCCGATTCGGCCCGATATGAAAGCGTATCGGCGCGGTCAACACTTCCTCCTCCCGGTCCGGAAGGGGAAATTTTTGGATTGGCTACAGTCAGACTGTTGTTGGGAAAAGTCAACGGAAGCGGGGAAAATTGAGCATTATACGCCAAGGGAGATACTGGATACGGCACTTCGGGACTAGTTGTGCGCATTCGTTCCCTTTCAGCCTCTCGCAGGTCCTTTTCATACACGGCCTTCCAAGACCACAATAAATGCCGACAAGATTTCAAGGCGTTTTCTGCACCTTGAATTTTCGCCTGCAGTCGTATTTTGGTTAATTCGATTTCCACGTCTTCGGAGAATTCTATTTCACATTTCTCCAGGACCGATAAAGCGTCTTCATAACGATGAGAGCATGACAGTATGAGAGCCAACAAATGATGAGCCGGCAGGTAATCCATATTCATTCTCAGGCACTTTTTAATCTGGCGAAATGCATCATCCATCCTACGATCCATACAGTACTCCAGAGCCAAATGGTAATGAATCAAGTAATCACCGGGATCTTCAGCCTCCGCCTGAAGGAGATAACTAATCGCTTTACCTCGCGCCAGGGCTTCCTGCTCGATATCACGGGCTCTCAGGGCTTTCAGCGAATGCGCCACTCCCAGCACCATACGAGCTCGCCCAGTATGCCGTGATTTCTCGGGCAATTTCGCCATTTCTTCGGCATAAAAAATTCCCCGGTCCAACAATGATAAATTATCTAAACAGATTTTTGACGCGAAAACTAATAGTGTTCGGTCTTTTGGCATGAACCGAAAAAACTGTTCAATAACATGAAGCGCCTTGCCGAAATCATTTTTCACAATCAGACTCATAGCGAACTGCCGCCAGATGTGCTGTGAATTTGGGCAGGATTTCGCCGCTCGTTCCAAAAACGGTATTCCCAACGAAATGTGGTGCAGTCGGCTGAAGGCAATTGTTCCTAGGTCACCCACTGCCGTGGCACTCATCAGTACCAATTTTTTCGAAATCGGATCTTCCAATGGGCGACTGGCCAAATCACGAACGATTATGGCTTCGCAGATATACAGAAGCAGTACAATCTCTTCTAATATGGCCAACGGGATGAAACTGCCGTTGAGGAGGTACTTTTTGGGACGAGGAGCGGCGGATGTACCGGCAGCACCCGTTGAATATTTGCGCTCAGTGGAACGGGGCCCAATATAATGAATGCCCAGATAGCCCCGCAGCAGCATCTCCAATAACTGGCGGGCCAATGTTAGCCGCACTTTGCGGGTGCTGGGGCTCTCCATAGCCCGCAGTGACTCTCGGAAGCGAATCAGTGCATTGGACAACATTCCATGTTTTGCGTACATATTGGGCGTTCTTTTCAGTGCACTTTCCAGAAGATCACCGAGCTGAAATGGTGTCAGATCACCGGTAAGGCCGAGCGATTCCCGCACGGAGATATCCATTTGTCCGCAGGACAAGCTCAGATCATTGGCAATCTCGAAATTGCTCATTATACGCTCCACTTCTTCTCGCTTCACTTTACCGTTGGTCGTCAGCGCTGTCGCATTCTTCCACAAACAACACCCTTTCAAGCAAAACCCTTCGGCTATAGTTTTCAGGTTGCGCCGATTGGTCTCATGGGAAATGTCGATGTCGCTAATGTATCCTTTATCCAGGCTGATATTACACTGCTTGAAATCATCCAGTAGGAAGTACGTTTTCCCCAGAAGAAACCATCCCAAGCGTACCGTCTCCGTCTGCAGTAAACAAAAAACAAACCATGTCAGAACATTGCAATAATAATAGGAGAACGCCAAAACTATGTTGGCAAAGAGTAACCCTTACAGGCAACGGAGTTTTTAGCAACTGTGTGAAGAGATTCTTCACTTCAACTAAAGCTTTTTTAGACTCATCCGGAACCACAGTCAACTGCTGCGCGCGGAGGAAATCCACAATTTGCTCTAATCTCGCTTCGGCTTGATAGAAGCTCACAACAGGATCTGCAGCAAACAGTAGCGATAAACCAACAACTTTATTACATATTAGAAATAACAGAAATTAACACCAAACGCAGTGCAGTTCTAACTATTACGAACCGAAGGATGAGTGGTGTGCCTTTTGATTTTCCGACGCCAATTCCAAAATCCTGTCCCACAGTCCTTCCTGGCGCAGTTTCTCCAGCTCCGCACGAATTGGTGATTTTATGGTTGTCAGTGGTATATCCGTGCGAGCGTTGGCAGGCTGCACGGGAGGAGGCATTTGTGGAAATGGACACTTCAGATCATCAGCAATCCTCAATTACTCTCCGTCCGGTGCCATCCAGCAGCATGCCACAAGAGTGAAAAACATCACGCAGGCTCATTAGTGAACTGCAAAGGGACAATCTCTCTTGGATTTAGATTTCAGCGAATCAAATCGCGCGTAACCCGCGAAGAAAAGCAGGTTTGTTGAATACAAGAGTAACAAGAACACAAGACAAAAAACAATCCGGCCGAACGAATCAATAAAGGCAAATGAAATGCTCATATAAAAATTTCAAACAAAATTTTAATTAGGGAACCAGCATCGATAGTTTTATACCTAATTTATAATTTAAAGCTACCAATAAAACATCAGCAACCTTATCAGAATTCACAGTTGACAATTCATAACCGAAAATTAAAGTGATAATTCTAAGCAGTGCTACAGGCTTAAACTGAGACACTCACCATTAATCAACATCACCTGTATAAATTCCGAATTACCCAAGGAGAATATGAGATACAATTAAAACGCATAAGTAACGGCATCGAATTTAAGTAATCTTCAGTTCCGTCCGAACAGTGCAGGCCCTGGCGATGACTTGGAGCCTGGAAGGTAAGTGCGTACTGTAAGTACATTATAATACACTCGGGCCTCCGCTGCTACCCAAACAGGGAACATTCGCCCGCGTGTACCGCAGGCAGGATCGGAAACTGGGAGAGTGGGAATGTTATAAAAGTAACCGCCTCTTGGCGCAGCAAGCACTTGCACTTGAATGAATCAAAAAGAATCGTTTAATGGTTCGTATTGAGTCTATTGATGAATACGCCATTAATCACAAATTTTTGTTAATTTTTCATTTTAGATAATTTGATTTTTAACTATTATGGACAACAGATTTACCCGGCTTCAGTTTTTTTAGTCTATGGATCGTCGATAACTCCTTACTCCTTCATCCTTGTAAGTCGGAAGTCAAAACCATCATACTACGCGTACATGATAATTATGGTCGAATTAAGTACAGTGCTGTTGCAGTGACTGAATCCTATAGAAGTACTGATTTTGCTGCTTGCAACGTAGTTTTTGCACTGTGACCATAACAGCGTGCCCGATTAATAATTCAAATTAGACAAGGTGTTTATATGAAGTATTTGCGAAAACAAAGTCGAGGAAATCTTTGAACTCCTGATTTATCTGCATGCAGCATATTTTTAAACTGGGCGTTTGATGTAAACAGGTTTTCGGTTCGCGCTACTTGCTCCGTGAACACTGAACTAGACAGTTTCATGGCTCCAAAGCATTTCCAGTTTTTTGCCAGAACTGTTTTAGTACGGGACGGAAAAGTTGATGAGGCCGTGCGCGCTTTAAACAGGTCAGTAAGTGGACATTACTTGCTAGGAATGTCTTTACAGCGATTTTTATGGATAGAGTTCTTGGGCACGAGAAAATCTTCGACCTGGTACGCAGAAAACGCTATTACGAGAAGCCCTGGCAGACTCGTCAGCGCTTGTGTTTCGAGTCATGCAAACGGATATACAATGATGACATGTCGAGGAAAATAGAATTCCTTATGCGAAAAAATCGAGTGGATCCTTGGGTTGGGCGTGGATGATGTTTGACATTGTGTGTTGTCACTGTTATGATTGTTTTATTGTCCGACTAATAACGCGATTGCGGTGTTGAAGTGTATGTACATTACGTACGTTTTCCCGGCAGATGATGCAGAATCGTTGCCGTTCTCCGTTACTGGAGTAGACTTCTTTGACGCCATAAATAACTTCTAACCAGTAAGTTTACTACAGTAGATAAGTACGATATATTCATTGTCCGTTCAATACGACATGAGGATTTTCGTGACTGCATGCTAGTACAGTCTTGTACAAACAGTACAATCACAAAGACTTAGTGACAAAAAAACTGTCATCTCAGTATGCTTGTGATGAAAAAGATTTAAAGGTTTTATTCGTTGTATAAACTGCAGATTACTTAATAAGAAAGAGCACGTACATAAACTTTTATCTAAAAATTACCACATCCATCTTAACACTGGTGATAATTAAGGTACAAAACCCGTAACCCTGCACGTTAATAACCTGAATGCGTCTGCATCGAACTCAGCATTTACAACAAAAGAATTAAGTAATGTGGACGTCACACTCGCAAAGTAAATTCGCTGGCAACAATCTTTGCTGGTTGGAGGGAACTCAGGGCCTGCCGGCCGGGTTCACCTGCGAACATACCCAACGCGTAAGAAATCAGTTCAGCAAGGTCAATTTAATTCCTACAGAAAACGCAGTAAATATTATGGAGCGGATATTGGGAAGTTTTACCACAGTAGTTCTATTACTGCACTGCTCACCTAGAGATACCAACACTTCCTTGGCCTCGTCCTTCACAGAACTGGAGGAATCAAACTCGATCACATGAATCAGTTCTTCCACACACTCTGTGGCTTTCAGTACGCCCAATGCGCGGCATGCGCCCCGGCGGATTTCCGTGCGATCGTCTTCCAGTGCAGTAGAATATGTTCGTAACATCCAGTTGCGTAAAGAAAGCTCACCGTGGCTCGTCATAAGAAAATCACCTACAAAGTGATACCATTTAGAGATTATCCAACAAAAAAATACAAGCACCGTTGTAACTCACGAGCAGCAGCTTGAACATCCTGATTGTCGTTCAGTAAACACACTGCAATCTGCACCGCGTATGCAGCATCCACTGGTCGGCCTCGTAAGCTGCGTAATGTTTCCACTACTTCATTGATGTCCTTGCTTTGCAATGAACCAAGCACTTTCACTACCAATTAACACACAAAACACGCGTTCTGAGACCATTGATTAATTAATTTTACTTTCGTTCAAATTGCTACTCCTAAAAATATTCAAATGGCCCGCTATTAAATATGACCCCCATCTTAAATAACTTTTCCCAAAACTGATTTTCTCTCGGCTTTTTTGGATGTACTGGTCTACTGATACAGCAAAACGTAGTCTAAAGTCTAAACATCACATATTACATGGTTAACCATTTTTTGAAATTGGTCAAATTGCGTCGTCAGCGGTGAAAGCACTATGACCAGGCCATATGAGGCACTGCACTACAGCCGCCATGGCTAATAGTCAGCCATGTTTTGTGCGAATCATTTCTCATCACGCACTCACACTAGGCACAAGGAAACGCTTCAACATTTTGTTTTCTATTACGCTACGAAAGTACTTTCTATTTTAAAGCCAAAAAATCAAATTTTAAACAACAATACCAAAAAAGCCGGAAAGAAATCATTTTCAGGGAAACAAATTCAAGGTGGGGCACTGAAAGGAATATGGTCTATTCACCACAGCGGGCTCGAATCACGAATGGTTTTATGATTCACCAATTTTCTGAAACAGTTTACTATCATCATCGGATACATACGGTCGTTGCAAAACTTCAGCAACAGAGCCTCCACATCCCAGTGGTTATCCGCTTTTAGGAAAAAAAGAAAATGAAAGACGGTGACAATGGTTGACGGATCGTAGGCCGGCCTGTCTAACATCTGGCAAATTAACAACTCCAGCACTATAAACATAGAAAACGATCGATGTTTCCGGTGCCTATCTAACATGAGTCAGTAACCTCACAAAGTTCAAATTGTATCACATAATCACTCACCGTCCTGACGCTCGGTCTCAGTAAACGTTTTCAGGAAATGAACGTAGCGCGCCTTGAGCTGCGTAACAACAGAGTCGGCAGATGTGTTCAAGTAGTGCCCACCGGCACATTGTTCCCACAACAGATGCAAGCGCTGTTTTTCGGTTATGTCACGCATTAATGTTGTAAAATCATCCAGAATAACCGGATCTGCAATTAGCTTGACGAAAATTTCCAAAATATCCGTCTGGGTCTGTAAATGACGAATTGCACGATTCTCCCCATATTTCAGCGGTCCGGAAGATCCAAGAGACTAATAAAAACCCGAAAGTAGACCTATGTTCGCACTTTAATGAGCAGCAAAAACCAATTCATGCTTACTTCAAGAAGAGTATCACAGTATAAGAGATGTTGAATAAGAGCCAAATCTATTTGCTCGCATCCGGATGAGGCGTTCCTCAGTGGGGACAATTTCTCGTCGGAACTTTTTAGATTATGTTCAAGAGATTCGATTCCAGAGTCAACTGTTTTCGATTTATGCCCTTCTGTATCTCTTTGGATGTCCGCGTTTTTTTGCCGTATTCCAGAAGACAATTTTCGGTCAACGGTTCTATAATCCAGCAACATAATCACTCCCAAGGTATCTCTACCAGATTAATTACTTACGTAATTTAAAATATGAAAGTAATCGACAACTAACGCTGGAATAACTGTTTGTGGTCAAAATCACTCAAAGTTTTTTAATATAGAGCTATGTCGTAAATTCTGATAATATTTAAAAATTAAAGATCCGGTCGACATACAAATATATAATCAAAGTATTAAATTTCGCAGTCAGCAGTTATTGTCTGTTATCTGTATTATCCCGAAATCATCATTATGCTATATTAAAGTAGCGAAATTTTAAAAGCCTATCAAATGCATCCATAATGCATAGCGCTTACCCGATATCAGAATCTTCCACATCATTTAAAAAATCAAAACAGTCCAGCGCACTTTCCACGGAAATACTCAGATTAGACCCTCTCGAAAAATGTCCGTTCTGCTCCGCTGGCTACATCGCAATACATAACGGTCCAATTTCTCACCATTCACTCAGTATGTATCAAGCACATCAACATACCAGAAGCATTTTCTCGATCCGTAAAATCTGTTCTTCCAGTTTACTGAGCTGTGGATAATGATCGCGAAACTCTTCCAGCGCAGTCATCACGGAACGAATCACAGTTTCAAGACTATTATGGCCAGACACTACTGACATGTTGGATGGACTAGAACTGCCATTACGGCTTCCCTCAGTTTTCGGGGAAGTAGAAGAACGCCGATCACTGCAAATACTCATGGTGCTGCACACTGAGTCACGTTGAGATAAGGCCTATAAAACCAAAGATCTAAAACTGAAACGATCAAGGCATAAAAAACAACAATAAACATGCCTGCTTCATGCTGGCGCTATGCAGACTTGGTAGCCGATCGCTGCTGGCAAAACTATTGACAGTTGACAGAGGTTTTTTCAGCTTGAAAGGCTCGGACGAAGCCTTCAGCATCCACGGACTCCATATGAAATCGTCAGCAACGCCATCCAATGGGCTGCAACAGCCGTATAATGCATTGCAAAATTACCAAATTCGCTATAACTTCAATTATCAAATCACGGAACGCTGCATGAGCAGTATGAATTAAATGCATGTGTATGCTCACTAAGCATAAATACGCGTTAAATCACTTTCGGAATAAACAGGTAAATAAAACATCTAACCATACGTATGCACTAAACTCACTTCCATGTTATAACGAGATTCAACTTGAGAGAACCATTGGAATTAAGACTAATGGTCATAATCTGGTGATGGGCGCTAAACAGATCCTTCGTCTCGCAATGTTTATTGCCCACAATGACACGATTTCCCAGTGTCCTAACTTCAGATGCCTGGTTTCAAGAAACGATGACAAGTAAACAATTTTTACATGCTTGTATAGTAATTGTAAGAGAACAAGACCGGCGCACCTTCACGTGAAGTATGTCCCCCAGTAAACTCTTAAAAATGACTGACTCGTGGTCCCATGTTTGCGTAGCGTCTTTATTAACCGTGCCGCGACTTTTCCACTTTTGCGGGCCATGCCGAATAATGATCTCGAATACATCACCCGGACAAAGGCGTGCAAAACCGGCGATGCCTAACAAATGCAAAAAAATTAAGCAGAGCTCGATGCAGTATACCAGTATCTTCTTATTAAAAAGCAAAATTTAGAACCAAAATTTTAGTCGAAAACCATTAAGTTAATACGTGCATATTTTTTTATGTTCAAATTTTAACTGTGAAGCAGTGTGCCCGCGCTTGAATTTTATTATTTTGATGGACATATTAATGATACTACGCAAGAATGATTTTGTAACAACATTTGCGTTTAAAATGTTACTTGTGACGCAAGTAACATATTATTGCAATACAAATAATGTAACATGTTATTACATTATTTTATCGGAAAATCGTAAAACGCAAATGTTTTTACAAAATCATCTGCTCAGCCAAAGTTGAAATATGTGAGGAAGTCCGAGAATAATTTATTTCTTTACCTTTTAGAACGTTTATGGAAAGCAACAATTTATGGAAAGCAACAGTCGTTGTGCATTTCAGACGCCATGCCAAGCAACAATGGCATGGCGTCTAAATGCAGACAGGCAGACTGTACTTTCTCACTGATACTGGTACATGCCTTTCATCCGCATTTCCAGGCTACCCATCATCTGCTCCAGCTGCGCCTCCAGAGCGCACATGTTCTGCGTGCATTCCTTATATCCGGCTTTGACTTTTCCCAAAGCACTGTCGCGCTCTTTTCCGGTTGACAGTCGGTATGCCTGCGCCATGCTTCGCACACCTATTCATAAAGCAAAACAAATAGGTACAGCATACATAATGGGCAAACATCAACATACTCTGAAGCAAACGGCACTGTAATATAACGTACCTTCTCGTAGTTTGCATTGAACCACGTAATTTTCGCTTAGCTCTTCCAGCTGCGAAACCACACAACCACAGATTGTTACATTCGTATAAGAAACTTTAACTATTCCTTATCAAAACTAACCAATACTATGCTTATACTAAAAGCTTTGAATGTGCTCATTCGAAAGAATGCTCAATCGAACTGTTTTACCTACTGTAACCAATTTCTGGAGATAATCATAGGATGATCGCATACCATTTTACAAATGGGTGCGAGGTTATAGAAAGAGCCTATTACAATCAAGGTGGTTATATCTCAAACCTCAACCATTTATCAGAATGTTTTCATAATCAAAATTCAGTCTAATGTCAGCATTTAGCGGATCAAAGAAAAAAACGTATGATTAATTTACTGCTCAATTCAAGTGTCACGCACGTCATCTCCTAGACTCACCTTGCTCAATTGCAGTTCCAGCCGTTTCAGATATCGATCAGCTGCTTTCAGTTGCTGCAATTAACCCATATTACTAACCCAATTAACCAGTCATACTTTGCTTACACACATGTGCACAACATATTCATCGCCGCTGACTTACTTGAGAATTCTGGATGCATATCCGTTCGTTTCCGCTCGTCAGTCCCTTCATATCGTCGTTGGTTAATAAAATGCACTCTCTAAACACGGATAAGGAATTTTTACAGCACAATAATTCCAAGCAGTCAACAAAGATATAATAGCGGCTTACTTCAAACCCGACCGCAATGAATCGATGATCGTTAATGCGCGAGTAGGTCGAGGCGTTTTAGGTGCTTTAACACTCTTCATTCTCTTATCCGCAGCACGATGTGCCAAAACACGATAATCTTGTCCTAATACCGTCGTTGTCGACTGCTGATTCATTGATTCCTTGCGCGATAAAGAACGGTTGAGAAATCCTGCAAAGGATCGGCTTCGCGATACACCGTTTCCTTCAGGAAGTTCAGGGAATTTTAAACGGCGACGGTCTGTCAGGGAGGACATTGCGGTTATAATCGTTCCTCATGGACCCTGACTGTTGTCAATCTATAATCACCAACATTATAAGTACACCCGTTTCAGCGATGCAAATTACTAGTATATCGCTGGAGTTCCGGGAATCACTCGGCAAAAAACAATTGACTCCTTCACTTGACCCCCACGGCTAATAACCGAAACTGAGCATGTCCAAGCATTTTCCGCATCGGCTACAGGGATATACAGCATGTTCTGATAGTGACATAACCAAGATAACAAATCCAATGTATGCACAAAAATGGACAAAACGAATGCTCGTGCCAAAATCAAGTGCAGTTACCTGCAGCAAATGACTACCATATTTCAGCTACATCACAAATAAAGTATCAGTTAAGGGGGTTCAAAACGACAAGCTGTTCGTATGATTATCTTCAGCTACGGTAGTTTTGATCAACAATTTCTACTACCGATAACATCGCAAGTTCATAACCAAATCCTATATTACCTCGTCTACAGTTGGCGCGTAATGTGACTGACGAACAGGAAATCGCGAATACTGAAAAAACTACAACTGACCAGGCTTCGAAGGCGAAAACGAACAATAACTAATCATACTATTAATAAAAAAGTAAAACCAGAATCATGAGTGAGCTGCATTAACAGATCTAGAGCTCGGCAACGTGGGCATCAAAATCTGCAACCCTCGGGGTATCCACGGCAAACGGCATAATATCTACGTCAAACGGCATAACTGGTTCCACCAAACGGATATTCTACACTTGCTGCGAATCAGGCTCCACTAGCCACAAGCCTTGGTGATCGAGACAAATTAAGAATAACTGTGATGAAATTATGAAAGACAACAGTCAATATAAAAATGTCAAAAAAATGTTTTCAAAAAGCCACACTATTAAAAGTTTTTGAAACGTATTGAGACTGGCAGTAGGCGATGGAGAGAAACACTGTTTGAACAATACGCAAAGGCCAAAACAACACCCGCTTAAAATTCGGTATGTACGTAGTTACACTTTCAGAACTTCGTACTCTTATATCTGTGATCAACTTTATTGGCAATAGCCACCCGATTAACAATAACTGCAAGCGCTGGTACACTACTTACAGTTAATAGTTAAAAATTAAACATGATTCTATATAAGCGCCGCAAGTGCCATAACTATTTCAACCAGAAAGCGGATTCAGAGGATCTACAGCCGCCTATCAGAAATCGATTGTAACAATTAATACTTACGTCACTCGCTGACAGAATATGTTCAGACACTATTTGAGAACCGAGTTTCCAGACATATTAAAACTCCATAAATTTTATGCATTCCAAACCTTTACCATGCAGCAGACAAAGGACGTATCCATGCTCACAAGCAGCTTGTTGTAATACATTTATTATCAAATTACTTAACGAAAGCAACAGACGCCGGTCGCTATGTCCAGGAGGAAAGCGAAATCATTCCATATGCATAAACAATTAAAAGCAACAGGTGCCTAAGGAGAAGAATCGCATTCTGAATGATAAAACACTCCAGACTGGCGCGTGTTCCTCGGACGAGCGTTCTTACCGGAAATGGTCATTTACAGCAGCAGTCGAACCTCGCCAGAGGGTAAACTGACCCTACTCTCTAGTAAACGCATCGTTAACCAAGACGAACTCGCAATATGCACAACAGCCCCGCTGCACAATCGTAAAAGCTACTGGCCTAATCTCGATCACTTTGCACAAACGTAGTATGATCAATCATAATTCGTAAATATTGCAAGCTGACCGGAGGAAGAGTTCATGGGGAATTACTAATCGCTCGAAAGTCAAGTGTGTGCATTTTCGAACCAATGCGCAGATTGGTATCACATTACACTTACGATGTTAGGACACTTGTAATAGTGATGATATTAATACGGTGCTGCAGTGAGGAATCAGGCATGTATTACCATGTCTACGACACTACGAGTATATGAAAAAGTAGTTAGTACTTTAATTTTACACTTGCTCCACTAACATAATCAAAGGAAAATACTGACAATCCACTATCTAAATACCAACAATTTAAAATACTTGAAACAATCCAAATTAATCACGAAAAACAGCCTGCTACATAAACTGCTTTACATAATCCAGCTGTAACATTAAACGTTAGGTACCGAATAGGACGTGACCAAATTTTGCACGAAACCGGTTTCAGAATCATATAGCTACGTATACTGGACCTATGTACAGTAATACCTGTTATAGTACCAACGAAGCGCAATTGTAATGTGTACCATCTTTATCCGACTGAGCAGACATCTACGCATACCACACTATGGTACAATTCATACTTCATACCGCTAGAGAGCAATTTCAAAAAGTAAACACAGATTTAAGACGACGGATGCCGACACCTTGATATTCAAAATAGCATTCGTCGGTCTTTGTCTTCACAAGGTGACAACCAGATACATAACGCCTGTAATGACAACAAATGTCCATTCAGAGGATTCACAGCATTAACTTATGTCCCAGCAAAAATGCGCAATCACAAGGATGCATGTGACTGCGAGCACGTATGTAAGTAATTAATAAGGGTAAGTTTAATTTAGTATTTACACACAAGCAAACCGAGAAAAGGTTCAATTCCAGAAAGTTAGAAGAAAATTTATCCATTAATCATTCTTGCAGTTTTACTTCTCTGATTTTTTAACCCAATAAATTATGGTATTAATTCTGGTTCCTCAACCTCTGCCTAATAAACACCAGCGAAGACTTTCGTAAAGACGGCATAGGTATTCAAAACTAAAAGATTTCCCATCGAATGTCTCGAAACAAACGCTAAAAATTTAGTTCAAGCTAAACCATTATTTTCTTTTCAGTGAGGAGCAGTGACCACAGCACACTGCAAACGATAAAAAGTACCTATTTGGTCAAGATATTTCTATCATACTTTTCCACGTTTTTTTACAGTAAAAAGGCAGTGTATTAAGTGCGTAGTTCATATCTGATGGAACTGCGATTTCAGTTGAAATTTAAATCATAGTTATTATCCATAAAAATTATAGCTCAGGCCGTTTTTAACGTAACAACTTGGTAAATTCATAAATAACCTTGCAAAATTCACTAACTAGTTAGCGCAGACCTTACAGCTTACAGGTTGGCAGCAAACTACAACGTACTACGTAGTAAATGAGGTAAGTAGTAAGTAATACTCGTACATGCTTCAAATTCACTGGCGCTTACCGCAACTAAAAGATCGGGCGTTCTTCATCCAGCAATCCAGATTTAGTGTTTTACAAACTACTGTAATCTGACAACGTGGAAAACAGATCAAAGCGCCGATGAAAAGCTTTTGAAAATTTAAGTTATAAAAAGCTGTTTAACACGTAAAGGAGACCCAGTACATAATTACACATACAGTATAGGTAAAATAACGTTTTTCAGCTTTTGGGTTGGCTGGTCGGGAATGATTAGTACCCGATGTTGTTTTTCTTGGCAGCTCTGCTGTGATTTTGTTATTGATGGCTTGAATAAAGATGCGGATTGGTAAAATAACGCTTCAGCGGAAAGAACGAGTAAAACGTAAAAGTAACATGCCGCGCTGTAATAGTAACATTTGCAGTAAATTATCAATTATGGCCCATATCAGTTCATCTTCTCACAAGGATCATATTGCGATTAACAAATCCACACGAGAGCATTTCTTTTCAGAAACTGGATTCGCATGAAGTATACAATATCATAAAAAGGTGGCAAGTTCGAATATAGAATAGTGAAGGAAAAAATTAAAATCTGAAGCGCTTCAGTGTTCTGTTCACACAAACAGTGACAATACCCCAATGCCTTACCTTAAGAAGAACGGTACCCGGAGGGGCTTTCAAATCCGCCCTGTAGGGACGAAATTGTACAGTCTGGCACGGCTGAGTGGCACGGATGAGCTGACTGGAGAGTACCGAGCAAAATTCTACGTTCAACTTTTTTCTCCCCAGTCATAAATAATCAAGATCTAAATGGAGTTCCAGCTGTCCAGTTTTCAGAACGACAAGTGTTAAGGACTTGTGATTATTAAAGCAGCGGTTGAGGCGTTATCAAATCCAAAACGGGCACTCAAACATCATTACTTGGGACATTTGGACTCATTCCTTCCATAAACTGAGATGTAAACCGTAAAGCATCCTTCAACTTTCACGAACATCTGAGATGAACACCATCTTATCTGCTCATGAAAAGCAGGTCACAATGAGAAAAAAGTATATGAATAACGGCTAACCAGAAAACGTAAACACTTAAAACAAAAGTATCAACGTCCACAAGCAATCCATCAAACGATCTTCTCCGTTTTTTTGAAAAGTTTGTCTCGGAACTGAGACTCATTGCGAAAGGGGATACTTACTAAATTAATACTTGTACAATACAGACCAGGACTTACAGTACTACTTATTACAACATGGTAGTCGCAGTGATTACCACTCGAAATCACAGTTCGTGCCATCGTGTGTTGTGGCGAAGTCAGTATGGGAACAGAGCACGTACGTTCTACGTAGTAGTGTAGGTGAATACGTATCCGCCTACACTACTACGTAGTACGTACTAGTATACTAGGCGTGCTGCGCGTATGCGCAAGTGCGGAAGTACGAGTATTTTACTTGTGGTGTGCGCTGTTGTAGACAGCCCGTTAGCAGCTGGCAGCAACCCTCCCAAATGGGCGTAGCTTCGTTTGTTGTCACACGCCTTGCTGCTGCAAGTCTCTAACATGTAAAAGTGAGTAATCATCAGCAGCACCACGTCATTTCAGTTCATTCCATTCGTTTCGGGATTGCGTGCTAGTTCGTGCAGCGGCTTCGCTTTCCAGTTTCTTTCTTTGAAAGTTCTTTGAGTCTACAGCTTGTGAATTCGCTGAATTTTTTCACTTTCTGTAGAATAACTGATTTATTTATGTAAGTCATTTTAGTACTATTGCTAACAGTTTACACAATATTCACTTAATGTGAGGTAATCTTTATAATAGAATCTATCTGAATTCTGGAAACGTTTGCGTGCGACGTGGTAAGCAGTGCTGCTGAGAGGCCTGATATGAGGTTCTGATCTGCTTCAGCTTATCCTGTGGTTATCTCAAAGCTCCTCATGCTCGATTTACCGCTTGCGATATTATTGCTTCCTATCATGGCTGAAAGCTAATTATTGTCAGCAAGAGTGTCTTGTACATCTTTAGAGTCTGGTTTTGAGTGATGTCTCTGAAAGACGGCCGCGGAACCGACATGGACGATCTCAGCAACATGGAGCCGATTGATAAGCGGTAAAGATGTTACCAATACTCAAACTTTATTTGATGATGGCTGTTATCCTGCATTTAGTGTAGGCAATGTTTTTCCATTTTCAAGAGTATTAGGTTGTAAACACAAGTGTTGGCTCCTAAATGGGTTTTTGGTTCTATGTTAGCTCTTATCAGTCTGCAACAACTACAACTGTTCATATATTTTTCTTTCCGGTTTTTTAGGAAAAGCGAGGAGGCCGATCATTCACAGAACAAAGAGGTGAAAACGATTAAATAATAATTAAATAACGAAGAAAAGGTTACCAAATTTCCCTAATTTGTAAAAAGCTACGAGGCAGTCACGTGATTTCTTGCATGATAAAAGCTCTAGAAAACATAAATGTGCTTGTTCTTAAAATTTCATGTAGAAATGTTTAACTGATAACGTTACTTTGGCTTGGTCTTACGACCAGATGGATCATATGCTTGCTCTTAAGATCTGGTGTAGAAATAAGTACCTGAAAACGTTACTTTAGCTTGGTCTTACGACCAAATGGCTCACACAGAAGAGTTTGAAGATTTGGTTTGTTTTACAAAGCATCGCCTTGGTTTAACTATTAAATTGCAGACCGCCAAGGATAAACGCGTGGCGTCCGCTAGTGCCTCTCAAATGGAAGTATCGCCCTACAAGAAGGAAGTGGAGGACGCGTTTCTGTGTAATTACAAAGATCTCTGCTTCATATGTGCCGTGTTTAGTGTTTGTTAAGTTGAGTTTGTTGAGCAGGCGAAGTGTCATTACCAATCAGAAACCTGCGTGCTCCTTCCGCTCAGCATCAGTCACGGATAATGTACGAAGATTACCGAGATGTCGTTATTGAGAGCCTGAAAAATTCCGACCCAAAATCTGCTCAGATTTCTCTCACTGGTGTGGTCCAAAGTCATGGCAAAACACGAGATGTTCTGATCCAAGAAGCAGAAAGCAGAATTTTGGTCGTGGAAATACTAGACGGTTTGTTTTGTTAACTAAGTTTATTAATATGGTGAAATGGTGACGTGAAGTGGTGTGTTTAGGTCAGCATCGTTTGGAGAGCATATTAGCTCTTGTGAAAGACTGCGAAAGCAGATGGACAATGGATTCTCTTGTTAAGGTAGATTCTTTTCACTTGATTTGCTCAAATGAACAAATTTGATTATAGGTTGCCATCTACGTGGACCTGGACGACAATCGGTGCTTGTTCTTATCGCGTGCACGTAATACGGAAACAAGCGTCCACCGCGAGGAAACCGTATTTGACACCCTTCGGTTGTTCCGAAAGATTTGCTACAACGCACAAAACATCCAGCAAGAAGCAGGTGACCTGCAGAAGACCAGCAAGCAAGTGCAGTCCGATAACAAGATGATCAGCAAAGTTACTGGAATTCCAGTGAGTAATACTTTTGAGCACTGGTCTCAAGACCAAGCCGACTTTTGCTAAGATTGTTTCGGCAACTTCTTGCTATGCGAATGATTTGGCCTTGAGACCAGACCTTAGGTTAGAGAGATTCAAAGCTAACGCAACCTGGTCCCTTTTCAGTTAAAGACGCTGCAACAATGTTCGTACAAATTCATCTACCAATGCGCACATCTCCCAGTGAAGACATTTGCGGTTCTTAACCGATTCATGGTAAAAGCCGATGCCGGAGAGATAAAGCACATTCCTAAAGAAAAAAAGTCGAGCAAAGGCATGGAAAGCGAGAAAAAAGAAATCGGACCTATTATTTTCCGAAGAATAAAACTGGGCTTGAAGACCAGTGAAATGATTGAGCGGGCGTTTGAAGAAATTATTGCAGAAGGAGACTGGAACAAAATTGAGAAATACGGTAGTAAAATTTTTTCTTGATTTTTTTGCTGTTTTTAAACGCCGATTTTGCAGTAAAAGAGGCAGCTGAGATTCCTGCAGAAGAAGATGCGGACGATGCTAAAGACCCAGATGAAACGCAGTCGGCTTCCAGCAAAAAACATAATCCTCATAAAAGACTGAAAGGATCTCCGCAACCTCCGGTCCCTTCGGATATGGCACCAGCCAATTCAAGCGACGTCTGTCATTTGAAAAGAGGTTAACGCAGGTTTAAGTTAACGGGTTTTTCCGTTTTGCAGGATTTGGCTAGCGCACGTGCAGAAGCCGCGGCACTAAAGGAAAAGCTGGATCACGCGCTTTCACAACTTGCAGCCGAACAAATTGATTGCCAGGTAGAAATTTGAGCGTGTGGCGCTAGATTTCAAATATTTTACCTGTTCTTTTGCAGAATTCTCGACTTGAAAATTCAGAATACCAGCGGGAAACTTGTTTGTTAAAGCTAGAACGAGCTCGAGTAAGCCGTTGCATGTGTGGTCTTAAGACCAAGTTCATATTTCGCACTTCTTTATTATTGTCCAAGTTCAAGATTTTGTGCGCCAGGTCTTAAGACCAAGGCTAACATTATTACGCTTTTTACAGCTGCACAACGTTGTGAAAACCCCCTGCAAGAACCTGATGATTTCGAAAATGCTGAACGTGTATTATGGCGGAAAAGCGAACTCTTCTACTGGAAAGTTTGACACCAGCGATTACGGTGTTCTTCAGCCAGGGGTTCTTGTATACTCAAAAGTTGGACCTGCTCAAATCGATCCGGCTGACATCTATTATGCGCCAGCCGATGCAGTGGAATCTGCGGATCCAGCAACGTCTACTTTAAAGCTTAACGGAAATTATTTTACAGATTTATTGTGAACGGGTCTTCAGTTTATTGATGTTTCGTCGAAATGGTACCGATACTTTTGTTTCTTTAGCGACGAGACCTGGTCTTGAGACCAAATGACTGTTTTATGTTAGCTTTTGAATTTTCGTGCCGACTTTTTTATGGTAAAATGCTTCAGCTTAAAGAATTTTTTGCTTCCTGCATTCAGATGCTGTTCTTATTGCTAAAATAAAGCAACAAGAGTTGCTGTCGCTACAGTCATTAGTTTACAATCAAGAGTTTCTAGTACATTTAGAACCATAACAAATTGCATATTAGTAGATTAACTCATACCTCGTTTTGCACAAAGTTCATTCAGAGCATCTGTACAGCACAAATGCCCACAATCAGGTTGAGTTTCCATACATCGCATGCAAGATTCTCTGTGGTAAAGATCTTGCCCGGCCAGGATATTTCTTATTTTAAAAGGCGATTTGGACGTCGTTGCTTCCCATTTCAATAAACCGCTCATCCAGTACAAAAACCCTGTTGAATCTCGCAACTCGTTTATCCCAGCTAAGACGTCTTCCAGATCTTTGGAAGCTTTTCGCGCTCCGTCTCCGTTATGAAAGCTGCTGCACCTTGATCCAACAAATGAAAAACTTCTCTGCGTCTGCTTCATCCAGTAATCCAGGCTGCACGCGTTTTGCCAAACAACTCGTTTCTTTCAAATAAGCACGCATTGTGTCAGCAAATTCGTGAACGCCTCTTCCCACCGCATTTGCGTCCTTGTGAATTTCTGATAAACAGCCAATAGTGCTTTCTTCTCGCATGCGCTCTTCATGGACTCCATTTTGGGTAGCAATACGGCGCCGATAAATTGATAATTCGTTTGTGTTAACCAAAAGCACTGTGAAAAACGAAGAATTTTCTTTGGTCTTTATGGGAGGTTCCCGGTCACCGTTCTTGAAATATTCCACCTGGTATCTTGAGGAGAGCGTTTTCTCTTGTTCCATAATTCGCACAATCTTCACCTTTACACGACCGGATAATTTCCGTCTTTTTTTGATGCGGACGCCAAATATACACATCGCCAACTTCGATTCGTATCTGCCTAGCCTTCACTGCTGGTCCGTAGATGTTTTTAAAAAGTCTTCGCTCTACATTTTCGATGACAGATGTCTGCATGCAAGCACGTCGGTAATGCAGCTGTTCCAGCGCGTGTAAAGCCTGCGACCGCAGCGGTTCTGGCAGATCATCTAGGTGTCGAAGGTTTTCTTCAGCCTTTTCATCAATGTCGTTTTCATACTGTTCCGTTGCATAAACATCAGCAAACTCATCATCTGGTGGCTCAGGCATAAGTCGTTTCAGCATACTGACGTGCTCCGCTTTCCATGGCACCGGATCCAATTCTACAACTGAAAGTGTTTGGTAGGTCTTGAGACCAGGTTGGGAAATCTTACCTATTCTTTCAAGGCTTAGCGCAGAAGCGTACCCTTTGTAGACTTCAAACGGCGTCATATTTGTGGAATTATGTAGTGTTGTATTCAATAAGTGCTGGACGGATGGCAAAAAATACGGCCATAATAAACCTTGCGTTACAGGGTCTAAATTAGCCATCATAAATGCAAGAGCTCGCTTCAGCTTTTGATTTAGACGTTCCACTTGTCCCTGTAACATTAAAATGAAGATTTTTTTAAAATCTAGAAATTTGAAAAAGACAGTTACCTGTGACTGTGGATGGTATGGCCTACCATGCACAAACCCAACGCTTGCATTTTCCAAAAGGTCTTTTACCAGCTTATTAACGAACTCTTTTCCGTTGTCACTCTGTAGAATTTTTGGACAACCTTCATCCACAAAAAAGGTTACCAACTGTGCATGAATTTCTTCGGCTGTCTTGTTTCTAATAGGAAACAAAAAACAAAATCGGCTGAAACATTCTGTTATGGAAAGAACGTAGCGAAACTGGCCGAGATTTGTTCGCATTTGCATTTCCGTATCGGGTGCCATATCAACGAGATCGATTTGAATTCGCTCCATCAATTCGAAGGTCCTTATGATTTTTGGCACATAAGGCATAAGCTGCTTTGTTGCTCTCGTGATTTGACAACCAGCACAAACGGATTTAATACTCTCCATCAACCGATGTCCATCCTTAATGAACACAGAGCGCGACAACTCTTTTGCCAGGCTTTCCGCGCTTCGCGCAACGCATGCTTGTGAAGGCGAAAGATGAATATTCCACGCAAATTCAAAACGTCTACAAATTTGAGGGATATGCTTTTTCTTGGCCAGTTTATCCTTGTAAAATAATTTTCCGTCCGCCAAACTGAGCCTAAAGCCGCCTGTTCTGCAACCGCCTTCATAAAAAAATCGCATTCGTTCGCGGATAAGCTTTTTTTGAGTGGCGTCCAAATCCTAAACGAAGATAACTGGTCGTAAGACCACATCAACTTCAACAATTGTGAAAACTACCTCATTATTTTGTACTGATCGTGTTAAATTTTCCATAACTTCCACAGTGCGATTGCTGAAAATTCCTTTGGTGCAAAACTCAGGATTTTCGATTTCGCTTCCGTATATTTCAATAATACGGCGCGAACGCGATCCCTAAGTACGTAAAGGCATTTAAGAATTTTTGCAGTATAACACGTAAGATGTTGCAAGACAAATGCTTACGTTCGATTTCGACAGACTTGACCGTGGCTTTTCCTGCAAAACATATTCTCATTGGCCAGCGTGCTCCATGCAGCCATATCGTTAAAACGATTAACCATTATATTACCTGTAGAAACTTCAGCATTCGACTGTTCTTGGAAAAGATCTAAATCGTCCGGTAAGTCGAAATTCAGAAATGTTTCCGTAACATGGTCCCCATTCTGACCTGATTCAGAAAATTTAAGCCGAGTTCCTGAGTGGGACAGATGTCTTTCATCGTCGGTGGCGCACTTTACTGCTCTCGGGGGCAGGTCAGGCTGCTGGAGATGCGTTTTGCGCTTTTTCAGTTGAGGCACTAATGATGCGGACCGTGAGCTATTGGATTCCACGGGGCAAGTTTTATTGGTTTGACTTCCTTCCTTGCGTTTTTTCATTTGCTTTTCTGGTGTGATCGGACTTGGAAAATCGTAAAAATCAGAATCTGTTAAGATTTGTTTGCTACAGTCGGTCTTTTTTGGGTACAAAATGCAAGAAAGGCAAAACAATGATAATCCGCCGGAATTTTTGTCGCGCTTTCGATGCATAGCTTCAGCGATTACCGCGGACAGGTATTGTTTGGCTCTTGCATCAAGCTGCACTGGAGCAAAGTGATTTGTCTCCCATAATATATAAATTCTTCTTCCACAGGGTGAATTCGGTCGCACCAGGAAAGAGGAGTATCCCTGCAACCGTGCATTTGGTAAGCTGGTCTTAAGACCAAACGTTATTAGAAAACATAGCATACCTTTGGCCGTAAAATAACTATCTCCACCTGCAACGACGTTGCGACAGCAATGATACAGTTCTGGCATGCCCATCGATTTGGTTTCACGATGTTTTCGGCATCGTTCTGAATCCAAAGTTCCATTTCTGTGGGTAATATTACGCTGATTCCATTTTCACTACCTGGGCCGCGTCGCGGAATTTCGTCAAATGTTTCTTTGTTTAAAAAAACAGTTGCAACGTGATACCGGTGCGGGCAGGTTTCGGCAAACTGCGCCAATAAAGACCGGTACCGCCAAGGGTGGACCTCACAAGTGTCGATTACCTGCTGCTCCGGACTAAAAGTCATGCGCTCTGGTTCTAGTATCATCAGCAGCCCTGCACGTACTCGATACTCGCTCGATAACGATTCCTGTCCATTTACCGAAACAGCAATTGAATTGTACAAACAGTTACCGTCTCCAGTGCTTTTAAGCGCGACACATCCGCTTAAGCTTGTTATAAGAAATCTTTGTAAGCGCACTGTGTCATATGGTGAGGTTTCAGGAATTCCGTTTTTTATGGCGAGAAGAGACTCCAAGCTGAAGTTTTCGTTCTGAATTTCAGACTGAATGGTAACGGCCACATCTTGCAGTTCTTCGATTCCCTTATTTCCAGCTTCGTCGAGCCGTTCTAAAGCTTTTATAAAAAACGTGGCCCTGGCGTCCATATTATAAGGCGGGTATTTCTTAATCTGCAGTCCGGTGGTCGTAAGACCAATCCTCGATCACATAAGATCTAAAAGGTTAGCCGTATTTTTAGTTTCGAATCACGTGACTGGCGGCTATTTTGATGTTGGAACTAGAATATATTTCTGATAACTGTTATCAAGTTTCAGATCGACAACGGTAAAAGAAGCACTGATGTACGCAGAGTATTTACCGAATTACTAGACAATTTGGGCAAAATGCGGCAGTAGCAATAACAATGGCTGTAGCGATAGCCGTTCCGTCGTGCGTCTACGAGACGGCTTTAGCCATTTGTATTGCTACTGCCGCACTTTGTCCAAATTGTCTACTGTAAAAGCAAATTTTCAGGAGCGACGAACCTGAAATGGTGGATCTCAGCAGGAGCGGCGAACCTGAAATGGTGGATCTCAGCATTATATGACGAAAAGCGACAAATCACCAATAGCTGATTTCGCCAGAAATTAGTCTAAAGAATTCCGTTTGGCGGTTCTTGCAGAAATAAGTGCGTCAAAAGCATAAATCTTGGACTATTGAATGATGAAAACGAACTCGAGGTCTCCGGATTTTTGAAGTCTAACTTTTTATACTTGAGAACTTTATTCGCATCCATCGTTACTTGCTGTTAGGACTGTAGTATAGGAATAGAGAGGGCGGTCCTCCTTGTTAAGGCAGCACCAGTGGTAGTGGTCTTAGGGGCGTGTTGCTGCTAGCTGTTAATGGGCTGTCTACAGCTGTGTTGTGTTAGCTCTCGTCCCGAATTCGAAGCGAATCTCGTTGCGATACAGCAACTCCACTTCGCGAGGTGGCTTCGCGTACTGTATCTGTAGGCGTGGCCACTGCATACAGCCACCTCGTGCGGTTGAGCAACTCTACCATAGCGAGCTTCGCTTTAAATCGGGACAAGGCCTTAGTGTGCCCTGATAGCGGAGTGCAGACTGCACTGTGCACTGTGTGCAGTCATATCGGATATTTAGTCGAAAACTGCACAGTTTATTAAATGTATTTGTGTGTCTGTATGTGTGCGACACTGTGTGTCTGTCTCAGCCTGTATGTATAATGCGGGATCGAAAATATTTCATATAGCGGTGCAGATTCCTTTGATCCAAATCATGATTTAGAGGACACAAGTGAACGAGCGAGAAGCTCTCGGTGTAAATCAGTAGAAGTGCAGTACTATACTCACTAGTACTGTGTACTTACTGTATGTTGTGGCCACGAACCGTGAGGCAACCAGAATCCTTTTCTGATTCATCATTTGCGTTGCGCTATATCTGTGCTAAACATGGATTATAACGATTTTGGGTAATGCGTAAGTCGGGTCGCATCTTGCATCGCAGCAGTGATACCATATTCCTCATGTCCTGTTACAGCGTTACTGGTAATTTACTTTCGGAAGTTCTCGGATCGAGTTCTGAAAATTAGTTAAGAAATCGCCACCAGAATTGTGACCAATGTGATTCTTTTGGGGATTGTAATCGACCTGTACCAGCGGCAGTGGTGCAGTTCTGAGGATTACAAGATGACAGAGAACGAAGAGTAAGCGACTGTATGTCTTGATTTTGTGACAAAATTGGTTGGATAATTTAGATCTGGGAACAAATTTTAGATTATGTGATATAAAATTTTAAACATACTGAATAAAATGCAAGAAAATTTAAATAGCTTGCGCCGAACGCGAAGCGCGAGTTGCTAACTAAGCGTTTAAGCCTTCATCACGAGCACATTTTTAAAACTATTAAAACAAGTGATAATTACCTTACCTATGGCTTTTCGAGTTACTCGAAAGCCATAGGTAAGGTAATGTTTTTTCACTCTAAAGTCTGAGGTGCTGGACAAAATAGTACTGTGCTCCTCCATAAGCATTGAGCACAGACTTAACTGGCGTTAGACGGTTAAAGTAGTGGATATGTACTTAGAAATTAAACTAGAATTATCATTATTGGTTACTGTAGACCATAGATAGACAACGTTCAGTGGTTTACAGTAAGTAGCCGCAAGCCATATGCTATTTAGGAATGTGGTACAAGGAAAGAATAAAATATACAATATAGATATTTGTTTTTATTGTGGGGGTAAATTGTGAATTGATGGAGAGGTTAGAAACGTACTTACATACATGAAACTGTGCTGTTTTTCCTGTGTTATACGATGTACTCGTAGCTTAAGGATTTCGCTCGTTTGGCATTTGGCAGTAACAATGCTGATATTATTTACTAGTTACGATTCTCGCAAGTCGCAGTATTGCATTTGTTCAATCAGCAATCACCTCATTTTTTAGTACATTAGTACATTATTATAGGTATGTTTCTTATGGACCTCCTTGTTTATCGTATTTTCACTCCTACGCGTTACTCTGATCTTGGTTATTGCTGGAATGCGTTCAGGTGCTTCGCCATTTAATATTCGGAATTCCAGTCTCGTGCAAATAATACTGATGCAGCCATTAGCACAAAAGTATGAGTGATTTTAAAGTTATCCGTCCTATTTAAACGAAAACAAAATCTGCGCACAAAGTAACAAATGGAGTACTAAATGGCGAAACAGAGTGATTTAATTATTTATATATGTATTTACTTGTTTGGGTGAAGCTGCTTAAAATTTAAATTGTTTCACCATGAAAGGAGTTAGTAATTTTTACTTTATGAAGTATTGCCTTGCTGCCTGATGTATTATACTATATAAACTGATTTGAACAGTGATACAGTACTCATACAGTATTTTCATTTGTGAAATCTGCTGTGCACGAATGATTACTTTATTGCTGCAGCAGTATTATGTGTTTGAACAGATTAAACTTTTTGCAGCTAGTTTGTACTTTGTAAAGAGGTGGCTGTTGTGAACTGGCCATGTTGTTCGGTTCGGTGATTGAATGGACAGTGTTAATAGGAACGCTGAGTAGCATTATCAAAATGAAACATGTTCGACGATCGCCGAGAACTGTCCGTAATAAGGCAGGTTTCGTGTCACCGCGGTTATCTTCAGGCTGATGAAGTTTAATTTCCTACTGATAGCTGGGTGTGTGGAGCCTTCCACAGATGTCAGATTTTTCGATTTCCGTGGTTTTACGGCACTTTGTGATTCGAAAACCAGCGTTGATAAGACATTGGGTGTTTTTCTTTTCAGAATGGAATGGGTGGAAATCATCGAGCCACGTTCCAAAAATTATATGTACGCTAACCTTGTTTCCGGTGAATGTGTGTGGGCACCGCCTTATGGACAACGCGTGTAAGTTTGCGTCGCTATCATGCAGAACGATTGAAAATAGTGAATGCTCTTAGAATTACAGAATTGTAACGAATAGTATGGGGATACTGTGGATATTACATTTCTTTCCGTTTCACATACGACCAGGTTGATTTGACTAAGTATTGTAGCACCACTACCGGTATACACTGTATTAAGATATTTCAAGCCGTTGCATTGAGTATTCTGTAGTTTATTCTTTCCCTGCCTAAACTCTTCCCTTCTGATGAAGTTTGGACTAAAGAGTTTTTCATTATTATAGCGAATAAATTGTTAACGTACCAAATACAAAGTGCTGAAAATTCGACTGGTAAGGGTATGCTGGCGTAACCAGGATCTGTGGTCAGTGGTCACCCTTTGATTTTATATCTTGGTCGATTTTGTTGTAATTTTACGCATATAGAGTACGTGATATGAGTATAAAGGATAGCGCGCACTGAGTCTGTGAATTACGAACGTGGAAATTATTATTATCGTTCTTGGGTTCGTTTATGACATTCCTTGATTTATCTGTGCTGTTTTATTAATTTTACGGCGCACAAAGCGAATGATGTCCTCCGGGGACACAGCGTTCGCACTTTGCGGTGTCCGAGTACTTATTAATTAACCAGTCTTTTGTACGATTTTTTTGCAGGAAAAAAGCCGATAGCAATCAGTGGTGGGAACTGTACGATGATAAAACGCATCGATTTTATTATTACAATGCGACGGATTCAAAAACCATCTGGGAACGACCGGAAAACTGTGATATAATTCCATTGGCTAAATTACAGGTTTGGTTGTCATCGTTGTGCTAATAAGATGACATTAATTTTACGAAAGCGCTGACATCCGTAAACGACACTGCAGACTACTTGCAAAATTGACTGTTGGGTGATCTTTTTTGAAGCTCTTAAGTAGTGGTGTCTGGGTATTAAGCACTAGTGGAAAGTGCTGCCCCAGTGGAAAATTAAAAGATCGCTATTTTTTTCACTGCTCACTTTTGTGCCGTCGTTCCACTCTCGTGCGCATTCTGTGGTGTCAGTCGACAACATAGCTATGGCGCTTTATGCTGCCGATATCATCGATCGATTGACCTGAGTGGGAAATGACTTGTCCAATTTCGCCTAGTTTTTGATTCTGTTATCGGTTGCCCAGTGTCGTTGATAAACAGCGATATGACCGTTAAAACATACTTCAAAAGTTTTGTCAAAATTAGTAATTCTCGGCAAATGGTAGTATTTTTCATCTTCTAATTTTTCTAATTTTTGGAAATGCATGTAATTTGAATTTGCATATTTTTATAATGAATATGGTAATGCGAGCCTCTGAAACCGGATGTGGTTACACTCTGGGTTCTGTGCAGCTTTTTTCTGCGAGCTCATTACATAGTTAGACAAAGTGACAAACGAACTTGATTATCTGTTCCGTCTGTTTACATGGCTGTAATATGGCTTTCGATCTGGTTAGTTGATTGTAAAATGTGAATGCATCTTCGGATTCTCATCATCAGGGATAATTAGTCTGTCCTCATATTTACAGCATAGTCGCATTGTTGAAAATTCAAGGTGTCCGATGTTATGCAGAAGTTGACCATGCGCCTAGCAATTTTTTTCAAAGAGTGGCGGATTATTACCATTTACCAGTTATACATATTTTTACCGTGATATGGTTTTTCTGACTACTGATACTGCTGTTAAGAGCAGTCTACTGATGAATGCGTGATTATTTTAGACTCTAAAACAGAATACTGAAGTGAGAGACGACGATGCCTCACGTGGGAACCGCAGATTTCCTGACGCTGCTACGGGCACCACATCCAATCGTAATCAGAATGGAACCACATCCTCTACGCTGGCCAGCAGTTCGTCGATGACAGCCAAGAAAGATGTATGTGTGCTTTTGTATGAGAGACGGGCCTCAGTCACACACTTTGTTTGCCTACTTGAGCAATTATGTAAACTATGAGAAAATTTATTTCCTTTGGATTACCAGGGTCGATCAGAGCGACTTCAACCGGGATCCGTTCGTAAATTGAGCTCACAAACACAAACTACTCCACAGCCTTCCCCCAAAGAGACTAAACGGGTAAACGAGCGGGCAGACGAGAAAGACATAAAGTAAAACATATACATACAGGATAAAGCCCCACTTGCTTAAATTCTGTGGGGTTTTATTAGTCACGGAAAAATTGTGCCAGATTAACATTTAGCACTCTGGTCAGCGTGGTGCATTTTCGACTGATAGTGCCGTTTTCTCTTACAGCATCACCACAGTCACAAGTGCAGCATGCATCAGAATGCACTTCGCAGTAGCAATTCTCAGGGGAGCTCTGTGCAAGCCGCTCGACGGGCGCCGGCTGTTCAGCGTCAGTTGTCCGCTGGATTTCCTCAACGGTAAACAGTCGATTAATTAATTTTCGCTACTTTATTATGGTGGCGGTTGTTCTTTCCTCGATCGTGGAACAATGATAAACTAGTACAGTGATGCAGCAGATTGACAGTTTGTTAGGTTTGTCAGTCGTAGAAAATGGGTTCCGTTCTTCTGAATGAGCATTCAGCACCTAGAGTAGCTACTGTACAAATACTATTTTTAAATGACGCAAACTAGTTACGTCTTATAACGCAGATAATGGTCAGTCAACCTGATAGACACGGTATAAGATTCTCATCAGAATGTCATCTTCCAGTGGCCATGGAATGCGAGATCAAAGCTTGCTGGAAGTAAGCAGCCAGGATGTTTGGAATAATGGGAGACTGTCATCCGAAATGGTCCCACTTAGTCCACAGCGGCTGTCAGCTACCGGTACTCATGAATCGGTGCCACCGCGAACTCCATCACCACGATCTCCCGCTGCGAACACTCTTGAATTCCCCACAGGATCTCTTTCACGAACTGGTTTATACGAGAACCAGAGCTTGAATGAAAATGATTCCCCCTCGGACATCATTCAGCCACTGCCCTCCGCCAGTTTCTCCCGAAGCAGCCAGGGAGTGGTCCTGCCGCGTCGTCAACGTTCCTTTGATCACAAAAACTTTTATCTGGATCACACCGATGGCTCTCTACCTTACCGGATTCGTACGGACCACAGTTCACAGACAGCACCGATTGTTCCATCGGGAATTCGTTCGGTTGAATCCACTCCGCGTGTGCAGCGCCGTAACACGGATGCACCATTACCGCAGATTGCGGAAATCGGCTATCAGTTGCGCCCGCGCAATGACGCTTTTGCCATTTCTGGTGGCACGCCAATGCAGTCGCGGAAAAAGAATTTGACCAAGTCTAATGGGATTCCTTCGCCTGGACCGAGCACTGAGGTGACAACGCCGTCTGGTGCGTCACAACATGCCAGCGGAAGCTCCAGTCATTCCCACTCATCTCTGGAAAGTAAGCGAAGTTTGTTAAGTGCAAGCTCCGCTGCAGTGGCGAGAAATACGGAACCCGTATTTGCACATCCCGTGCCATCTAACCAGCGCCCTAATCATGGATTTTTGACACCTCTCCCGAGTCGGGTACCCATGCCGGAAAATATTATTGCCAGCATCCCCGGGGTATCGACATTCACGGGTGCAAATTCAGCCACGAAACTGAAGCGAACCATTTCGGTGGATCGACATGACATGAAGAGTCCATCATCGGATGGTTCTTCTAGCAAAACATCTGGACCATTCTCGCCGCAGTTGCAGCGACGGGTTACAGTGGGAAGATTCATGCCTAAGTTAAGTCCGGCAGAGTTGGAAGAAGATCGCAAAGCAGAAGAATTGTTGAGGGCGGCGGAATACGAAACCAACGCGCATACTTTTGGGAATCGTAGAATTAACGGACATCCTCGTATCACACTGGAATCGCCCGGTAAGCAAAGTGCATCATAACGTTGTTAGAGACCCTCATACCGTAAACAGTTTATTTTTGCCGTACTAAAAAATTGTGTAAGTTGGATGGATCGAATGTCAAAGTATAAAATACAATACTTGCTACCGTTGATGGTGTATTAATGAAGATGAATAGAAATTTATTCAGAATTTTACAAATGTCGCTAAAAATTTCTGTGCACCAATATTTCTATGCTGATCGCCATAGAAATTTCTTGTCAGTAAGGAAACATATTACAATCTGTCTGAATCTGCCTTTCAAAGTGTTATTGGTGTGTTGAAGAGTTTGGTGTTATTGAAATGCCGGTGGGTATTTTGCAGTAGAGATAAGAAGAAATGCCAGCAATCAGCAGCAGCACTCTGATTTGGATACCGACAGCGAAGATAACGACGCGGATGTTGAGGATTCTGATGATTTCGATGAGGAGGACGAAGACGATGATGATTTGGATGAAATGATGGCTGATCCATCAGGAAAAAATCGATACGGTCATTTATCACCGTCACAACTGCGGACACATCCAAATTACTGTGGTATTACTATTCGTCTGTGCCAATAATTGGAGCGATTCACTGTTGTGTATATCTCTTGTAATATTGATATTACAGCAGTCGACCGCACACTCAAATCGATGCCGGTGGAAGCCGCCGCCGCACCGGAAGACGACGACAGTAGCGATGCAGATTACAGCGCCGCAGCGGTTAGCGCACTGCGGGATAAAGTGCAGGCACAGTGCTTGGCTCCTGTAGATACGCGGCATGCCTCACTACGCCGAAAGCCCACTGCTACCATAACTGGAACGAAACTGCCGGGTTTAGAGAAAAGTCAAGTATGTGTTCCTGCGAGCAGCTGGTGTTGATCGCATTAATCTGACAGGTTTGACATTGTACTTCATTGTTTACTTTTCTAGTCCGTGCAAACAGAATTATCAGCACAACAACAACCGAGGCCGGTGTCCGTTGTGTTGCCCACACAGTCAGAGACATCGCTCATCTCCAGCACCAAAAGTGCTTCTCCCGTGTGCCGCCCATTTTATCCTGGATTGAACGGGAGTGCTACCTTGACGCGGGATAGAACATTTGTCAATGAAGATGTAGATCACAGAGCGGCACAAGTTAAATTAAACGATCACACGAAAGGGATATTTAGGAAGAAAGTCTCCATTCAAAGTCTTTTGTCGTGGTCAAAGGTGAGTAAGAGTAATTCAGTGTATTGCAAATCTAGCCGTCAGTAGGTTCGTTTTTTTTCCTGGTGGATTTTCGCTAAATGATTTAAGTCGCCGATTCATAGCGCGAACGAAATCAGCTGTTTAAATTTGGTTTCTTTTGTTGACACACACGGTAGCAATTGTTGAATGAATGTGTGGCCTGCAGGATTCCATTAAGAAACCGCTAATTATGACAGCGGACAAGTCAGTGAAGAAAGAAGCTTGTGCCATGTACCGTCTGATACAAATGTATATGGGCGATCGAAAGGCGAAAGATAGTAAAACACATGACGGCATGGCGCTTGAATTAACACGAATGGCTTGGCAAAAACCCACGCTGCGCGATGAACTCTTCATACAGATTTGCAAACAGACCACAGAAAACCACAAATCGTAAGACATCATTTGCCGTCATTTGTAGCATCTCTAGTATTTTATTTTTAAATTCGGTTCATTGATGGTGAACTTGTTTTTATTCAGTGAGAGCCTGCGGCGCGGATGGGAACTTATGGCCATTTGTTTAGCCTTCTTTCCTCCGTCGACCAGCTTTTTTGCTTATTTACGTACTTATATCTCGCGCTTCCAAAGCCCGGCTTGTAATACATTTGAGGTTAGTCGTGATGGTGTTGACACTGGGCCAGACTCTGGCACTGGATACTGGTTTCTGGGGTGTTATTTGATTTCAAGCGATCGATTTGTTTGTCTTTCGTATAGGTTCAAGTTAGCCATTATGCTAGTCATTGTTTGAAACGGTTAGAGCGAATGTCGCAAACCGGTGCCAAAAGAGGAATTCGCAAGCCGACCGAGGAAGAAATACAACAGGCCCGCATTCAAATATTCCATCCGTCAATGTTTGGAAATTCTTTAGACGATGTCATGCTGTTGCAAAAAGAGCGTTATCCAGACCGAAGGTAAATTTATTCTTTTTACTGAAAAAATAAAATTCTGAGATGTTACACTGCCCTGTTAAAGTTAGATAGATCTGCATCTACAGTAGTGTAGCAACTCTTTAGAATGTCAAACCTTTTTCGATAATTTTAACTTCAGCTGGAAAACGTTATAGAAAATTTGCTTGTAATTATACAAATGGTATTTTTGATGTAACATGCTCTCTGTATGAACACTTTTAGTCTCTGTGTGAAATCTTGTTTTTTTTATTTGGTTTTTGTTTTAGTGGTGGTAATTTTCAGTGGTTATTTTCACGCTTTTGCCATTGTAATTTTCCAGCTTGCCTTGGATTCAAACGATCTTATCGGAAGAGATTTTACGCCTTAACGGATTAAGAACCGAAGGGATATTTCGGTTTGTTTTGTAAAAAATTTGTCATTGCTAACTTATGGGCTTATATGGCAGTCTGCGTAACCTTCCTCCCCGCTGTGTAGAGTTCCGGGAGACATTGATGAAGTGAATATGCTAAAAGTCAAAATGGACAGATGGAATAAACCTGACTGTTGCGATCCACATGTTCCTAGCTCTTTACTGAAGCTGTGGTATCGTGAATTGTATGAACCACTGATTCCTGCGCGATTTTACGATCTCTGCATCCAAAACTGCAACAGTGCCAAAAATGCCGTTCACATAATCGGTGAACTTCCGGAAATAAACCAGCGTGTTCTGACATATTTAATTCGCTTCCTGCAAGTAAGTGCCGGACTGAGCTTTGTGACGCCGCACTGTAGAGTTTTCATTCATAAACTTCCATACTATATATAGTACGGTGTGTTAGGGCATGTTGTACTGTAATGGAAAATTAAAAATTACAGCGTCGGTAGATTTGCATTCGACCTGGTTTTGAATCGTCTACTCTTTGCATATTGTTGAAAAATGAAAATAATAATTTCTGGTGAATCAGATATTTGCTCTTGTTATTGCAGATATTTGCTCAGTCGGAAAACGTCCAAACCACAAAAATGGATGCACAAAACCTTGCAATGGTGCGTAATGAATGGAATCCAGTACTGTTACGGTATATTCGACTTCTTTTAACATTTGTCTGATTACATAGGTTATGGCACCAAACTGCCTCCGATGTACGTCAGATGATCCGCAAGTGATTTTCGAAAACACTCGCAAAGAAATGACGTTCATCAGGACACTGATGCAGCATTTGGATACTTCATGGATAGAAGGTGTGCAATAATATTTTGATTCGTGATCAGTTATTTGGGACCTCTGTTTCCTGTATGTCGTGCGGTATTCGTGGCGCGGATGGTCCTTTCTGATGGTTAGACATAGTTTTGCTGGTTGGGATACAACGGTTCATTATGCTCATTTTTATTGATATGCATAGAAATTCTAGTCGACTTCTTATAAAACATGTGTGAACGAGTTGTATTGGTTTGTATATTATTTGAAGTCAAGAAGCTGCTTGTTCAAGCGCCTTATTTCATAGTTTTCATCCTCTTGTAATGTTTTTTTTGTTTGTTAAGTTGTTATTTTGATTCTTTGAACGAATAAAAATTCCGCTCAGTGATGTGGTTGGACAAACCTTTGCTTTAATAAATAAATTCGCACAAAATAAATAAAAGTGAAACCACATAGCCTTTAAACAGGATGAATCTTGCGCTTGCCACAGAAAAAATCCGGAAAAAAATGCATGAAAATTCCAAAGATGTCGTAAAAGTTGAAGTAAAAAGCGGTTACTCAGAAAAGGCGAGGATGCTATGGCAAAAAAAATGCCTGAGCATTAGATTGGCATACGTTTAAAAAACAAAGTTTTACGAACAAAAAAATAAAACAAAAATTAAATTAAACCGAAAAATTATCCCGTATGAGGTACTATTGCAGCAGCTACCGGAGGAAAGAAGAGAATCAAACTCAAAATCGGCCACGATAAAAAACGGCAAAACGTTACTATATACAGATGAAACGGGCTTAAGAGGACGGGGATTACCACCGATATCTGCAAAAAAAGACAGCGATTTACAAGTAGATTGATACACATCTGAATTACACAAAATGCAAAAACGAGTAAAATGCTTAATGCTCATGTAAAAATAGATGTGGGGAGAAAATCTCAATCAGGTGTGGGTAGTGGGTACCATAAATTATATATCACATAGGCATACTTGCGTTAATGATCCTTCTGAAAGTTTGCCACTTTGTCAAGATCGTTGAGTTCGTCACGGGAAAATGAGAGCGACAAAAAGGTCGGCGGAGAATCAACATTTTCCTCTTCTTCGAAAGCCGGCGCAACGCGCAGACGTTTGCTTCCGTTCATATAGCCAGTATAAGTTGTCAGTTCTGTTCTCTCGACGGTCGTCGAGGCTTCGATCGCCTGACTGCTGTGGGTTCGGAAAATCTTTATTCTCTGGCTCAGTAATATGTCTGAGTGACGTTTCTTCAGGGGATTGATACGCATTGACCCGTTACATGCCAGGTCTTCATCCAGCAACAGACCGTCATACGCAGGAATTCGTAGGTTTTCGTTTTCTTTGGTCAAGACCAAAGCACACTGGGGAATAAAGGGATCAATATCGAAGGTTGTTTCTCTGCTGTCCAGAGGATTTCTTGACTGTTCCCGCAACGGATTACACCGCAGCCTCGGCGCATATCCAATCATGTCAATGCGGCAAGCAATCTCCATGATACTTAACGTCGACTTATTATTATTGATGCAAGAAACCATGTTTTGCAAATGCATCAGACTGTAACGATACTGCGCAATACCTAGATCGGGGTCGTTAAACCATGGAAACATTTTTCCTTCGGCTGGATTCTCCATCACGTGCAGGATTTTTTCTTCGCTCACGCAAGGATAGTACACAACGATGCCCACGTTATCTGAACGCATTTTGCGCAATTCGCAACGATTTAACACCTTCCTGACCAACAATTCAGCAACGTTAACGTCGGCACCATGAATTCTTTCGCGTTTTCCGGCCTTTAAACACTGCCACATCCACAGTTCCTGCATCCGATAAGTTTCTTCAACAATTTCTACGCACTCCGCAGGGCGTACAACATTCCAGAGGCCATCAGAACCAGCAATAAGGCAGCGATTTTTCGGCATAGAAAACGCGTGCACTGCCACATCAGGCACCGGAGACACAACAAACTCATTGTGCTCTTCCTCATAACTCCAAAAATCACCTAAAGAACGGGCAACGGCTAAAAACGGAACAGGATTGACCGGCAAGATGACATCGGGAAATACGAAATCCGAATTTAGTGGCCGCTTCCATACCACACGGAATACGCCGCTCTTACTCCGCACTTCACCATTGAGACTCTCAATGCGCTCCTTTTCCTCAGGGCTTTCGGGTTTGTGATCACGGGTTAACATGAGTGCTTCGAAACGTGATTCCTGTTTGCTGGGATCGTTCTTTTTGCCGTTGGAGAATATCGCTTCGGTCAGATCAGTTTCTCGTCCTTGCACTTTTAGCTTGGGTGGGGTAGTTTTTAGGGGTTTATCACGTGCTTCGGTGTAAAAGTCGTTCACTCGGCCTAACGCAATGCCGGAATCCCCCACGTGCCCCACATAAATCTTTTCGCCACGGACAAAAGCCACACTGGCCGTTGTGCCGGCCGTGCACATGATGCCCGGCGACGAAGGCGGCCATTCCTTGGAGGCCTTCCACATTTTATAGTGACAGTTTATGAAACCCTGTCGAATAGCTGCGAGAATTTCGGCTTCGTTATCGGACCAGAATTCCCGCTGAGAAACGATGTCCCGCAGAAGGTGTTCGCTAACAAGATAGCAAATCACTGCACACAATTACTTTGTTAGAAAGATAAAAATCGCGTATTTTACCTCGCGTATTCCGAAGCCTGGCTACCTCCATGACCATCAAAAATAGCTACAATGCAACATATTAGATTAAGCTATTTCAATAGCTATTTCAATAATGTCACTGGTGGTTTTCACTTCCAAATTCATATCTTTAAGATTTTTTAATTACGGTGCGTTGCGCGGCAGTACATAATCCCCATCGAAGTTATTGATACCCATGAATGCAAACGATACCTACTGCACGTGAAAATTCAATTAAGTACCATACAATACTAATTACTAATACAGATAATTATTAATACATAGACAAAACATTCGCACTTCACACATTTTTAAGAAAATGTTCTCCATATCCATCCGATTCTGTGTTGGCATCACAAACGCTCATAATTTCTTATTTTACAGTCTTCATTCTACTGATCTGTAAACATCCGTTTCTGAACAGCTTTTTCAAAGAGTTCGAAGGTTTCTGCACATATCAGTAGGTTCAAAACCATCTTATACAATATACACGCTATCGCATATTCGTGCTTTTCCTTTTCCCCCAGCTATTTAAGTAAATCGTAACTGCCGTTTTCAAAAAATATCGCAATTAAAAAACTCAATTTGCAAAGGCACTTTTAAATATCAGTAAGTCTGGTTATGTAATGAACGACAACCGTAAACAGTGCAGCAAGATGTACTGTAGGGTACATACATCTTATGCGGGTAAAGGGACAACACTGCCTTTAAAGCTTACCAATATAGTCGTAAGGCTCCGTCACAACATCATCCGGGACACCATCGTATCTATCCCTGGCAAAAACTGGTATATCCTCCATATGATGCCTTCCACCTTGTTCTTTGTAAATACTGATACGATAGCCATCTGACAAGGGATAGCCATTCGGAGCGTCCACGAAATTGGACATTCTCCATCAACTCGCGCTTTCTCTGGCGTCAATGATTGTGATATACTTACCTCCCAACTAGCGCCAGTCCATTTGAACTATAATGTACACGCAAACAGAAAACAGTTTAAGATCGCGAAATACTGTGCCAGTCTTTACTGTTAGAAGAAAGGGATGCTGGTACAACAATAACAACAACAACGGATATGCCAGGTTTTACGTCTGGCTGACACATGAGTTCATTGTTCCTCACGGTCATTCATTGGAAAGCTATGTGGCCTACTAAATGCAAGCCTGCGCTTGGAATCACGGTGACGTGCGGTCCTGCGGAACCTGTTAAACGTAATGAAACCTAGCCAGTAGCCACCATAGGTTATATTAATAGTGCTACCTGTAAATTGTGATATTTGACGAAAGATAGGAGCCCCATCAACTGGAACCAGAAACATGTATTTAAACAAAACAACAACAACAAAATTACTGCAAAAACAAACGTCACATAGGTTGCTTCAGCCTCCAGCGAGATATGGGAATCTCATAAGTGTCCGTCGTATTTGATATCGCGATACGACTTCGATTCCGATTGCGGCCTCGATCTGAAGGCTTCTAAACCGTCTGCTGAGCCAGACTTGAATGAGTCTGCGTGTGAAGTTTGAACTATGTCTGGCTTGTTGCCAAACTTGGGAATGTCGGCTACCAGGCCGGTCCAAGCGGCCGAGCCAAAAGGGTCGGTGCGATACCTGGCACATCTTCCCGGACGATTCAATGCATATAGAATTTACAGTTGATTACTGATTTCGGCAATAATGGTTGTTGTAATTACTCGATAATATAATTTAGTTTGTTGCGTGCGGATTTTATTGTAAATTTATTTCTGGAATGTATGTGATGACAACAGTGCGTGCCTTTACATTCGTTTACAATTTTACAACTACTCTGTACGTACCTAGCATCTTCCCTAAAGGTGGAGAAGTGTAAAGTTACGAATTAAAGTAAACCGCTGCACTGATTTTCGTACTGTACGAGTACAGTACTTGTCTGCAGGTGGAAAAAGATGCTGCACCGCTCCAAATTCTTTTTACATATTCTAACTTTCGAATTCAGCACTTCATGATGGGAACCAAAAGCGCTTCGAGATCAGTGGAAAATTACTTAATGATGAACATACATAAGTACATTACTATAGGTCACAGGAAGATAAAAGGATAGAAGTTTTTTTCGAACAAAGCACAGCAACAGCAGCCCTTGATTTGCACTAACACGGTAACCCGTAATAACGAATTTACGAATAAATAACGAATTCATTATTATATATATTATGATATTTTATTAACTTTTTTTGCAGCACTAGCAACAAATTAATACTTCTACTCAACAATGAACATGACCCGTGAAACCAATAGTACATAGGTATACTGAACAACAACGGAAGCAAGCAATATCCACTCGCAATCAGTTTAAGCTTTTTGAGCAATTGACTTATCCATACCAAGTAAATACCTATACTAGATTGAGCGCATATTACCGATCATTTAGATAAGGCTCTTCGGTCGGACACCGGAAACGATAAAAGCATAAAAACAGGAAGCAGAACACTCGTCTCATGAGCTGCAGAGCATGAGATCTTATAATTACCGTAAAAGTCAAATGCGCAGTGAGCACATTAGCAAACGTCGAAGGCATCTGACATCATCATCACGAAATACAAGATCACGAACACAATGGATGCCGCGAAACGATGACGTCCTTATGTCCAAAAGTATGAAGGCAGATACTGCAGCACCAAGAAAACAAAGCAAAAAATCTTTACGCTGTTATCACCACAACACTACATTAACAAACTGCAACTTACACTTTCACGAGTGTTATACGTAGGCGTCAGATTCTGATCCTTGAGGAACTGTAAGGCCAACTTGCACAAGTATCCCTTTATCTTCTTCAAGTGTTCCCTCGCTTCATCCGGATCAGTCTGGCAGATGTGCTCCTTCTTTTCCCACTCGGCCAGCTTCACAAAGTCCACCACCGAGTCACTTGGCAAGCACGCAAAAACCTGTAACCATGTTCGCTGGTTGGCATAACAAAGGTCCCATACCACAATACAAATATAACTGTTCTATCCCTACATCTTCGTAAATATGTTCATTATGCAGAGCTGTTGCGTTCCACACATTATGGAAAAAATTATCACATATAGCGTCCGCAACGGTAGCATCGGCATTGGGTTCGTTCCAAATTCCCAGACAAATTCTGAAAACCAAAAATTTTCAAAACAAACTTTTGAATTCGCCCATGCTTGTCTTTAAAATATTCTGGGTTCTTACGTTAGGTATAGTACAGGCCATATCTAAATGCACTATATAAAGGTCTGTATTTTCCCCCAGATGGAAAAATTGCTGCCGCCAGAACATTTGTCTGCAACCTACTTCATCAACCGTCTTCTAAATCGCCCAGAAAACTTTCCGGATGGAAAAGGCTTTCCGTCCATGACACTCTCGTCGAATTCACGGTCTTTAATAAGCACAGCAACTTCGCTATCCCGAAGGCCCAGCATTGATCGATCATTACTACACAGATAACACTTCGATTAAAATTACTGTAACGAACCAGACTAATCCGGGGATACCTTACATGTTGGCTGATCCAATAATCGTGTACATATCATCAACCACCATGATTTTACTGTGCACGTAGATCAACTCAGTCACCTAGGAATAATTATCGCAAGATTTACCAATTTTTATAATCTAAAGTAATTTTGAGACACAGATTAATTAGTACCAATTTTCCATTGATTTCTCCGTAAGTTCGCATTCCACAAAATGATAAATAATTTTTAGGATCCGCTCCTGCGTATGCAGTTAAGTTAGCAACTGTGCATTTAACCTATTTTCCAACTTTGCCAGAATGATACCTAGCTCTTCCATGCGTTCGAACAGAGAATGACCACCGCGACAAATACTCTAGAGCAAAAAAGGCATACACGCACTTAAGAATAAAAATTTTGCTGCAGATATGTACATAATAACAAACATCCGAAGTATGAACACCGACATATGAACAATGAACGTCGTATGAACACCGACATTATTACTATCATGCTAATCTATAAAAGATTGGTACCTGGTAATTCCAGTGCGTGACAGCTTGAACGGCTGCACCGCGATCGGTGCCATATTCACCCTCAATCCCTGGTTTTAAAGGCATCACCACATATACACGAAAGTTCTCTTTCATCCTGTAAGGTTAAAGCATCGTAGTTTTATTTTCGGAAAAATCAGAGTTGTGTTATCGCTTTCAGCCACTCTACAACAGTTTGTTAATGCATTGTCTTACATAAATGCACGTTTTATTCGTTGAAACAGTGCTTCTCCGATACCATTTGTCACAGTCGATCTATTATCGCCACTTAACGTGATGAAAAACTGGTTCTGCAAGAAGATGTACTTATGAAAAAACAAAGATCAGTTCTAAAATTCTGAATTCGAAATCCCAAATTTTAATACCAAACGTTATTTAGCTTTTCCGCGGAAGTTTTGTTACAAACTCACTTCGATATATATAAAGTGTTTCGCTTTTTCAATGCAGGAAATGTAAGCCTGGTGAATGGAATCTTCTACTTTATTTGGTTGTAGACCGGCTGACCATGAACAGACACTGCGCAAGAGCTGTACACGACATCGATGCGAATCCCTGAGCAACTCTCGATCCACATCGGCAGTATCATAAGATTTTGGTAGCAAAAAGGTATACTGCTCATCGTCCCTATTCTTTTCAACCTATAAAAAAGTAAACGGTTAGAATTCGATACAATGGATATCCAGTAAACCTTTCAGCATTTGAGTACTGTACTAATTAGTACGCAATTTTATTTTTTCAAGTACCTTGCATGCATTCCAGCGCTGTATGAAATGTCGTGCCACATCGCGAGCCGCATGCTCATAAACCACACATCCCACATCTCGCCACGGCATTCTCGGGATATCATTACGATCAATTTGATCTAAAGAAATCGTTTTACAGACTGTGTAGAATACACTATAGGGTCGTAATAACAGGCAGAATATTTTACCACTTACCGTCATATGGATTCAAAGCGGCATCCTGCGCGAACGCTTTACGAACTTCATTCTGGTAATCTTTTCCCAACCACAAACGTCCAGCCACTTTTATGTTGAGTCTATCCAAATCTGCTTCTGTGGGATTCGTATCTTCGGCAACAGCAACATGTGCTCTACTACAGATCAGAGCGTTCTGCAAGTATTTCAATTTAACAACAAGAGACAATGAACGAATGCGCCTACGTAGAGTCCGTGGCGTCCCCACGGTGCGAGATACTCCGAGTAAGTCGCATGGCGTTTTGTAACTACAAATAATAACAACAAATGACTGTGGTGCCAACTGAAGTGGAATTTTATGGTGTAGCTAGACGACAGCCGCACTGCAAATACGGGTACCTTACTGTTAGTACACAAAAACTTACTAAATACTCTAAATTCGATAAGAAATTTCTTACCATTCGTGTCCGTCGTCTCAGTTTTGGGCTTTCCGGTCTTACATTTCCACTGGGTATCTTCACTGTATTTGCTTCAAAATTTACCACATAGCCATTTCCATGTGCCAAGTTATCCGACGATATTCTAGTTGCCTTCACACTATGGCTCGTTTCCGCCGGCATCGAAATCGACCGACGCGCAAAATCTTTCCGGGAAAAACTGCGGTCCTTTGGTTGGGTTATTAGTATTTTGTCCACAACGGACGCAAGTGTCTGTGGCCGAGGCGCACTCTTAGCAGCCACTTCCTTTAATGGTATATCCGCACGCAGTTTATCCGCATCGTCAGAAGCATTTTGCGCTTTAAATCGTTGACCCATCCGCCATTTACCGCTTTTAATCTGATCATCCCATCGCGTATCCCGTTCTTCTTCTTTTTTCATAAGCTCCACCTCTTCCGGAGCAGCATCTTCTCGCGGTCGACTCATGCCCGACATTGGTAACACACCACTTATGGCATCTTTCCCCGCCACGGGTGGATTAGTGAATTCCGTCTACAACCCAAGCAACGCTTTTAGGCACTCTACGAACAAATGGCCAAATTTGTTGTTCGTACCGGCACGTCTCCATCCACCGGACCAACGTCTGTCAGACGATAAAGATGATCATCCCAACTGAAAGAACAAACAAGAAAATAACATAAAATTTTAATGCATTTGCGCAAGATACGTAGTTTGATCATTTCCATACCGGCCGTAGCATAAATCAATTCCACCCAGAAAAGCAATTTTCTGATCGATAATCACGGTCTTCTCATGATGTGACCTAAGAAATTATGCAGACAATAAAATTACCAATTTCTGGCAGCTCTATAAGTCCGAAACCCACCACAGCCAAACATTCTGGCCAAGATGATCGGGATGCCTTTGCACCTACATCAGCAATGTTTACCGTAATTGTGGTGAATCAAGATAAGGCATATTCCAACTTTACTTTTATATTTGGATGACGCTTGGTTAATGTAGCTTTGCTGTAAAAACTGTTGATCCCTAGAGCGATGGGCACTTCTTTATACAGGAGTACATAAATCTTCACTCCGGCCTCCTGAAATCCGATCCACGGTACACTTAACCAGATACATATTAAACAAATATCACATACCGCTTTGCGTTGCAAAATGCGGTCCAGACGCCATCGTTCCCCTTCCGTGATCGGGCGTTTCATGTAAATTTCCGGACTTAACCACCAGTCGGTTATGAAAATCTCTTCCTGTGCGCGTTCGATGGCATCCGCCACAGCGGACATGTATGGTGCTCCATCGATAAACCATTTAGCATACACATCATCCCGGACTGGGAAGCTGGATCCGTTTGGATGCGGCTTTATAAACTGGGAAGCCGATGTTGACATCACATACTCAAAATACTTGAGCCAATCGTTCAGGTCGCGCTGACTAGCAAACTTCAGCACCAAATCCCGTGTGGAGTTTCGAACAACAACCGATTTATGTAAAGCACTGTACCGTGCGTCGTGCTCGATCTTCATATCACGATCAATCAACAGCACATTAGCAATGCGACTGGAATTGGCCTTCAAATGCATGTATGCATAATACGTATCTTTCACTAGTATCCATCTGCAATCAAGCACTAATATTCGTCCTCCACGATACTCAGTGCCACGATGTAACATGGCTGGCAAATTCTGCGGTATGTTTATGTTATCACTGAGCAGTATTGCTTACCGCCCTTTCCAACGGGAACACACATCACAGAAAACATTGTAGCGACAACAAGGTAACGGCACTCTGATCCGACCACTCAATTTCTTCAGTGGCATTTCCTTTCCTTTTTCGCCCAGTTCGCCCAAGAAACTAAGACTACTCACTTCTAAAAATCGCAACGTTTCTGGATGCTCTCGCCAAATAGATACGCTCAATAAGTCCTGAAGAAATTTTTCAATGGCCTCCTGAAAATTCGCAGAAAAATGCAATTTCAATACAAATATTTTTTTAAATTCCTAACCAGATACAGTTTCACACATAGATATACCACAAAGTAGTTGAATTACAATAAAAGTAGCGCAACAAACCGGTCTTTACATTTTTTCCTTAAAAAACCACCCAAATATGCAAACGTACACGCCTATTTTCCAGCTGCTCTGTTCCAACGAATACTTCCATTCTTTTTGGCAAACGAGGAAGGCGAGGTTTCAAATCCGACATCAGATGTGCACTATAATAAGGAGACGACACATAGGTACACATTTCTTGAACACACTGGAACATCCATATACTGCCGCAAGACTGGCGTTTGCATAACTGGTAAACAAATACTGCGATAATCAAATGGATAATGTCCCAGCTGTGCAAACATCCGCCCACAAAATCAGTGCTACGATGAACATACCGCGTGCACGTTATGAAAAAGTATAGTAACAAACTCAGTCTAACGGTGAGCAATTAATATTGTACGATAAAGTGACCAACCATAGCACAGGCTGACAGGCATGAAACTACAAAAGTTAAATTACACGAAACCCCCATAACATGTACTCGTAATTAGCTTACACATTCCGCTTCCTGACTATACGCATGGATAAAGCATGCAGCTGCAATCGCCGGCGTAAAGCATGGATTCTGGCATATCTCCTCCGGATAGTCCAAAAATATCCTCCATGACGGATTTCGATTTCGTAACTGAAAAACGTCAATCTCGATATCTCACCATCAAGTTTTGAAGACTGGTAACCTGGATGGTTTAACGCCCAAAGTCTAAAACTTGCCATCCAGGCCACAAGCAGCCTTATTTAATGCAATCTTAGCGAGCGAAACTAGTTTGCCACACTACTAGCAAAAATTAACAGAATGACCGACAACATACAAAATTCAGACAACAATATCGCAACACTCCCTTTTCTATGAAACAGGCATTTTACAAGAACATTTCACCTGCACTTAATTTTTGCAATATTTGCAATACTGCGCAAGAATTACTTAAACAAAGAATACGATGATTCCCTTACATGTTAGGATGGAACCAAGGATGTGTGGTGCGCTCGACATTAATCACATTCACTTCAACGGGCTTATCCTTGATAAAGATGGTGTTACCATTCAAGATAGATGGATATTCTTTAATGGCTTGAAATGGCAAGAATATCAAGTCTACAAAATCCGACCGAAAATTATACGAAGAATCAGTCAAAAACCCGCGGTTTGTGTTAAATGATACGCAAAATTACGCAGAATTTTTCCATTTAGCCTGAACTAGGTAAATGACCATGAGAAAGCGCATCGTATTAAGCATGCGTAAGATTGTAACTGTTTTGTCTTCCAACCTGGACTCTCGTCGGGGACGTCGCCGTCCAGCGAACTCCCCTCCGCATCATCCAGCTCATCCCAATCGGGCAGCGCGAATCCCTCATTAACAGGCATCGCACCGTTTGGAGCCGCCATTGCGGCACAGCTGCGAAAAAACGTGCATAATAAAGAAATTGATAAATATTCGCAAAAGCTGAAAGCACCCCAGATTTACAGCACGTGGTGTCAAATGTTGTCACTTGCCAGCTAGCACAGCCCAAACTGATATTAAGTACTTCAAGCGCAAAGAATATGACGAAGTGTAGAGACTCAACAAAAGAAAAACCGTTTGAGCGAGCAGTTTGTTTGAGATCTATCAAATTTGTGTTTACTTACCAGTTTGTATGACGGTGAAGGGTGAACCAGAGCGGCGTACCGCGCGTACTGGAGCTGATTACATTGGCTGGCTGGTGCGCACCTCACAGCCTGATAACTCCATTATGGTTTAATCTGGTTCCATTGCAGCAATCAGATCGCATTTCGGAAAGCCATCAATATTGCTTGGTTTACGTTCCTGTGCGTAAATTGAGAAAAGCATTAAAAAATCTTCGATTAAAAGTTAGGCAGTTACAGGTTACTTACTGTTACTGAAACAACGCTGTCAAAAACACAGCAATAATAGTATTATACTTGTACGTACTGTATGTATATGCAGGGAGCACACTTTAAAGTGTTTGACGCATCATCTTTGCATTCAAAGTTTATCCAACTGAACTATCGTGGGTGCATCGCCATCATACGAAACGAGTTTTCTACAGTACGAGAGAATACTGACGTAAACAACTTGGACTACAAAGGCTGCATGCAACCTTAATTAACTTAATTTTTTAAACAAAAATTTGTATTTGATTATACAGGCAGTTTTTGATAATCATTCCTGAGCTAGGAATTACCGTATTCTCCATTTTCTCGTTTTATGACTCCTACGGTGACCCTGCCTGCGAAACTTTTGCGTATGTGTGAAGTGGGATCGTACTCAAGAATGGGAAACAAATTTAAAACCACTGTTATTGACATGGGCAGCAACGTTCGGTTCCGATCCTTTCTTGCACAGATTTTGCCCTGCTGGCTAAGCTATTGATACCAAAGCGGCGAAGAATACCGCTTAAAACGCTAAAAGAAACGTTTTCGGTCAAAACCGTCAAATGATACAGAATTCATTTCTTTTGTTTGGACTGCTTATTTTTCGTTTTATAAAGTAATTAATTAGTACGTATTCAAGTGGTTTGCAGTTGTCAGTATTATAGCTTCCAATATGAGCTGCAAATATCAGAAAGAGAACACAGATGCGCATTTAAATGATATAAATTGTTACGTAAATCCATTTTTGTCAACTGTAAAATTAAGTTGCTACTACAGTACAATTCTTGCACGGCGCGTAAATAATGTGGTTTTTGTTGTAAGCTATCATACTTATTTCTTCAGTATATAACAGAATCTGCTTTACGTAAATAGATATTTTGCATATAGATACCGTATACATGCTCTACGTAAAATATTTAAAAAGTATTTTTGCGTTTATGCTTTGCATGTGGTACCCTTTAACCAGACATAATTGTTTCCACGTAATGATTCCAAACTTCTTATCCTGTACCATTTTCAACATTATTTTTTACGTGTGCAGCATGTTAACTAACCGCTGCATAAAAAGGTTGTAAGAATAGTACAGCAATTATTCGAGTAAATAGTTTGTTAAAGAAAAAGAAGGCCAAAATTCGAACATGTTCGAATTTTGGCCTTTAACTAACGTTTAGCCACCGTATTTTTTACAAACTGTTTTACTCGGGTTAACCCGCTGTTTTGCTGTTTTAAAAGTTACGATTGCAAGGTCTGTCGGTTTTGCATAATCCCAGTGGCAGTGTTGCATGCTTTTTCCCAGTTTACAATTAGTACTACGAATATAAACATTTGACTTTGTATGAGCCTACTCCACTAACTACGGAAAACCGGGTAGCTCTACAATGATAATTCATGTAAATTTTATTCTGTACACACCAGTAATACTCACCAGTGTGTGCACCAGAGTCCCCATATTATGGACATTCCCTAATTGCTTACCATTAGTTTAGAGCGTGTGTCGTACGTATTGAATCGCATACTTCGACATCTGTATACGAGTCATCCGGGAAACCAGATTTAATCCAGAAAGATAGACGCCAAATCCACTTGATTTAATCAAAAATGGCGCCAAAGTGAAGAGACGAAATACGAAAAATATGAAAATATGGTTGTCAACTTATTCCACTGTATATACTGTAGCTATATGTACTCGTATACGTGTACGTACCATGTTTACGGTCTATAACAGAACTCAAGGGATACATATTTAATTTATTGGAAAATACAATGCCTTAAGATTGCATTTAAGATGTCTGTCTGTACATGCATGGCTTGGTAATGTACGTATTAATTGTTTTTTTTATCAGATGTTTAACAAAAATAACAATATTTTCAGAACAAATCTTCCGCGCATAACAGCAGTGTCCTCTCGCTCCGGTCATAACTACATTGAGGAAGCCGCCGTCTAATCAATCTGTTAATAATATTAGTGGCTCCAGAATATCGTATTAAGTACTGTAGAGGTAGTCTGATCACTGTATTAAAAATTTAATAATTTTTAACATTAATATCGCGCTGGTTTAGGTTTGCGAACTATCAGAATTCAGTTTACTAGCTAGTAAACAAACAAGATCAGCAATTCGAATTCAGCATCGTATCTGCATAACAGCCTGTTATGATTATCAGTTAATGTATACGTAAGTACGACATGTAACGTAAATATTTCTACAGTGCTCGCTAATGCTTTTAATGTTACCCGTATATTTTATATTATCGTGCAAAGATTGTACACATGGATTTATTAATTTTATTCCGCCGGTGGCAACCGCTACTTACAGACGCATGCTTTTTGTGGACAGAGGTTTAACGAAAGATTAAGGTTAAGTGCTGAGCTGCTTTTCATGTTAAATCAACAATAGCTGCATGTTGTCTGCAAGTCTGCATATTAAGTATGAAAAGCGATATGAGTAAACACGCTAAAAAGAGTCTTACTATTATAAACACTGGAGATGGTTAATTTATTGGAACGCTACTATAAAAGTTACTAATTTACAATCAGTAACCCACGGGTAGCTGACCAGCACAATCTAATGTAGTGCAGCTTTATGTAGTAAATATTGGATAAAGTTTTGCCTTGAAAACGTTAGCACAGTACTTAATTTTGTTCAAGTGATAACGTAAATTTTAATTTGGATAGTAGATACACTAAAGTTACAGTCTGATTTTTTTTAAAGCAACAATATTGAAATAAAAATCAAATACCGCATACCGGTTAAAATACAGGAACTGCAACCGGTTTGTAGCAACTTACTGTATAAGTGACGAATAACACATTTCTCTTCAGACTTACGGCAATTACAGAAAGCGTGAAAAGGTTTATATTGCAAGGACAAATACGAATACAAATGTCTTTATAACTGAATGGGCGCGTCACGTTTGATGTGCTTTTCATTGATTAGAAAGTGTCGTCAAATGAGATTTTCATTGTCGAATGATTTTTCATTCATGACAGAAAATTGCAATCGGAATGCGCATCAAGCTCCGGCGACGGCCGATTTGAACAATCTGAATATTCGCGGACATCCAAATCGTAGGATGATCGACAGGAGACTGCGCTTCTGTTTCATAATCACAATGCAGATTTTATCTTCGTACGTGCAGCTGTGACCAGCCGCCAAATCTGACAGCTTCCAAAATACTGTCGCTGTTATATTATCATTTCTTGACTTTACGTTTAACGCAACTACGTACATAATAATATTATCAGCCGTGTACCCGCTTGTTCAAAATTTGTGTTGGTAGTCACTTGGTACGGCACTACCTGTTAAACTGACTGGTAAACCTGAAGTGTGCAATTACGCAGGCACATGGTCACGTTCAGTGTTATTTTGCATTATACACCGTGAAAATTTGGGGTGCCGGATGGAAACTCAAAAAGCTTCGGCTTTATTGCGGTCAATTTGATCGGTTTTAGATTGTCAATTTTCTATCAGTTTTCAGAATATTTATACCGTACGCCAATCATCATGCTATGAAACAAGCATGTTGGGCTTACTATATTATTGGTGGTTTAAAAACAGTTATTGTTGCGGAATAGGGAAGTCAACCCACGACTTGCGAGTGACGTGATATTCCACCACAATTTTTATGATGCACTGAACAGTTGCAATTATTTAACGAACGCTTCGATTCCACACCTCGTGTAAGTATCGAAAATGACACGAAAGAAACTGTTGAGCGGCTAACTAAAGTGAATTAGCACTCCCATCCCTAACAAATTACACCGAGCAGCAAAGGTCACGTAGATGAATATGAAATGGAGAGTAAACCACGAGCAAAACTATACTGGTACAGTGGTACCGGGGAATGCGGTAAAAACCTGAATCAAAACGGATCGATATGAGAAGTTTGGCAAGATTATTAATCATCACGTTGCGTAAAGACAACATCTGTATAGAAATATGAATAACAGTACTTTAGAGTTTGGAGACAGGATGCTTAGGATCCGTCGAAAAGTAGCTAACACCGTAAAAGCGCCGTGCTAGCGGTGTGAGATGGTACAAGATGTCAGCACTAACATTTGCTAATGGTGCATTGGCATTCACTGCCAGTGTACACGTAGCTGTGACAGGTAGGCCAAATTGTCGTTTAGTCGTCAAAAACAGGTTAAGCCTGGCGAATTTATAATCATTATGTTGATGTTCACACCGCCGATGGAAAGCCGCATAAATTTCCATCCACACTCGGTGGATCTTGAATCTTTGAGGTCAATAATCAAGTGTGAAGCACATCTACTCAAAAACGGCAGAAAACGTTTGTGCCAGAAAGCGCACACAGCAGCAAGGTGCACTTAAAAACCAACTACTTATTATCATGATCTAGTTGACCATACGAGCCGGTCAATTGCTAATCCACTTTGCCGCTCAGTAATGTTTCTACCGCGCTGACTGTGATGTTTTTCTTTTCAGCACAATTGTGACATCTTGGCTGATATGGCACGTAGGGGGCAGCGCTTAACAATGGCGGAAAAAGCTTGGCGCTCATGTTGTAAGCACAATGCACGATATTGGATGGATCATTAGGTTGGCTCCACCTTACCAGCACCATTCCACATGGTTGCGGCGATTCTGTGATGAGCGCCTTGGCCATTTTTTACAAATGCACACTTCTGCCAAAAACTGATGATGCGCTACGACACGGTCCTGCGAGCAGTGGGTGGCTTTGATTCATACCATACAAAAGCCGCTTATGCCGCTAACTTGATGTTTCAATTGGATTACGCCAAATACTTGTCAATCATTCCACTCGTACTGGCTCCAATAGCATTGCGTTGCGCCAGCATGGTCGCTTGCGCGCGCGCAATGTAAGTAACTGGAACTGCCCCGCAGCATGATTTTGTGGACGATCCATCTAAATCGTTGCGGCTGTACCGTTTGTGACACAGTTCACTTCAAAACGCCTGCTGACTGGCAATAACTTTTTGCATTTGTTTTCGACAATGCTTTTTCTTGTTGTATAATTTCAACCCATTGACTTAATATTGCAGTGTAAAACAGTCCATTCGCATTCAGCGGTTGAATCTGTTTAGTAGCTTTAATTTGCTCACCAACGGTTTCACTCTTCAACATCAGTATTAATGACGCCTTCATTTAAGCAGCAAATCAACCTCTTGGAATCATAATTAATCAGATTAAGCTGTTTTATTCTCCAGTTAATATGCGCTTAGCGTATACAGCGGCAAGTGTGTTTTGATTGATTCCCTGCTTAATTTTCATGCCGTCGTGTGTATAATGGCAACACACCACACGTCGTCGGCATCACTCCACAATAATAATTACTGCGACACGGTGCGCGCGGGTATGCACTCAGTTTCATCGCTGGCAGCAGCTGCTCACAACATCAACATCAACCCAACTGCCGCCACAGCATCCCTGTCGAATCCGGCATCGGGCACATTGTTTAGTAATCAGACAGCGTATCCGACGCTGTGGCAACATCAAGTTAACGCGGCATCCCACCATGCTGAAAATGACTGGAATAATGTCCTGCAAAACGGATTACGTAGCGATCAAAAGTTCCTATCTCATCCTGCCGCTGATATGACGTCGGTGACCAATTTCAATAATCGGACATCGTTACAACCGTATTGGCAGTTTACCGGTAATCCAGCGCCCTTTCAGAACACCGCCACCTCGGTAACCACCTATGGCCAGAACAATTATGGTGCACCCAATGGTATGGGGACGGCTAGCAGTATTTTTTCTCAACAAGCGGGGAATTCGATATGGCCCAGTGATTTCTCCGCATCAATGCGCCGCTGCAGTCCCGGCGATCTGCGGCCTCGACCATTCGGGCCAGACATGCTCACTCCATTGGAGCTGGATGACCCTGGCGAACTGCCCACCAGCGATGACCTCGAGCAGTTTGCTAAACAGTTCAAGCAGCGGAGAATTAAATTAGGTAAACAGATCGTATCTGCTATCCACTGGACGGCTAATAGCAAGGAGGTGACCTGAGGTCAGTTGTCCTCGTATGAACTTTCTTCACCCAGAATGTGTATACCCAATACGGCAGTGCTAGACGACATTGTTGTTAATTGAATGGATGCACTGCTTCATTCATTCGGTTACCGCGTACCTTGTTTGGGTTGAATTTACATATCTTTCGACAAAGAAAGCGGACCTTGTTTCTGGCTATCATGTAAATATTTAACAAACGATTTTTATCCTCAACATAATGACGCTTTTATGTAAGCAGCAATTTAACCTCTTCAACATGAAACAGCGTTAAAACAAAAAATCTGGTCTTGTTCCGCAGAATATACGAATAGCTGCTCTAATGGTCTTTGTGGAACAGTTTGATCACTTTGAACGATATTTACGGCCGCAATATGGGATTGACTCAATGACTCACTAGGTGGTAAAAATGAGATGTTTCTGATTTTTAAGGAGATGGCGAACTATAGAAACGAATTTCTTGCAGAACTGGCAATAATGTTTTACAGCTGTGCAACCTTGCCCCTCACGATAAAAATTATGCTCTAATTATTATAAGAAGCTATTGATTTCATTACTGCATTTCCGCTATACTGATATGGTATTCTCTTTATTTTTAGGCTATACACAAGCAGGTGAGCGATTTGATTGCAGTCTTTGAAAGCTTTTGCGCATGACCTCTCTCTTATTTAGACGTCGGTCTTGCTCTGGGCACGCTGTATGGCAATGTATTCAGCCAGACGACGATTTGTCGGTTCGAGGCGCTGCAACTTTCGTTCAAGAATATGTGCAAGCTCCGTCCTTTACTCGCCAAATGGCTGGAGGAAGCCGATAACACTAACAGCAGTCCCGGTAGCGCCATGCAAGAAAAGCTAGCTGCAGCTGGAAGAAAGCGAAAGAAACGAACCAGTATAGAAGTAAGAATGCGTGTGTGTCGGTTTAGCTGTATGCCGTTTTAAAGATCGATTTAAAACACGAACTTAATTTGTTTTCTGAAGTTTGAGTTTTTGTTATATTGTAAGTGGTAAGTAACATAGAGCAAACGTATGTTTTTCCATGTTATGCAGCGCGCATCCTTTTAACTTGTGAATAGTTACTGTACTATCATAATGCCTTTACAATTACGGTTGGGTTTCCTTAAGTTTGTTTATTCAGTGATCGCGCTTGCAGTTAATTGTAAGTGCAACCGTGCAAGGTTGTGCTCGAAAAAATTATGTAGCACGTACACTGCCGTGGGTCGAACGACGCAAACGAGGATAATGGCTCTAATGAAGAAATGTCGTACTTTTAATACACAATAGCCCAAATTAGCCAAGCTATTCTTAAGGAGCAGAGCTACAGCGGTGTCGAATTATGCTCGTTCTGAGTTTACCTGCATGAGAGCTGAAAAGCAGTGAAAAATAGAAGTACAGGACGTTTAAAAATTTCGGGTATATCTTCGGGGATAAAAATTGCGGGTATATTCTTCGGGTACAGTATATGATCATCTTACTTACAGTAGTAATGTATTATTAAAACGCCTAGCTTGACGTATCGTGTGGCGTTCCAGCGTTATGTGTGTTGCCGTAGTTTGTTGTGTATACGGTAGTTGTAGTGTAATAGCACCGTATAGTAGTGGCGTTGCTGGCGACGTATACTATACTTTTGCACTAATTTTATAAGTTGTAATTCTGTTGTACAGATAACCGTGAAAGGAGCCTTGGAAAATTATTTTCAGAAAAATCCAAAGCCCAGTGCCCAAGAAATTACAGCTTTGGCGGATAGTTTACAGCTGGAGAAGGAGGTAGTTCGTGTATGGTTTTGCAACCGTCGTCAGAAAGGTACACAGCAGTGTATGTTTTAATGATATTTAGGAATACAGGCGTGTTTCTTTTTGTAAATTGGATTTATAATAATTATGAAATCCGTAGTAAAACAAGTACACTGGGCTGTAGAGTACAGCAGCAAAAAATAATTGTCAGGAAATGTGTTATTTACAAAGTCTGGCTGCTTCTGCAGAAAAACGGATGACGCCGACGCCAAATCTGTCCGGAATGGGCGATGTTGATCTACATAATGGTAGCAATTCTCATGAGCACCAACACTGCAGCGATGATGCAAACAGTTCTTATTCAGATGATATTCTTAATATGTGAAACTTCTAGCAGTTTTCGGTTGTTTGCCCGGTTTTTAGCTAAAATTAAAGTCACTTTTTCAAGTGCAACTGTCACCGATCATATATGTCTGACCTAACTACTATCAGTTTCAAAAGCACAGTTTGCAAGACATTCCAATAAAGTTAATACTTCTATCGGCAGTATGCCGCACTGTTCCAGCTTATCATCGCCGCGCTTTAATCTGCGTACGTTACAATTTATAACTTATATTGACACACTGCTCTAGAGCACTACAATGCGCGTTCACTCATTGGTGTGGTGGTCCCGATTGTTAAAAACCGTGGAAATCGGAAATAAAAAATAAACCGCACTAATTTAGTTACGAGTACAAGTTTTCGTTTCTTCAGAAGGTATATGCATACTTATTATACAACATTCGACTTTCCTGTGTAATCGCTGCAGTTTACTTTTCTAGCAGTATTCATTATTTTCATGTATAGTTAATTAAATTCTCTTTGGAGCTGTCATATCTGTGCAAGTAAAATTCGACTGCACTTCACGGCTATTCAATACGTGCTGATTAATTATATAAGCTCCTATAAGGAAAATAATAATAAGAGCGCTTTTCGGATAAAAAGGGCGTACAACGGTGCATTGTAGAGCCACCACGAAGTTGCAACATTTAGCAAGGACTGAAACAAAAAATTAAGCCTATGAAATACAATAATAAGTAATAAAATCCAGTAATAAGTAATAAAACCCAGTACAGTATCCGCTATAATTTAATTTCTTGACAAATTTCGTTAATTCGTTTCGTGGAAAAACGGCAAACATTAGTGTAGGTTGTTACCGGCGCAGTCACAATGGTACCGCTTTACAATGTACATACAGATAAGTACCGTACATCGGTCAAACTTGTGATGTATCGCTGTCCTGAAGCTGCAGCGGAAGTCGTGAGGCATCGAAATCATAATGCATCGAAAGATCGGTACTTATATACAGATATAACAGTTATATGGACCATCACAAAAATCTTTACCTGGGAACTTATTAATCATCGGACTCGCCGGCAGACAAGAAGTTTATTATGACCAAATTTCAGTTTTTGACGCAGCGTTGTAGTTGCATCTTACTTGTTAGAAGTACAGGATAGCAACGCTTTCTGTAAACGTATGTATACGATTATATCTATATACTCGTAGTATGCAACACGATATACGTATGTATAGTTTAGGGCCTTAGGCGGTGTTGGTTGCAGTCGTAAGTTGGATGAGTTTCTCCTGCTTTTTAATATTTTTACGGTTATGGGTTTCATGGTACGTGGTTTTTGCTGTTCCAGAGCCATTACTATCAGCAAGCTCCGTGATCAGCAATCTTTTGGATTTACCGTGCCGCTTGTTGTCTGTAGTCTGTACCATGACTGTATGCAAACAATGGATAGCAATATGTACAAAAAATACCGTTCCGTTTATGAACGTTTTGCGTAGAAGATTAGAGTTTTGTACGACTTTTTTGAATGACTTGCCTTGTGAATTGTTTTTTCTCTACTTTGTACTTTGAGCGTTGAATAAAAAGATTCAAGAGATCGAATTTTCAATTTGTTAAAACTAAAATTGTTAAAATTATGTAGAATGCGCGGAAGATCCATTCTTCTCCATTGCACTCGGTCCATCTTCCTTATTGTATTTTTATGCTCCCATATTATATTTATGAAGATGTGCTATTGGTATTGTGCTTCGAAAGTGATAGAGGAAGTATCTGTTATGAAAAGTAGGCTGTTTGTAAGTTTCGAAGTAAAATATTAAATATTACACTTCGATTTTTCTCATATTTTGCTCATTATTCCATATTTTGTTTAAAATTTTTAAACCGATTATACTTACTATTTTCAGGCTTGTGGAAACGAATAACTTTGAATACTAGTACTCGTTTCCATAAGCAACAAAAATTGTACTTTAAAGTTATTAACCGTGTTTGTAATACTTTTTCCAATAATAATAAGCAATAATAAATAAGAAACTGAAAAATAAAAAATAATACATAAAATTAAATATTTAATAATCAATAATAAATTATTGCAATAACATCGCTGCCATGAAGAGATGACCTCAATCAAAATTTGTTGGAGCAACGGTCCAATCAAGGACTACGGTGATAAACCCTCAACAACAATAATACTTTTTTCAACAACATGATCAATTACAAAATTTAGCCCTGCATGGCCGGCAACCTGCGCTAGCGCATTTCTTAATTACCCCGTTTGCATCCGTACGTAACTGACGTGAGAGCACCAACCGTTTCTTGACCAGGTGAGAGTACCAATCGTTTCTTGACAAAATTAATATAATTTTTTATAAGAAACTCCTCATCGGAACATGCTTTTGTTTCTTGTATCCGGAAGTGCATACAGAAAATCTGGATCTCTACTTCAGCTAATTTATTTTCACAATCGGTTACAAAATTTGCGACCTCTTACAGTACAATATAACCATCAGAATGTAACTCACTAAAAATTCAAGCGCGTGATACTCGTGCAGCGGCATTAGTAGGGTGGGCAACAAACAGACATTAATTTTTCGTATGATTCCCTGCCGGTTGGTGCCGTTTCGGCTTTCAAGTACTGTATACGGTAGATCCTGAGCTGTATTTCCTCGCTGGATTTCAATGCTTTTCCGTTGTCAAATATATCTACAGCGTTTTGCAACATAACAACAGCTGCTTCTACGGACTAGAATCGTGCTTATTTTCTTCAATCTAAAGTTTTTGGAGGAATAAACAAATTGCAAACTTTGATAAAACTAATGTAGCTGATACAGATATGAAATATTAAGTGCGGGCATGTGGTATTAACGAAATGTACATGTAATATAATGTACATGTTGCTGCCATTTAATAAAAAAATATAAAACAATCCGAAATCCGCATTATTACAGGTACAAAACTGAAAACTGTGCTCGCGTGTACAGTATATTTTTGTAATCACTGCACCGTACAGTATGTACCGTACCTTTTATACACAATAATATTGTGTGGTTTTTAATTGACACCTCCTCCCAAAGACCACGTACCATAGCAGGCATTAGGCTATACATCGTGCTGTACGAGTATGAAATCAAAACTGTTGGGCAGTATCTCTGAATTACGTAGCGCGAAATGGGGGAGGAGAGGTGTTTAGAAGCGTTATTTGCCTGATATCGATAAATGATATTAACAAAAAGCGTTAGGCAGTAGGCAGTAGGACTAGGCAATAGGCACTATACGCAGGGAAGAGAAGGGGGTCAAACTTGGCGATTTTTGGCGTTACGTAATATATGGATGACAGTTTAACTATTAGTCACCGATTAGTGCCGTACATTATTGTACGGTACCGTTAAATTTGATGGTATGCCACTGGTTGGGCCAGATTTTCTAATGCCGTTTAAATCTCCATTGCTTGCTGGCAGGTTTAATGAAGTTGCTTTAACTCGTACACTTGGAATAATTTGGTTTTTACAATTTTACTTTAATAATACTTCGTAAAGTTCGTATTTGTGGTTCATTCAGTGATAATATGATAACTCCAGAACATCGCATCGATTCTAGTGTTAATTAAATTAATGACTTACAGTGGGCTGTACCATACGGCAGATCTGAGGGAATTGTCGTTTACAGCTGAATCTGATGATCAACCTTCGCATTTGCGGTACTTACTTTGTTGCTTAATATGTATCTGTATATAGAGGGATAACGTGGAAATTCTGACTTGTTGTGTGCAATATCGGACACATGTGACTACTTGCGTGTTTTTGTTATAATCGCATTTTGTTCGACTGAGGATCAAAATGTCACATTGGTCGCCTACACACGTCCAAGTGACGGTTATTAGAGCGAAGAACTTAATTCCTAAAAGCAAGAATGGAGGTAAGCATCCACGAGGCCGTAAGCGAAGCAGCGTAGTGTGAAACCTTACGATTGGGAACTTCTACCTAGCTCCTGCCTCCAGCTGACGCTCTTCTAAACTGAAGTGATCAGCTGCCTGTTACCAGTGCTTTTTATCAGACTTAATCTTGTTGTAGAAAAGTAACTCTAAACAAGGATAACTTTATTAGGATAACTTAAGGTACTTAATACACGGTAGATGCGTTTGCAGGAAAATTGCTAGCTCGGAAAGTTAGCATTGAATTGTGTTGATGCACGCCGCAGACTTGTTATAATTTATAATTTTGTACGAGTTAAGACTAAAACCTACGATTTACCATCTATTTTATAACTGTTTATTCTAACCAAGCGTAGGATGTATAAACAGTGTCAGTAATATCAGTAATTACCGCAAGCACTTATAATCTTATTTGTAATAAATTGCGTCCTGGGTTTTTACAGCAGCACTTTTTACTGATTCGCGGTTGTTTAGCTGTTACACTTACGCTTTAACAAGAGAGTACTGTACTGTAGAGAAACTGTACTGTAGAGAAATGTACTTTAACTGTACTGTAGAGAAATTCTCTGCAGAACTAGCAGTACTTTACATTTGCACAATTTGCTGTCAGTGACTTAACGAAATTGTCATTTTTGTTATCCAGAAACAAATAATGCTTATGTCACAATCCAGTTGGGCAAAGAAAAATTTGAAACATCCGTGCAGGAAAAGAGTAAATCTCCGGAATGGAACGAGGAGTGTGATTTGTAAGTGATATAGCGCGATGACGTGGATATTTGTGAATTGTTCAGATTGCATTTGACATTGCCCATGGGTCAGGCGGGTAGCCGTATCAGTGTCGATATTGGGCTTTTTGTCGATTTAATAGCATCATTAGTGTTCACTCGTGAATGCTAAGAGCTCCTAAATGCTTGCGCTAATTTTGCTAATCAATGCCAGCCGACGCTGCGTAAAAGTAGGCGGAAAAGCATCGAGGAAAGTTTCACGCTTGGAAGAGCCTAAAAATATAGAAAAAAAGCAAATTTCATTGGCATGAGATGCGATATTTCCCGTTGATGAAGGCGTACTTGTCAAGTGGTTACTTTGGAACAGTGCGAACAATGCGTAAATTTTATTGCACAACTATAAAGTAGGAATCAATTTTCATGGCCAATTTCTGACCTTTGCTACCTGGAGCTACTTGCTGTTAATGTTTGATTTAAAAAAAATACATAATTATAATACTCATCTGTGCAATCTCTGAGATATTTGCACGGTTTAGCTTGGGACAAGAAATTTCTACCATTTTAAAATGATAAATTAAGCCTGCAAAGTGAGTGTAGGGTTTATTATTTTACATAAAAGACGAATACTTTACCTTCGACATTATCTGCGGCAGTGAGTTTAATCATAATTTGATTGGTCTTTGAATGCGCGCATGAAATTGTTTATTGTTCGCCATACTGCGAGCACTACGAATCAGGTTTTTTTGCGATTCAAGTATCTGTGCCTTCTGGATATGTCGACCAACAGTTGTCGTGCTGGTCTTGTATGTGTTTATCACTGCTAATTTCTTTACTTATATTAACGGGATTCGCAATTCTTCGTTGCAGACGTATTGCGGACTTGACGGGATCGATTGTTTTGACCGCTTACCATAAACACACTATTGGTACGGATGACTTCCTTGGGCGCGTGGAACTTCCGTTACAAGATCTGAATTTTTACGAACGCCCCAAAAATATGTATGGACTTGAAATTAGAGGAAAATCGGTAATGTAGCATACTTTCCGTGCATGAAATTCCTGTGTTTTAGATGGTTTCCGCTGCGCAGTAAGAAGAAGGATTCTAATAAAGAGGAAAAATATCGCGGGGAAATTCAAGTGCGATTGAATTTCTATGTGCAAAATCTTGCTGTGAGCGTGCCAAATCTGTTGGAGAACGGTGGGAAAAAGGAGCGTTCCAGCTTCCGGTCGACGCTGTCGAACACATTCGGTAAATTGATGGCCAGGTTGTGTTGGTAGTGTGAACAGGGGAACTGATCATTTCTCATGGATAATAAACAATGCGCAACGCTGAGGATTGTTTAAGGCCGCTTATCGTATCGGACTTCATAATACGCTTAAAGTTGTTACATGATACATCCGGATCTGATCGTTGGTTTATTAATCGTCTTCTTTGTTCGATAACCTTATTGTCACGTCAGCGTAGGTTTCCTCAGCCGGAAGGCTGGTGCATCACTATACAGCGTGAATAATCGTGATAAGGCGACACAGATACTATTTTAAATAGAAGCATTTTAAAGCAGTTCTTTTGTCATTGTTTGTTTTGTAACATCGCAGAATTTAATAGTATCATGTACAATTTACTTACCGTCGATAGGGCGGACAGAATTTTTTTACAGTTTTTTATCGATGTGTGTTGTTGGATTCTGTTTCTGGACTGAATTAGTATGGGCTTTCAGGTAAAACCCTTCCTAACAGAAAACATCATGGATCTGTTATGGATATCAGCACTTCCAGTCCCAAATCTAGTGGTGGATTATTTTCGTCGCTATCCCGCTCACATTCGAAGACCCATTTAGCGTCACAAACCAGTACCCCAGCTGACAGCGGTTACGGATCGTACGGCTCCAAGCCGCAATTGACGCCCGAGCTGAGTGCCAACCGCAGCATTGTCTCGGAGAAGGTACGTGTAATGTGTAATGGTGGGTGGATGACTGTTTACAGTGGGTGTCTGGCGTCAGCTCCATCTCAATAGCTTGGCCTTACGCGGCGTGTTTGGTATGTCACAGCTCAGTGATGATGTGAGTTTCACATCGTCCAATGCCGAAATCCGCGAGCCGGAAATTGTGGTCACACAACCCGAGAGTGTCGCTGCCACAACAGCACCGGTGACCAAGTCGTCCAGTTTCAATAAAGCCAAGTCTATTGTCAATTCCGTTATATATTCGGTATAGTATCTTGGTTTTTTCTTCGTCATTTTTGTTGGTTGTTGACATTAGTGTGCATTCCTCGTCCAGACAAATGGCAGCAGTAACACCTTACCAAGAACTCCTAGTGAGGTGGAAATCAAACCGGATTATTCGAAAAGCTATAACAAGTCGTCGAGTATGACAGTAGAAAGTAAGTTCAAATGAGTTCTTACGGTATGCCATAAAGTTGCCACTTCGAAGGCTTTGGGAAGAGTTAAGTTGGCACTTTGCTTGTTTTGTAGCTAATAAACGGAACAGCACGCTGAGTGATACGTCGGAAAAATCACCCCGCTTGAATGGTGATATTTTTGCGAAGCATCAGCCACGCTTCACGGAGCCGGCGGAACCGGTAACTCCGACATCGATTCATGTTTCGAAGGAAATGATGAGAAAATATGGACATCTGGAAAAAGCGGTAAACCAGTCTCGCATTTTATGTTTATTTAAGTACCCTGTATCAGTTAGGATCTGTTTTTTAATGCTTGTGTTATTATTGCATTATGTCTTTCCGTTAACGCAATCACTATAGAATACCCGTAATACTCGAATCATCGCTGCATTTACAGATCTGTATTTGGAAGTGCTGATGTAGGATGTTTAATACAGTGGCCATTTTAATATGCAATACTGACTGAAAGCGGAATCTTGTTGCTTGATATTGTTTAGAATGTGATGATCATTAGCTAATTTTGCGTTTTCAGGATCTGATTGCTCGACTTGTGGATGCTGAACAACGATTAGGCGAGAAACAAACTGAAATCGATCGAATGCAGACCTATATTGAATCTCTCTTGCTTCGTGTGATGGATACCGCACCGAAATTGCTCCAGACGTATCCTGCCGATGGAACCCCAGTGCGACGATAATTCTTTCTGTTCGAAATCTGTTGTAAAAACGCTTGTCTTATTTATGCTGTATTCTTGGTTTTAAAATATTTTTGATTCCTTTTGCTTCAAGATTTTGTCTTCCAAGACTCGGTGGCCATTTTTAACCCGGATGGGAAGCACTTTACGCACGAAATTTTAATAGTTCTGCTGTTTCAGATGTTATTTCATGTTTGCAAAGATGTGTTGCTGACAGTGAGTGGAGTTTTTTGTAGGTGTCAACACTGGAGTTGTTTATACGTTTCTTTGGCGCTGATTCTTGTTGTGACCACATAAATAAAATTTTATTGATATGAATTACACCATATAGGTAGGAGCACAATTTATATGTACAGCACATAAATTGGAATTATAATACTACGGATACTACTAGAAGCTATAAGCATAGATGGCATACATGCACAGGCAGTTCATGAGTGTTTTTGACGTACAATACATGTATTGTATCTATATTTTTTAATAGAATCCGGATGCATGTTACATGTAGAGCTAACGTGCTTGCACTGCATAGAAAGGATGAATTACTGTAGAGTCAGTAGAGATACTTAATTAATTCATAAATTTCATAAGTTGTGATTAGTTTTTGTGAATCATTTCTCAGTGAAAATTCTCACTACTTTGTCCACTCGTACCACAGCGTTTTCCACGCATAGCTTTTCCAGTCTAATAACGATAAAATTAAACGGTAATTATTTATTCGATAAATAAGTACGAGTACGGGCAGAAGCAAGCAAGCGCCGGACATACGTACTAGTACGATTTTATCGAAGACTTAGGATATCTTTTTTATCCGCTGGCAGTCCAGACCTTCGGGACTTTCGGAACGCCTTTCGCCGAGTTTATCCGTTTTGTCGGCAGAAAGATCCGTGAAGTTACCGGGGAACCTCGATCTACCGCCGCCGCTTAAGACAACGTTTAAGTTTAGCGGTAGTCCGTGGAAATGCAGCGGCTGTTTTGGGTACACTTAACGCATGTCCTAAGGTCATGCGAGACACTAACGATTTTGGATGTTTTTTTAATGTTTAAAAATTCGATGGTTTTAATTGGTGTAAACCTGCGCAGGCGATTTGTTACGTACAGTAGTTATGCTGGCCGAAGCCTAGTGTTGCCGTTTTGACTTTTCGTGAGTTTTCGTATCATTTTCGTGCGACCTCCAGATGCAACTACCAAAGCCGAATAAAATCACAGTACGGGTACCGTTTATTAATTTAATATTATATATTATAATACCATACATATGTGCATGCTTAATTCCCACTTCTCCAGTGATTAGCCGCGTAATGGCAACCGCACGTACTGTCGTGTGCGACTGACAGTGTGACGCGCAGCGGTGTCGATGCCGCGTCACCATATATTTAGGTGCGAAGAGGTTGCATATTTAAAGGAACTCAGTAGAACGTTTAACAAAATATCAATCAGCCAGAAAATTTGCAAATTTAGATGTTCATTATTTTAACTGAAAATCTAGAATCATGATGAATTTTTTGAATTTCTTAACGATCCTGTTATTTGCCAGTACGACTCGAACCGAGCTGATTGCAAAGGGGGACAAAAAGGTCCTCGTCCTGTTGGACAATGCTAATATTAAGGAGACCCATTCAAAGTTTTTCAAATCGTTAACAGGTAACTCAAGTACCGAATGAACCGTAATGTAGATTTAATACACTTATCTGTGCTGCTTCTTTACGGCTTCTTACAATCCTAATCTGACCTAGAACTCATACTGCTATTAATTGCAGACAAAGGATTTGAGTTGGATTTCAAGCAGGCCGATGCGGCTTCCCTGACATTGTTTAAATACGGAGAACGCCTGTACAACCATATAATAATTTTTGCGCCGTCTGTGGATGAATTCGGTGGGCAGGTTAAAGTGGAAGCCTTGGCCAACTTTGTTGATGATGGTGGAAATTTACTTGTGGCAGCCGGAGACAATTTGGGTTAGAAATTTCTTGAATTCAACAGTCTTTTTTTACGTCTTTTGCTGCGAACCGTAGTGCAGCAGTTTTGCAGTTGGTAGCGCCTACTCCTGGTACGTTATTTATTGAATCAGCGAAGTGAGTAGTTGAAGTGTGTAGCTGTTGCAAAGAGATTTGCAAAAAGAGTTGCAAACTGTTGTTTTCTGAATTAGGCGAAGCGATCCGCGATTTGACAGCTGAATTTGGATTCGAACTGGACGAAGATACCAGTCGCGTTGTGGATCATTTTCACTATGACGCAAAACTGGACGACGGCTGGGTAAGGTTTCGTTCCCTTTTGATCACCATTCACAGTTTTCCGTTTATTAGCAGCGAAGCAAATAGTACTTTAGAATGGAGTAAAATGTCATTTAAAAGGGTACATATTTAATATTCAGTTTTCCATTCTGCTTCGTTAATTTGGGTTTAAGCGCAGCCTAGTAAAGCCGCTCTGTTGTTGCAGCATTCGACGGTTATTGCTGACTCTGCAGCCCTGCTAAAAGCACCGACCATTGTCGGCAAGCCCGCGAATGCTCCTTTGCTCTTCCGTGGTGTCGCGTAAGTGATTTCGGCAGAAATAGTGATGCTTTTCGTCGAATTAATGTTTTTTGTTCCTTCATGTTCACAGTTTGCTGCCGGACAAGGAAAATCCGCTTGTTTTGGAAATTTTAAGAGCGCCTTCCACGGCATACTCGCATCATCCTACCCGTCCGATTTCTTTGGTAGCGCCATTTTGAAGGTTGAAAGTAGTCACTCGATGTCATTTGATGGTTTCGGTCTGTAGTTTCCTTCCGGAATCGGCCGGAATATTGCTCTTATTGGAGCACTGCAAGCCAGGAATAATGCCCGTGTTGTGGTTTCCGGTTCCTTGGAATTTTTTAGTAACCAGTTCTTCGATGCCACCGTTAATCCGGCTGAGGGAGAAAATCAGGGATCTTCTTCGCAGTAAGTAGTACTGCAAAAATTAAAATATTTCATGCGTTTATTTCCGTGCATGTGCGGTTATGTTTTCTTCTTCTGCACAATTTCCAGATCCGGAAAGGCAGGAAACGCCGACCTGGCGATCGCGCTGGCAAACTGGGTGTTCAAAGAATCTGGCGTGTTGAAAGTGGGAGCTGTGCGACACTATCGCGAAGGAGAATTCTCTGAGCCAGCCGATTACACGATCAAAGATAATGTTGTGTATACCATTGAAATTACCGAAAAACAAGGTGACAAATGGGTGCCTTACCACGGTGAAGACGTACAGCTCGAATTTGTTCGTATTGATCCTTTCGTTCGCACGAAATTGACAAGAAAAGGTACTTCCGGTACACTTGTTTTCCGTTTTTCTTGTTGGTTGTAATACAAAAGCCGTATTACAGATGGAAAGTTTGTCGCCCACTTTGTGGTTCCCGATGTTTACGGTGTCTACCAATTCAAAGTGGATTATGACAGATTGGGATACACTCACTTATTTTCGACTACACAAGTGAGTTTAGCTGGGAGTGGCGACTTGATCACATGTTGCTGATAAATATCGCTTTGTACAGGTATCCGTGCGCCCATATAAGCATACCGAATACGAAAGATTCATCGGATCTGCATTCCCGTATTATATAAGTGCTTTATCAATGATTGCGGGCACTTTCTTATTTGTGATAGTGTTTAACAGCTTTAAAGATGACGAACCGGCATCAGTGCCGGCTAAGCTTAAGAAGGAGCAGTAAGTGATGTTTTTTTGGCTACGAGCATTCGACGAGCTCGCAGCACCATTATTTTGTTGTTATTGATTTTATTGGTTTCGATGACTTATAATTTCATTTTGAGTCAAAGAAAAGTTTTGTGATGGTCCGGGCCTGACGTAATTTGTTACGGGCCTTACGGCGTCATTGTTTTATTTACAAAATATTTGTACAAGGCGGCTAAAGCTTTGTTATCACAAAGAGCATTTTCACCCTGAGCAAACTTCAGCTTTAAACGTGGGTTTTCCGGTGTTTGAGGATTTCAGCAGGTGTCAGCAACAGGGTTTTTCCACATTCAGAGCACGCGTACTCTTTAGCAAGGGCGCTTCTTGGTTTTTCGTCGTCGTCGACTTTTTCACTGGTCTCTGAAGACATGAAAATCATAAAAACTTAACGCCAAACTCAAATCGAACTTTGGATGCATAAATATTAACTATGCATTGTATAATCATTCATTCCATCATCTAAAAATGCGTGCGTACCTAAATTTGGCTGTGCAGAAATGCACCCGGTAAAGTGCATTACGCGTTCCAATACTGAGCCTTTGAATGACTGATCGCAATTTGAGCAAGTCCAGCTGCAATCTGTAGTACACCTTTCTTTCTCTGCAAGGCTACAAACAACATATCCATAAAATTCAAGGCAACAATACATATTTTCAAAAATTATTTACCCAACCCTATTTTTCTTTAAATGAAAACGTGGCAAACATGATCCAGTATTACGCACCATTGGTACGTGAAGTATGGTGTAGCTGTCACCCCGCCTTTGATGATGTTCACATGCAACGATTCTGGCAGATTCGAAGAAAACGATTCTGTTAACAGAAACATGAAAAACTAGCTCAGGTAAATGTCACATTAGTTTCAAATGTTCCAAGACCCACCAGAAGTGCCCACATAAAGCAGTTTCATATCAGCGGCCAACAATCTTTTAATAGAAAAAAGAACAGGAGATGCCGCAAAATTGGTTAGCTTTGCTACGAGATCCCTTTCCAGAGATTTTGAAGTTTTATTAGATTTTCGGCCAAACTCTGTTGCAGAAACTTCGGATTCTGGAAAATGCTCAGCGATTAAAAATACATTACAGCCTGAAAACGCTAAACAACTTACCTAATAAACGCAAAGTTAGGAGGCTATTCCATATTTCTCGTATCCAGATGGCGGCCTCCAAAAGTGATTGAGCATCTTCGATATTATGAACATGCATTTCTATCCATCCATCAAACACGAGCCTGTATTACAAATACATCGTTAAAAAGGCCATTTTTCGGGACCTTCCGTTATTTTGGATTCAAAAATTGCCGCTCAAATTTTTATTACCTGGAACAATCTCCATTCGAATCGATAGACGAAGCAAAAAGCAACATAGTATGCAATGCTGGAACCCGCATGCAGTTCATCAGATAAGGTTTGTTGGTTTCCAGTAAAGAGACGTAAAAAAGCAACTGATGACCTTCGCTGAATGATTCTCGCCTTGTTAGTCCCGCACTATCCGTTGGGCGAAAAATCTCCGTTTCACTAACCAGCAGAATTTCCGGGCGCAATGCAAAAATGCTAGTGGGGTGCAAAACCACATATGGTTTGGATTTTGTATGAAAAATTTGGTCTTGACCAACTTTATAGCTGTTGCACTCGTCCGCAATTGCAATGTTCGGATACAAGCCGCTGCACAAGATCATCTTGAGAATCTGATTCTCATGCTGAGTAAGATCTGTGGTTGCGTCAAACATATCATCTACGTTTGACCGGTCATTTTGCAACTGAAAATCAATGTTTTGTATGTCAACTTCGTCGCTGTCCTTCTCTTGATCGCTGGCGCCTGCGTCCTCTTCCAGGCTCAGCATCTTTCGACTCTTGCTGGTCTTCTGAGCGGTTCGTTTCAGAAATCGCAATTGCTTTAATTCGCCTTTTCGCTGCCATCGATCTGTTAAACTTTCTTCCAAAATCTTCTTCATGTCCAGTAGCCCGTGTTCCTGAAGAATTTCTCGAAACTGCCCAGTTAGTTTAGTCATCTCATAAAGCCGTTGTTCTTCGACTCCCCGCTTTCGACACCACCGTTTGGTATTATCATTCTTGTCCGTCTGTCGTCGTTTTTCTTCCAGCCAAGCGTGAAACACCCGAATGATGCAAAGCGCATCGCCATGGTCTGAAAATAGCTGTTCCAATAATTTCTGCGATTCCAAATCCCGAAATGCACGGTTGGTGAAGGGCGACTGGACGCTTAGTCCAGCCGTTATGAAGAGCACCGGCTCTAACAGTCTCAGTATTAAAGATCCAGAAACTAGGATTTTTCCAATCATAACATCCAGTGGAAGTTTGGCTAAACTTTTTCCCATTGGAGTGATTTCTTCTTTTGTCGTTATTGCATTGTGACTTTTCAAGTTACTGAGACTCTGTTCAATGGCAGTATCGTCTGGAGGTTCAATGAAAGGAAATTTACGCACTTCCGTCAAACCCATGGCAATCATCTGTAACAGTAAGCTGTCCAAGGGAACGCGCTGAATTTCAGGAGTAGAATACGGGGAAAATTCGTCATAATCAGACTGCTGATACATGCTAAACGAAAAACACAATTCTACAAAAATCCTGCATCCGCTTAATTTATTACATTCAGTTTGAATGTATGCTCGTACGGTCGTACAGATCAAACGAGAATACATAAAAGGACGGTTTATCCTCTTACCGGTAACAGACTCCAGGACCAGTGCGTCCCGCTCGCCCCCGGCGCTGCTCTGCGCTAGCCTGGCTGATCCAAAATTCCTGCGTCAGAAAATATTCTTAGTACAGTTTAACAACAAAATGCGTTTGAACAAAGAGATTCACCTGTAACCGCTGCATCCGGTATTTGTGATCATGGCTCATCTCCTTCACACGTCCTGCAACCAAGAAATTGTTACAGTAGCTCATGTTCCTTACAAGTAGAGCCGGTAAACCTATTTGCTCGCTTTAACGTGCCTGAATCAATAACGAAGCGAATGCCGTCGATAGTAATGGAGGTTTCAGCAATGTTTGTGGCAATAACACATTTCCTAATCCCATCTGGAGCAATATCAAACACCTGTTCGCAAAGGAATCGTTAATTTTTACATAACATGCCCATAAGCAAACTCAAAATTTTAAAGCCATTCATTTTTGCAATCACCTAAATATGCCAGAAATAATCGGACATTCTTCTAATGTAATGAACTCCGTTGTGAATATTTTTGTTTTAATAAACTATAAGCATTCTAATACTGATAAACAATCATAAAATGCTATTCATACTTTATCTTGCTCTCTGAGTGACAAGCTGCTGTGGAGAGGAAGAATAATCCACCGTCTCGTCTGCTGCGCATACTCGTTAGCCGCCTCCACAACAGTAGTGATCTCGTTTATTCCACTTAAAAACATGAGAACATCGCCGCGCTCTTTTTCGGAATACTATGAAGTTGCATGCAAGTCAAACAAAGAAAACTTTCCAGTTTCCATCAAAAGCAAACGTACCTTCTTGTCAATCATTTGCAGTATCCTAACATAAGGCAATGGGTTTAATCGAGCAGAGGAAGAAGATCGCGATTCGACAGATACTGGAGTATAAACAACTTGTATGGGAAACAGCCTTCCGGGAACCTACACCAATAGCGAAGGGTGTGCAGTACTTTCATACACATTCGGTGTACCGTGTACGCAATATGAATATGCATCCGAAATTCGCACCTTACCAATTGCAAAATACAGGCTTCTCAAAGGATTGCAAAAACACATTCCGAAACTATATTACAATATGGCACATATTATAATAATCGATACTTAAAAAATTATTAAAGTATCAAGTATTCAACATTGCTTTATCAATATCAACAACAATTACCGGTATGTTACCTGAATAACGGGTGCATCATTGAAATATGTGGCAAACAACTCTATGTTAATCGTGGCCGACATAAGGATGATCTTTAAATTTTGCCGCTGCTCCATCAAACAACGAACCACACCCAACAAGAAATCACTATGCAGATGCCGTTCATGCACTTCATCCAAAACAAGGACATCGTACTGCGACAGCAGTGGGTCGGTTCCGATCTGACGCAAAAGCAGACCTAAATCAGAAAAGCAGTCGCAAGGGATTAAAGTTATGATCTCAAGAAACTCATCTTTCATTTCGAAGAATACTGAGGAGGAAGTAGAAAACCAAATACAATAACAAATGACTACTGTTATTAACCTTCGGTCATGAAAACGATTCTTGTGTGAGCTGTCTTGGTCTTCTCGAAACGAATTTGATACGCCACCTGAGATCCGTATTCATTGAGAGTTTCGAAAGCCACTCGTTTCGACAAGGAGATACAAGCAATCCGTCGCGGCTGCGTGCAACAAATTTTATCGAAACCAGCCTTTAATAAATACTGAGGAACCTGGAAAAAAGCGAAATTCAATAACTGCGATTATAACGTCACCTTTCCTGGTAGTCTGGTTTCGTTGGTATAAGAACTAACAAATCATTAGTACTGTATATCTCCACTAATTTAACCGTGGAAAAAAACCGTACAATTATAAAGAAAAGAACGCAATACTTAATACTAAGCATCTCCTATTCAGCGCTAGTTTACCTGAGTAGATTTCCCGCAACCAGTATCACCACTAACAACAACCAAAGAATGGCTGTGGAGAGCGTCCAGAATACGTTGGCGATAATTTGCAATCGGAAGGTTTGCCTGGCTCTGTCGTAATTTTCTAAGTTTCTGAAGTTCTTGCTTCTCCAGAAAATCAATATAGCAAAGTACAAAATAATGTACACTCTTTAGAACATCAGATGACAATTCCGGAACGTCATCTAAATGGATGAAAAGCCGCAAATATGTTACACTAACTAAAGGTGATAACAACTGCAACTTGCAAGCATTTAATAATTATTTGTCTTTAAACTTTTGAAATGTATAAACAATTCAATACAAACAGCGTCAACGCTCTGTTGCCTTTTAGAAGCTAATGCGGGAAAAATTTAAAAAAAGTCATCAGCAGCCGATAACCTACTGTTGTCGCTTCGGATGTATCGATAACGGTTAACAATGTTGAAGTGCTTAGGACGGCAATGGAATCTTTTTAGCGCTTCTTTCAGTTCAAATTTTTCAATGGAACCTGCCAAGGCGGCAATCAAAACATTTGTCATTCGCGCTCGAAAATCATTTGTTCGGAAATTCCGGGACCGTAAGTAAAATTTACAATTTTCTAGCCAGAATTCATATCAAACCTTATGGTTAGGTTCTCCAGCGTACGAAATTCTACCTCAAGTTAGTTAAGTAGATTTTTATACGAAGCCAGTAAACAATTCAAAGTTTGAAGCAAAACAATAAATAAGCAACACGGCCATACGTACCTTTCACTCGTGCTTGTTGGGCTATTTTTGACAGAAATCGGGATACAAATGCCCAGAACTCGTTATGAGTGTCAGCGACAACTGTTCCCGGGTTCAGCCAGCCGCCACGTCCAAAGACCATTCGGCATATTGTTGATTTAAACGGTTTCCAGTTGAATGTGAGGTCGAAGTGGATACTGTCGCTGTCCTGAAAATATCCGTCCCACTGTTCGCACAACGGCGTATCTGTTCTAGCTGGGTCTCTATCCGCGCGTTCTCGTTCTCGGTGACGATTATACTGTTTTCTTTGGCTTGCATCGCTTCCGCCATCGTAATAACTCCGCTTACGAGAATGTTCCCCTGAGCTTCGCCCCTTTGAATGACGAGAGCTCATTCTGTCAACAAAAGTGGTATGGCATCAATGGTAACTACTGTTGTTAAACTAAACGGTAAGTCCTAAACGCTTTTATTGTTGCAGTAAACTGTAAAAATAATAATTATTTATATGGTAAAAATTGTCTCAAGCGATAGCGAAACAGAAAACGTAAACAAAACGAAAATGTACGTAAATGCCGCATGGTTGTGGTGGAACGACTGAAACTGTATGTATACAATTTTTTTGCAATCTATTCTGCTGGTACAAGTTTCGCAACTTATTATTGTTATCACATTTTAACCAATTCTTTTGCACTACAAAATCATGATTTTGAGGTCGCTGCTCTGCAAAAAAGTGGTTTCAAAACTAGTATGGAAAGGAAGCGCAGAGAAATATGGAACCGCGTTTTTTATGTTCAGCAGAAACATCTCCGCAAAAGCGGAGTCCAGCAAAAATGAATCAAAAGAGAGAACTGCCTCTGATATGTCTGTGAGCAAGCCAGCTTCCAGTCTTCCCAGTACAAGTGCCGCGGAAAAAGGTAAGTTCAGGGTCTGACTGATAACATACCGTAGGCATCTAAAACCATGATGTCGCTAAAGCTTTGAAATCGGTCATTTCGGTGATATGTAGTCTTGGCTGTGAAATGGAACTTTTAAAGGGAGTTGTTCAGTTGCAGTATCCTTTGGAATGCGTAATGGCTGATGATAATTTTTCTTACGCTAGTTGCAATCGTACCTGATAATATTTTTGTAAATATTTATGTACCATTAATTTTAGAGTTTAAAATTGTGCATAAATCGGGTAACAACTGCAGATTCTTATGGTCTTGCAAGTTTGCTGTCTGCATCAATAACGCTTCATAAAAGGCGCAGGGCTTGTCTTCTTGTAGTGAAACAAGCCGGAAAGGATGCGTTTTGGACTGGAATAGTTATCGCAGGGATTGCGGTTACAGGTACACCGCACCCGTCCTGACTCCTGAGTGCTTACTATAGAGCAGTACAGGAATTTGCTTGAAGAATACGAGTACGACTACGCACTCGTGATGATTTCATTGGCGTAGTGGTCTACCGTCTGCCTAAGCACAGGATGCGGAAATCCTTATCCACAGTCGTTTGTCTTTAGGACTGATGGGTTTTGTTATATTGCGGGAACTTTTTTCATCGACAAGTCCAAGCGGAGTGTATTCTGAAGCTTTCAAGCGTTGCAAAAAAGATCCCAGGGTAATTTACCATGTTTTGTTTTTATCAATAGGTTGCCTTCTTTTGTTCATCGAGCAAAATTAAACCATCTCTAGAAAAGAATTTCTTTTCGTATTTGCTGACTAGCACGGTTTTTACTGTGAGAGGAAATATTGAATTCGCACTGATAGCGTACTTGAAAAATTTAAGATTTTCTAACTAATCCTCAAGTCTTAATGCTGTGTCTTGGTGGCCTTGATAATTATGTTTGCACGTAAATTCTACACAGATGTGAAATGGATGGAATATGTGCGCTTTAATAAACATGGAATCACAGTACTATCCTTGTGCACCTATATCGTAGGCTCCTAGGAAGTGTTCCTGGTTACCGGCTTTTTCTAAAACGAAATATTTTTGCAGGTGCAGTCCATTTTGGGATCTCCTATGAAGGCGTACGGAGAACTGAGTTCGTTAAGAGGCCGTCGGCGACACGTGCAGTAAGTAAATCGTATACATTTTCCTTGCTGTCACTACCGGTGGCAGATCCTACTTGTGCGGTTATAACAGGAATTCCCGCAACTTTTTTCCTTGTCCGTAGATCAGCACAGTTTACCGACGGCCAAGCTCAGGTCATTCAGCTGGTCTTTTACGTTAGTGGACCTTTCAGTGCGGCAACTGTGTATGTCGAGAAGGATGTTACTAATTCGTCATACAGAGTTTTAAGGTTTGAGACAGATGATGGAAAGGAAAATTTTTCGTTGCTTGACGATCCTGTGAAATCTCGGCCTTCTACGATATTTAGTTGACTTCTGTGATATTGAATACGGTTTTGTTGTGTTACGTACGCGAACTACAAGGCAAGCCGTTGAAGTGGCTTTCGATCTTTTGCGGCAGTTTCGATCTTGAACTCCACGTGGTTTTGCCGTACAATATACGATGTCCGTTTTTCGAATTTTATTGCAAATAGAAAAAGAGATCGGTAAAGTCTAACCAAGCAGAGATAGCTTTCCAAATACAGAACTCGAACATTCATAAAACAACTGCATACATACTTGTCCATTGCGGAAGTTAGCGAAAGCGTTAAAATTTACACGATTGAATAATTTATAATTATCTACACATCATTAAAAAATATCATATACTTCGTAAAACCCATACTTATTTGAAACACTGGGACGACTGAAAGGGTACAGAACATTAAAGACGACAAAAAATGTCCAACCAAACTCGATATTGTACAGCTACGAAGCAGGCGTTTGCACCACCTGTTTTTAACAATAACATCCGAACCAGATTCCACAAACACGCCAGGCTAATCCTTTTCGAGCGACTAATCGAACATAGCGTCATCCGCAGCAAGCATATTTGCATCCAGCAGCTCAAACGTCGTGATGGCGACGTTAATGCCTAAATTCCCGTTCTCTGCAAACTGCTTGGCAATGGCCTCTTCAAACATGACGCAATCGCGGCTAAAAACGTTAGCGTTCACTCCATCGAGAATAGAAATCGGGGTGGCTTCCCATGTCAACTTGCGTCTATCACCACCAAGTTCCAATCTGGCAAAAGATGCCCATTAGATCACCGATGCCTGCGCGTGCAATACAAAACACATACTTATAAGCGAACTTTTCTGCATCTTTTCGGTTTCCCACGAAATAGACCACTGCATAAAAAACGCATCCATCGTTTCGGTCCTGTTTTTCCAAAATCAAAATAAAATGATGGTTGAAACAGGTCTGCATCATAACCCAATCAACCGCTCCCGGAAGTGATATATCCGTTGCCAGAAATACGATATCTTCGCCTATAACATCGTCAACTAGTTATCAAACCCACTCTGTAACTGGAAAGCACTTATCGAACCAAACCAAGTAAAAATAAGACAACCTTGAAGAGTGGTGATACTGGAATGAGCAGTTTTCAGATGCGTTGTCACCTGCTCCAGCGGGCCATTCCAATTGCAGCCCGCTCCGGGACATGGACACGTGTAGGGACGAAAATCGCATACCTCTTCGTGCTTCAGTTTGACAAAACAACCCATAGTTTGTGTGCAGCCTGAATTACTGAATCGGCAGGGAAACACTAATGTTGCAGCAACTTTCTCCATAGCCAGATTCCTGACGCTCCCTAAAAATCACGAACCAGGTAAAGAACGGCTGGCAACGGTTTTGCCCATTGGTGGACAATTTACAGCAGAAATCATTAATTTTACAACGAATGCGTACCAATGGGGCCACGACAGGAGGGACAGCAACTCAGTTTTTCTCTGCATAATTGGCACACCAAATGCCCGCTGTGACACTGAAGACATTGTAAAATTTTAAAGTGGATGTAAATCAGCAGTACTGCAAATGTATGTGTCGTACCTGTAGCAATGGAGGAACGGCATAATCAAAACAAACTAGAAATAAAAGCATTGGTAAAGTAAACATTACTGGAATTTAACTGTACAGAACACGCACAACTCAGTACTGACCAGGACACTCGAAATGCCCTATTAGGTCTTCATTTTTGATCGCTAATGGTGCTCCGTTGCTCAGTGAAGAAAGTGCGCCTCCAGCGCACTCCGAATTCATCTGGTGATTCTCTGCACGAGAATTCAGACCAGGCGGAGGTGCACTGTTTGGTTTAGTTCCTGAAAAGGAAGAAATTAGCTTTATTAGGCGCGTCCATACCAATAAGTCAGCCATAACACTAGTGGAATCAGTCAATTCCACGAGCGCAGTAAAAGGACACATACTTACCAAAATGAGGCATGGAATATCCCAGGCGACGACTCATTCCTAATCGACAAAAGGAACCACTAGGCATTGGAAAACATCGATGAAAGCGCAGTAAATCCGCGTTCAAACTTATCCCAACAAAAAGCAACTACGTGGTTCTCTGATCTGTTGTGAACATGCGCAAAGCACAGCCTTCCGAACGCAACAGCAGAACTCAATAATTTTGACAAATCAGGAATGGAAATATGGAGGTGTACCTTAGCACATTTGCTGCCTTTCGCAGAACTTGCGAACTTTAAGTAGAGGAGCAAAATTCATATACTTGTATTCAACTTGTATAAAGTTCCCGAATTGAAATCACTGTGCATGGGATACGTACATGAGACATCCTGGACAAGGCTGGATTTATCGATCAGTTTGCCATCAAAGCAGGCAAGTTGTACGAAATGTGTGTAGTGACGCTGTATACAGTCCGTACGAGTACACTTTATTAATAAACTAGTATAAGGTCTCATACGCCCTTAGGGCAAGCGGGCGGCGGTCTTTAATTTTAAATGTATAAGGCAGCAAATGTGCCAACTGCCAAGCGGCAAGCATTCACTAACATGTAAACACGAAAGCTGCAAATTGGCCTTGGTAGTTAACATTTAGTTTCAAAGGAACTGCCGCGTGCATGTTGCTAAATCCGTTCAAACTTTCGCTTTTGCGCCATCCCAAAAACTTTTTTACAGTCCTCAGTAACATTTTGTGAACAAATAATTTGCGACACTAAAGTAAAAGCCATTTGTCGACGCAACATCTGGTTGGAGAAGGATGGGCGAGATAAATTTCAGTAAGTTTCAAAGCTACCCGGTACAGAAAAAATCTCATTATGGACCAACTTGCTCAAATCTTATATGTAATTGCACATAAGTATCTAATCCCCAAAGTATGAATGTATTGTACTCTGTATGTATACCGAACAACGGCTCTAAGCAGTTTTTCTCAATTTTGAAACAGATTTCAGAAATTATAAAATTTATTTTGAAACTTGGAAAAAATACCGTTACAGTGGTTTCGTCACTTCTGTCTAAAATCACTCCAACCGGATGTAAAATTTCCCTACGTTGTTGTAATTAATTTTTTTTACAGCGAAAAAACCATCAGTGGCAAAAAGAAAATTACAGCGGAACGAGCAATTCGATAGTCGTGAATTTAAAACAGGATTACCTAAATTTCTCGGTTTCACTACTCTGTACAACCAGTAACGGTTATCGCGCTGATCGCGAATAGCGATCGGCCACTAACCGGGTGTTGTCCATTGCGACCGCTCTATACAACAGAAAAATTAATATATTCTACTATTTGGAAGTTGGTGAAATTTAGAGTTTTCTAATATCGCTTCCTGTAAAATTCGGCGCTACAAGTTTGCTAGTTTCACTTTTATAGAATATCCGGGACTTTAATTTATAGAACGCATTTGAGGAGCACGTCGAGGCAGGCTAATATGGCTTTCTGATAACCAAAAACTTGCAGTAACCATTTAAAAGAACTGTCTTGGTGGTTCCAGCATTTACCAAACCAGCATTAAGTCGAAAAATTAGTATATTCTACTATAAGGAAGTGGGTGAAATTTAAACCAAAACCACCAGCAGAAAATCAGAAATATAATCCGGTTTCGATTTGAAACTGAATGCATATTTAACAAATGGATTAAGAAATTCATAAAATTTATAAAAAATTTATAAAAGAAAAGAAATTTGATAGATTAGAAAATTATCAGTTTGAAAACTGATTCTGAAACCAAAACCAGGTCTCGAGAATTATACTAAAAAATATGAAATCAATTTTGGATTAGAAACGTGGGAAACTGATAGATACTAGTTCCACAACTTAAAATCAGAAATATAATCCGGTTTTGGTTTGAAATTGAATGCATATTTACCAAATTGATTAAGAAAACTTTTAAAATTTTTAAAAAAATTAAACTTCAAAAAATTTTAGAATGTGTGGGTTGTTTTTCAGTGAGCCTTAAATTTGAGAAATGATTCTCGTATTAATTAATAGGTTGGGAGCACCAGTTTAATGTTTACTTTGAAATTCATAAACTATTTTATAATTTGGCATTTTTAATGAGAAGAAATATATAAATAACGGGGATTATAACTTTATTCATTACATTTTGCGTTTGGCATTTTTACCGGAAATGAAGTTTACTGGAATCAAATTTTGCATCTTCGGGCTTTTAAGTCAGTGCTGATCGACCTTTTGAAAAAATGGTAGCAAAACAAATCTAACGTGTGTTTTTGCACGACCTCTTTAGACCTTTAACAACGCAGTAAAAGCTTTTGCACCTTACGTATCCAGTTGGTTAAATGTGTAGGTATTCAGTTAGCTGAATTAATATGAATGTTTTTAAATTTTTCCAGATACTAGATATATTTTAAAATTATCAAAAATATCTAGCGATAGAAGAAATATTTAGAAAAAGATTCAGAAAATTTAAAAATAACCATAAACATTTAACATAAACATATATAAACATTTAACATCGGTATTTAAAAATCTTCAAAAATATTTAAAACCGTTCAGAAAAAATTCAAAAATATTTAGATTTATTTAGAAATATTTAGAAATATTTAGAAATATTTAGAAATATTTAGAAATATTTAGAAATATTTAGAAATATTTAGAAATATTTAGAAATATTTAGAAATATTTAGAAATATTTAGAAATATTCAGAAATATTTAGAAATATTCAGAAATATTTAGAAATATTTAGAAATATTTAGAAATATTTAGAAATATTTAGAAATATTTAGAAATATTTAGAAATATTTAGAAATATTTAGAAATATTTAGAAATATTTAGAAATATTTAGAAATATTTAGAAATATTTAAAAATATCTAGAAAAATTTATGAAATTTTAGGAATATTTAAAAATATTTAGAAATATTTAGAAATGTTCAGAATATTTAGAAAAAGATTTAGAAATATTCAAAAACATTCAGAAAGTTTTATAAATCTGAAAAAAAAAGATATTTCGAAATTTTGAGTAGTTCATTTTGTTCTTCAGATGTGGTTAGAGCGGGTACAGATGGAACCACGTTTCGAAGCATTTCTAAAGTGCATAAATATAAATGATACATCGGGGATCCGAATCTGAGTTTTCCGAAGACTTCGCTTTGACTGAGCACTTAAAAAATACGCACTGGAACTTTGGCGCCCCCCGATGACGTGGTCTCCGAGTGTCATATACATAAGACTGTTTTGGCGACCTCGGGGACCCAGGTTCGCGATCCCCGAGTACTTAAGTTAGACTCACCAGGTCAAACTGCGCATTTGCAGTACCTATCGTGGTGGCGACCTCGGGGGCCCGTTTTCGAGGTCCCCGAGTACTTTAGTTCGACTCAGCAGATCAAACTGTGCGTTTGCAGTACATATCGTGGTGACGACCTCGGGACGTGGGTTCGAGGTCCCTGAGTACTTCAGTTCGACTCAGTAGGTCAAACTGTGCATTTACAGTACAGATCGTTTTGGCGACCTCGGGGACCCGGGTTCGAGGTCCCCGAGTACTTCAGTTCGACTCAGCAGGTTAAACTTTGCATTTGCTGTACATATCGTGGGGGCGACCTCGGGGACCCGGGTTCGAGGTCCCCGAGTACTTCAGTTCGACTGAGCACATCAAACTGTATAGGAATCACCATGAAAATTGGTGGCGACCCAAAGGTCACGCGGCGACCCAAAGGTTATGGGTACTTCCCGTCGCATCGAACCCTCAATATGTCTTGAATTAGAAACGCGGGCTCGCTTCGCTCGCCCGCTTGATAAAGGACGAGCATAAAAGTGCAAGCACCTTGATATCATGCCAACCGCCCATGTGCGCCACCTCCTGATGGTCGTCAGGTAGTGCTGCCTGAGATTGTCCGGATGTCCGGATTTTGTTCGGCGGCCATACTGTATGTCAACGTTTGCGGTTAAAAGTGCAATTTTGTTTTGCTTGCTCACCTGTCCGGACACTAAAGGACCTGGAAAGACTAGGCGGCCATCGAATATTTATATGTCCCTGCCTACCGCCCGCATGCCACGCCGAAAGCATTGCAAGAAGTTCGTTGTGTACGCTTTTGAATATGCCGATGACCTTTTGCGAAGAAAACAGATCCAAAGCGTCAATTACGCATGCGCGCGGGACAAGCAATTGTGAAACTGGTTTTTGGAGATGATTCAGACTGAAACAATGTCACCTTCCCCTAGGCTTAGGGACGCAATACGCTAAGAAAACTTCCGCGAGTAATCCAGAGTTTGAACATAACGCCAGTTGATGGCGCGAGGTTCCACTTCGGCGTTGGCCGTTGCCAATATTCCACGCCGTCAGAACGACTGTGGTTTTTTTTACTAATCTTCGTTTCTTTTTACTAATCTTTTTTACTAAGAAGTAGAAATGCGGTATGGCAGATTAACAGTAATTCTGTCTTCAAAAACTCGAATAAATGCTGGAGCATTGCTGCGCTTCGGCAGTGTCGTATACCTAGTGTACGTTGCGCACGTCGAAATCAAATACTGGCACGCATTCAAACCGCATAGCGCGGGTTTTATTTCTCCTTAATGTAGACACGACCGTCATGACGTTAAAGTATTAACTCAGGTTTATGTTAAAATAAATATCAATAACTTTCAATACTCACAGGATACTGCAGAAATTTGCTAACCATCGGGAACCGCTGCCTATTGCACCTACTCTGTATGCTTGCATTGTTATAAGTGCAGACTTCCAAGCTGTACGGCTTTACGAGTAAAGTACTCAGTACTTTTCGATCGATCGAAAAGATCGTTTGATTTTGTAACTTCTGTCTTATTGTTTGTGGCATCACCAAATTGTTTGAAAGACGCTTATGACACCGTCAGTCGAATGAAGTTAAGGAACACGGTTAACTCTCGGCAGAATTTAAATATTGTTATCAGGGCATGTCGAGTTACCAACCCTATTTCAATGTTAACAAACAGTCTAAGGCAATTGGACATTGTTGTTAGAGTAGCTTGGATTTTCGAGTCCCATTCGATCTCTAGCCGAACGGAAGGACACTGGTGGCAGAGGCTTGGTCACTGGTTGCATGAGGAGGCCCCAGATAGCCAGTCCCATGTCCGCAATTCCCGTCAGACAGTGCAGAACATGAAAGGGTAGTGCCGCATGTGCAATGGTGATTTGCTGCAATTACGAGGGTATGTCTTTGCAAGTTCTTTTTATGTTAATTTAATATTATGTGACTGCTAAACAAGATTCGTTTATGTAATAGTGTAACAAACTAAAATCAAACACTAGCTCGAGTGGTGACTACTGCAGCGTCTGTAAGGCTGTATAACAGTGTATATATGTGTTTCGTATGCGTTATGTAATTATCAATCTAACTCAATCAGGCATTAGGTATTAAATAAGCAATTCGAACAATTACGAAGATTTGAAACGGAAACGAAGATTTGGAATGTAATTACTGCGGTACCGATAATTCAAATGCACGCTGCTGATTGTGTATATTTATATGTATATGTTATATATGTACGATCTGTATGAATTTTTACGTTTTATTCACCGCCGGATATCAATCATTAGAAAATTTAGATTAAGCTGCAGGTATTTGATATGACATTCTGCGTTTCTTTTAGGTAATTTTTTTACAATTAGTATTATTTTCAAGCGCTTCGTTGCTTTCGATTCATACGAGCAGTGTGCTGTTATGTTGCATTACTTGCATACTCGTACTCACCTGAAGGTTGGCTTCTTCAAACTGATGCGAAGTTCGATAGGCAAGATAACCACTGAAAAACACCAGGATAAAGGAGAACGGAATGCTAATTCCACTTAATGCTTTAAATATCTTCACGGGCACTGTGACATCTGCATTCTCGTTTTCCTTTAAAATATTAGTGATTCGAAAAGCCGCAACGCCTGCAAGGATGAAAACGATTCCGGCAAAGATGCCCGTGGATGAGTTGGCAATATCTCTCGCATAGTCTGCCATATAGATGTTGAATTCTGCAGTGTGCAGTCCTGCACATATGTGCACTGAAACCAGCAATTTGCCAATAACTGAAGTGTGTAAAGAACTGATTTAAAAAATAAATGTAAGTAATCGAGTTGTCGTTGGCATGTGACCTCAGGTGCTGATGATGTGCATGTACTTTCTGCAGGTCGATACGTGTGATTAAACAAATTCTTTCACCACATCTTTTTGATTACGGAATTCGCATCATCAGTATCCCATTGGGATGTTTTGGCAAAACATGGTAGTGTTTGGTGTATGGTAGTGTTTAATTTACATCGATATGAATAAGGAGTATTACAAGAGATTCGGAGATTTGAGCACAAACGAGTATTTCTTAACAGAACCATAACAAAAAATAGCCAGAATCATGGTACTATTACAACACATATGGTTAAAGTACTTACCTCCGATTTGCCAAATTATACTTAAGCCACCGGTAAAAAAGTGGCCGATGCCATTCTTTCTCAGTGATCGTGCAGTTGGAGAAAGCATGTTTTCAGAATGCCTTGGTGCTTGAGTCACTCCACAATCAAACCAAAATCGTAGTACGGTACAAAATTTAATGACCAGAGGTGCGAACAACGGGAAATGCTGGCTCTAAACTTTTGCAACCACCGGGTAAAAGTCAGGTCACCGGATGCGGAAGCCAGTGAACGGATGCCACAAAATTTTGTCAGCGACAACCTTTCCAGATTTCATTGTATAAAATTGTGTTTGCGTAATTCCGTGCTTTTCAAATGAGACAACAAAGCTGATAATACAAGTTTGCAGATTATGTACCGATACACGACCCACATTTACTATTACGAACCAGTAAAACCTAACACTCTTTTTAATTCGGCCAGTAAAACCTAACATTTGCAAAGTTAAGAATGAAGTATGTCGAATCGTCAATGATATATGGGACGAGACTGATACGCCAAACTGGTAACATTATTCTTTATCGTAATTCATGGTGATAACTTCGGGTCAAAGATTTGACTGTTTGGTTTTTAATTGGTACAAACTGGTGTCACCGACAATTTTCGAGGAATGATTATGCGCAATGCAAACTGAAAATTATTAGCTCGGACTAGAACAGGCGAGATCCAACAAAACGTCGAGATGATTTGACTAGTTTTTACATTACCGATAAAATTAAAACTGTAGGACAACAATTAACACTTTTTGCCCTCCACCAGAGATAAATATCTTTTAATTACACTAAAGTTAATTTAGTCTTGCCTGCGTTAATTCTATCCATCGTAATAAACTTTCGATTTGTACATACGAATTGGCGTATGTTTATCTTTTTTTACATGTTGTCTGGTTCACGTGAAAAAAAACCTAAGAATTACTTATAAATAATCTAAAGAATTACCCTAAGAGAACCAAAACATAACATAGATTGTGGTACAATCCCAACCAAAACATAACATAGAGGGTGGTACATTTTGTGTGTAAGTAAAAAAACATTACGTAAAACCGTTAAAGATAGTCTCTTTAATGGATTTACGCGATGGCGTTTTACGTATACAGATAAGTAATCGAATTTATCCATGTTTTTTATGCCGCCAATCTGAACTAAAATAGTACATTATTTTACAAAATGTGTCCGTATATCTATAGTAGCGACTAGCGAGTCATTTCATTTTCATTTCATTTTCATTTACTTGTAACAGTATTACGTCTCTTAAAAATTAATGATGTTTGTTAATTGTATCCGATTATGCACTCGTATAATTGTTGTAGATCTAGCAATTTTATAAAATAAATGCGGTCCACATATCTGCACCATACAATAGGAATAACTGGACAGAGATTTTGGGCGCTTTTTTAAAGTTCAAATTTAAACTGTGGAGCAGATTGTTCGCATTTGCATTCGCACTTTTTATGACTTGATGGCTATTTCCTATTATTTAGGGTATCATTTACTCCAACATACTATGACATACACGGGATACCAAAACAAAAACTTTCGAAGGCTGCTACGGTAAAAAGCGGCAGAAATTGCAAGGATTTACTACGCAGTCTTCAATCGGTTCTTTACATATACTTGTTACATTGGAAAAGTCTTTCATTATATTAGTTCCATAGATTCGAAACACGGTATGTCCGCGATACATGCAACAACATTAAAATGGTTGTACGAGATAAGTCACCGGCAGGCGTATTCAACAGTGCAGCGAATCAAGAGCACGTTGAAAGCTGTACGAATGTTCAAATTCAAAAGTTTTATGATGGTGATTTCAGTGGTCAGTTAGGCTGTTAGTACTGTTTGATCGCTTTTGCCGCAAGGAAATTGGTTTAAATATTACAGCAGAATGGTGATGTAGTAGATTTGAACTATGCGTACGTGCAAAACCGGGCATTTGAGCTTCACACCGGTGATCCACCCAGCCGCTTGTCCAGGAAACCTACGCTGAGTGGGAGGTGTTTAGATCTGCTTGGCTGTCCACATTAACAGACGCGGTCGTTCCCATTCACAATCACCGCGCAGGTGTTGCTGCGCTCTGAGCACTGAGCAGCATATTTCATTTGACTTACCTCTGCAGTTTATCTTGCCACAGCACTGCGCCGACATATGTGCAACTCCCTGGCTAGTCTACTAGTCTCTGGTCAAGAATATTGGGGAGTTGTGCTGCGTTATTCATTGAGACAACAATAATTACATGCGTGCGCTTTTGATGGATATGGGATCATAAATTAACTGGGCATTGCACTGATGTGAGGGCTTCCCGTTATATCATTTAAATGGAGACTCCAGCAATTGTTTCATTGTGGCCTGTGGAGCCTGCAGAGGGATTTGATGTGGATGAATTCTTATCATCTCCCCTTGTTTATTGGGTACGGACCTGTGGCCGTTGAGCAAAAAGCACTGAAAAAGATAACAGTTACAATCAGATTAGTACATTTATGGATCGTTAGAAATTTTTGTGGTTGCATTTTCATTCGTTTTTGGTGTATATATGTTCGCTCGTATACAAAAAGAATGAAAGTACGAGTAGTTGATTGGTGAATTTCAGACCAAGAATCTGGCTGCAGTGGACGACCGCAGCATAGAACCTTCGGATTTATGCAGTAGCGAATTCCTGCGGAATCTGTTGTCCGAAATGTAAGTCATGCAGTGAAGTATGCGCAGTAAATGTCTGTGATTACGCTTTCCGTTCGGTGGTAATGATCCCGCTTAGCCTTAACATAACATGAACAGCTGGACGGCCACCAAACCATTTCGTGTGCTCTCTCCGTAACGCATAAAATGCAAGAACTGCACTTTTAATTTTACAACATTTCCCACAAGCTCAGCTACTTGGAAGAAAGGATCTGTGTGTTCAGATCTGTGCCCATCAATGGAAATATCGCCTTCCGCTCACTCTCTGGCGTGCAACTGTGTTGCGAGCAAAATGTTTGTTAGCTTTTGAGGTTAAACATTCCGAAAATTTTGAGGAATTAAATTGCTTAATATGAGGGAAAGCCCAGCAATAATCTTTACAGGGGGTGGAATTTCGCCTTCAAGATGTTGCTCATCAGTAGCTATTTCGATTTCAATAAATTATCATCAAACTCATACTGCTGCGGGGCTTCAATCTGTTTTATCTGAATTCTGTCTCACTACACGTCTCACGCGTCTTATTGAGCGATATTATATGTAATTCACGAAATCCTGCTTTCTCGCGCTTTGTGCTTGACTTGTGACCCCTTATTCCGCACACAACGCGCCTTTCTTCAAGAGGTTTATTCATAAAAATTAATATTCCTTCGAGGGGGAAATATTTTGCCGCATAGTATTGCATTTTAATCAAGTGTTTCCTTTATAAACTGAATAATCTCGCTTTATCGAATGTTGTGTGGTCATTTTATAGGTAACGCACAAGTTATCAGACGCCTATCAAGAGTCAGGATAATTAATAATAAATCTATACTGCATCGTTATTTCACAGATTTAAACCCGTTCTCAATTTGTCAGCCATAAATACAGCCATAAGACGAACATTTTGTAGATAGAATAATCGTATCAGCGTCATAAACAATCAGTAAAACAGTTGCTAAACAGACATAATTTCCCCAAGGTTTGCACAAGTGTTATTGTTGCTCACATAGCCCGTATCCCTCCTTTGATTACTGGTTAACAATGGTCTTTAAAATCGTGCGCAGTTCTTATCTCTTATTTAATCGCAATGGCCTTGAAAGGTGCCGCAGACCTGCAAAGACGATTGTTTGCGTGAGGCCGCATATGCACATTATTATGCGCTTATTGAGTCAAGCTCGAGAGTAAAGTTGCCGCACCAGGGATTCTGCAGCAGCCGGTTGTGTGTTGTGACCAGATTTTCCGTTCAGGGATTATATGATTTTCTACAGATAGACTAGTATCTGTGACTAGTCTGCAGAGCCAGTAATTACTGTTTGTCGCGCAGTAAGTAAACGGTCACTTGCTTGAAGATATAAGTCGCAATCAGATTAGCCGTTTGTTGCCGGTTGGATGAAGTTTAAAATCTCCATTGCGGTCGCGCCCCTCTGGGAAGTAGCACAGCCTTTCCTGGATGGAGGAAGTGGTATTACACAGCCAGTATAATATTCTTATGGTCACTTGTGTTCCCAGACCTCAGGTCAAACCGCTGATGCGTTAATTTATTGGTCTTCACTCTTGGCTTTTCAGCTTTTGCACCTTCAAAGTGTATACAATACACGGCCAGTACAGTAGTGCATCAATATCAGTGTTTTTATACCATTAAATGCGACAAAGTATCACAAAGAAATGAAAGCGTGATAATGATTGCCAAATTAGAGATTAATTAGTTTAAATTTGAACACATGTTTTTTTGTATTTTATAGACAGCAAACCAGAAAACCATAACTGCAACGAGGCGAGTGTCGATAGCCGCACTGTGAATAGGGATGTTTTAAAATAGCCGAACACAATTAATTTTGATTGTTGAACCATTGTAGTGCATGACGCATGCTAATGCATCCCAAACCGGGCGAAATCTTATGAATAGCATTGAATACCGCTGTTCCTACAGCGTAAGCGGCGCTAATGAATTATTATTGCAAGCTGCGATTGCTTCCGCAATTTACTTTTATTACCAGTTGATTCACAGACAAGTTGTATTGCGGTTGAGAGGTACACACTAACCGAAAGAAAATAATACCGAGAACATAACATCTCTAATAACTAATAACTGAAAAGAGCGATGAGCGAAAATGAACTACTCCAGTAATATTCAAGTAATAGTAGTGTAATATTCAAGTACTGTTTGTACGAGTATTTTGTGTATCCGTTTCTTTGTTGGGTTTTGCCAAGCGGGAAACGCTTTAGTGGCGCGTGGGTTGTGCGTGCGTTTTGAAAGACGTGCTGTAGGTTTACATATCATACATAGAAATTATCTTTTGTATTGTTGCTGACGTTCATTATCATATTTCAGCGATCCTCATTTGCCCGATGGCCATGGCAATGATCATAACGATCCCGTTGATCCGGTTCTTCGAAGATTACATGTACTGGAAGCCCTGGTGTTGCATATTCGTCGATATTTCTCGGTATGCAAGAGATGACAGTTAGTGGCAGATAGCATACGACGGATACGAGTTATGAAACTTACCGACGTCCGAAACTGAAAATTATCTGACTTCAACGTTGCCTTATTTATTTTCCATTTGAAATCTACTTCCGGCGAGCATGAAATGCGATAATGCTTTAACTATTAAGATAATACACCAACTGTACCTTTGAGCTCGTATTAAATTACTTGCGGTTCATGACATTTTAAGCTTTTTATGGGATTTCCGTTGCAACGGAAATTTCCTTGGTAAAATTATTTTAAAGGGATTCATCAAATGTTCTATTAAATTTATTTGTTAGGGTGATAGGGTGCGTCGCAAATAATATTTTTTCTAACTCTCACATTTGTTTCATCAGAATAACTGATTATTCTTGTGTGTTTGTGGTTTGCTATTACTGCTAATACATGAGGCACAAAATTCCCGAAACAAAATGTGAGTGAGTTTTAGAAAACCACTGATTTGATTTTGCAGTCCTTTGGTAACCTTTATTAGATGCACGTTTTCCGATTACAGTGGTCCGGACTCCGGACGGTTTTGTTGCATTATATTTGTGTGGCATGGTATGTCAGTTTAAAATTTGTTAAAGGTTACGCAGAGGCAGAATTGATCATGCAGGAATGACAGATGGTACCTGGCTACTTTGCGTGTATTTGCTGCAGCAGTCGACAGACAATCTGATTTTGTGAGCAATATTTAGTCTGATTGCTATACGGATGAGTGAGTCTACGAGCCGGGTAAACCTGCAAGGTACACTCGATTGGCCGAAATTATCGTTTTCCAATTCAAGCTGAATTTTTACAGTTGCGCAAATAAAACCGAGCTAAGCTAATGATAGTTATTAGTATTACCTTCGAGTGAATACCGCGCTCTGTGAACATTTTTTTCTTTTGATAGTTTGTTTGTATAAAATTCTGTCACTGAGTTGCGGCGTCATTTTTAATCTGTAGACAGGGTTCTTTTTTTAGATGACTCGAATAATTTATGGTGTGAATGAATGGGATGATTAATGCACAAAGCGGTGTTGCAAGCGACACGCAACAGGTGCTATTGATAAAATTTCCTGGTTGCATTGGTGCCATGCATGTTTATAAGCGTGAGAAAAACTCATCAAAAACGATAAAACTACGGCACTTTTTCTGTTTAGGCACGAAGTGGATAGTAGTGTTTAATATTGATTGAAGATAAGGCCGGTTGCGCATGAGCAATAACGACCCGGGTACATAAATAATTCAGACCTGCGAACAAGCCTGGTTTCCGGTCCGTTCGGTTGGGTGCGCGATATTTAATTATAGCATATTGTTTGATTCACTAATATTTGTGTGCGGTTAGATATATACAAGTCCCTGAACTGGTATAGTGAACTTTCGATCTTTGCCGTTTACGCTAGCCTAGAATGCTGCGACGGCATTTTGTTATTTGACAAATACAGTTACATAGCTTGATCCGTTGTGGTCCATAACAAGTTAATTTTTTCGAAGACAGTTTTGTGTTTACGCTGGTGTATTTCACAAAGCTTGATGTAATCATGGAATTGAACAAACAAAATCTAAAAATCAAACCAAAACATTAACTTCACAACTTTATAACGAGAAAACTAGCACTACGTACAACGAAATACCAATTAATACGAGATCGAGTAAAAGATTAACTATATTTGCTGGTACGGATAAGCAGTTTTTATAAGTATTTCATGTTGATTTTACTTCGGATGACAACATGACAACTATTTAGTGCTATGTGGTCATTTTCTAAAGTCAAAAGCGTGAAGTCTTTGCTTCGAGCTACTGCATTTATGCCAAGGTTGCATTATAATCGTAGTAAATGATTGCATTTCAATTACCAAACGATCTTATTCGCATGCTGATCGGCTTACAGGAGATCCTTGGCCAAATTATTGTTATGCGGCCACCCGACATTTTATATATCAGCCAGTGTCCGACAGCCGGTATGTGATGCTCAGTAGCTCAGATTTATGTGGAAGCACCTTGAGAAAACATGTTTACATGTTTCCAGAACACGCCGTACGGGAGATGCGGAGTTTACTTCTCATGGTGTTGAGTTTTGCCGTACAATGCAGTCAAAAGGAAGACGTTATTGAGCGTATTCAAAAGATGGACGAGTGCGCACAAAAAGGCATCGTAGAGTGTATTAAAGAGGTTAGTAAAATCTTTTACAAACAGACGCAGCTTGAGGGAATTGTGGTAAATATTTTCTTTTGAACGGAATAGGTGACAGATAACCCTCAGAGAGTATGGAAAATGGAGCATACGGACCTTGCCGTAGTGGATTATCCATCGGCACACGGTGACGGTCATCGCAGTGGACCGCTGTTGATAGCCCATCAGCATATTAAAGCGCTTGTTAACGATCGCGATAAGTTGTTAAAGGTGCGGGATTCGGCTGGACTGCAACAGTTTCGAAATCATAAAATGTAGCTTTTTGTTATTACAGCTGGTGTTGCTGCTGTGGCGCGAAAACTATCAACGCAAAGCGGATGGCAGCGGGAAGAAGTTGATGCCAGGAGGCATCCATCATGCCGCGGAAACCGCCGATCTCAGGGCGCAGATTCGCCGTCTTTCACAAGAATTGTACGCAAAACAGCAGATGCAATCGTGATTTCCCTTTCGCAGTTATATGCTGTAAATTTTTTAGATACGAATGCGGAGAAGAGATGAAGGAATGCAAAGAGGAACTGCACAGGACCATGGTAACGGTGGATAGTCTACGCAAAGAAAATGCCGAATTGTCAACAAACACCCGTCTGGTCAAAGTGTACCGTGATGAACTTGATATTGTGTACGAAAAGGTGTGTAAGATCTTGAACCCGTGTATTTGCAGTTGTGTAGGTGGTGGGTAATTTGTTTAAGAAAGCAAACTCTTGCCATACGCATGTAAATAGCATGTAAATAGCGTGATAATTGCTCTTGACTGGCACCAGTTACAGCTTGTCGGTGTAACAACAAAGGCGCAGTGCTTGATGTGTTGTTTGGAAACTTTCAGTTGGACAGTGCATAGCCGGAACAACCATGTTAATCAATCATTACGCTAAAAAAAAATGGTTGCCTGTCGTAAACATAAGTAATTAAACCAAATACCATTATAACGAAGAAGGGTTACTTAAGTTGACAATACGCTTCACTGGATATTTGTGAGTGACTGTCATTCTGTGTATTGTGAGGAGAGTTTTATTCCGGGTCGTTATCATGTTACAGGAAAAGAAAGCCGAGAAACTGGAGAGCGAAGTTAACCGTTACCGGAGCCAATTGAACGAAATGGAATATTATAAAAATCGCATTGAAGAAATGCAACAAAATCTTCAGTTGCTGTCCGAGGCAAAGGCTTTACTCGAAACCCAGCTAGAATCTGCTCGAAAACGAGCCGATCTCGTACCGACATTAGAAGTGGATGTTGCGCAACTGAAGAGCCAATTGTGTGCAGCTGCAGCCGATGCGGCTAGCCAAAGAGAACAAGTCAAAGATCTCGTCGCGGAAAATGCTCAGTTGACCTTAGATCTCCAGCGATACCGTACGGAAACGGAATTGACCAAATACGGGGATGACGGTCATTCTGATAAATCTTCTGGTACTTTTACAACCGCTTTGCGTAACTGAAAAGTGAAATCTTGAGTCGTAGCTTTTGTTGGTTAGCCATATTACCTCCCTGAAGCATTTTGTAGTTAGACTATGGTAAAAGAATTGTGTGTAGTGTGTGTGCTTAAGAATGACAATTACTTACTGTTTTTGTTAGCGTTTGCTGTTCGTGTAATTGGAATTCGTTCTATTTAGGAGTTGGCCTTTCTTTATCGGATCAGCTTACCGAGAGTCTTTCAACAAAAGTTCTCAGATTAGAAATTGAGAACGAAAAGCTGCGTTGCCTTCTGGAAAGCCGTGATCGCGAGCACATTCCCACGCATCGTTCTAACTCGGACTATACTGATTCCGATATCGGAAGCGGCGGATCGGACAGTTACGATCTCTGTGCATCACAAACAAACTCTTTATTCCACACGATGGATAGTACCCTGACGTACGAAGAGTCGACTGTTACCGGTTCGACGCTTTGCGAATACGAGCCAATGACTTTGGATCGTCATTTGATTTCTCCTAATAATAAAAGTGTTTCTAAGCTACATTCATACCTGGAAGAGGAAAATTTCCTGCTAAAAGCTGAAATTTTGTCGCTGAAGAAATCATTGGAGCAGTATGAGAAATTGGAGGCGAAACTGACGGAGTGTCATGATGAGCGCATCGAAACTCGAAAATCGCTGGATGGGGCGCTAAGTGAGATCTTGAACTTGACCGGTGAGATGCGGCAAATGGAGGATTCTCGTGCCGTTCTGCTTGAACAGGCCGGTGAAGCGGATGTGCTGAGGAAGGAGAACGCCACGCTGCAGTTGGATTTAAAATCGTCTGATCAAAAGTCGAAAATTCTAGAGCGTGAGAATAAGCGATTGCGGCAACTAGTGGACAGTCGGTCAGACGAGATTGCGGAACTGCGTAATCAGACAGCACAACTCGAAGGGGCCTGCAAGGAATCACAGAGTGAAGCTGAGCTCATCGGGCAACTGCGGTCGCGCATGGCGGAGTTGGAGGCGGCCAATATGGAAATGACCCAGAAGCTGAGCATTTGTGCGGATAGCATGAACAGTCTGCAGAATGAATTGGTCAGGGAGAAGCTACGCACACGAAACTCTGGGAAATTTGTCAAAGAGATGTTGGTTTTTTTGAATAATCAGCACGTGAATGTTCCCACTGAAGTCGAATTGGACGATGGGAATGGCGCTACGGTGGCTGGCGTTGTCATTGATGCACTGTCGAGTGCGTTGAACCAGAACGAAAAAGATGCCTTGAAGCGCGAAAACGACGACGTGAAGGCGGAACTGGACAACCTGCGCAATGACTACCACGCACTGTGGACGGCGTACGAGAAGGAAGCGCGACGCGCACGTACCACTCCGTCGAGTATCTCCATCGAAGCGTCATGTACCAATGGCGAACTGCAGAACGATGCACTGGAAAAATTACGCATGGAAGCAGCATCCCTGAAACAAAGTCTGACTGTTGCCAAATTGAAAAGCCTAACATTTGAAGATCGATTGAACACATCGCAGGCCTCGTATCAGTCACTGCAATCCGATTATCAAAACCTGGAAAAGGTCAAAGCCCAGTTGGAGGTGGAAAGCAAATCGCAGCAGCTCACTAATTCCAGTTTATTAAAGAATTTGATTCAGTTGGAGAAAGAAAAGGATAGTCTGCTAAAGAATGCAGAAGATTCGCAAGATGCACATTCTCTTGTAATGGCCGATCATGAGGCTTTGCAACGTCTGCATGAACAGTTGAGCCAGGATTACGAAAAACTGACTAAAGAGCTAAATATGGCAAAGGCCGAGAACAAGAAGCTAGTGCACGATCTGGCACAAAGTAGACCGTATTCCTCTATGACGCAAGAAGGACTGCGCAATAACCGAATGCCCGACTCAGCGGATATTCGTGAGGAGCGTTTGAAACGTCTGGAAGCGGAGTATGCGGCACTGGTGTCGGAAAATGATGCGTTACGAAATACAAATCATGAGCTCAGCGAAACGTATCGGATCCTGACGGAAGAACATAAGACTGTCAAAACGGAGATCAATCAGTTGCGATTGAAAAAGATCGAGTATGAGGGTGTTGTTTACGACTGCAAGAGTCAAGTGCAGAGCAAGGAAGTGGAAGCCAACAGACACACTGAAGTAGGTGCTTTTTTGAGAATGATTCACAGCAATCGTTACTTTTCAGCTGAATATGTTGCAGATTTTGCTAGGAATTATTGCTTCGTTAGAGGACGAAAAACGATCTTTTGCGGCAGCCATCGAACGGCTTGTTCTTCAATACGATGATGTATTTTTGCATTCATGGCGCGAAAAAAGTCAGATGCAAACAGAGCAGAAGGAACTCCAGTAAGTCACTACTAGTGATGCGATAGGAAGAGTGCATTTTACACTTCATATCCCCATATTACTGTTTTCACGAGTGCTGTCGGCAGTAAGCAGCAGTGCATCCGAAGTACATACCGTATAAAAAGTGAAAAAAACTTACAAAGGCGTTTTATCATTTTTCTGACGCATTTGCAGTACGTAATAAAACAAATTGTACGTCTTGTTCTTTTGTTTGGTACATTACCAGCATTTATTTTGCAATGTACCAACTGCTGTTTCTGTTTACAGAGAAAAACTCCATGCACTGGATTTGCAAAAACAGTTATTAATACAAAAACTGTATGATACATTCAAGAATGCTGACGCGCGGAAGCGGCATGTGGGATTTCTGAAGCGAGTCCGTCGCGCTGCCGGTGAGCTGGTGGGGCGTAGTCGAAGTCGGTCGCGCACACGAACTATCAGTCCGACGGACAGCACCGCTGATAGCTCATCAGTGGAATCCACAGCAGGGACAACTGACCGTGCAACCGGTAAAATTTCTGACCAACTAAAATTGGGGTAAGGAAAACAGTTCTCATTTTTTTCTCCACAGTGAAGCGACTCCATTCAATCAGCATGCATACCATGGCTGCCTTACCTAAAAGTGCAAGCGAGCGGAATGCTGCAAAAAGTGGTCCGCAACTGAGCTACTCGTCCGACGATCTACGCAAGAATAGCTCCAGTGCCTCTTCGTGCATTTCACCATCGGAACAACCGGCTGAAGATGGCCGACCCCGTACAGTGTCTAACGGCACATCCGCCGCCGACAGTGCCGGCAACTCTCGTGATCCGGCACTGCATCGCATTGGAAGTCGTCGCGGGGTGTATCAGCCTAACACCAATGTGGTTGTGCACCATCCGGCAAGAGAACGAGGGAATCAGTTATCCGAGCCAACTAATCCGTCCAAACCACAAGACGCTGGCGATTCGTCTAAACCGGGTGCCAAGAAATGCTGCACATCGTACGGCGGTTTCCACGATTGTAGTATGTTGAATTACACCAGGCTGACCGCGGCAACAGCCCTTGCAAACGGTGCGTCGCCTAGCACGTTGAGAAGAAATAACGAGGTGCGAGCGTCCAGTGAGATGCGGGAAAGCAAGGATGATCGGGCATCTAGTGGCAGTAATGTATCTACACCCACGACATCCGTTCGGTCGGCGCATTTGTACGCTGTTCCCCACCAGCAACGGTGAGCCATCTTGGAATTCATTCGTTGTTTTGTACGGTTGTTTTTTATGTCTTTTTTCGTTGCAGACTCAAACATTTAGTGTCCACTACGACCTCTCGGAGTTCTCCGAAACCTGGGCTTGGAACGCCACCGAATGGATACGTTTTTCGGGTGCGTACTTCGCAACATTACAACTGGAATATTATAACGGTTTATACAACAGGGGTATTAAAAATTGTGCTGTGCATGGCATATTTCTTCGCTGTAAAACCTTTTCACTTCAGCCTAGATCGTCCATTGCGGCATCCGACACAGCAACGCAAGGTGAAGAGAGCGACACAATATCAACCTGGTCGTTCAATGGCTCCCAATCTGGGCACGTTCAGTCCGGTAGTTACGAGAGGCCCAGCTATTATAGGAGCGACGCCAGTACACCGTCAGTGATTATGGAATCTCAGCCGCGCGATCTGGGCAGCTCCGTGGGAAATGTTGAGGATAGTCCCGTTTGGTACGAGTACGGCTGCGTCTGATGGACCTGTTGGACATTCTGGTTATACCCAGTCTCTGTAGTCGAATGCAGCTCTTGCGGTTGTTTATTTGTGATCTGACTTGATTTCCCTTTGTTCCTCAGATGTACTTCGGTTAGGCTACCTTTTTATGTAGTTTAAAATTATGTAAAATATGCGTGTTTACACCACCAAGCGTATTTATACTGTGAACATTGTGCGCATAGGGTGCGCGTTATCTATACACTTTGTGCGTTATATTGTGAGTTCGGACATTATTGTTCATGTTTTCTTAATTTTGATGTTTTATTGTTGTAGTACCGAGTGCTTCTTCCGTTCTGCTTTCTGTTGGCGTTCTGCTTTATTCGCACAATAGAAGCGGATAACCTGGCTTTGGTCAATAAAATACGTACAGTGTATCATCCGGTTCCGGCGAAAAAAAAGCTCTTCTTAATGCTTTCCTTGAAAATTTGATCATAGCAAAATTATGATTTTGTTCAATTAGCCTGCAAACAGGCGAGGAGAAAACATGAAGAAAACACATCCGCATTCGCGAATCTTTGCACGCAGCAAACGATTAATTAAAAAAATATTCATAAGACTTAACAGTAAGGGCCAATAAAGAAACGAAATGGCTACGCGCGAGAGCATCTCGCGCTATGAGTTTTGGCTACGCGCGAGAGTTTTCGGGCGGAACGAAATTGACAAGGTTGTCATGTCATGACAACCTGTAAATGCTGTAGGAGTCACCTTCGTACACGAAAGTAATTATTATAAAGTAAGTATCATACTATCGAACCGGCATCTCGCACATTGCGCTGACCGGTGTTTCTGTAATAATTAGCCCACACAATGGCACTAGTAATTAAGATAGGCGACAGATTCGAATCCTACGCGGCGGCGTTACGTGCAGTCGAAGTATGGAGCGAATCCACTCATCAGGTCTTCATAAATCCCGGTGGCAATGCAAAGACTTCGAAAACGCATCCACTGCACGACACCTTCCCGTACAGTTCAGTGAAACTGGCAAGCAAGAAAGCCGGCGTGTATCGTCCTCATCGGCGAGGCTCACTTTCGACGAAAAAGTCTATCACCACCACTCTGAAGAGCGACTGTCAAGCAGCTATCCGTCTGAAACTGGGTCAACGGAATGTTGGAAGTCATCCACGTGCCGACTGCAGAAGACCACAATCACGAGGTGTCGCAGATTCGCAGGCGATAGCACAGCACTTCCCGGAAAGGAGACGGCTGTCCGACACGGAGGAGAAGACCGTGGAGCAGCCGCGTGCCACCGAGGATTATTGCGAGCACTGTTAACGCTTCACGTCGGTCGAGCGGGACAGCCGGCACTGTCATCACGAAAGACATTTTGAACCGGGGGACGAAAATACGCATGGAAAAGAGGCAAGGGCGGGAGGAGCACGAAATTCTCACGGAATTTCTGCGGCAAAACAGGCAAAGAGATGCGACCGGCACTTATGATGTAGTTGTGGCGGAAGACGGAATAGATGCGTTGCGCATCGTTTTCGTTCAGACCACTACCATGAAGCAAACGTTCTCTCGCAAACGTTTTCTCGCCACCGAGTTAGCTAAATTCGGAGCGGTTGAGTTCAAAACACACATAGTAGCTCTGCAGCAACACCTTGATATAGTGCGAAGTGAAGCTGTGCCGTTAATTAGTCATCCTGACCTGCTGGCTAAGGTATCGGTACCTGAAACAACTTTAAAGCAGCCGGAAATCCCTGAAGCCGCAGCGGAAGGCGATTTGCCAAATCTAAAACCTCCTGCCGCAGAAAACTTCGTCGCTCCTGATTTTTCTGCGTTCAGAGTCAGACCTCGCGGAACCATTAAACCCAAAGGACGGCCGTCGGAAGGAAGGCGCCATCAGCGGTTCAATCAGACAGCCGTGACGTCTTCACAGCCAATTCAAGCCACGCCCCAGCCAGCCGACACACCGGTTGCCGCTGTTTCGAACAGTCCCTCGGCAACAAGGAACGAAATGGGCATGCCGCGGCGGAAGTCGGCCAGGATATCCCGCAGTCCACCGCGTCCGGGAGAAACACCCGCTATGCGTGCGGCTCGGATACTTAAGACACATGCGAATTTTTAGAATGAAGTCGTACACCGATTTGCGGAAGAATTAGTGGTGCTTCGCGAGGACATCAACAATCTGAAAACGTTCGGCTCGGATTTGGAGCTGAGATTACTCAACGCAGGAGTTTATCTGCTACGCAGTGCATTTCGTCAAAGAGGCTGGCTAGAACTTCCTGCAGAGTTGGCTCTGTGCCAGCATAACGACCAGTGTTACGCTAGGATTCGTTTTCATGTCCGCATGCATGGAGGTATCATCATACAGCCGCTGTACAATGGTGACAGTCATTATGTTTGCGCCTTCTTTAATTCTCAAAACCCTGGCGTGGTGCGAATATACTGCTCCACCGGTCAAATGCCCACCGATGCTTTGAAATTGCAACTCAACTTCCTGTTCTCTTATCCCGACACCAAAGGCCAGGTTGCCATCGAATATGTCCCTGTGTATGCCCAGTCTCCCGGCAGTAACAACTGCTTGGTATACGCTTTTGCGTATGCGTGTGACCATAGAGCGATAAACAGATCCAGAGCGCAAATTACGCCCGGGGTGAGGATTTCCGACAGTGGTTCTTAGATATAATATAAACAGGAGCACTGACACCTCCTCCTCGAGTACAGGGAAGAAACGCCTGAAGGAAAACTTCTGTGACCAAAAATAACGCTGTAGTAACGGCAGCTGATGTACTGCCCATAATTCGCCGGCTGGGAAAGCCTACCGGTTTCCGAACGACTGCGGTGTGACTGACTTGATGCAAATTGACTGATGCGACAATTATAATGCACTATATAAACAACTCCAGAGCTGAAATTATGTCGAAATGTTTTGATTATATTCATAAATAGTGGCGCCGAAAAACTCTCGCGCGTAGCCAAAACTCATAGCGCGGGAGTATTCTCGCGCGTAGACATGACGATAAAGAAAACGTTTAAATCCATTTTAAATTCGTCTTTTTCTTATTTCTGTTCACAAGAATTTGGGTACCGTTTAAGGGACAAAAACTTGAAGCTTTGGGGCAAGTAGGTATATAGTTAAATTTTGCTAAAAAGATATTACATATGGCATTCTTGATTATGTTGAAAAGACAAACGTTACTGTAGTTGAGTATAGTGACTAATTCAGTCTGCGTATACTATATACTTAATAAGTTCTGGTACCACCTTTAAGTTTCAAAACTTCCTAAATGCTAGATCCAGCGAACGATGGTTAGATGCTATGATGAAAAGCACTGTCCAAGGCCACTCACAATTATTAGAAGATTTGCATGCAATAATATTATTATAATTATGCGGACTACACGTGCAGGACAAGTAGCAACAGAGTGAATGGACACCCCGACGCATGGTTGTTTAATAACATCTAAAATAATACATAGTATGGCCGATTGACGTTTTGTGCGGTACTTTTCCGCCACACATACCATTGTAATATTGCATTTCGTGCTAAATTTTCCCTGGTTGATCATAACACCACCCAATTAAACCAGAAGCTGATTTATCGGTAGATGTCAACTGGTAGCTAATCACATACAGTCGCAATCGATGCTGGGTGGCTTTGTGTGATTCGTTCTTGCTCTAATGCGATGTCATTCAAGCCCTCCGGACATCGTACCAAACAATCCCACATATCGTTTCATATTAAACGGTATATTAAACTTCATGTCGCGATTTTATTTTGTGGTGTACGCAACAGACTCCATCAATTATAACCTTAATATATGATTCTACTCATTTAATCGCCAAACGTATTTTTCTACTTTCCACTTGCTGCCTATTTAGTTAGCACCTATCTTCGAAATTAAATTTAAGCTTTTTTAGATTTTTGTATTTTTCAACGAGAAGTTATTGCTTACTACTTGATATGTTTGATGAAATCAGTAATGGTGGTATAGAACTTTATTTAAGCAGTTGCTGCATGCGTACAGCTGGTGATGTGACCTTAGTAAATTTGCAAAAGTTGTGAGCGCATCAGCAGCACAGCTCTGCGTTGACTTGTTTTCCGATTACCGCCATAATTTGTTGTACAATAATACCATGTCATCCGTTAAAACCCCATCTTCGCTGAATTTTGGTATTGACAGTATTCTCCAGTCGTCGAAGCGAAAGCGTTTGGATTATTCTCATGCTCATCGTCCCCCTTCCCCTGTGACCTTTAAATTTGCCCTTCCGTCGTTGACAGGATTGTCACCGTCGTGCGCACGTCCCACTTCCGAATCCATCGTGCATTTATACGGCTATGAACGGCCGACTTATGCGGTGCCGCCAGGCTGTTACAGTTCTGACGTCTTCGGATACAATCAGCTCAACTATCCTGCCGAAAATATGGGATCACTGCGTTTCAGTAAGTACTTGTACTGTACTGCAAGCGCAATGTGCCGAATTGCAAATTCAAAACTAAAGTGCATACAGGTATTTTAAAACTTTTATAATAAATCTCGATCATTAATTTTGCATAAGTAAGGTAGGTGATTAAAGTTTTATATTGTAATAATAACAAAATTCAGATGACATAATATTCAATGCTGCCACCGGTTTATCACATGTTCAGACTACCAGTAGGTATACGTGTCCAACTACGGACTACCTATGCGGTTTGCATATGCTGTATACGCATGTTTTTAGGAGATAATATACCTCCATCCTGCTGGGACGCAAACAATATCATGAACACTGTGCCGTCTATTGTTCAGCGGCTTCCTTTGGCAGTTTCTTTTCGCTCGCAGCCAACCTACGCTCCGACTGCGGGACAGTTGACAACTCCTTCCCGCTCAACCGCAAACAGCAACGCAGTGGGGAGTCGGCATGGGCACACTGCTAGTAAGCGCAAGAAGACGTGGACGCGCGCGGTGTTCTCCAGCTTGCAGCGGAAGGGATTGGAACGTAGTTTTGTTGCTCAGCAGTACATCAGCAAGAAGGACCGAAGAAAGCTTGCTGCGACCTTGGGATTAACGGATTCACAGGTAAGCGCTGCTGCTAATTTTGATCCCGTATTGAACCTTCGTTGACCTCCACTTTTATATGACTCACATTATATACAGCGTCGATTTTATTCAGATGTATAAACTGCCAAAATTATAAGCGCGGCATGATCTACTTTTACGCAAAATAAGTTCTTGGTAAAACTTTCTTATTATTTAAATTTTTCTCGTTTGAAAGTTTTTCTATATTCTTTCCAAGGTTCGCATTTGGTATGCCAATCGAAGAATGAAAGCGAAGAAGTCGCCAAAAATCGAGTCGGCTGTTATTTGCAGCTGATTTGTCACATGGAATTATCTACGTATCTGTAGAAACACATCTCGTTATAAAAAAAATTTGCACATCGTTTTGTTACTTAATGCATTCTCACCGTATTTATGTTGTGCGTCGACTGGACAACTAATTAAGTTTGCACTTTGCAATGGTGTTAAACTTAAGTTGATTGTGCCGCTGTGCTTTATTGATTTGGTTGAAATTTCAATAAACTTAAAGCACAAGAAACGAGCTGCGTAGTATGTAATCAACAAAGTTATGAGCTCTGTGTAAGGTGCATGAAGAAGAAACAAAGTAATTAATAAAGATGGCCATACTTCCACGGTCCTTTTTCCTGTTTTCTTAATCACTTCTACCGTATTGATTATTGGCAGAGGTTTAATAAAAACAATTACGTCGCATGAAACCGTATTATATGGTCTATAATGACAATGCTACATGTTCTAATAAATAACTTTTGGATGTGAAACCAAATGCCTTGCGGATACAAAATTATGTGATTTGACTGCATAAACTCAGCCATAAGATAATGAATGCAACAAGTAGTAAGGCATAAAAATATTCACCAGCGTGTGTGCTTAAAGTTAAGTACTAATTTTGCTGCCGTCGATTGCGCGCTCTTTTCGTGCTCCTACATTCCGCCACGCCAAAGGTCAAGATACACACTCAACCACATAATGCCTGATGAAGTCAAAATAAATTTAGTTTTAATTTCGATTTATTTCGCATTCATCTGCACTTGTTCCGAAATATTTCCTGCTATATGAGATAGTTTATTCATGTCGGCCGGTGAATGATAAATGATTGCGAAATGGAACGCGAAGTCTCGGACAAAGGAAGTCAACATGTTTGCGATAGTAAAAGCAAACGCTAGCAAACGATGAGAATAATCTTGACAACTGTTGGCCGGTGAGTTCACGACAACAGCAGGAGGTCTTTAGCGCCTGTCACATCTATCAACACGAGCCATCTCCGTAATTTAGCCAACGCTGATTCGCGGCATAGGAAAATAAAACCTGAAAAGCCCGATAGGTGAGCAACGCAAAACCTCATTAAACACCGCTTGGGGTACAATTATCAACAACAGATTATTCTCTTATTAGACCACAAACCTACCAACCAGCTCTCACCTTCTGGGTGGTAGGTTTGGCTTCTTATATTACACGATCCGCTGAAAAGTTAACAATTCTGTGTACATACATACCTCTACGATAGATATCACACGTGTAAGATGCATATCCGATGGGAATTGCTTCCTAAACTTTAACAGCACGCTTGTTAGCCGATCCAAGTTGCAAAAATCAGAAAATGGGGTGTTGAAGTTTACCGATTTTATGGCTAACTTCGGTTAAACTCACAAGTCACTTATAATCGTCAGTACGAGAGAAACATTCCCATGTTATGGTTCGTACCTGCAACAGAGATGTAGTTAAATTCTGACGTCTGCTTGTTGCAGCTTAATTATTTTTTTGTTCATTCAGAGCCAACTAATAAACAGCGGCGTACAGGCTTCGGATCAGGCAGTTTTGGAAAGGATACCGTGACCATACTCGGCCGACCATGAGCACACTGGAAAGGGAAGTTACATGCAAAAGCTTCCTGCAACATGCATTTCAAATTGTCTGCAGACACAGCATCACCAAACATAACGGCACCTAAGAAATACAGCTGGTTATTAAATGAGTATTTTTTCGCCATAATCAGAATGTATCTTTATTATGAATGCTGCAAAGTCTTTTTACCTCTACATGCGGCCGTAGCAATCCAGTTGTACATCACCGACGGGATTATAAAGGCTAATGGCGAAGCATTGCAAAAAATCTGAAATAATGACCAGTTGGTAATAGAGTACTAAGGAGTAATGATTTCATATTTGGCAGAAAACCTTTACAACGCACTTCTAAAGCCTCATCGATCAGAACTTGAACATCTAGTCGCAGTGCATCCCGATAACTGGACACTCTGTGCTTCTCCACTAACAGCGCCGGCACATGGGTGACAATCACCACTTCATCGGCCGGATTTTGAATGATAAAGCGAAGTCCTACTCTGGCGAAGGCATCGGTGTACTTTGCAATACCCGCTAACGTGGCCATCGCCAATTCCAGTCTGAGATGAGGCATAATGAGAACAGAGCGTACAATCTTGCTTCCGTGGTTTACAAATTCATTTTCACATAACTCTGAAATATGCATACGAATTTAATTTTAATAGCCGGAAATTACCATACACAAACGATAACGATGATACGATACCATTCAGTATTCGTTCCATGCGAATTCGTTCGTGTACTGCGTGCTGGTCAATGAGGAGCAAAAACTCATAATTGGACAAAAAAGGAGCTACGAAAAATGGACAGACACTTGCAATAGAAAAACTTGTAGTTTTAAGATTTAATGCACCCGGTTTTATGCTCCGTATGTACAAGCGTTCCCCTGAATTTACAAAACGTACCAGTTTCTAAAGCATTTTCCAAAGAAGTCGTTGTACACACAAGAAGTGAGTTACAAAACGTTCCGACAAACTATCAATATAGTAATAACATTTTATAAAGCTAACCAAAATTAACTCACTTAGAAATTAATACTCTTAGAAACCATATAAAAGGCTGTACCTGCACTGACTTTTGAAGTGACCTTTTGGAATACACAACTTGGGACGCATTTTGATTGTCCACTCTACGGCCAAAATCTTCGACCTAAATATGGACTGCTTAATTATAATACAATTCCAGCATAGCGACATCTACTTATAACCAGGTTCAAAATCCCATGCTAGATGTCTTCCTAACCGGATATAAGCTACCCACTGACTCGAATTAAATTAAATTAAACGGTTGGTACTGTACATATTATAGCATGTCGACCGCATGAATTTAGCCATCAGTGATTATAACTGGAGATTCACCTACGCAAATGCGGCATCCATCCTTGGCGTACAATGGAAGAAGCGGACAAATTACTTAAACAAATTCTGTTGGCTATGAAATTGACTCGATACTGTAATCACAGTATATAAAAAACCTGTCTTGAAATGAAATTCTCAAACGATTTTCTTTTCTACATTATGCAGCGATAAATGGACGCTGTAGCAAACAATATCAGCCCGGTAATCCCGGTTGATTACAGTACTGCAGGCTAATAACCAAAAGATACGTGCACGTGATCACTTACGCCCGGATAATCCTGAACTTTATCCGTCCACAATTTTTCTGCAGTAAGACTTAGGCAACAGGAAAGGTTGTTTTCCCGAGCTCCAGCTGCAATCCGAGAAAAAACACCGATGAATAAGAATTTCGCTTATAAAACAAAAAGACAGGTTAACGCAAGCATGTAGTGGATCCAGTAATTAATATACAGTACATTGTACTGTTTACTATGATTCAAAATCAACATATTGTAAAGTCTGACGAACAAACATGTTTTACAAATCGGCAACGGTTTTAGCAACTGTTTAGTTACAGCTGCGAACTCCGCACATTTCGGGATCTCGTTCATCGTACCCGTAACAGGACGCAGGCCTCTGAATCTGTCGGCAATATTTTCGGTATCCAACTTAAACCATCGCGGTGTGAGACTCAACATGATGTCAGACTCAGTTTGATTGCTGCCATTGGAAACACTACACTGCTTCTGAAAAATAGTGTACTCGTATACTTTGTATAACCGAAAATATTTCTTATTAATTACGATCGAATGGCAGATTACACAGTTAATAACAATGGTAAAACATACAGCAAATGCTAATTATATGCATTAATATTACCGACTGACGGTGAGATGATGTAGGAACGTCTACTTCAACAGTAATCCGGTGTGAACTTGTGTCACTTCCTTCCGAATTCCTGTGGCAGTGCAGTGGAATAATGGAAGCATCCTGCAGATCTGGATTACTCTGCGTTTCAAGCTGGCTTATGTATCGGCTGTTTCCTGTCAAAACATCTATGAACGCCAGGCGATCATCCGGAAGGCGCAACACCATCCGCGGCTGACCGGTGTGGATTCGTAGGCTGCTCAACATGTTGCGATAAACCGTGGAATATGGCCAATACGTGCCTACAGTCTCAATTATAAATGAATGAATAAAATCAATAAAATAGTAAATAAATTTATGGACGCCGTACATAAATCCCAAGAACTGCATGCTTCATTAAGCCTAGCCGCATGCAGTATTTGAATCTTTGAATAAATTTGATTTCCAGTATGTGCGAAGAAATGTACAGTTATGTACTCACTTAAAAAAGCTTGCTTTTGTTGATCAAGCACCGGCTGTACCGCTGGTATTGCTGACGGCCACGGGCCGCCACGAGGAGTGGGCTTGTTATCAGACACGAGCGGATGATGCAATAAACTGCACTCATGCAATAACCCTGCAAAACGTACTTATACGAGTATAACGTTGTAAACACAGCCTGCAACCAGTAATAATACGCGTACAATACCAGGACAGTAATAATTTTTTTATTGTAATTGTAGCATTGTTTTTGCAGAAATCTTGTTTCTCATATCAATTTTAATATTATGGTTTCGAACTTTTGAGCGTAAGTACAGATGCGGTACTACCTTAGTTGCTTGGAATTTTCGTTTGTACCACTTTTTTTATAGTTTAGCGCTATTGAAACAAAAAGGTAGTAAGTTTTTTGAGTTTGTTGTTTGCATTCTTATTCTTGTTCAAGTTGCCGTTTTGGAAAATTCGCCCAGCGTCATTGTATTCTTTATTGTCATCGCTGCAGATCCGTTTGCATTAATTTATTAACACAGAATCCAGAGTTCTTGTTGTGTAATTTGGAATTTATCGAGAAGGTAGTTGCGAGTGTCCATAAGCAGCGGCAAAACAACTGGCGAGTGTGTTGTACAACAGCAATATCAATGCATTCATGCAGACACGGTATCCAGCCAATCTGGAGAGTTGCGAGGTATGAAGTGTTTAATTTAATCGATTATAATACCATGACTACGCGCTGGAACAGGAATGGTTTGAGTGCGGATTGTTGTTTAATATTCCTCGCCTCCGGAGGCCGTGAATTTTAGTCCGAAGTATATGACCCGCTTGTTTCTCGCTCGTTTAGGCCCGGTCTGACACAAAAAAAAATGATGCACGGTGCTGCCAATCCGCAAGAATTGGAAATCGCTCTTCCATGGGGAACGATCGCCGCTCAGGAATGGAAGAGCACTGAATGGAACAAACAGGTGCTAATGCTGCATGGCTGGCAGGACAACAGTAATTCCTTCAAGCGATTGATTCCGTTGTTACCCAAAAACTGGTGGCTGATTGCCATTGATTTCCCTGGTCATGGACGTAGCAGTTCGCGACCAACAGGACTCCCCTACCATGGACCGGACTATCTTATCGACCTGAAAGCCACCGTTAACAGTAGGATTTTGACATTCTTGGTTATTGCATCTGTGTATCTGTGGTATGCTTTCATTCCGACAAATGTCTTACATTTTTGATTTCCTTTAGAATTAGGATGGAAGTCATACAGCATTATCGGGCACAGTATGGGCGCTGGAGTGGCGCAAGCAGTAGGTGCAAAAGCGTTTTTTACTATGCATTCCGTGAATTTCCGTCTAAATGGTTATCGAATTTTGCGAAATTAATATTACGATAGAAATGAGTTGATATTACAGAATTACTTTGAACATTTGTCTATAAACATTTTCGTTTGGCTGTGAAATTCTTTTCCGCTTTGTCGTCTCTGCTTTCGTGGATTTTGGTTTATACTTGTCAGTTAAATCAGTAATATTGTTCGCAGATGGCTGCTTGTTTTCCGGAAGAAGTGACAGCTGTTGTATCCATCGATATGATAAAACCAATATCTGCCAAAGCGGTAACGCCATTTTGTCCGAATTTTACGCAAGATACGAAAACGATTTACTGTAGGAGACTTCATTGTCTACGCTGAGGAAAGGCATCATCGCCCATGTTAATTACGATGTCTCGAAAGATACGCGTACTTACACCCGAGAGGAAGCCGCTGAGAGGTACGCTGCTTAAAAAAATTTAAAACTGTTTTGCTCTTACGGTGAGTGACTGTGATACGCATTATTATAATGTAAGTTGGACTCCTGTTTAGGTGGTTTGAGGCAATTGCCTACAGTTTAACCAGAGAATCTGTTGAAATCCTGATGGAAAGGGGCCTGAAAGAAATTTCTCCTGGTATTTCACAGTATTCATCGTACCTAATTCGATTGTAAGATTACCGGGCTTTTATTATGATCTTGTTCTGTAGGTCGGTTTACATATTCCAGGGATCGACGGTTGCAGTTCGTAAGCTAGCCAGCATCAGGGTTTAGTTTAAATTAATATTTTGAGAGTATGAATCACTATATTGGTCAGAACTCAGGACTGGCATTTTTGAGCACTCTTAATTGCGCAGGCTCGTTTATCGCTGTCCAAAATTTATGCTGTGTTATATTTCAGCCCTCCTTGTTTCGATATACAACTGAACAACACTTGGACATTCTTAAGGATCTCAAAAGTGATTTGCTTATAATTAAGTATGTCATTGATTAATAACTTTATGCTGTGTGCACTGCATTTTATGCAGTTTGTGTTATTAATAAGTAACACTTATTTTGCAGGGCAATGGATACGCCACAATTTGAAAAGCAAGAAATTGAAGATCAGTTTTTGCATTTATATTCCAAAACGTGCCGCCGGGTAAGGCAGTTTTCGGATGTTTCTCATCTACCGCAGTGTTAATGTTAATGTTTTATTCTAACCTTTAAGCGAACTTTGTACTTAGTTTATGTTCATGAAAGCCGAAGGAACACATCATCTTCACTTGAATACCCCGGAAAACGTTGCTTCGACCATAACTGATTTCCTCAGTCACGATTCCCACGCTATCGTCAAGGACGATGCAGCAGAAAATGCTGCTGTCGTTAAGGAAGCAGCGGTTCCTGTGAGCAATGGTTCATGAGAAAAGGGTGACTCGCCAAGTAGTGATGAGACTCCTCGCCGGAAAGTCGTCAGGAATGATTCGAGACCCGCGTGATATCCAAATCTAAGACTTATTTATAAATTACAGGTTTTCGACGGTGATTGACCTATGGATCACCGAATGTTTGCTTTCCGTGACTTGTTACGCCATTATTATAGCAGTTGATTAGTAGTACTACAGTACTTAAATCAGTCAAAATACCAGTAATATGTGAGCGTGAATATCTTATAAAAACTGTACTTCCTGTTTATATTTATGCGTTTCTCATGTGTTTATTTGATTAATTGTTCAAAGATGTGAAATTATATATCTGGCTGATGTTTTGGCTGAATAAAGCACAACCAGAATACCTATTAGTCGCCCGCCAGCCGCTCACGGGAAAACAATACGGTCAAAATTTTGTATGTATACATCAAATTTTTCAACATCTAAAACAATAAACATTTCGCGAAATTTTTTACGGAGATGTTCAGATTTTAATTGTGAAGCTGAGAATGGACATTTAAATTAATTGAGAATTCTATCGTGATATGTGGATACAAATTCTGGGTCTGGCATTTTAATGGTGAACTGCGCTGATCACTAACTGGGCTGGGCGTGCTACCCCAATCGCGCGACCTGTTCAACTAGGGACTCTGCTGCGTTTTATGCCTTTACATTCGCAATCCATTGCCTCGATATTCCCTGAAAAATGTTTTCCTATGTAAACCGAACTCTCGCATGCTGCTGCTTTGCAGAAATGCGGCGACTTATTTGCGGCGCGCGAGGCAGCTTTCTTTATCATCGATTCTCTTCGACCCCCACGCCATCACGAGTTTCGGATGAGCAGCGATCTGTTGTCGCCAATTATTTGGACAATCTCCCCAAACAACTCGAACATTTACAGAAAACTCTGTATCCTACAAATTCTGTGGAAGAAACCCTTAGCGTCGGTGCAGTAACGGAAAACCTGAAAGCGCGATATCACAGAATACAAAAGGCAATGCCGGCCATCGAGAAGAGAATGAAAAAGATGTCCGATGCCCAAGAATTAGAGAGTTTGGCAGCAGGTAGCAGAACGTTTACGAGACTTTTAAAAAGTATTCCTTGATTTTTAGAGTTAAATTTCTGAACTTAGGTTAATTTTGCAGATCTTACAAGAACTAGCGACGCTGAAATGGCGAAACTGGCCGACGAAGATTTACGAAAATGTATGCAGGATGTGCAGAAACTGGAAAAGGAGGTGTGAGTGAGACACGATTTGCGTCCTAGCTGCCGACGGTTTACTTAAAAATAAATCGCAAATTCATAGCAGGTGTTATTTTTATGCATGTTACTGTTTGCATATTGCATTAGTACATTTTAACATCTTTTAATTGGAATTTTCAATGTGGACCAGTTTCTGCAGTTTTTCAAGGGGAAAGTGACCATTCTGTGTAAAAGCGTATATGATTCTCATGAATTGTGAAAGCAGTGAAGTTTTGAGAGACTTATCAACGCAGATCGCGTTATTTTTCAGGTAATTTTCAAGATAATATGCTACATCGCGGATACGTTTTTTTGCGTTTCAGATTCTGGACATTCTGGTGCCGGAAGATGCGGGGGATGCGGGCGACATTATCATGGAAGTTAGTGCGGGAGTTGGCGGACAAGAAGCGATGCTATTTGCTAGTGAAATGTACCGAATGTATGAGAGATATTCTTTGTTCCGCGGATGGATTTTTGAAGAGCTGCAAAATGATGAAAGCGAAATAGGCAAGTGTCATTTTTTAGCGGAATGTTAAAGCGGAATATAAATTTCTGGCGTTTGCAAAGCTGTTCGCTGCCAATTGCGAAAAATTCAGCATAATGCCAGCTTTTACAAGAATGATGCCAGTGTACAACTCATTCGCTATAGATGCGTCTTGTAAATGCACGAAATTGTACTGAAATTTCAACATTAAAATTTAAAGGAGGAATTCGCTTTGCAAGCGCATCGGTGAGTGGTCGCGAAGCCTACAAGCATCTGAAATTTGAAGGCGGTGTCCACAGAGTTCAGCGCACACCAAAAACGGAAAAATTTGGCCGAGTACATACAAGCACGATTACCGTTGCCATCCTCTCCAAACCGAAAGACGTAAGTATGCAAAGCTAATGTTTAAGTGGCCAATATGGCCACTGATCGGCCAACAATGCTGGACACGCAGATATTTTTCAGAGTTTTGCTTTACGTACCATTTACATTTTGATAACGGTTTTACATTGATTTGAGAGATTTAATGGATGTGTTGCAAAACTTACAGGTGGATGTTGTCCTGAGAAAAGGTGATCTGAAAATCGAAACTTGTCGGTCATCCGGAAAAGGTGGACAACACGTTAATAAAACGGACAGTGCAGTGAGAATTGTCCATCTTCCTACTAACACCGCAGTAGAATGCCAGGAACAGAGGTCACAGGCTGATAACAGGAAACGGGCAATGGAGAAGCTGGTAATAAATACAGACAGGAGATAGCCCTAGTGTTTTTATTATTGTGTCCTGAGTAACAAAATTGGGGTGTTTGCTGTAGGCTGCTATACTCAATCAGAAACAGTTAGATGACCAGATGGACAAGGAGACGTCAAGCAGAAAACTACAAGTCAGGAGTTGTGATCGATCGGAAAAGATCCGAACCTACAACTTTGCACAAAACCGCTTAACGGATCACCGAATTGGAATTACCCTGCATAACCTAGAAGAAGTTCTGCAGGGAAAGGAAGGATTTCATGAGCTCATACAGAAAACCCTTGCAGAGTATAGACGCGAATCCATAGAACATTTAGTGAATGCTGCGCTGACATCCGGTGTTGCATCTAGTCAAAAAACCCGCGCTGATGTCAAAAGTTAAAGTTTTTTTTCCGTGAAGAACTTGATTACGTTTCTTGTATCGAACTGATGCCAATCAACAGAAAAATCGAGAAATTAAATAAAGTTGTGGTTTGTGCTTTCCTCACATTTCAGCTAGTTAATAAGTAACTATTTTCAATACGAGGACGCATCCGGTCTGAAATATGCAGTGAACAAAGCCAGTAAACTGAACAAATAAATCGCCCCTTAAATTTTAAATACCATCCAGTGGGTATTAAAATCACTTGCAATTAGTACAATACCATCAATAATACAGTACATGCAAAATCGGAATCGTAGCGGACAGAAATTACTAGCTCCATATAAGTTGTTCAAAAACTTTTTACTGACTGATATAGTTAACGGAGAGGAACATAAAAATCCGCATTTTTTTTACCGAAATTGGGGAAAAATCCGGGAACATCAACCAATTCGCTAACTGTATGCTGGCTGAATGTAGAACATAACACGCAGGCACCGGGATTTCATGCTTCGAATTTCGAAAACATTTGCCTAATTCCTACTGCTTGTTTTTCATACGAAAACGAAAATACAGGCAATCATGATCGTACTTCATTATGCATCTTTATTTCCGATGGTAATCATACACAATACGTATTTCCGTAAAAGCCATCTGAATGGTAGCCAAACAAGCTGAACTACTTCTCGGGCACATTAACGTCTCCATTATTGATCTTATCTATTACGTCGTGTGGGTTAGAGCCTTCCACGGTGCAGCCGACAGACTGGCAGGTGCCGAGGATTTCTTTGACAACTCCCTCCAATTTCCTCGCCATCGAGCGTGGCCGCATAGTTCTGGCGATATCCAGGATATCATCAAAGGTTAAATTGCCCGAATGTTTTACTGAGAAATAAAACAACACATATAAGCATAGTAACAGGAAACATGCCTCTGGCGTCTCGATGTGTTTCTTGACTCACCGTTCTTAACTTTCTTGCGGTCGCGCGGTGGCTCCTTCAGCGCTTTGATGATCAGAGAGGCGGCTGACGGCACAACGTCGATCTTGGCCTGACGATTTTGAATTGTCAGCTTCACTGTAACTTTAAGGCCTTTCCAATCGCCGGTTGCTTTCGCAATATCTTCACCGACTTTTTTGGGAGCCTAAAACAAAGCGATTATTAATAAAACAAGGGTTTCCAATTCCAACAACCGAAGCGGAAATATAACTCAATAACTGCGCAAAAACGCTGAAAACGTACCAATCCGAGAGGACCAATTTTGGGAGCCAAGGCAGCCGTCGCGCCAACCTCACCACCGATCGCACGCATATACACTGCAATATACATCACATTTTGCATAAAACTTATTAAGCGTGCTGACATCTGAGAAATCTGTGATGCAGAGCTTCCCGCGAACCATATCATGCATGATACTGTATCGTGGCGAAATTAAAATGAGTCCCATGGGCACTTACCTACTACGATCTCATTAGGATCAAATTTTGGAGGCATTGTGAATTAATAACCAGTTAATCGCTAATCCAAAAACAAATCAAATTCCGAACAGACTCCAATCTAGGATAATCAAAGATGCAAACAGTCAAGACCCGGCTCGAGGAACTCTACGAGTCTTCAAATCCGATCCAGCTGCCGAGCTGCATGCAGAGTACGTACAGATTTTCCTGGCTGTACCGAGGCAGTGCGCATGGCAAGCGGGTCTGCACAATTTTCGATTTATCGTTTGCTCACGTAGCCGCATGCCGGCTTGCTAGGAGCCCGACCGGAAGTGCCGTTTAGTAATAGCTCGCTATGTTAGGTATCTTTCTAAAAAATTTATCAACTGTAAGTGATGTTTCGTGCCGATGACCGGCATTCGTGAAAAAGCTTGCAGCCATTTTGGGGTATCAGTCTTCTTGGGAAAAAGCGTTAAACCAATACTAGAACAGCCTTTTTGTAGTAACAGAAAACTGGCTGCTTCGGTGATTGAATAATAAACGCCGTATTAAAGCGAGCCTGTTTTTTCGATTACACGGAAGTACAAGTACAGTCCTTGGATATTAACAGATCGATTATTAACGATAAAAATAACATACACATACAGTAATCGGAATAGTAAATTGCAACGATTATACGGCATTCGTAATATAGTAACGAAATTTAAACATGGATTTAACAAGTAGAGCAAGTGTCGCTAAAAATGGAAAATAACCGACAAAACTTTTACGATGTTTCGGTAGTACCTTTCAAAATGCTTTACTTCCATAAAAGACAATACAACACATCAATACCAGGTTTGCAAAGACACCGGAAATAAAAAAGTCCACCCTAAAATCCTATACATAGTCCAAAAGGGGATCACACATGTTTGTAAAATAAGTATAAAAAATAAATGATCACTAATACTCACAATTAGAACAAAACAAAAATCTCTGTCATGAGTATCAAAAACCATAATAATACTGCAAATTCAAACACAATTAAAAATCACCGGATACCCAAAAAATCACATAATGCTTCTTTCGGGTAAATCAATAGGGGATTTTTCTCGTATCTTCGTCATAATCATCATAATCCGCGCTTACAGATTCACGATAGCGTTGCATTAGAACTGGATCAACTTTGGGAACGTTAGCCGGTCGTTCTGGGTACGAATTTTGGGGCCTGACATCAGGAAGCGGGGCAGGCAGTACCTTGGACGCCGCTGGAGGGTTGCTGGCGACTGGCATTTGAGGAACTTTAAGAATCTCAACCGGCCGTGTCGCTCCGTATGCTAACGGAAGTGGCTTTGGCGCTCCGCGAGAATACGAGTTTCGTCCCGTGTAATTTTGTCCAGGCAAGGCCATCTGCAGTAATTAAACAAGATAATTTCCCTGTACAGATTGGTGATAAACGTACAGGGTAATTTTCAGGCCTTAGCGATCACTTAAAAAAATAAACATTTGAGTAAATAACGTCATTACAAACAAAAACGTTTATTCTTTGAAGTTTTTACGCACTTACGCATCCAACAGGCACTTATGAGGCTTGTGCCATATTATACTGTATGCAAAGATATTCTGACCCGTCACAAAAAATATTACATACTTGGCTGTAATTACGCCCTGGCATCGGTGGAGAATTGGCATTTGGTGGAACGACGTAAATGGACGATGCCGATCCTATCCCGTTCTCAACCATCTTGTCGTACAGCTGCAGCAGGAAACATCCTTCATCCAAACACAGGCCGACACTAGGACACGACTGGCATAGTCGATCCAGAGGAACACACCGTTGTCGCGGCTTACAGTTGATTGCTTCGCAAGCCGAATTACAGGCGCACATTGTTTCCCCGGTAAGAGGGTGTTTACGATATCCAGAAGGACAAGACAGAGGACAAATACATTTAGGCACCGGTTCACAAGGAGGATATGGACAGTTCGGCTGCACCCAAGAAATACACTCGAAGCCCGGTCGGCAAGTGGCTTGTGTACATGGAGCCGCAGGATCAAAATTGCAATCTGCAAAAGCTCAAGAATGATGTTAAAATGCAGATAGCCCAACAGGTTCGTAAATAACAATGAATTTACCAGAGCCGCCAATGCATACGGAATTGCACCCATCGGGAGTACAACATTTCGAATTGCTTCCGCAGTCATTGTCTCCTTTACACTGCTTAACACAAGCCGGAGTTCCTGAAGAGCGCAACGAATTTTACACAATAAGTAATACGATTAGAAACTCAATGATTAAAAGGTCCTTTACCGCTACAGGCTTGTTTGTTGCATGCATCATTTCGCCTGTCGGGTCCAATACACTCTTTCCTGTTTTCAGACGCAGCGCATACACGAATTTTAAATCTCTGCCCTCCATTACAACTCTTCGTACAACCGCTCCACGGTCCCCATTCTGACCACCCGCCAACGAATCCTTTAGACAAGTCCAAAGCAAAGCTGACATTAGGATAAGGTCTAGATTCGGCCACTAATCCCCAACCAGAGACAGCGGGAGTGCTGAGTGCGACAGCCGGTCCCCATCCCTGGTATGTTGTCGGTGCAAGGTACAATTTTTCAGGCTTGTATTCAACATAGCTTGTATTTTGAGCTACAACAATTCCTCCTACCAAAACAGTCATCCATACAGCAAAAGTTGCAGTCATCCATACAGCAAAGAACAAAAATCAGTTACACATTTACCTTTTAGACCGTACGGCGTTGTGCCCCATCCGGATGTTGTCTGATATCCCAATGTCGATGATGGCCCCCAGCCTTGTGGAGGCACAGTACTGGTTGTTCCCCATCCCTGTGGTTTCGGTGTCGTCGAGCTCCAGCCAGTAAAAGTTGATAACGGCCCCCATCCAGCTGTTGTGCCGTAGGAAAGTTTCGCACTCTGCCGGTCATATCCATACGGAGATGTCGTTCCCCATCCTTGAGGCGGCAACGTGGTTACAGGACCCCAGCCTTGTGGTGGAGTGCCGACAGGTGGCCCGTACTGCTGCGGTCCGCTAGAAACGATTTGATTAACGTAAACAGCGGATTGATTATACTGCAGAGCTCCTTGTAGTCGGGAAACATTATACGGCTTCGCTCCAGGAGGCACTGAACCCCATCCCTGCATCGGCTGACCAGGTTGCACATACGGAGCTGACACATTTCGAGGTCCATACTCGGGCGGACGTTGTACACGGAAATCGCCGGGCAAAGGCAGGTTGTAAACCAATGTCTGCACTCCTGGGTTTACTTGAGGATAACGCAGAAGATGACCGGTTGCGTTGACGAAGTCGTAACCTTGATACGCCGGAAAAGGTGGAACTATAGATCGGTTTGGATACAAAGTATTCACATTGGTGTTCCATCCTTGATAACTGGGCACGTACACACTGGCCGGCGCTGGTTGATACTGCGAAACAGTCTGCCGGTAACTGCTCGAATTTGATGACACATACTGCGTGGGGGATATTGTTGTGGCAGCTGTGGGGTACTTCGGATAATGTTCGTCATGGTCATCTTGCTCCAAATGATCCAGTTTTAATCTATTCGCTCCTTTATCGGGATACGCCGTGCTGTTGTATTCCACTAGATCAGCTGCAGCGGGATATCGCGGAGTGGATGCTTCGTTGGCGTAATTGTAGTTGTCTTTGTTGTCGTACTGGGCATCGAAGCGCTGCAGTTCGCCTAACAATAAACGATGTAAACTCATTTGCCTGCCTGCCTGACTACGATAACTTAATAGGCATAATTATGTAAAATAAATACCCGGGCATAAGCTGATAGCGCAACCAGCCAGTTCAATGCCACTCAGGAAATCGGACGATCCATCCAGGCAAGCGCTTCTAGGTTGTGGCCGAGGAGGTGGGATTACAACAGAATCCGTATATTCAGGTACGCTGACAATCATACACTGACGGCGTCGCATCTGGATCCCTCCGCCACAAGAACGAGAGCAAGACGACCATGAACTCCAGTCTCCAGCAAATTCAGTCTTTTCTCGTAAACCTGCAAGGACACAAACATATAATATTTCCAGTAATATCGATGAGGAAAAAAAACAGAGTGCCAATATTGACGTGGGCAACTTTCGAAATGATTCGAAAACGTACCGCATTTTTTACGATTACATTGGGCTACTTCAAAAGCCGGTTTGGTACAGAATTCTCCGTTGACTGGAAGGTCATCTGCAAACGTCCGATTGCGATACCCATATCCGGTCCCACACGGCTTTGAACACGATGACCATTCACTCCATGGAGGATAAATGAAATTGTTTACATCTACAAATTTACGAATGAAACCTCGTCCAACAGTCTGAGTGAAAATGTGGAAACGAGATGTGATCAGTCTTACCTTTATAACAGCTTCGGTAATCGCATTCGACCTGCCGTATTTCGATTCTCGGGCAATCTTCGACATCCGCCGACCCACAACTGAATATACGAAACGTGTTAGCGAAATAACCATCCTCAGAACACTGGCCGGAGCAAGGAGTGGGCAATGACCAGCTACTCCATGCTGCATAATCTTGACGGTAATCTGTTCAACAATACATTCAATATGACAAATTTGTCCTTAGATGTACACACGAGTTGTTGTCCTTACGGTCACAAGGATGAGTGTTGCACGGCTGAACATCATACGGTGTCCCGGGGCATACTAAATGTTGATCGATACCGTGCGATAAGCATTTTCGAATGCGCATAGTTGAACCACCTCCACATAAGGAAGAGCATGGAGACCAGCTTGACCAGTGATCCCAGGCCAGTGCTTTCTCTGAAAATTTTACGGGATTATTGCAATATACAATATATTGTACAGTATAAATCACGGAATATTAACATAAACTGCCTGAAGGGTGTATGTACTGTTCAGCGTTCGGCGAAAACAGTTATAGCGAAAAACCAGATATCGTGCTGGTTGCACACTTACTTGAGCAAGGACGTGTTTGACATCGTTCGATTTCGAAGTCGTGACCGTGGCAGGCATCAGAATCCTTTCCAGCAGGACACAGGGAGTACTTATAACGTATTCTTGTTCCGGTGCCGCAAGTATGCGAACATGAGCTCCAAGGAGTCCAAGAGGATAATTTCGCATCGACTTCCTGATCTGCAAGTGATCACGATTTGAAAGTTCGAGTGTCAGTTATTATCAGTGATTCAGTGTCACATCATAAGAAAGCGGCAAGACATACCGTCACAAGCGTCCGTGTTACATGCCTCATCTTCGTAAGGATCAGCATTACAAATTTCATCATACCGCTGTTGCGTAGGGGCGTTACAAGTCCCATAGCGAATGCGACCACCTCCTCCACATTTACGACTGCATGGTGACCAGCATCCCCATTCATAACCTTCGCTTGCTGTATAAAAAAACATCGTTATATTCAGCAAACCATCAAAGTACAGAAAAGGGAAGTGTACGGCACAGATTCTGTTAATCAGCTTACCGCTGCACGAGACAGTATTACAAGCTTCCAGTTTGAAATGATCCCCTGGGCAATAACGTCCGCCATACATTGGGGTGGGATTATCACAACTTCGGCTTTTGTAACGTAATCCTCCACCACACGAAGCGCTGCACTCACTCCACTTTCCCCAGTCCGACCAGCCGCCATCAACCACTACAAGCAAAAGATTTAAACTACTACTGCTGTAATTAAGAAGTCGCATCTCCTGTGTATTACCAGAAACAAACAATTCAAATCGCAACGCCAGGCTATGCAATAACATATTTGAATTTTGACCCAATAAATCCAGTGCTATTTAAATAAACAATTCAAATTGTACTCACTCTTGCAGAAATTACAAACTCGGAGTTCAAAAGGCTTTCCACTACAATATCGCCCGCTGTTCCACGGTGTCGGATGATTACAATCACGCGACGCGTACTGGTATCCTTCTTCGCACCCATCGGCAGAGCATTCTGACCAGTCACTCCACTGCCCATAATCTCCGGGAATAACTATCGACAAGAGCAAAAATCGGTCAATAACCGTTTATAATTTGGAGCAAATGCAGTTAGTTCGACTACAGAAGTTCAGTGATGCAGTGATAAAGTTTATTATAGACTTTTTCCCAACTGATTTTATAAGTGAAGATTTTTAGCCAGGGTTAGTTAAAAAATAAATCGCATAAATCATAACATAGTGTAGCGACGCACCAGGACACTTTTGCGGATTGCAGATATCACTCCTGAATTCGTATCCTTCACAATCCTTGCCTAACTGACATTCAGGGTTTTTCCTAACAGAGATCTTCAGCCCACTGTCGCAATCCCGAGTACACCGAGACCAGTCAGACCAATCCTCCACTAGTCTTTGTTCGCCTAAAGCATTACATTAACAAGTTGGCATACATGTTAGCGTCTTCGACAAAATGCAGGCTATCGAATCAATTTCACTTTGCAAAATATAATTCGGAAACAGTACCTTTACATGGTGGTCCAGTGCACACTTTGTAGTCGAAATTTGGACCGGAACATTCGCCAACGTAGCCCGTAAATGGACAAAACGGACAAGAGCGAAACCGGGACATTAGACCGGTACCACAGGAGCTGGAACATGCCGACCAGCTACTCCAATTGCTGTACACAACATCTGGAAAGAAAAATGAGTTACATACTTCCTCCTATGGTTACAATAACATAGTTTGAAGCATATTCCCCAACTGAACGAAAGCATCAAGCGGACCAACCTGCGCAACTGTGGTAATTACATTCCTCGAGATCCATTTGAAAATCATCGCAAAAGATCTTTTCACTGGAATCTTCATCAGCGCACACACGGAAACGATAACGACTACGCACTCCACCACCGCATTTTGCCGAGCATGCCGTCCACGACGTCCATTCCATCCATGGGGAAACGTAGCTCTCACACTTCTGGCTATTGCAACTCTCCAACTCGTAATGATTCCCGTGACAGTATTTCTTCTGCTCCGCCAAGCGTCCAGGAAAATTGCAGTTCCGATTGCGCACGCGCACACCTCCTCCACAGCTGGCCGTGCAGCTTCCCCATTGACCCCAGTGGTACCAACCGAAATCTTCTACTCACGGAATAAACCAAACATCAGAATCACAGACCCAAGAGGTTTTGCCGTGGTCTTTTATTGCCCAAAAAAAATTAATACTAGGAGTTTTTTTAAGAAATAAACTTTTGATTATTTACGAACCTCAGTACAAAAGAGCTGGATAAATCTTCAGTTGTTCTTAAGTTAGAGTGCAAAAATAACTTCTGTTCGAAATGGCCGTTTTACTTACGGATCGGTGATGAGCAGATGTTTTTTCCGCACTCATTCTTGCAGCATTTCCACTTTCCCGGGCAGTCTGCATCAGATTTGCAGGTATCCAAGCAAGATCCGATAGCAATCGCGTATGCAGGCGGACAAGTGCCGATTTTATGGTCACCTATAATATTATCGCAAAATTCAAATCGCTTTTGGAATAATTCACAAAGTCGATCGATCACGGTAAGAGACTGCCTCCAGTTCCTGTATACAATTATTATGTGCAATCCATGTTTCTTCTAAACTTCGTTTTCGAAAAATGAAATTACCATCAACTTGCAAAATCCCAGTAGAAGATCGGTTGACCAAAGGTGGACTTTCTCGTTCCCCCTGCTTCATCAGAGGTGGCAATTTGGTCGAAGTGTACAGGTCTTCGTCTGCATAAAGGTCATCGCCCCCATCTACAAAACCACAACAAATGCGCAGATTGCAGTTATCTTCCGAAAACAGCAACCTGGAAGAGCTTGCTACTAAATCCAAACACAAACCTGGTGAAGTCAGATTCTGAATTTTTATGTTAACAGTGCCAACCACATCTTCGTCCTGCGCACGAGAGCACGGGGTACAGGAAGATAGTATAACGCAAGATATCCAAAACTTCCTTATGATCATGATAATTCCGAGCGACTGCGAACTGGAATACAGTACTGTAAAATTTCACGAAGAAAAACGATTAATCAGCACTGAACAATTACAAAAACATAAAATAATTTGGCTCTAAAACAGAAAAACTACAAAATCCGAAGAACTACAAAACCTGGGTCGCATAGAGAAAGAGAAATTTGCACCCAAGTCTTGGATCAGAATTTCCTATTGAAATCACTGACGTCTATATTTTGTAAGTATTACTTAATACGCCGGTATCTTAAAATTCGCAAGACTTAGTGGCTAACGCGGTACCGAGGCGGTATTTATTCTATACGGTGCTTCTTCATCAGTACTCGTACGCGCGCTCCACTATATAATTTTAAAATAATATAAATATTGTACGAAATGCACCCGTATTGTACAGGAGTTGTGACAGGTATGACTATGAGTGCAATACTTTGAGTACAGTACTGTGCGAAACATAAACGTACGTGGTGGTGTATCACAGATTCACGACTTCTGAACGCCCATTGGTCACTCTCTTTAAGCCGATGAAAGAATGATTAAATTAATTTTCGGGGGATTTCAGTAAAAGATTGCGGTTGAAAAAGACAGGTTGTTCGATGACTTCAAACTTTAGCGATTGTGCGGACGTCCCGCCAACGCATCTTTGTAGTATTCTGTCCGATGATTCCTGCTTCGCCGCAACTGGTAGTTTATGGAGATGTACTCGTATCAGCAAAACCATAGAGCATGTAAACTGAAATTTAAATTTTTTACACCTGTTGATCTTGCTCATATTACTTATACTGCTGTCTGCGTGGAAACTTGAAAGGTCCTACCACATTACCATTAATTTTACCATAGCGTGATAGACTTACTTTAAGTAGGTATATTATAAGCGTCATGCTGAATGGGCCATGATTTTACTGTACTGTAAATTGTAAAATCATTATTGTTGTACAGGCAGGCCTACATGTTGCAGGCACGTTCTTGTCAAACAGTTGTCATCAAACCATTGAGTTACAGTACCGTACATTCATATAACATCAACACTTAATAATAACTTCAACCAACCTTACCGCCCCAATCTCATTCCAAATTATGAAATAAATCAAAAACATCATCTTTTCGAATGCTCTGTACCATGCATTTCCGGTGTATAAGTAAACAAAACGACAAGAACCCAAAAGTGCAAAAGCAGCATGTACACGATTACCATAACTCGTGCTAAAGGATAACGTCGCAAGAATGTGCCCAACCGGAAGCTGAAGCGGTCCACCGTTGAATATGCCCGCTTAAGCCTCCGCGAAACTTCATTATCACCAGAGTGTTCGTTTAGAAAAGACGGTGCGTTAGTTCGAAACGCTTCACTGTGGGGACCGGATGCCACCGGAAGGACAAAATCATTTGCACTATTTCGACTAGATTCCCTCAGCCGCCTCTCCAAGCGCTCCATTTGAACAGACATCGAATTCTTCTCAGTGTTCAGAGTTTCGATTAGAGTTTGCTTTTGGATAAGATTGTCAGTTAAGATCCTCATCCGAGATTCCAGTTCCTGTTCTGATGGTTTCGATTCGCTTCTAGTAAAAAACTGTTGCCGCAGACGAATAAGCTCCTCTTCACGGTCTTTCATTCGGGAATGGAAAGTCTGCTCTTTTCTGTTTAGTTCGTCTTCCACCGTGCGTAACTCGTCCGATCGACTCTGCAGACCGGCTTCAGCTGCCGACCGCTTGTTGCTTTCTTCCGACAGTGCCTGTTCTAGTCTGATAACCTGGGATCGCAACGCTGTTTCATCTTCCCTGTGGCGAATTTCGTTGGCATGGAGCTGTTTCGTAACATTTTCAATACGGCTCTGAAGACTAATGATTTCAGTTCTCAGCATTTCTTTTTCTTCTTCCATTTCGTTCATTTCTAATCTAGATGTTTCGTCATTTAAAGCTCCCGAGTTCATTTTAAGAGAACCAATCAGTTCGTCTTTCGACTAAAAAACAAAGTTGATTAACGTGTTTGGATAAAAAGGTCGCTAATCGAACTTGTACGATTAACAATAACAATTATTAATGATACTTCAATGTATTGCACAATAATTCTAATCACCTAACTGACGGACAAGAGCATATATACGCATTGCACCCACATTTCTACACGATATTCTATTCTATTCGATTTCTATAATAATTTCGTCGTATGCATATCAGTACAACACGGCCCTGTGGCCCAAGGCAAATAAATACACTGGTTCACTTATTAACCATTGTTATTTTAATTAAATACGCATGAACGAAACTTACCTGCAAAATTTTGTGCGCCTTCTGCTGATAATCGACCAACTCCTGCCTGGCCAAATCGCAATCCAATAGAGCTAAACTCATTTGTTTTGCCGTTTCCTCTCGTGCGCCTACAGAAATCACTGCCTTAAATCTCCCATCGACCTAATCGGACGATAACGTGCGCAGTAATAACAAACCATACTTTTTTCGGAGGCAATGTTTTTCTCCAGTAAATAAACAGAACCCAGCAATTCCTGATTTTGATTCTCCAAATATTTAATGCTCGTCGCCAGCTGGTTCTGTACAAATCGAGATTTATTCAATGTGTAGAGTTTTGTATCAAAAACTGGCGAATAAGAATTTCACACCTGCTGAGATACTGCAGCTTCCTTTTCCCGATGCAATTGTGTTTCCAGTTCGGATATTTGCCGCTTAGTGAATTCCATCTGCACATTTTGCGAACCCATGTCCACCTGTAGCCGATTCAATCTGGAAAAAAATACTGTATTGAAAATTCCCGTCAAGTCGGCCGGAAGGAACACCTTTATTCCACGATCACAATATTAACCAAACAAATATTCTCAACCTGTTTAACTCAGAATCCGCGTTATTCAACTTCTCCTGAATGCGACGGCATTCTCCTTCTGCTTGTTCCAATTTCACCCTCAGAACCGCTGTTTGCGAATCCTTGGCTTTGAGAGCATTCATAAAGTCAGCTTCTCGAGAGTTATTTTCAGCCACATTTTTAGTGCGTTCAGCGGATACTTGGTTAAGGAGTTTTTCCATATCTGAAGCACATTAAAACGTAAATACCAAACCAGTACAATCAGTAACTAGTAACACGCATCGGAATGGCGGAATTCCTCTCTTACCTTGTTCAGCTCGCTTAGCTCGAGCAAGTGCCAAACTGGATTCTTTCCGCAGTCCCTGCAGTTCACTTTTAAGAAGCTGATTTTCGCGATAAAAAGCTTCACGAGGAGCAGATCCGGAATCTTGCACATCCGCTGCTTTTTCCAAAATTTCTGATTCAACTGAGACGGAAAAATATATGGGTAATTTCTGTTTTAAACCGTTACCCATAAAAGTAAAACGATCAATAAATAGCATTCCGAATTCTGGCATCGTTAAAGGGAAAAGGGATTGATCGTTAACGTTACTGCTACAATAAATACCATGCGGGTCATTTCCTTGGATGTGCTGCGTATTGTTTGAGTCGCGGCGACTGTTCACTTCGGCAGAACTATTTTGCTCCTCAGCGTTCAAAAATTCCATTAATTCGGATTCCGTTTGTTTACTTCTGGGACTACTCCGAGCTTTCCTCTGATCTCGTGATGCGGCAAAATCTTGGTAACTGGCTGTTCTACGAACGGGATTATCAACGGATTCCAAATCGTGTGTGTGCCACGCTTCCTCGGGAAGAGAGCGATGGTCGCCTCCAAAGAGCGCATCCGACGCAGTGGAGACATTCGAACCGGAGTGGCGATGAGATAGGCGAGTTGTACGGTTGTTCCCGATAGAATCTGAGGGAAACCCTTGCGTGCTACTGCCAACTGGAGATCCAGAGTGCAAAGTTTCTGCAGCTGTTTGGTCCATGCGATTGAGGAGACTCTCTGCTTTGCCAGCCAAGTCCTGAAACCATGCCATGATCAAAGGCAATAAAGAAAAAATGAAAAAAGCCAAACCGGAAACAGAGGTTTTTTCGAACTCAGTTGACTTCACAAATCAAAATCTCCGATATCACAGAATCGTAATGGCACCAATAGCAGACAAAAAAAATTTGTCAGCTTTCACATGCGACTTATGAGCATCAAAGCAACTGGTAAACAATAATCCCTGAAATTTTTTAGCGAAGGAAATACGTACAGTTTATCCAGTTCGTAGGTTACGGTACGTGGCGAAACGAAACCACAACATTGCGCATTCGTGCATCTCGGGTCACTTGCACGTCGCGCATCAGCAGGCGGTGCGGCCTACCGCACTTCTGCTTCACTTTGCAATCTTATCTGGCCGCAGCCAGAATAAATGTCTGCCAGATGTTTAGAACAGAACTTTTTGCGTGTCATGATGACATTATTTTATCCCATTTGAATTTTTATAAGGAGAGAAAAAATCTGAAAGATGATGAAATTTGTTTGCAGGTTTTAACAATATTATTATCTGTCTGGAATTGTTTGGCAGAGTTCTGTGTACGAGATCGACACACACCGATCCCGAACCATGAAAGCTCGTTTTACCAATATTGATATTGTCGCCGCTGTGCGGGAACTGCAAGGATTGATCGGTCTGCGCGTAACGAATGTTTATGATGTCGACCACAAAGTGTACCTTTTCAAGTTCGCAAAACCTGATTCAAAGGTGATGCTGTTAGTGGAGTCTGGAATCCGCATACACACCACAGATTTTGAATGGCCGAAAAACTCCGCACCATCAAGTTTCGCAATGAAGCTGCGCAAGCACATTAGAAATCGCCGATTAGAACGTATTCATCAACTTGGCGTCGACAGAATAGTCGACATGCAATTTGGAAGCCGCGAAGCAGCGTACCATGTAATTGTGGAGTTGTACGACAGAGGAAATATTGTGCTCACTGATAATTCTTACAATATCCTGAATATCTTGCGATCCAGAACGGACGAAGATACCGATGTGCGTTTTGCGGTGCATGAACAATATCCAACACAGATGGCCAAACAGTGGACTCCTCCTCCCAGCGAAAAAGAAATTCGAGGATGGTTCGTTAATTTGTCTGGTAAAGATCAGCTGAAGAAAATCTTGAATATCCATCTTTTCTATGGGTCAGCGCTGGTGGAGCACGCATTGTTGATAACGGGACTCGTACCCAATCAAAAAGTTGCGAAGGATGCGAATTTAGAAGCGCTCATTCCCAAAGTCATCGACGCATTGCAAGTATCAGAAAATTTGTACAAACAGTGTTCCGAATCAGTTGGAAAGGGGTATATCACCTACAGAACGGAGAAAAAAATTCAGGCCGGAAAAGACGAAGAATGCGAAGTTTATGATGAATTTCATCCCGTATACTTTCAGCAGCTGAAAAGTGTACGTTCTCTTGAAAAAGACACCTTTCTGACTGCAGTGGACGAATTTTATTCGAAATTAGAGAGCCAGAAGTTGGATATGAATATTCTGGAACAACAGAAACTGGCACTGAAAAAACTGGAGAATGTTCAACGGGATCATGAGCGTCGCCTGGATGCGTTACGTCAAACCCAAGAAAAAGAAGCTCTCCAGGCTCGCTTGATTGAAGAGCATGTAGAATTAGTGGATAAAATCATCGTTTACATGCGAACTATAATGGCAGCTGAATTATCCTGGCCGGATGTGGCCGAGCTGCTTGAGCGAAGACGCGAACGAGGAGATGAAATTGCCGAGCGAGTGGTCAAGGCTGATATTGCACGGAATACAGTGACCATCGTTTTGGATAACCGTAATAACCGCAGCGACGAAGATAGCGACACCGAAGAGCAGGATGACGTGGTGAAGCTTGACATTAATCTCGGACAGTCTGCTTTCCAAAATATCACCAGGGTAATTATTACTAATTACTTAACTTATTTGCTTATCAGGTGGTCAGATTGCTTATTTTGCTAAAATAATGTTTTCATATATTACGTATTCCTAGTTGTACACCGTTTCACAACACTTCGGTTATTAATTTTTGGTGTTGCGTGTTTGTTCTTTAACTGGTATACGTTCGAAGTAGACAATGAGTGGATCCTTTTACCGGTTGCTGACCGTTTGTCCTAAATTCGTGTTTTTTTATAGTTACATTCCGTGAAAAAGCAGGCAGCGGCCAAAGAACACAAGACTATTGAAGCATCTGAAATAGCCCTTAAAAATGCCGAAAAGCGGACTAGGCAGGCACTGAAAGAAGTGGCTACAATTGGGACAATAACAAAGGCGCGGAAAACGTATTGGTTTGAAAAATTTTTTTGGTTTATCACTTCGGACAACTATTTGGTCATTGGTGGCCGTGACGCCCAGCAGAACGAAATATTGGTGAAACGCTATTTGAAAACTAACGATTTCTATGTTCACGCGGATTTGCATGGGGCCAGCAGTGTTGTTGTTAAAAATCCTTTGAACACCCCGCCGCCACCGAAAGCTCTGGAAGAAGCTGGCGTCATGGCTATCAGTTACAGCAGTGCGTGGGAAGCTAAAGTCCCTTGTCGTGCTTGGTGGGTGTACAGCCATCAAGTTACCAAAACGGCGCCGACGGGAGAATACTTGACCACGGGTAGCTTTATGATACGTGGACGAAAGAATTTTTTTGTCGATTTGCCCATGGTAATGGGATTCGGTATAACCTTTAAAATCGATGACGCTTCGGTGCAGAACCATATCGGACAAGAAGATCGGGCTGAAACCGAAGCTGATGCAGAAGTAACTACAAATCCTGGTGAAGATGTTGCACTGGAAATGGATAACAGTTCCGATGACGAAGCGGAAGTTGCGACTGTAGAACAAGAATCGGGAGATATTAATTTGCTACGCAGTTTGGCTTCTCGGATTTTGTCAACTGGTGTAGATAACGAGGAAAACACGCTTATCACGGCTACATTGTCTGGCTTTGTTCCGGCGCAAAAAAGTGGGTCTCAGAAAGCAAGCGTTAAGCAAAGCGGAGAGTTAAAAGTTGTACCGCCGAAAATTAATATTACAAAGGCTGATGTCAAAGAGAAGAATAAGCCAAATGCTGTCGAAGATGATCACGATTGGTCGGATTATAAAAAGAAAAAGGGAAAATCTGCTCCCCGGGCAACAAAAAACTACACCCAGCGACACCAAGGTCTCCCGGAAAAGGTTCGTAAGAAGAAGACAGATAGAGGGCTCAAGACTGAAGAAAGTATTGCTTCCCTTGATGATTCCGTAAAACTAACTGAAGAGGAAACATCTCAAAATGTGATGAATGAGATCGAAACTGCTGGAGCAATGGGAGATGATGCGCTGGTGGAACAACCGACTGAAACAACTTCGGGTACGTAGACAGTCTTTTTACGTGACACGAAAAAGACACTGATGTTTTTATAATTGTCATCTAGACCAGTCATTAAGTGAAAGGAAGCCCGGGACGGAAGAGCGTGATGAAGAGGATGTGGATGAGGATGAGCCGGTGACAGCTGCCACCGAGGTACGTTTGAATGCATGTCACGTAGTTGCGTTCCTACTCTTACTAGGTGCTTGATGGCAGGATTCACACTTTTGGAAAACATTTATTGGAAATCCGCTGCCCAACGATATCCTGCTGTTTTGCCTACCCGTTTGTGCTCCATACGCCGCTATGCAAAGTTTCAAGTACAAGATGAAATTACTCCCGGGCACGGCGAAACGCGGAAAAGCAGCCAAAGCTTGCTTTCAGGCATTTATTAGAGACAAAACGGCCACATCTACAGAAAAGGACATACTGAAATCGATCAAGGCAAATATCTTGGATTATCTGTTTAAAATGTTATGTCATTTTGTGTCTGTTTTTAGGACCAGGATTTATCGCGCAACTTTCCGGGCTCTGTCAAGGTGGCATTACAGCAGCCCAAGTTCAAACAGCGACGAAAATAATGGATGTTTTGTTCTTTACTAAAAAAACCGGTTCTGTTACCCCAACGAGCAGAGATATACTTCGGATAATATTCGGATTATAAACTGGAAATCTTGCGCTTATTGGTGTATTTGCTCATGGTCATGTAATGACTGCCGCCTTTGGTTATTTGAATACGGAACGGTCCATCATCCTTAACCGGCTCCGGCGGGACGTTCGCTAGCCGTGCCATTTTCCAGCTGGTGAAAACAGCAATTAAACAAATGAATCCCTCCATGCCTGCATCGCTCAGGGCAATTATGATCCAAATGTCTTTCTGGTCCTTCTGAAATGTATTCCCGTCGTTGGTGTGGTAGACGAGTCCCAGTCGTAACAGCTGGATACTTATTAACAGCAGGATCATGGCACACACCGAGACCCCGATGAAAAGATGTATCTGTTGCAAATCAATAGAAAAGTGATTTTATGAGCTGATTTATTGGCCAATTATATGGTTATTTGAGTGATTTACCATGTACACTGTTCGCTTCCGCGCTGCACTGATTCCACAAAATCCCGCCACTACAAACTGAGTTATAACGGTGTGATTATCACGTCTTTGATGATTAATTTAGTTTTACATTTCCACCCTAATCAGAATAATTCTTTTTGACGCCTGCAATAAATTCTGAATTTTCCTGTCGTCTGATATTTGGTAACACGTATACTGACGGATCCACATGGTATAAGCGGCATTTTAGATATTCCAGTGTTTTGTTGTTCTAAACCTGATATGAAATATGCCGCTATCATTTTCCATGGCCATGTTCACCTTGGCAGATTTTGATTACCGCATTGTTTGCGCTGGATGGCGAAATCGTGCCGCGTGATGGTTTTTCGCTCAAGAGTAATATAAAGTGACATGTGTAAAACCATCTTTAATGGAAATCACCAGCCCGAAATAAAAGTTGGGATAATTGAATTTTAAATTTTATTTCCTGTCTGAAGGCTGGTGCGGGTCGTTGAGGGACGCAAACTACCCAAGGGGTAAGAGATTAAAGACCAGTACAGTTCACTTACTGATAATCCGCTCCAGATGGGGGACACAGTGTGAGCATAGACAGTTTGCTCCGCTGCTATCGTCGTGATGACTCCTGTTGTGCAAAACACACTACCTTATTAAACGCGGATGATTACAATTTCTGATATAATAACGCGGGGCACACTAATAGGTCATGCGGAAATTTGTTTTGCTGCATACCAACACCAATGCTGATGAATCCGCACACAAAATGGCATCCGGCTAGCACAAACGTGGAATATATCAGTGCAAACCATAATTTCGGATTTGCGCCCGTTGGAACGCCAACAAAAGCGTTGCCTTCGTTATCCTCCATACTGAGGGCGATAGTATTGGTACTGAATTTCCTCCACACCGAATGACGACGAGAACTTTGAAATGAATTATGTGTGGATGCGCTAAATGTTCGCGTTGCGCGTCGTTTGGGAGCGTGCACGGATAGTAAGCCAGAGTGCAATGTTGGGCTGCGCGATGCATAGTGTACATGCGCTGTGTGGGAGTGATCCATAATCATGTTTTGTTAAAGAGGGGAACGCTAGATAGCACTGTGCTTCAATTAATCCATATTCCCTCAGATTCACGAAATCACTTGCATCACATGGCAGCGCTTTTTAATCATAACGGCTGAGATATATGTGCGTTGTATACGCTCCACAGGATCGCGCAATATGCCGGCTATGGCTTTATTTTCCTCTTTGCTGTATACGGCTCAGTAACTGCCTTGACAGTGATTACGATCGTAGCATGAGGGAATTTTTCTAGTTTGTATACAGTAGATTTGGTGGGAAATCGATCAACTGCGAGCGTTTGTTATGTTGCGGCGGCGTTTTTATAGTGGCTGTGGATAACGCGACGTGACTGCCGTGCGGGATAACCGCATTTTCCCGTGGGCAACAGTCCTTAAAGGAAATTGTGAATTGTGCGTGAGTGCATTAAGGTCGAACGCAGTGTGATGGAGCATCCTGGAGCTCCAGCCGAAAGAAGGGCAGGTAGAGCGGAGTGGCCCCAGCAGTGCTCCTCAGCCCACACGTTTATACTGGTCAAAGGAAATTACGTTGCACAAGTATGCATGTACCGCGCATGGAGATATCACAAAGGTTATAATGAAGACACCATGGGAAGCGGGGCGATGATGTCTTGAGCTTCCATCGTAGGAATAGTGACAGCTGGAACCGTACTGCGCCATAAGAAATGTCTGTATGATTAATGTTAATGGCTTAAAGGTGTTTTTGCATGCATGGCGCTCAACTTTAAACACTCATTTCATATAGTCTAGTTATGAAATTAATATTTGATCCAGAATCCAGATACATCGAAAACACAATTTTGTACACAACATGCAACATTCTTATTACCGCTGCACGTATCATGAACGAACGGTGACCTTTCTAAAATAAAAACCTATTGTGCAAAAAAGGTTCAGCTTTCTGCTTATCTCAGTTCAATGAATAATCTTCCAAAAATATTAAAGACGTACACTGTTGTATGATACAGTGCTGAATTGTACACAAATTGTTCTCGCACAGGTAATAATAGGATGTAAGCGTGTCGGTAGTCTACTACAGTAATGTAGATAATATAATATCTATACATAGATAATATATAAATATGTACAGTATATATATATTTTGCCTTACCATAATACATGCACGTGTATTTTGGTTAGCAATACTATGTAAGTACTTGTATGCGAATATAAGTACTTGTATGTAAGTTTTATAGTATTATACGCATGCGTATTGGGAAATATTGTGTAATAAGTAGTGACCTATATACAAGCAGTCTTGTAATGGTTTATTACTGCTACAATATTTATAGGTTAATTAACCCGCGTTTTACGCCTCGGGTTTTTCGTTCTCACACACATAGTTATAATGTAAATGGTAACAGGTACTCTACAAAATATGAAATGTGTTAGTTTGTCTTAGTAATCTACATGTACAGCCATGAGTAGGCACAAGGTACCAAAGAATTCAACACAAACCCACTCGTCTTTGATCATATCACCGTCAAACATGCCAAGACCCAGAATTCAAGTACGCATAATAAACGTGTCTTGGATTCCAGCACCTGGTTTTTAACTGCATTTTGCACGTTTCCTTGAAAGGTCACTGGAATAGTAGTGCTGCTGCATATATTGTATTTAAAACAAATTACTCGCAGTCCACGTGCGCATTTTTATGGTGATTCAATCGCTAAAACCAAATAGACACGAAAACTTCAAAACTGGTTATTGATCAGAATACTGAAACTATTCATAAGCTAATTAATTCCTATAAAACTTTGGCGAACTGATATGACATTGTACCACTGCATTAACACGTGAACAGTGAGCATCTATGTTGTTCATATTAATTCTGTACAGGATTTGACGCAATAGTTAGATATTGTTCTATAAGAATTATCTATTAAAATACACAAGTTTAACATTTTTACGATAAAATTTCAGTCATATATTTACATGTGTGCAATATTAGGGCAACGTTGTGCACAACGTAACGTTTTGGTGGATGCTTACCGCGGCAGTCCTTATAAAATCCGTATTCGGTCAAAGCCACTTTAAGCCAGTATAGAGGCTTTAAAGTATCAAAATAAATTAACCGCATCGTATTAACAGTAGTATATAATATTATATATATATTATATATATATTATTAGTATTAACAGTGTATATAATATATATATCTTTATATCTGCACTGCACTTCATTCAGTTTCAGCTTCGCTTTTGCGTTTATGCAAGGATTTTAATCATGGATGCCTTCCATATCGTTGTGGATCTATTTTTGAGAATTTCATGTGAAAATCTTATCAATGTCATCATGATTGTCATGATAAATAAAGTAAAATACGGTACAAAAGCTAAATTAAAATTAATGCGCGAAAAAAATCGGAAATGGGTGTAGGCGTATAGCTATGTTTCTTCGGGTGGTCGTCATTTCTATCCGTAAGATCAATGCAACCGCACGGAGCCCGGTTGCCGTCAGCTGCTTACACCAGTGTATCTAGAAATGTATCTAGAAATTTTACTTCGTTCTCTAACTACCCCGCTTTCGCTATCAGCAGATTCAGCACAACTGCACAAGCGGCCTCTATTAAACAGAAGTTTTGATTCACTTTTAAAGTTTAAACGCTGTTTTTCTGGTTTTTGGTAATGTTTGGTCTTGGAAAACTCTTGGGTTCTTTTAAAGGGAAAAAACCTATCTTAATTCTCAAGTGACAGACTGGTTAGCAGTACTCGATTACTGTACTGTGGAATCGCATCTCAATGTCTGCCACTGTGGTTATAGGTAAGCTCATTGATTTGTAGCCTTCTTCAACTGCAAACAGTAAACCTGGTAATAATTTATCTTTGTTGCAGCCGGTGCTTCAGGATTTGTTGGTAAGCTATCCCGTTTACACCATGCAGTGATCCAGCTAACGGTGTACAGGCCCGTTTACTGTGTTTCTTTAGGTCGGCACCTGGCGAAGGTGCTGAACAGGGATGGATACAATATTATTTGTGTTACACGCAGGACGTCGCAATTAAGCGCAAGTTCACCGTACTTCCACGAAACTATAACCTGGGTACAATATGTTTTTGCTACAATATGCTTTTGCTGCAATAATATTTTTTTGCTATCGATAAACACTGGAAATTGTAAGTAATTAGCATCCAGATGTCCTGATAAATATAACGCTTAGTCGAAAACGAAATGGTGTTTTTTTAGTTTTTCGTGGTCTCTCATTTCATCAAATCAGTCATTCTGGCTTGTTAATATTGTTAGGACCATCTACAACTTCATGGGCTTCCTCAATGCGACGCGGTGATCAATTTGGCAGGCGAAAATATTATGAATATGACGCGAAGGTAATTTCCGCCTTGTTATTGAAGTCTAGGAAATTGGATAGCCGCAGAGACTTCCACGTTTCTATGATAGATAGATGGGATGCTAAATTTAAAAAAGATGTTTTCACAAGCCGGACAGCATCAACCAAGTAAGTGAAGCTTGTGTATGCTCTTGTTCGATTTAGTTTACATTTTTTGATTTTTTTCTCTTTTCTGATTTTCCGTGGATATATTGTGTGTATTTGGTATGCTTACTATGCTAGTCAAAAACAAAAATAATAATCAGAGAATGTCCTTAATAAATTTTGGCAATAAGTACGGTCTACGGATTATGGAAAATGTTAAAGTTGGATATTATGGAAAATGTTACAGTAAAAGTACGACGAAAATGTCATGTTATTTCCCGTGACTGCAATATTATTTCTTTTACATTAAATAGCTGAAAGTTCTAATTCAGAAATCCAGATTCTACGAATTCTTGTGATTTTAAACAGCCGCCGGCATCTGTGTCGCTAATATGCTCTAAGGTTTCTGTTGATGATGTTTTTGCTACGATCTACTGCAGTGAGGCTGAGCAGTGAGACTGCACCTAAAGCCGTGCATTTGTGAACAACGCACTGATAAAAATGAGGGAAGAATACGTTTTGTGCAGTAATATTGCCACATTTAACAGGTTTTTAGGAGAAGTAATTCTTGCAACGAAAACGAAGCCGAAAGTATTTATTACTGCAAGCGGTGTTGGTATGTACTGCCGAGTCGGACAGCCGTTATATCCTTTGCGGCCGTTATTTCCTTTGCTTTCTTTCGTTTCTAGGCTATTACCAGCCGAGTCCGACGGAGGAATACACCGAAGCCAGTTCGGGAGGCAAACATGATTTTCTGGCTCAACTGGCGGATGCCTGGGAAAAGGCTTCGCATTTACCACGCGAGTCAGGCGTGCGTGTGATAAATCTTCGTTGTGGGGCTGTACTCGGTCGCGACGGTGGCGTCATTAAAAACTTGTATTGGCCATTTTATTTTGGACTGGGTGGACCGGTTGGTGACGGGAAGCAGCCTTTTCCTTGGATACATTTGGATGATCTGGCCCACATTTACAAGTACACCCTGGAAAATAAACAGTAAGGATTAAGCGGCTGTCTCGCGTTGACTTTAACCTGTCGTGTGTGTGAATGCCTACATTCACAAAAATGGCATTCGCTGAATTTATTTGTTTCAAATTCTGGCGACATTTTTGCCGCACCTGAAATGAGCATACGGTAGATGTGTGTCCATAAATTTGTTATGTAACACTCGTCGTGCTATTTCTTAAATTTTGCTCCGTAAAATGCGCAGGTGCCATGGAGCGTACAATGCAGTTGCTCCACAAATCATCACGAATGCCGAATTTACTAAAGCCTTTGCCAAGGCTATGCACCGACCAGCCGTCATACCTGTCCCCAAGATAGCACTGAACGTTATACTGGGGAAAGAGAGGGCAAAGATACTTACCGACGGACAGAAAGTTCATCCCAAAAAAATCGTCAGTGATGGCTTTGGGTTTCTCTTTCCAACCATCAAAGAGGCGTGTGAAGATATCTGCATGCCTACAATAGTACATGATTAGTTCCAAGCTTTTCGCTTCAGCAGCTGCGTAACCTTTTGAGATTCTGGCGGGGAGAATTTCGCTTTTTAAATTTTTTCACTGCGAAATAATTTGTTTGCGAAGTAGCAAATGCTTTTTTTTCGGCAATGAGGAATCTGCTCATTAATAGTGGCTGCTCTAGTTAGCAAGTGCTATTATGACTGATAACATGTCCGCAAATTGACGTCTGTGCAAGAGGTGTGTGGTAAAAATGCTAGTGGGTAATTTAATGTAAAAAGTTAAAAAACAAATACCGCTGAATTCTCCGAAACAAAACAACGGCTTTGAAATGAAAAGAATGCAGCAACAGCCACGGATAGCACTGATTAACGTATAATTATGTTCGGATTATGTATGCTGAACCAACAGATCGCGCGCTGCGTTGCTTATGTGCTTAAATCTTTCCGGTCCCAGCAAAACACCGCCAAACCTGAAATAATTTTCTAGTTATCGGTATGCAAATAACCAACTACGCAATACCCATACGACTAGCATGCTTCGTAGAGAGTTTTTACCATCTGCTGACGACGACCACTTTATTTTTCACGTCCAGAATATTGAGCAAATGCAGAAGCCGCGCACCGGCTTGCAGTTCACCGTCATCATCACAGTCGCTAATTACGCTCTGCCCAGGTCCTTCTATTCTGTAAGCCATAATGTTGTGCGTCGCATCAGCAATTTTCCGATTGCGTTTCAATTCATCTACAATGGCATGCACTTCCGTCACACTCCGGACAGCGGCGACATGGGCCTGGAATGTACTTTTTCGTTCGGTAAATGGCCGTCCATGGAAAATCTCATGGTTCAACAAAGGCAATACGGACGCGTTCTCTGGATGCATATTTTCTTCACTAGCAGCTGCAGATTTAACTGAGGATTCCAATAATGGTTCCACCTGGATCCCCGCCTGTGTCACTAAATCTCGTGCTTCCTCTGCAAGCTGGAACAAACAACACTGTCCCAGAGAACGCTCCGCTGTTTCTTGCAGTTTCCTCTCGATTACTTTTCGCGGTTCGCCACGCAGGCTAGGGGCAATAAGTGTAGTCCGGGGAGACTCTTTCGTTGGATATCCAGGCGGAAGGAAAAACGAAATTTGGGTTTCGTTCTTGGGAAACAAGATAATGCTGAAATTTCTTCCTTTCGATCCAAACCCATCTTCGTAGTGCAGGTCGTTTCCGTAAATACTAGCGACAGCTTCCATTTCCTCTGCTTGCTGTTGTTCATCGCTTAAGCTGTCCATTTAGACTGACAATTATTATTATTACCGCTCTAAACGAAACAGAAGTGCTAATCGTAAATAAAATCGTAAACATTAAAAGTGATTAAGGGCAGAGTGCGCTAAGCTCCAAAACCGATTAAGAAACGTCACACATTGCATTAACACTAGATCAGTGTAAAAAAAAATGAACTGACTTTTAATAAGCATCACATACAAGTACATACTAAGTACTTACTAAAACAAAATTCATAACAAAAACACTTCTTCAATGCTATCCTGCTCGGGGATCGTACCCATGACACATAACGCGTTTCCCCGTTGCATTTGAATAGAAAGCCGCTGTCTAAAAAACTCTTTTGCCCGCTTCTGGCCTGTGGCGGAAGCCATGCAGTTGCCGACCTTCCCCACGAGTTTTTTCGTTCCGCCTCCCCAGGGTCCGTAAATTTCCAAGGCGGCAGCTACTAGATTGTATCTTGGTTGTAGCCAGCCGTGTTTCGACAGTTTTCTTCTCTCCGCCTGCTCCGCTGCTGCACCGACGCAGCGGACTCTGCGCTAAGCAATTGCTTAGCGCACTCTGCGCTAAGCAATTCAGAGCGATTACGATTCCGATTAAAACATTTCCTCGGAGAAATTTCTTAATCGGACAACTTCTTAATCGGTTTGTTAATCGGACCGATTAAGGAAATTCGGGAATTTTGCAAATCGGAAATTTCTTAATCGGTAGTGATTAAGAAACTTCTCTAGGAGGTGGCTTGAAATTGGCCAATAGCAGCGTTCTGCGAGTCGAGTCGCTTTTAGTGACTCGGGCAAACTCTTAATCGGTCATGTTTTTAATCGGTTTCTTAATCGGTTTTGGAGCTTAGCGCACTCTGCCCTTAGCGCACTCTGCCCTAAATGATTTAAAGTGATTAAATCATTAAACTGATTATTAAACAGCTGTAAAGTGTAAACAGAAGACCGTAAACAGCAAACAGTGGCTTAACGTCGCCTCTCCGGGCGGTCGCGGTGCTTGCTTTACAACTTGAAGTCTCCAACTGTCAGAGAATAATCCACAGATGGTTTTTTTAAAGATAAGAAAACCCGTGGCTGGCAGACCACGTTTGGAGACTATACTTTTCGGTAGACCGCATTTAGGATTTGCTACGCGATGGGAAGAAGTAAGAGCAGTAAGCCAACGACTAGTACGCGCACCACAACCAGAGCTCCATCATCAAACCCTGAGAACAGTGACGGCGCGATGCAAGTCGATGAGGATCCAATCCGAGACTACTGCGCGTTTTTAGCTAATATTCTGGATGAAGTTTGGAAGGTGCAGTCCGATTTAACGCGGGAAGAATTATGCATCCAGTTGCGTGACAGGTTTTTCGAGGTAGGTTTCTTCGATTGCCTAACGGTTCTGCGGCTTCTGCAAAACGCGATACTACAGTTCATATATTGCTCTACGATGATTACTAGCTGCAGGCCGTTTCGTTTCATAAACTGACTCCTTTACCTTGTTTTAGACGTTCCAGAAGGACACGCTGACGGTAAGCCAGGTGGGCGATATGGGAAACGAAGTTTGGCTGATTTTGTGCAGGGTAGTCCTGGTCGAAGGATCATTGAAGATTAAGTTATCAGGCCGACGTCCAGACCCAGTCCAATATCGCGATACTATGCGCACCATCGCAGCTTTCTTGTGTGATCTCCACCGAAATCCTGAATTGTCGAACGACGGGTCGCGACTGTTTGTTGTTAGGATTATCAAGTTTTTTGCAAAGGTTTGTCTGCGCATCAGATTATGGAGCGTGCTGATGATTTTTGTAGTGTGAAATATTTGCGAGAATTTTCGTCTGGTAGCTGAGGTTAGTAGACGGTATTTTTTAAAGGGTTTGGAGTCTGGCCGATGGGAAGTCCGATATCGAATACTGCAGTTTATCAATTGTTTCTTGGAAAAGATGGCCAGTACAGGAGCTGTATTTTCTTCCATCGAGGAGACCGATGGCAACAAAGATCTTGTGCGCAAATATTTACTTACGCGCACTTTTGACGTGAAAAATGAAGTGGCCGCTTTGGCAATGGAGGCGATTCAACATTACCAATACGAGGTGCGTGGTTGACAGCGGCAGTTAAGGCTTAGTAAGCATTGATTTGGTTTAAATTTTTTTCTGTATAGCTCATTATTACGGCCGGCTTGGTAGTGCACTACTTCAGATTTGTTCTGGCTTTTTTCATTTCCAGAAAGAGGCATGTCATACAACGCGAGCATTTTTGGTGCTGCACTGCCGGATGCAAGAACATGAATCTGCCATCGTCCGAGCGGCTGCCGTACGGAGCGTCCATGTGTGTTCCTCTAGCGCAGCAGCAATAATCCGGTCAGCATTTGATTCTGCGTGGGAAGTGCGCGTAGCTGCTTATGAGGTTATTGCGGATGCGATATCTCCTAAAATTGTCAAATGCCAGTTGCGCGCGTTGTTAATTCTGACCGGACTGAACCACCTAAAATGTACGCAGAATTTCGATAAATTCGAATTAGTAAGGGTTAGGATAGTATAACTTTGGATTAACTTCCCATAGTAACTTTCCGTTTTGCAAAATTTCCAGCAAAAGTCCGAACAGCCACTCAAAAGTGCCTCCGCAGTTGGCTTGGGCTTTGTAATCGTGATTATAATGGTCTGATGACGGACGCCAATGTCATTGCTGGACACCCATTGCACAGCGGCAGACAACTGGGATTCGAGATATTTAATCAAGAAGTTGTTGGCGCTCCTTCTCAGCTTGCGGTGACCGCGGGAGCTTCTGCCTCACATTCTGGAGTGGGCAGCGGTCAAGTAGTGACAAATGCAGAACCGGATGTTAGTTGACCAAAGATTTATTTTTGACATACGATTTCACGTTATGGATTAATCGAACACTTTAAGCTACTCAATTTCCAGTTAAATTCCTTTCTCTCTGCTTCTGTGGTTCGTGTGCTGTATCTTTCCGTCTTTATTTTGTTGGCACTTCGCACTTGCATGTTGCAGTGCATTTGACATTGTACGTCTGGAGTTTGGTCCTGGAGTACCATAATTATGTTGTTTTGTTTGCAGACTGTTGTGCTATAACTGCATTTCTGTAAAAAGGTACTAGCATAAGTGTTATTAAAGTTTACAGTTTATACAAATTTTCCGAGAGAAAATCTGTATTCATCGAAAAGTAGCGATGAGTTTGCAAGGTTATCCTTGAAATGTAAATCAGTACTCTTGGCTGCTTGTCGCTCTTATTGTTATTAAAAGACACTATCTAGTATGTACCTAACCCGTTCAGGGAGGAAAATGGAAATTACACTTTTGGGGCCACCTGGACGGGCTGTCTGCAGCACGAACAGTGCATTTAATATCTATTAAATCAAAATCGACTTAAAAAATTATTATTCGAAAGCGCTATGCGCCCCAAAAGTTTAGGGCGCATAGTTAATTTCCTAAATATTTAAAGTAGAATGTAGTACGAGTATGCCCTTTGTGGAGGTATTCGTACATACCGTACTTAGTTAATTCTTACAATAATAAGTTAAATAAGTAAATCCTTATTGTTTTAAGTTTTTTAACTTTTAAGCAGCCAGACGAAAATCGCCACAGCGTCGTACCCCCGGCCGAGGTTAAGTAGAATTTCCTTTGGAACGGCACGTCCGCCGCGGACGCTGGACCCGAAGGTTCACAATCATTCGGTGTATTAGCAGTGTAATTACATGAGGACATGTTGTAACTTGACTATGGTATTAGCATTTGATATATTTGCCACCCGTTTTTCATTTTCGACATCGAAAATTTCCTTCCATGAATTTTTGATTCTGATCGCGAAGCAGAGAATCATTATTTAGTTTCTTGTTGCTGTTCGGTTGAACAGGACATCAACTTTTTTGATACCGAGGTGGTGCAGAGGAAAAATGGCTTTAAATCAGGTTTGTATAGCATACTTTCCACTTCGCTGTCGATCCTTGTAGCACTTGTCTGTTTTAGTGGCGGAAGTTCGCGTTTTTCGACAAGAAGCTTCTGAAGAACGAAGCGGGCGATACTTTGGATGCCCTGAAGGTGAGCTCTTATGCTTAAATTCTCTCGATAAATTGAGTAACTGAGTAGTATATTAGATAGACTTAATTAAGAGAATAACTTCGACCCTAATTTTGTTTTTGGATCAAATGAACAGTCTATTCACTATACTTCTATTGCGTTTGAATGTGTGATAGCAACAATAAGTATTGAGTTTCTGTGTCGTTCGGCATAAAGTCGCGAATTTTTTTTATTAGTCATACAAGATATGGTCGACGACATTCGGGCGCGGAAAGATGATATTTGGGGATTCGGAGGGGTGGATCGTAGTGATGGACTACAAACAGAATGTCACTTCTTTTCGCGGCTATCTTCTCCAAGTGTCCCATCTTTTCATGACCAAACAACAGAACATTTTAGTCTCTGTTGGGGTAATTAATTTACAGCAGCAAAATAATAACATATGTTCTTAAGATTGGTTACTTGGCTGTAGGAGGACAGTGCGGAACAGGGGCCAATGTTGAAAGTATGGAATTTTGACAAAGTATGTTCAAAAGTGAAAACAGATTTCTGGTTATGCCCAAAATACCGTACACATATGTCAGCCTTATAAAATGTGTTTGTTTCAGATGGATGGCGGGGATAATCCGTCATGTTCGCGGATGATCCGGTTGAATTTCAGAAACACTCAGGAACTGGTACGATTTGCTAATTTACTTTAAATCGCTTTTGTAGTCGTGATGAATTTGCCGAATATGCAAGAATGATATTTTTTAGCTAAGTTAGTGTGATTCATACGTGCACCGTTGAGTTCTTTTAGGTGTCCTGCTTTGTGGTTCACGAAAACCTGAATTATCTTGCCATTGGATACAGCAGCGGTGTTGTGATTCTGTTAAAAGGTGATATTACGAAGGAAAGGTACGAGTTGAAATTTTAAGGGTTGCTGGTTTGTGTTTCTGGAAAACTTTTACTGGGATTTTTTATATGAGGTTTACCATGGGAATTTAGTCGACGTTTATGTACCCAGTGTGTACCACTAGCATGGTTTTGTACATTAAAGGAACACAAGCAAACATGTCGTACTGCACGAGGGTAAAAGCACCATCACCGGTTTAAGCTTTCGACCTACCACAACAGCAAAGGGTGGCATCGTGCTATTTATTTCCTCCATGGATGAAATATGGTCGTATATGATAGGAGGTCGAGATAAAGAAATTGGGGTAAGTTTTCTTTTATTGTCGTTGTCTTAAATTAATTCGCATCTCCGTAAGACAAGCCAAGTCATCAGCGATTGCTTGTTATAGTCGGTGTTGGATCACCATGGATGCGGATTGATGTGCTCAACGATGACTGATTCTTCGACAGACTATCAGTTTGTCATTGGCCGAGCAGATGTAAGAAACACTTGGTTTAAATATGTACCATATTTGATTTCAGTGTTTACTAACAGTGCTCTTTACAAACAGTTCTTAAAATACAAATCAGTAGTATTTAAATTGTGATTGATTTATCTAAAACCTTGATTTTTAGGCGCTTTATTTTTACTTGCCGGATAGTCGTGGACAGTGCCTTGCATTTGGAGGTACGAAGTTGTTGCTGGAATGGTGCCACGGATATCTTGTTGTGGTTAGCCGAAAAGAAGAGAGCGAAACGCGGAGCACATTAAGCGGCAGTGATTCCGGAGCTGGTGAAATGCAGATTATTACCATCTACGATGTCAAAAATAAGCTTATAGGTAAGTTGCGCTTGACTGCAGCTTTTGTACCGCAGTTTATAAATTGCTTGATGTCTTTTTTTCTTTATCCAATAGCATATTATGGTCCGATACAAGAAGTTAGAGCCATTTTGTGCGAATGGGGCTCAATTTTTATCCTCTGCACAGATAACAAGGTAAAAAGCAATTTAACTATGAACAGGGTCATGTGAAATATGATTGTGGACGAACTTTCCGCTTTGTAGATATACCAAATTAAAGAAAAAGAGTTGCTCCAAAAACTGGACATGCTTTTCAAAAAGAATTTGTACTCTTTGGCTATAACGCTTGCCAAGGCGCAGCAATATGATCAGGACGCCTTGATCGATATGTTCCGGCAGTACGGTGACCATCTGTACAGCAAAGGGGACTTTGATGAAGCTATGGCTCAGTATATCAAAACAATTGGACGATTAGAACCTTCTTATGTTATCCGTCAGTTCCTGGATGCTCAGCGAATCTATAATTTGACAGCTTACTTGAGTGCGTTGCATGACAGTAATTTGGCTTCCCAGGACCATACAACGCTGTTATTAAACTGCTATACAAAACTAAAAGACGAGGAGCAGCTGGATAAATTTATTATGTCAAAGAATTCAAATCATGCTGTCAACTTCGATGTGGAAACAGCTATCCGGGTATTGCGACAGTCTGGATATTTTCGACATGCTTTACACCTCGCGAAAACTCACCAAAAGCACGATTGGTAGGCAGTAATTAGGCAAAACTTATCCGAATTCGGTACTTAATGACTTTGTACTTTGGGATTCACTATTTGTTTTTTGCGTTTAAATGTGACAGATTAAATGTGATAGATTGTGAGAGATAACATTGGTATGTGAGAATGGTCGCTCAAAATCTCGAGTCCAGATATTTTTGGACTTTAAAAAGTTTATTTTTGCAGTGAGAAAATATCACAAGATATATGTGGTGATATATACATAATATATATACCTAATATATACATAATACCACAGTGATATTATGTTAATGTACAAAACGTTTGACTTATAAATAATAATTGGACCCATTCAAGTTAGTGAATTTAAATTTTTTTAAGATCTTGAAGATTTATGGCAGAGTTTTTTTTTATCCATACTTATCATTTCGTACGTATTCTTTTTTATGTCAGCATACTGTTCTCTTGTATACGAATCTACGAGTTCCATATTGGTAATTGATGCAGGTACTTGAAGATTCAGCTGGAAAACAACAAAGATTTTGTTGAAGCTTTGGATTATATTTCGAAATTAGAGTTCGAATCATGCGAAGCCAATTTGAAATGCTACGGACGCCTTCTGATATCGCATGCAAGCGAGCAGTGCACGGAATTGTTGAAAAAGCTGTGCACAGATTATGCGCCAAAAAGTGACAAGGTAGAAGCAATAAGTAGCAGCTCGGTGCATATGGCGGCCAATCCTGAAGACTTCTTCCATATTTTTGTCAATCATTCTGGATTGATGTGCGAATTTTTGGAATATGTAGCCAATTGTCGAAGCGATCTTTCCCCTGAATTCTATAATACGCTACTGGAGTTATATCTTGAGAACTGGAAGAATACCGGTCAACAAGCCATCAAAGACAGTTTAGAGCAGAAGATTATGCGCTTGCTCCAGCAAGAGAATTGTTGTGATCCTATGCAGGCGTTGCTTTTGTGCCAGTTGAACGATTTCGCTCCAGGAATTCTGTACATGTTCGAGCAAAAACACATGTACACCGAGATCTTGCAGTTTTTCATGGATCGGCATAGTTTTGAGCAAGTGGTTCAGACTTGTCGGCGCTTTGGGGACAAGGAAAGCCATTTGTGGGTGCAAGCGTTCTGGTTCTTTTCCGAAAGTTTTGGGGAGTACGATAAGTCATGGATTGCGGAAGTATTAAAAGTCATCGAGACAAAAAATTTGCTACCTTCACTTATGGTAATTGATATACTATCCAGAAATCCCAACACAACGCTGGATATCATTAGAGTGAGTGGAATGGTTAAGTTTTACATCCAGATTTTTACCTTTAATTCCATGGAACGTTGTTTTGTGTTCCTAGGATTATGTTATTAGCCGAATGAAATCAGACGAGAAAAAAATCCAAGACGACGAAGCGCAAATTCAAAAGTTTCGCGAAAAAACGGAACAAATTCGAAAAGAAGTAGATCAGATAAAGAATGGGTAATAGTTATTGATAATTTAACTATCGTACAAAACTGAGTGCTCATGTACTTCTTCTGTAGAGCGCAAATTTTTCAAGATGCCAACTGTAGTGCTTGTGACAAGTCTTTGGAGTTGCCATCCGTTCATTTTATGTGTCGGCATTCTTACCATCAGCAGTAAGTAACCTTTAGTTCTAATTGTAAGAAAAAGTATTTGTGAAAACATTTTCATTTTGCAGCTGCTTTGATAGCTATTCCGACACTGACGAAGAGTGTCCAATTTGCCGTCCGGAAAATAGGTACCCTACTTGTATAATTGCTTTTGTGCAATTCTAGAATAGTTTTCGTGTGATTTTATTTTCGCCTTTTTTGCTTGGTTTTCCGTTTGCTGAATTCAGTAAAATAAAATTTTTAAAAAAAATCAAGTACCTACTGTGTACTTTTCAAATTCGAAAATAATTCACTCGGACCATAATGAAACTTACGAAACAGGGTGGTGCATTATGGAACTTTGAACGTCGAATTGTTGTTCGATCACAGGAACTGTAGAAAATTTTTCGTTACTAGTACTCAAATGAAAATTTTTTATTGTTTAGAAAATTACTGGATGAAATCAACGCTCAGGAGCAGAACCGAGATTTATCACAGCAGTTTTTCTCCCGCGTTAATAAGGAAATAGATAGTTTTTCGGTGGTGGCTGAATATTTCGGCAAACGATTGTTTGGACGACAGACACCAATTGATGATCTTTTGCATCCTGGAGATAGACTTTAAGAAATTGTTACCTACGGTCCGGTGCCTGTGATTTTTCTGCGATACGTCTTCCCTTCTGAATTTTTGTGAGTGTGAGTGAAAGTGTTTTTGCTGGTTTTTTTAAATTTTGACGCAGCTTTTGTTTGTTACTTTATGTGTCGTTATTAAATTTTGGCTTTGTACCCCTTCTTATTTGAAAGACAGCTTATTTGAAATTATAAGGTTACAGAAATCTAAATTGGTATTGTATCAGTTTGTATGACTGTAATACTTGCGATACTGCGTGCTTTTAAAGTACGCAAAATGCCTGTTACGCATTTTGTTTTTTTAACAGTTCTAATACGAGCGCTATGTTTGACGTACTCCTGCTAGAGTATCTCGCGCGCTTGGGCGCTCCCAGCTATGTTTAGAAATGTGTGGAATTCTGTAACTATCGAAGGTGCAAAGGTAATACTGTAGAGATGCATGAATTAAGTAGTCATTTTATTCAGGTAATAGCCAATTAACATAACAAACAAGCCCGCGCTGATAGGCACTAATAAAAGACAGGTTTATACATTAAAGAAACAACCATAAGTAGTTAAGTAGATAATTTTGTGAATTGTATGGTAATAATTGGTTTTAATTGGTAAGTAATAATAGTAATTAGTACACGGTTTGGAAGCGTTGTTTTGAAATAAAGTATCTGTGCAGTGAAAAAAAGTAATAAAATGACCCGGTTACGTAATAATGACCCCACTCAGCCGGTTATGCCATGAAAACATTATGAGGACTGATATGTCTGTACTTGGCCACGACGGCCGTTTCGAAAGTGCCGGGCGGAAATCCGCTCGCAGTTTTTAACTGCATTTTTCTTTCTACAAGATATGTTTTTCGTAGTATGTATACACCGCAGATATCTGTTTTACTGCTCCGGAAACATGTCCACAAAAAAATAAATCAAAATGGAAAGAGCATGGCCGCACAACGGAAACGAGGATCATCCAATGGTGAAATGGCGCTCGACACTGCTATTTTGCACACTTGTATTATTTCGCGCGTTAGCCTGTAAAGTGGTGAGTGGTGACTGACATGTGTGAAACCGTATCGTAGGGCAGCCGCCATTCGGTGAGTGCTTGTACTTACCTCGTCGGAGGCAATATGTACCTCATGGCTCTTGCAACTTGATGGACGACGCGTTTCGGTATTCCCAATCCCAGTCCTACGGACAAGTTTTTTGGTTTCTGCCTTTCTGGTTTGTGTAGTTTAATTGCACCTCCTTTAACTTGTCACACTGCAGGACATCTCCCGTCAACTTTTGATGAAGTTTTGCAGCAGGTCTGCTAGCGTGTTTGTCAGTTTTTGCTGCTCAGGGTCGAAGTTCCATTAGAGTAGGGGTTTCAGCCATTTTCAGGATGATTGCGGATGCTGTGTTAATCATCGTCGTTTCCTTCATCGCTTCGGCTATCGGCGAAGGTGAGTACGAGTCATACAGCGGCTTAATTTTGAGGAATTCATTTTGAAACTGGTTGCATAAATAATTATCCTGATTTATCCATGATCCATGCTGATCACTGTTGCAGGGCTGGTTATGTTTCTTACAATTAAAACAGTGTATTTTGGTTTGGCCTCTAAAAGTGCTGTTGAAAGTGTTATAGCTCGGCTTGAGCAAGTACTAACAATATTCGGATCGTAATCTTCCAATATTTATTTCAAGTGCTCCTATCTGGTTATTTATTCTTGACAAAATGAGGAATTCCCGGAATATTGTTTTAACAGACAGAACGCATGGTTGTTTTTTTGGCTCCTACGAAACCCCGTATTTTCCGAAATAGCTTTTTTGACTGAGAGAGTTCAGGGAGATTTTATTTAAATCCTTGCAATGATAGTGCGAGACTGCGAGTAACATACGAGTAGCACTTTTCATTAAACGTTTATATTCGGTGTACTGAACAGTAAAACATAAAACGGAAATTGTTTTAGTAATTGTTTTAGTAACTGTGGTTTAATTCGCATCAGAACAAACAAGCAGCTTTTATTTTAACAGGGCTGACATGGCTGCTAGTGTACCGGACCGACAGATACAAGAAGCTGAAAGCGGAAATCGATCGCCAAGTCAAAAAGGGTGAGTGTTGCTCGTCGTCCCAGCTTGTCCTTTTCCGCATCGGATGGGTGTGTGTTGGCAGTCTTGCTCAGATAGAATGAATATCACAAAGTTGCTCACATCTAATACTACCAAATTTCTTATGGGGAAGGCTCCGCACACCACGAAACACCACCGCCAGGCTCCGCACACCACTTTTTATTATTTTTTAATTTTTTTTCAAAAACCACCGAAATCTCCTGACACCACCAAGGGCAGAGTGCACACCACCACAGTCTCAGCACACCACTATTAACAACAAAATTGATTAATTGTTATTAATTGGTATTTTTTGATACAACTCGTCTGCCTTCCGTTATAGTTTGCGAATTTTTCGGTTTTGCAGACTTGCCGAACTCAAGCTTTTTTCGTTTGCGCGTGGTTGCCTGCTTTCGCAACCACCTGTGTTTTGCTGTGCTTGCCTACTAAAGAAGTGCTTACTTAAGCCCATGTTATACTTCCACATGACGGCCAATATGTCTAGCATACGCTGTCATATATGTGATCGGCATTCATACTTTTATGCTGCACATTTTTTATGCTGAACATAAAAGTATGAATCGTTTGCATAAAAAATGTTAACATGAGCGCATGATGCTCGCATGTTGACTATGCTACATAAAAAATGTCATAATGAACCTGCTCATTTCGACATATTTTTATGTCAACAATATGCTAGGTAAAAGCTGTCGCCCCATGTAGGTGGCGATATCACCACCACGGGCGGTTAACGGTTTGTTAACACATTTCTGACGAGTTGGTTCATACTTCCGTTTCATTTTACTGGTGATAGCATATTGCCATTTAACATACGGCATAATCATTTTTGGTTTCATGTTTTAAATGTTGAATATGATTATGTCGTATGCTGCTTATGACGCGCCATCATTTTGGCCGTCATATGGAAGTATAACATCGGCTTTACTTTATGGTTTATGCTGTGCTTACTTACTTGCATTACGCATGCTGTATAGTATAGATTTGCCTTGCACTATATTGAAAAACCCAAAACATTGTAATATAGATACAACATATTTTAAGAAAAGTTTAACCTTCTGTACACACACGAAAAATACAACATAACTCATATTAGTCGTATATACGACCGACCACCGCATATCTTCGAAACTACGAGTATAATGTGGTGTCCCGAGACTGCCGACGATTTTAATAAAAAAATGGTGGCGTAAAAATGGTGGCCCGAGACAAAACGTGGTGCGAATAGTGGTGGGCGGAGCCTGGTGGTGGTGAAAGGTGGTGTGCGGAGACTTTGGTGGTAAAACGTGGTGTGCGCAGCTTTCTCCATTTCTTATGCAGTAATATTATAACATTTTTCAAACACAAAATTTCCCAGTTTAATTAGGTAAGTGTCATTATCACGCTTTATCTTTTTATTTTGCATGTTTGTTTGTTGTGACTGAAATACGACGCTTTGCTTAAATCGTTATCAAGATTCAGATCTATATTGCCACGAATGGGATACACCAGAGCCGGCAAACCAGAAAAGACTGACCAAAACCAATATTATATTCTGAAAGCCCGTAGTCGAAAACCCGGCCAGATAGTATTCATTTCTTTTAAAACCGCTCCCGCTTCGAGCGCCACAGCGGAAGAGTTATGGCTACCTTCACCAAATGTAACTAAATTATTATAATAATAATTATCATCGTGGTATTTTTAACCAGGCAATGTTGCCACGTAAACCAAATAAAATATAGTTAAAAAATAAAAGTATTTTCCACTAATTAGAATATCAGAATCAATTTAATTAGCAGACCGTTGGCGTTATTGCGACAAGAACGACTACATATCCAACGTTGTCATCGAGGACAATTTCTAAACAAGTGCCGGCCAAGCAGCGATAGACAGAACTACCGCCACTGTGCACAAAATACCAAAAATTAGTTGACTGAAATACCACTACTTTCTAGTTAAAATAGCCCGCTAAGCCAGTGAGTGGCCGAACTGCCACTATGGATAGCTATGCGAGCGGTTGCCCGAGCTGTTATTACTGTCCGATGCAGAGTGACCGAGCTGTCACTAATTTTCAGTGTAAAAAGCCCGTTAGGGAACGAGTGACCGAGTTACCACCACTGTCCGGTGCACAAAGCCCGGTAGGAGAGCAGGTGACCGCGCAGTCACTAATGTCCGGCGCAGAAAGTCCGTTAACGCAGCGGGTGAACGAAACAGTGCACTATCACTGTTTCGAATTTCACACCTTATATACTGATATTTCGGCTTTCTTTTCGGGTAGGGTATCGTGAAATTATCTGTATGCACAGCGAAAGGGAATGCTTTCTCAAGGTTGATAGAATCGGGAACTCATTTTCATAGAAAATTCGTGCTTGCCCTATTGCATGTACCGATCATGTTTCGACGAATAGACTGATGTTATTCTAATAAATATTGATTCAAATTCAAATAAAATGGCCATGGACCACAAGAAACGCGGAGGCGAAGCCGAGGCTGTTTCTTGTAATTGTTAAATTTACCAATAAATTGTGCATCGGTTTTGTCGTTTTTATCCTTGGTGGAAGTCTCGTGGTATCCTACTGCTTACTATGATTGTTTGTGGATTGTTTCCGGTATAAATATTACTAATGCATCGTGGTGCAGTGCATAAACATGCAGAACGAAATTATTTGACATGTTGCTGCATCTAGTTAAGGTATTCGAAACAGTCAGATTACACGAATACGTGCATAATTTTAGTTGTTTGATTGTTTGTGATAAAAAATTAACTTTGAGCCGTTCGTCAATGTTAAAGTTTTTTTGTAGTTGAGAAGAAGAAAAAGGAAGAAACCGCTGTTTCGCGCAATAAGAAAAAGATGTTGGACCGGGAAGAGGGAAAACTAAAGCACAACAATCGCGAGTTGTCCATGGTGAAGATGAAATCGATTTTCGCCATCGGTGTGGCTTTTTCAGCGATGTTGAGCATATTTAGTGCTTTGTAAGTTACAGATACCTGGATTATAAAATGGTGCAGTGGACTGGCTGTACATAGACAACGTTTTTTTTGCCTAGGTTCGAAGGAAAAGTGGTAGCAAAGTTGCCTTTTATACCTTTTGGGCTTTTTCAAGGCCTTTCTCATCGGAACCTGCTTGGATCAGATTATACTGATTGCTCCTACTTATTTTTATATATCTTATGCACTATGTCAATTCGCCAGGTAAGTCGTTTTTCATTCGTTAACAAATCTGGTGGAAATTGGTTTTCCACTTCAATTAGTTCCACATTCCTGTTTTTTTTGTGAATCGGGAGTCGTAATTTCACTTATTCACTGTTTTTGCAATATCAAATGTTGACTTATTGATTTCTTTGTTTGTAGAATTTGCAAAAGATCCTCGGTTTCGCTCCTGCTAGATCAAGCAACCAGAACGCAGGCTTTTTTACCCCTCCGACGACGAAATAATATAAAAATTATATTTCAGCTGATTATTGAATGTATTTACTATTTTTGCCCATTAGCCACACGCATAAAATTCCCATGGTCTGTGGTCACTGATTTTCTAATAATTTTTATTAGTCCGAGCTGCTCAGAATTGACCATTAATCTTTTCCGACTACTTCGGTTTTGAAGTATTAAAATGTTACATTCTGTTAGTAGCCGTACAGATTTCTGCTTGTGAACTGACCGAAAGAGCGAATAATGAACGAAGAGCTCACGAAAGTTTCCTTTCACTTGAGACATAATGTGTGCCTTTGGAAAGATACGATCAAGTGCTCTAAACATCGTGTTCTGACTGTGCCGCGTGTAGTCAATGTCGATCGGTACAGCATTGTCACGACAGTCACGCAGGAAAATTTCCGCCGACCTCATCAAGACCAATACAAGGGATAATAATCGAATTATCCTCTTGATACAGTCCTCTTTGGCGCATTGAGGACACTAGTGTATAATTTGGCTGTCCCAATTTTCCAGTAAACAGTAACAGATTAAATGCAACATTGATTTGCCATGCTAGAAATCCTGTTTGTGTTAAACGTCCACACTTGCTCTCGTTGCCGGTCGTTTTGAGCCCGATTTGCCGCTGCAGTCGCCAGGGCATATCCAGATTATTCCTGTGCAAAATATTGACGCTCATAATTCTGATTTGGGGAATAATCTGGACAGGCTGCGCAACACATAATTTTGCAAAGGCTGAATTGATATAATAATCGCCTAATAACCTCTCCAGCCATTGTTGACGCTTTGTACAAATTGCACCTGCCTTGCATTGGCTGCCGAGGGTGTGTTACGTATGTATAAAGCGCGCCGATGATATTTATGTTGCATTCAGAATTATCCAGATCAATAACGATAAATTCAGCTACATTTGTGCCATAACAAAGCAGAAATTGTTTTTGGCAGGAGTTTATTAATACTGTTAGCCAGTGTTAGGAGAGAAGTAGGTACAGACTAGTGTACAATACAGCCACGGTAGGTTATAATATAGGAGTAGGATAGGTCTTGTACAACAACAACGGCCATTTTATACCGAATTCACGACTTCTCGCACGAATATTCGGATATTTCTGATCGAATGACCAAATTAAAATTATTGTGATTGTGGCTGTTACATAGTATGGTACGTTGTCTTCCACAGCACACCGTTCAAATTTCAGATCAATAAAAAATACGAATAATTTGAAAGCTAAAAGATTTACAACAAAGGCAGTTTATCTGTTTAAGACATCCAATCTAGTAAACAGGTTTATTTTTTATTAGTTAGACTTTTTTCTCTGGTTTCAGACATTTATTAAACAATTGCCAGAAACGTATTTTTTCTGCATTTTGTCTGGTAATTTAGCATACTACTACTGGGTATCATTTAACAATAAAAACTTTATGGTCGACATTTAATGGATCGTATGCATATGCATTGTACCCAAGTTATGCGTTAGCGTAATCATGCAATCGATAACAATTAGTCTTTAAAACGAATCAGAAAGACTATCCTCAGAAGCAGCGTAAACGAACTCTTGTCTTTCATCAACCTCTTAGGTAATACAGGTGACCTTTTCTTTTTATCTATATTCCCACCCTCTACATAAACGATGAGATAGAATAATCTTGTGAACTCGAATCAGCATTATCATTGCTCATACTGTTTGGACTAGGTGAATTAGCTAATATTTGACTAAGTTGTACTCCAACAGAAGAGTCCATTTGCTGCCGGCTAACAGAATGGGGATTGTTTTGTTTGGCGTGCATTTTCCGCTGACTTTGTTGTTGATGCTTTTTTTGCCGCGCTCTGGAGTTTTGAAACCACACTTGTGTAACTCTTTTGGATAACCTGGAACAAAATCTCTTGCACCTCATCTGTTAGATATTACATGGCAATTATGTCCGAGCATAATACTTAATTAAAAGTAAACAGTTACTATATGCTAACCAATGTGAACTAAATGGACGCATTAATTATCAGGTTGTTATTGGCGTTAATGTGACAGAAAACAATATACTCAAATACTCATTCTTACAGTTTTAAAGATAATTGGCAATTTGACAGTAAAAGGCTAGGCTCTAAATAATCGAAGAAAAAGAAATCGTGTTCACACGAGTAGTACCTGCAACATGCTAATTACGTACGAGTAGAATTCACTACGGACTCTTCATACCCTGTCATTTGTGCTATTCTTTCCAAGTCCTGACCATCCGGATTGCTATCCATATTAAAATTAGCTTGTAATACTTGTAGCTGTTCATCCGTAAATGTTGTGCGCATTCGCTTGGTTTTTGGTTTTCCGGTGGATGATGATGACGAGTCTGACCCATCTAGAATGCATGCGAGCCCACACATTACCAATGGCAATGGGTACAAACTGAAGCTTTTATTATTGTTTACATTAACACCCACCACATTATTATTAGCCTCTCAGGAAGCACAAATACCTCTATCAATAAATGGACTCAATACCACAAAAACGAAAAAACCCTTTGTTATGCCTAACGAAAACTGTTAGAACCGCCACCCTGGCAATCATTTATATAATCCCGTAAGTATCTTTCATCCGGATTACCACAGAACTCAACACCTATATAACTGGATTATCACGCTCCCGTGATTTTGGTCCCGTTGCATCGGAAATTACTATGCGCAAAATCAACCGTACAGTGCGTACACTATGGTGTCATCATACAGCTAACGTAAGAAGAAGTAACAAAGTAAGAAATTAAAGGAAGACAAGTACTTACGTAGGTTGGTCACACACGGCAAGAGCAACAAAAATAATTATTCAATCGCATGCGCTGACATGCTGACCTTATCGAAATACGCGTAATAGCCAAGTGAACACGATACAGTATTGAAACCAGCTAGTACCTACATCTAATGTGTTATTCTTATAATATCTTACATTAACATAATATTATATTATGTAAAGTATAAGTACTGTACTATTTCCGTCAGACTCCTTGTATATTATCTTTTTTATATATGTGGAGCCGGCATGTAAAACGAAATTACCATCTTTGATTCTGCTGGATGATCCCTCCACGGAGTCGATGTAATGCGTTTTGCATAATAAACGCGTTTCCTCGTCTGTAGTCAATAATGTGAATTCTTCTCCAGTCGATAGTTGTCGCTTGCACTAAAAAATTATCCCCGTATTATAACAGTTATTTGGCTAAGCTTCACGAATAATCGTTCGTCATTTGGAACTGTTTTCTTTTAAAACTATACAAAACGTTTTCCTAGTTGACCTTTGCACTAGTAAGGCATTGGAATATTAGTGACACGACCTTATGACTTGTGAAAAATTTAGTAACAAGATTTTTGAGATTTATAGCACCATTAAAAGGCGTATGTGTGTTCTCAAAATGTGTGCAATACATAAAGTATAATAGTACTACCTAATTTAGCGAAAAACGTATATCTTAAAAATTTTTAAGTTTTCCTTTCTCCGTTTGCGCTACTTTGTAAAGAATTTTATATTATGCAGAATAATATTGCCCATAATGTAGACGAATTACGCCTGGTTTCGATATTTCCCAGTTTTCTTACAGTATCACAAGCAAAACAGGCAAGGTGATAAACACACTCGCGTGCACGTCGGACCCAGTCGGTGGCGGCGATGCTGCGGCAACATTTGGAACACTTAGTACCAAACAATCTGCAAATAGCAGCATGCATTAGCGACGTTAACAATGCGAGAATGTAATCAATCTTCGTTAGGTAGTTCAAGAAAGGCGCAAATGGTCTAGACAAGCCTTCTCACGTTCTTTGTTGAGGGCCGACAGTAAAAATTCATTTTTAAAATTGCAGCGATTATTTGAATGAACACTAATCAGATCTAACTTTAAGTACATTAATCAAACGTCATCTTCGATAGCGATTTTTTGTAATACGTACACCCTACAATTAGTAGACAGTAAGTACAAAAGGTCAGCCCACAGCATATTTTAAAATGTTTATGACATATGGATCTGCGCTGTTTGCGGTTCTAACCATGTACACTATAGTACTTGTATCACGTGAATTCTGGGATAAGAAACTTTTAGTTTATCAAACGAAAAGCTACTTTACAAAGTATACTACAAGTTTACAAAGCTGCTTTACAAACTATATGATAGGCATATTTTTTGAATTTAAATTAAGAAGAACTCAATAAGCCTGGCAAATCAATATTTCTTGTGAATGCCACATGAAGGCAATGTTCAGATGCAAGGATTGGTTTGGATAAGTTTTGGATAAGTACACTTGTATAATAAATACGCATACAAAGTGCAGTTCAGAAGTTACAGTAATTTAATTTTGCAGATCTTTCTGTGCATAGAAGTACGGATAAGTTTTTGAAGTGCCTAAATTATTATTGCTCCTTGCAGCGAAAACACCCGACCTGAAATGTCTGAAACCGTGAATATTTTTTAAAATCCTCCAAAACAATCATAAAAATGCAGCATGGCACCAACACTGTGTACAACTGTGCAAATAATTTTTGAAAAACGCTTTTACGCAAACGCACGAGTATCTGTGGGAATAGAGTTCAGCATTAAAAACATGCAGCACAAAGAATTTATAAGAAATAACGCAAAACGTTTTCACGTATTACGGATTATAGGTTGCTTATTTTGGTGCGGCAATGTGTAACGCATTATATGACAACGATCGCGATAAACAAATCTAAATTTCAAGTGACTGGAAACAGATGTGCGAGCTTTCGTCACAGATCCACGCAGCACGATCCTCAGCGTGTACTAATTAGGCAATCTGTATTACGCATATTTCGTAATTAGAATCATTTGTTAAGTAAACATTCCTGGTTTAGTTGACGCACTTCCATTGACAATAACCACTGAGGATGGGGCACAGATGGGTAATTATTGACCGTGATATTGGCGCAACAGGGAACACCGACAAAACACATCACACTAGAAGCTACAGGCCCAACGAGGTTATGATCATATGCCGATTAATAGCCGATACGCTGCACAGGCTCAACTATGCAAGTTTGCCCATTGGTCAAAAACGACCCGTGATCCATTTCCGACATCTCATCCGCATGAAATCCGATGGAATTACAGTAACTCTACTGACACATGACAACTTACCTACATCGTTTTTCAATGTGTGCCCTTTCAAAGTAAGTAATTTTGGATAAGTTCAGTTCACGTTAATTAATGGTAAGTAATGAAAACACGCAGATTTAGCTAACCTGACTGTGAGTACCGGTGATATAAAAAAACGCTAAGTAATATTGGCGCACCACACGTGTCATTTACAAGCGAGTTAAATTTAGGCCGTCCAGAATTTGTGGAAATTGCACAACAAAAAAATGTCCGTATGGCTTTTCGAATGAATTCGTTTTCGTATATCAAGTGTTTTTTGGGTGAACAATTGGAATTCTTGAAAAAATTTCTGGCGTTTGAAAATACGCTAACCGTAACGGATGAAAGAGACAGGTGTCTAGAGTGTAGATTTCTCTTTTGTCCATTCACCCAGTACAAGGCATATAAGTCGTTGAATTCATTTTTTGGGCATAAATACTTACGTTACGTAGTCTTGTTTACAATAAACATTGTTGTTTTTGACGAAACACGATCGATCAGATCCAAGAGACTTCTGACAGCTAGCACAACGCAGGCAATCCAGATGGTAGAATTTGTCTTCAACTTGCAGCATATATCGATCGACAATCAAGCCGGTACAAGATGAACAGACATACGACGTTAAGTTATTTACCTGAAAAAAGGTAATACATGTCACCTTCGGTTTTTCCGGGATTCGTCATCAGTAATGCTAATTGCTGAAATACATATACGGGCATATCGCGCGTGATTTCGGTAAGCACAGTAATTTGTAAAGGATAAGCAAAGCGGCCGCACAAAGAGTGCAGATTTACATCGAGTAATAGTGGCATGCACAATTGGACAGATCTAGAAAGGGAGGCTTTGTGCAGTGGAATTAAATTAGTCGCCTGATGCAGTTCGTGAGCAATGACACCGCAGGTTGACATGCTGATAAACCGAAAAAAAGCCGCATTCTTTCAGTGAAAGACAGACAGTCAAATGTTATGCGTTCTTTCTAAAATATATGCACAGACATTAATCTCCGAAAAATAGTCGGAACAAAAATGGCAACAAAAATCGCCTTTCAGCTAAAAGGATACTAGTCGCAGACCGCTTTATGTGTGCAGGTTTAACTGGTGTCGGCAAATGCCTGCCGCAAGGTATCGTTTTCCTCACAGCTGGCTGTCCCCTCGTCAAAACTATGTATCATGAATTTTGTCATGAACTCGCGATGCAAAATCGCCATCATAGGTTGCGTTGTTGTCATACTCATAATTAATGAGTGTGAATAAAATGAGCCACCCTGTCGCGTTCTGACATTTTTCTTTCCTATCGAAAACTATAAAGATATCACTTAAAAGAAAATGCCCACGTATCGGGCTTGTATCGCGTCCCGAAATTTGATTCTCCCATCGAAGGCCATTATCAATCACAATTGTTGATCTTTGCCGAATCGTCTCGCATGCGCATGCGAACAGTATGTAACAGTAAGTAATGCAGCCTGTATGTAATAGGTACTGTAACTTGTATATTAATTCGACTTAGCGAAAAAATTTTCTTGTATTTTGAGCAAATGCAAGCTCGACTTACGTACCAAGAAGCGACAACTTAAATCAACCTAAATCGAAAGAGAAACTGAGATTTAGGTAACCTTTTGCATATCAAGCAATTATTCATTCACATTTTCTTAGCCTTTTGTATATCGTTCGCGATTACGGAAACGCGATTATATTGCTCGTTCGATTCAATAAAATAGATGTACTATTCTCTTTGCCAGATCACCGCGGTACTGTATCTCAAAGTACACAATTAATTTTGACTGAATTTCACACTTCCCGGTCACCTTGTCAAATGCGTTAAGCTACAGCGAATCCCAGGTCATTTTTGCTAAATATAACTTAAGGTTGAGGTGTCAACCTGGTTTCACAGCTTTCACCGCTAAAGAACACAATAATCGCCATTTAGCAATAATATTTGTCCCGTGAAAACCTATTAACCTGTGAAACAAAATATTATATGTGTATTGTAGAAACCAATATGGAGAATAATAACTCCATCACAATTTTCCTTACCCGCACGACAGCTGACCTCTTTTTCTTGACCGAACCATCTCGCTTTTTGGTCCTGGAGAATTTGTCTCCAGCATTAATGTTGACAACAACGTCCGAATAGGAATACAGCATGCTCATGTCGGCAAATAAATTTATAGCTAAACAATCATCTTGATTTAATTGTGTTCCAAATGGATTCGCAGTAACATGTCCTTAATAGTGACTGGTGCGTTGGAAAGAATGACGGTTGAAGATACCGTATCTACAAATAATTATTTCGCATCTCATAAATGCTTCTATCACCCCAGGATCGCGAATTTGCAATGAAAAGTTTACGATTTTTGATATCAACGCGGTTTGATTTGTACAAAATCTGCGAAAAGTGATAAAACAGTAGAACAGGAAGATGTGGTGTTAATATCGATCGGTCCGATCGCATCGTACAGCGTGGACACATTTATAACTGTACGACTGAAGAGTAGCCTGCGGATCCGGTGGATGACGCTAACATCATGCATGACGGTACAACTAATATTCACAAGCGTTAATCAATAAATCGATCCTCGCGTGTTTTTGTTAAATTCATACGAAGATATAATAATCATTTTTACTAAATATGCGGCACTCCCGAAATAAAATGTAAGTTTACAAAGCTCACATGTTACAACACTTAATAATTACGGTACATAACGATACGCAGGCATCGTAGCTTTTTGTTTGTTTATGACTTCGTTGTTTTATGCCTCCTGCCTAAAAAGATGTTTTTATTGATATTTCTGCACGGTGCGGTCCCTGTTTTCTGGCGAGTTTTGATATGAATCCATCTAAAAATAAACCGTTTTTATTGATTTGGTTACTTATTCCGCTGCGCAACTTTTGATTGTTGCGTAATTAGAAACCGGCGTGCACGCCGTGCAGCCATTTTCAAACGTTTCTGTTTATTGTTATACTTATTGTAACTTCGTATGTCTGGGTTAAAAACAAAACGCTTAACCAATTTCAACCACAAAAATACATTTTGATATCAATGTAAAACGTTATCAAAATTATCGTAAATTTTATTGTTGTTGACTTTGTTGTTCCAGCGCTTCTGTGTAAATTTGCTGTACAATTCTTAACACGCCTACAGTAATGCACAACGTGTTGCGATTAACCAATCGTTGATCGCATTGTCACTTGTGTAGCTCTCATTTCGTTTTGGAAACAGGAAATTCATGCATTTTTTCGCTAGGGTACTATTTTTGAGAATTATGTACCAATTTGACTTCTGGAGGTTTATTGTTGTGGCTAGCATTGATATCGTTAATGGTGCGTTTTACTGTTTTAGTTTCTTGTTTCGTCACGGAGATGTAAAACTATTTTTGGGAATCTAGAAATTGAATTGTTCCTGAATGGTTTATGTTGAATAAATCCTGATACCCGATTGGCAAGAAGGTTCAAGGAACCATTTTGATCCCCTTTTTCTCTGGTTTGGCCTCCTAAGTCCTAAGGAATCATGGCGGACGCAGGTTTCTTTCGGGTAGGCAATATCAAGTGATAATCCCCTGTGAGAAATGGTGTGTCCTGTTCGAGGTGATGTCATGCGCTACGTTTTGCAGGGTACGAACAGTGAACAGGACACCAGGTTCTCCGATAAACAGAAGAAGCTGCTCAAAACCATGAAATTCGCCGATATCCTTTCGGAGCGGGTAAACAACTGTTGTTGATAACGTTGGTGGGACACTGAATAGCATAATGAAATTCTGACCAAAATTGCAGGTGGACATGAAGAAAGTTAAGCTGGAAACCATCAAACCATGGATAGCACAGCGCATCACGGAGATGTTGGGCTTGGAAGATGAAGTGGTTGTGGAATATGTCTTCTCGCAGTTGGAGGTTCCTGTGAGTGTTTTCTGTGAATCTGTCACATCTCTCCAGTGAATAATACACAGATTGTTCCGCCGTAGATCGTGGACCCTAAGCAGATGCAGATCAATATGACAGGGTTTCTCAATGGGAAAAATGCTCGGGAATTTATGCGCGAGCTGTGGGAATATCTGGTCAGTGCGCAGAATAATCCCACTGGCATTCCGGATCAGTTTATTGAAGCGAAGAAGAAGGAGCTGCGTGAGCGTGAGGTGGAGCAAGATAAAGTGAACGCAGCTATTCGCAAGACGCAGGCGTCCATCGATATGATGAATCCACCCTCCAAGGAGGCTATCAACATCGCTAACAGGTGCGAAGCAGCTGTTTTAGCTAGCACATTTTTATCTTAATTTAATTAATTTTTGGTCTCGGAAGATAGCTTTTTTTCAAATGAGTGGGCTGTTTTTCGCTTGGTTTTGAGATTTTGTTAAGTTTTCAGTACGACAGTACCCAAGCAAATTCTGTAGTGTGCTGGTGCATCCTGAAGATCGAAGTCGAAATATTCTACTTTTTCGCGGTGACAACTTGATCCAGTCTAACGAATCCCACTTTGTACGTTTTCCAGCGCTGCTGTAACGAGCCGCAACCCCAGAAAGAGTCCCAACCGAGCTCGTCAGTCGCCAGAACGGCGTCGTTCGCCCGCGCGGACGTTCCGTCGAAGTCGCACACGAAGTCCACCACGTAACCTTAGACGGACTCCGTCTCCTCGGCGTAAACGTTCTCCTCCGCCGCGTGTCCCTGCTCGCCGTAGTCGGTCGCGTGAACGTTCAGTGGAGCGTCCGTCGAAACAGCTGCCAGTCAAAAACCGGGAAACAGCAAAGGAACCTTCCCCCTTACCTCCACAGCGAGCGACGAAGATCCAGCCTAAACGAGCCAAATCCGAAAGCAGTAGCTCCAGCAGCAGTGTTTCGCCAGCCGAGCGCCGTCCACTGCCTCAAGTTAAAGCACCTTCATCAGACCGCTCAAGCAGCCGCAGTTCTTCTACGAGTCATGGCAATCGTGCAGCGAAAAAAGAAATAATTACCGAGAAGAAGCGATCACCCTTGCCTGCTAGGGGTAAACGAAGCAGCTCCAGTGAATCTAAAGTTGAAAAAGCGCGAAAGCCGAAGAGTCCATTGCGGAAAAAGTATGAATTTTTTTAGATAATGGAAACCTTTACATCTCTGGTAAATTCTGAAATTCAAAGATATGTGTTATGCTACCCGATCGAATTATTTCAACCGGGTCTTCGAATTTCGAAACTGAGATTTTCAAAGTTTTGATTAAATCAGTTCGAACTGCTTACAGAAGCAGTTCCTCGGCTTCATCGGCTTCGCCTCCCCGTGTGAAAGGAAAGGTTTCGACATCTCCATCTCCGCCGCCTCGGAAACCGGCGGATCGGCAGCCTGTTAGGTGGGTCGCTTTGTTTATCCATATACACAAAAAATGGATAGGTGGATATCTGGGTATGATTTGGACATTGCAGGAAGCGATCTCTGTCATCTGATCGGGATAAGAGCAAACGCGATAAGTCTAAGTCGCTTCGCCCTGTTAGGCGAAAATCGATTTCCCGGTAGGTTGATAAATAGATTTTGCGCGCTTGAGAGTTTTTCGAGCTTACCTCTTTGATGATTTGGTCGCATCTTAACTGAGTGTTTTTATCAGCTTGATGAAACAAAACCTAGAAATATTTCATGGATAGGTCGCCCGTACCACGCCGTGCTGCTGAATCTTCTACTGCAGAGCAAAGGCGCGGTCGACCAAGTTATAAAAAACGGTAAGTTGCCTCACTTTCCTTTTGGAGCACATGGAATTAATATTATTTTAAGTATGAAATAAGTTCAGTGTGCGGAATGAGCGAGTCATGTGTCTGCTGCTTTCTTTACTTCTGTCTTATGGATTTTTTCTGGAGCTTTTCTATAATTATTATGTTTGCAGGGAGAAATCATCATCGGAATCGCCTTCTCCACGTGCGACTCAAGCATCTCCGCCACCCAGACGAACGGCTGCTAAAGGGAAAGAGTAAGTTGAAAGAGATGTATGTCTACTTCCATTGTCCGTGAGTAAATGCAGTCTTTTGAGAAATATGTTATATTTGTGCTTGAATGCTCCAAGTTGTACTTGCTGGAACAATTTACATTAATTATTTAGTAATGCGGTTCAAGCCGAGGGTCATGTTTTTCATTGTTATATCTGAGTGGTTTGTGCAGGCTTTCCAGTTCGCCATCGGAAAAAGGAGGTAAAAAGTCGGTATCACCCTCACCAAAGCGGAAGAGATCTGAATCGCGTTCACCGAAAAGGAAAAGATCCGACTCACGATCACCTAAAAGGAAGCGTTCGTATTCTCGGTCGCCAAAACGACATCGATCAGATTCGCGATCACCCCGACGAAGATCTCATTCTCGATCACCTAGACGAAATGCTTATCGTGATAGAGGAAGGCCTAGCGATTACAGACGGTAATACTGCTGAAAATAGTACCCTTCTGCACCCGAACTTGTACTTTTCGTGCACCTTCCGATTATGTTTTAGGGGACGGTTTCAGCCTTCTTCTCGATTCCGCCAGGAACGCTGGGAGCGACCTAGCGATCGGAGGGATCAACGATACAACCGGGCGACACGGTAATAAGTTGTCGATGTTTCTAAGTTGAAACGTTTTTTTTTGTGAAAAGTTGATAGTTTTCTTGATGTGCTTTTATTTTGGTACGTCGAGTGCATAACGTGTTTTTCCTTCAGAGATCGCTCTAGAGATAATATTCCGCGACAGTATACCAGGCGTAGTCGTTCAGGGTCACCTCCACCACCGCGCACTCAATATCGAAATGATGGTGGCCCTGATCGTGCAAATGGAAAGGAGTCAGTCAAATTACCTGCCCGGTATTATATCATTTTCGAGGTGCTGCTTGTTATGGAACATAATGCCTGACGTTTTTTTATGATTTAGTGGACGATCAGGCACCCCTGATGCGAAGCGGGACATCGACGTTCGGATGCGAGACGGGTAATTTTTCACAATTTTTTAAAAAATTCTTTAGTTTGTTGGAAAACTGATGCATCAAATTCCACGATATTCATTCCCATCCGGTTTCCTCAGGAATTCTTTCATTTGCGAAAGTGGGAAAAAAACTTGATTGTGCGCATAACTGAGTAGTTCATGAACCAGTAAACCACCGCGTGCGTTTTTCGATTTTCTGACATTTGGCTTACTGCTGATATATTCGTTGGTATTTTTTGCATAATTTGTATTTAATACGTGCTACATTCATTAAAAATGAAAGTTAGAATTTTAGCGGGAAGTCGAATAATTAATAATTAATAATAATGTTTCATTTAGGGGCAAATTGGATTCAAATCCAGTATTTGGTAAAAAGGGCCCGGAGACGCAGCAACGCTCTCCTGATAGGAAAAGGTAATTCTCGTACTTCGGTTTTATTCTGGCCCTTGTTGATGGATTTTCTTCCATTCCGTGTGGTTATTTGACACTTCTGTTAGTGAAAATGCTGTTTTACGAGATTAAAATTTAAAATTGAGATAGTTTCCACGTTTAAGGCAGTTGTTTTACCGTTTTATAGAGAACGTTCACGATCGTCCACTCCCCGCGGACGCTGGGTTGAGAGACCACCCGGAAAAACTGGCGATAAAGGGAATGCTGGTCAGCCTTCTGGGTAAGTACCTGTAGTCTGAACTGAGCTGATGATATCAGTTTTCTTTTAAAATAGTGATTCTTATATTTTAAATGTTATTTTTTGTTATTACCTAGTGGCTTAGTTTGCATAAATATTTGGTGCGTATGTGTAAATACCACTGCGCGTTTGTTTGCAGAGACACGGTTGCGAAGACGGCGCAACTGGGAGACAAATATAATAAGTTGGACATTCCTAGCAAATTAGAATCCCAGGCGCACGCACAAGCTGGGTGAGATTTGCAAGATACGGAATCTTTCCGCGCGTGTATTATTTTAGACTTTGCTTAACAGTAAACGAGTTGATGGCGCTCATCCCGATAGACGATCGGCATCAAGTGGGGAAGCTCCTCGAGCTTGGAGATCTCGAAGTCCAGCAGACTTACAAAAGGTGGTTATGCCGGCAAAGGGCAACGTTGATTTAACATTATGAATTACTGTGTGGCTTTTTGTATTGCTTTGTTAATTTGTAGAAAGCTGCTTCGCAAATTAACACGAAAGGGAGCCCAATCAATTCTAAAGCGGAGTCCGAAGAGAGCGATCCGGACAGTGAGTCCCCTAAAAAACCAAAAAAAGAAAAGAAACGCAAGCATAAGGAGAAGAAACACAAAAAACACAAGAAACATCGCAAGGAAAAGAAATCTCGGAAAACGGTAAAACCTATTTTTTTAATAGCGAAACGTTAGTGCTCGTTAATGTGAACCCATAAACCTAAAACAGATTTTTTTAGGCAGACTCAGAGGATCCAGATGACATAGAGGAAAAGCTTCGTGCCCGCGCTTTGGCATCCATGAAGAAAGAGCAGGAGCGGCACTCGTAATTTCATAAGACTTCATTTTCTGTAAAATAAGCTAAGTAGGATATGATTGGCAAAGTTAACTATATCATCGTCGATATGTAATTTTTGGAACTGCGCGTGCATGCTGGGTCGGAAAACCGTTAAGATGTTTTTGTCAGGTGGTAGTTAGTTGCATTAGTTTGTTTTGGGCTTTACGTAAACGTTTTAATATGGCTGTATAATAGGGTTTCTGCTCGGTATGGTCAAACAATTGGACGCTGTTGTTGTTTTGCGGATAGATAACAATTTCTTTGTTCGCGGTTTCCATCGATTTGTAGACTTGTTGTGTTTATAATGAATATTGGGTAATTGGCTGTTTGAATTGTTGGGTGATTTAAGGCTGTGTTTTGACCCTGAAGGAAGAAAAGCTAAAGAAAGAGCAGTAATTTTACCCGTATTTGTATTTCCGTATCCGAAGGAAGACTTAATTTGTAGGTTGTGTGGGTTTCGGGACTTATTAGGATTACGCATATTTCGTGCGGATCATGGCAAAAGAATTGTGAAGGTAGAACTGGTAAGGTGGATCGTCTCGGAGATTCGTAAGGTGGCTCATTAGTTTAAACTGCCCGGATTTCAACTTGTTACAAACCTTTGCTTTGTGTTCTTCTTTTGCTGCACTTCAAATTTACCACAGGTCTTCTAAAATTTTACGTACAAAATGGTAAGCATGATTTGTCCGACTTAAGTGTCGGAAATTTGGAATAATGCTAGTTTTTACTTTTTTACAACCCCATCATGACATCATTCGCGTACAGAGTAAGTATTTATTCCGATTGTTGCCGGCGAAATTTTTTCATGCGGGCAGTACCGCTATACGTTATGAGAAAAAACTATGAGTCTATAACAATACAAATTATATCTCCGTAAAAAGATTATTATTTAATTTTGAGATTCATGTTCTGTGTGATTTTAATTTTTTACTCGACTACGGCGACGTATAGTGGACATTGATGGCCAGCGATATGAAATTATGAATCGCGCGCGGCGAGCAGGAAACGACTGAAAGGAGTAAAAGTTTAAAAATTATTTATTAAGTAGTATGTTATTAAGTATGTGGCGTACAAGGTAGTTGGTGAAGTGCATTATATTTCTTAAACTGCCATCCATCCCTTGAGCTATTTTTGATGTATAGGAAATCAGATTTCCTTCGTTTATAGAAGTATACATGTATTTATAGTTGTAGTAAGTACTGGCAGCGGATTTTAGGTTCCACCTTAGCTCACCAGGTTATTTTATCGTTATCAGTTATGCTTCGGCCGTCTCGCCTTGTTAATATTGTCAATTATGGAGATGGATGATGGAGTTTCAGTTGTCGGTGCGTATCGCTGGGAAAGAATCGCTTGACGTCCGCATCGCGAACAGCGCCACAGTAAGAGACCTGAAAAGGGTTATTTTCCAACAAGCGCCATACTTCAATAAGGAAACTAACGGTGGCGACCAGAACGGAGCAGCTAACGATATTATTATCACGTTTGCTGGCGAAGTTTTGGCGGACGACAGCGTTTTGAAGGTACGCGGTTTGTCACTTTTGTCTTGTGAGAAAGTATTTTTACTCTCTGATCAACAAACGCATTGCGATACACATTTATGATTAGGACACATCGCTTCGTGATTGCACAATTCTTCATGCTGTCCCATGTCGAAATCCAGCACTGTGCACGGATCAAGCATGTATCAACGAGGATGCCTCGGGAAAGAGCGATTTAATTCCAGTGGAACAGGCTAGGAAATTTAACTGTAAGAATTTCGCACTAGAATAACAGATGCATTTCGCATTATGCTTTCCATTTTGACAGTATAATATTATAGTACTTTCCAGTTTGTGTTCTTCTGCTCCTTACAGGCACCTTTTATGGATATTGCAAGGACGTTTGCGCAGCATTGGTGCCAGCTTTGCTGCGCTTTTCGTGTAGCTTTTGCGATTCAACAAACATCGTAATAAAAACGGTTGGTATGTCGTGCGAAATACGAATATTGTGCAGCCTAGTTACATTTTTGGTTTGGACGTTAGCATTTTTGTCGAAAATTCAGTCCAAAAATTTTTCAGAATAATTCATTAAATAAGAATTTTTTAACCTTGTGAATAATTGCATTTGTTGTTATCATTCTGCAGTGGTCCGCAAATGTCTGTTTTATCCTAGTGTGTATTTACAGGCAACAGTCTGTCAGGAATGGGACCGCATATGTTCCCGACAAGTGGCATTACCGGCTCACTGTTATGGAAGATGTGGAGGGGCATCGGCTGTAGGTGTAGTTGTGCAAAAAATGAACAGTTCTTTCCGGTGGAATGCACAGGGATAATTACTCGTTTGCTTGCTTGCAGAATTTATTTTTTAAATGTGCGGCACATCCAAGTAGGAGTGATTTTGACCAAATTGTTTACCTGCGTCAAGTTTTGTTGAATGAACACGACATCCCGTGTGTGACATGCGAATCTGTCAGGTGAGCGTTAAAATGCCGTAGCTGCCGTATAAATACAGATGGTAATTTCGACCTGATACGCGTACTCGTACAATATACCCTTTTTGAGTTTTGGCGGTTTAATTTGGGGCTTTGCTGTTTTTTTTTCGTATGGGAAAAAAGGGTGAAAGCGGTTTGGAACTGATTCTGGTTTTCGCGTATGCAGTAGTGGTTGAATTTTTGCAGTTAAGTTGCTGTTTACTGTTGATTGTGTTTCAGTTCGCTCGTGGTGGATTTTCTCTGTGACCCGACTCATGTTCTGTGTCTGGACTGTTTTGTCCAGTATGGCTCTATTCTCGTCACAGAACGGAGATTTTATTGGCAAGAACAGACGGGTTGTGTCATTCCTTGTCCGGTTGGCTGTCGCCATGGATTTATCCACGATCCGCATCACTTCTACTTACTTGGTAGAAAGCTGGTAAGCAGTTTCGAGAGATTTCGAGTGGGATGGATTAAAACCGTCTTGTTGCTAGTACGAGAAGTTTAAAGATTTTGCGGCGGAAGAGCGTTTTGTTAGAGAAGGCGGGATATTCTGCTCGGAAGTGGCGTGCAACACTGCATTTGTGGATTTAGCCGACAGCGTTTTCGCGTCCTGTCCGAAGGGTGTAAGACACTATCTCCGTTAGATTTGCTGTTTTCTGTAAAAAAATTTGGTTTAGATACTTTTAACGTTAATGTACATATTTGCAAAAATTACATTGCTGTGAGTTTGATCTTCTTGTGCATTGCAGCATAGATACTGCCGGACTTGTCGAGATAAAATTCACAGTGGAGGTTGCGATGAGCCTGTTATCTGGACGAAAGGAATTCTATCGGTTAGTAACTTAGTAATGATAATAATCGCGAGTTACTTCAGTTTTTTGGTTAGGTTGGCGCAAAAGCACTTTTTCCTTCGTTGTGTGAATGAAAGAATATGTTGTTGTTCGACACAGTGAATAATTGCGTAGATTAATACGTATTACTTATATGATTGCACATTTTACCACTTGAGTTATTGGCTCCTTTGAATTCAGGTTAGTTATAAGTTGTAACTGACAACATTGAGGATGGGTGCTTTTTACGTTCAGACCTTTGCCTCGCAAGATCCAAGCCGAACAGATATCAGATCTCGCTTAACGATCGCCAACACGACCAAATCTTGTCCTGGATGTCATACACCAGTGGAACGGAATGGTGGTTGCATGCATATTACATGTACTCGGTGTCGGAAAGAATTTTGCTGGATTTGTTTGGCTGAGTGGAATATTAACTGCATGAGTCGGCATTGGTTCGGATGAGAATACGCCAATATACACGTGTGCCCATCGAAAGTTGCGTTGGCGAAAAGATTTTTGGGTTAATTGTAAGTTATAACAGATAACGTTTTTTGGAGTGCAATGTTGTGTTTGTTGTCAGCTAGATTTCCCTAGTACTATTCGGGACGAGCTATTTATATGTACATCGCAAACATGAGAATTTTATGGTGTCCTTGCTGAATAATATGAAAAACCTGAAGATGAGGTTGTCGGTTTGCATTCTTATTTTGATTACGGCTTTCAGTTCGCCTTCAGGTAGAGAATAAAGAGAGAACTGGATTTTGAAACACGAAGATATCGATTTAACGGTACTTCTCTTGCATAAAGGACGCGATCAGCACCATTCGATAAATAAGTAGACAATATTTTAGTATGCCTTAAAGATGCATTTTTGCAAAAAAAAAAGAGTTTCCGGAGCGTAGAGAAGTTTCTTCATGTACTTAATTATTTCGTATGTATTGAATTATTAATATAGAAATCTGTAATATATGAATTATGTCAACTTTCTGTATTGCGCTTTCTTATTAATAATGTAAATAGAGTTTAGCATAAAAACCACACAGTGCAAAGTCTTTTACCCTGAAACGATATCAAGATTTTGAAGTCATTGTATCAATTCGTATGATAATAGTACTTAATAGGTCAATCAGAGGCGATGAAAATCAGATCCAATTAGTACGCACTGCGCAGTATGATGCAAGCCGGTTTACCGACGGTGGAAAATTTAAGAAATCAAACCAGCCTGTGACAATCGGCAAAACGTTTCCATATCAGGCAAGCTAAAGTAAGTATTTAAATATACGGTACATGAATAAAGTTAGTTGGTTATAAATGTGACCGTATTTTAAATTCAAGAATTTATTTGCTGCTTGGTACCGGGAATGCGGTCATTCAAGTTAATCAACGTTAAAAGCTTAGAATAATGCCTAATTTTGTGGTAAGTATTTTCTGTTTACAGGTACTGAATGTTCAGTATACAAAATATGCTGTATTTTTCGTTCCGCCACAAATGCCATTTTCCATTTCTTAAGCTTCAACACTGGCGTCAGCATTTCAGTCTTGCAGAATGCAGATTACCAAATCGAAGAAGCGTCCAACAAGCATGCAAAAGCATAATCAAGTTCTCCTCGTGGTACGCTCAGCTGCAGCAAGAAACGATTATGATCAGGAAGGCATCATGTCACCCATCGGGTGAGCAGTTAAAAAACTTATCTGAAGTATCAGACGTTTTTTCAAAAACACCAACCGGCATGACTGCACCTTCCATCATATGTCATAGTTGCTGTGCTATTCAAAGGTTCAGTAGAATGGTCACTTCTATACTGTATCACAATCCACATCGACGCAATGTGAAACAAATAAAACCACAACTTACCAGTTAGGACTATATGCGATCAGCGGATTAACATCTGGTTTGTCGGGAAGACGACAATGCATGAATACCACTAATATTGTATTGTTATTACTAATACGAGCTAATGGCAGCCTGCGTGAGCACTTGTCACTGTGTGAAATCTATTTAAGCGTTCGTTGTCGTTAACTGCCTCTGTTTTTGTCTACCTGATCCAGAATCCTTTGCTCTTCATCGTCATATTTTTTTATCTAGGGCAGATGCAGATGCGTACCGTTAACTTGGCAGCAAATTACTGGGACGGCGAGATTGTTCTTTGTTTTAGGAGAGGCTTATGCATTATTGGCTGGCAGCCAAAAGCCGACTTCTGTTAGTGGTTTTTAGCCGGCTTTTGTTATGCAGTACATAGCCTGCTGTACATATGCAGACTGTCTACATACCAAATTTCTGTAGTTAGTAAATACCAAAACACCGGCTGAAGACGAAGAGCATCCATCCATCGGATAATTTTCTTACGTTTAGTTATGCGTTTTCTAAATTTTTACATTAATTCGTTTTCTCATTCCCTTCGCTGCTGTTCAGTATTGTCTGGATCCACGTGATTAGCGCTTCCATGTTTAACATCATGGCAACGTTACGGTTCGTTATTGTTACCGTGCCATTACTGATATTATTACTGGAGACAGAGTTTTCCGCCTCAGTTCCTTTACGGCGGTCGATTCCGGAAGATTCGAAGAATCTGCACAATTTTTCCATCAATCTCCTTTTCGGCGTAGGTTGGAGAGATTCACCTGGCGCTGTCCAGCCGAACCAAACGATACATTTTGATATTAGGCTTTTGGGAATTCATCCTCAATTGTCCTGCACAGTTGTTGCTGCAAAAGGAGCACTCGTCTACTGGGAAAAGGATGGTCAACGTTTCCAAGACAGAAGCGGACGGTCAGAATTCATAGTGATTTTAAGTGAACGATAATTATTGCGAACTATTTTTTGGAATAATTTTTTTTGACAATATCCGATCGCAGCAATTGTGGGAATAATGTATGAGCACTGTATGGATACTTGAACAAAATAACTAGTAAGTACAATACCTTAGACTTCATAGTTTAGGGTAGTACGAGTATATTAAATTCTATCATGATTTTATATTGTACATATGCACGGCACTTTTATGGTTACTGCAAAACCAACAACAGGCTACTTCCGGTGCACTTACGTTTCTTGTTTGCCCAGTGCAGCACGTTACGGTGGCGGTTTAACGTTAGAATACTGTAATTAATCGTTTTGACAGTGTAGCTGATGTACCAATTAACTTTACAGAATTTACGTGGTAGAGACCAAACCAGATGCAGAGTCGGAAGGTGAAGGTTCTTTCACGGTCAAATTGGACTTTTACGATTTTCGGCCAGAAGATGCGGGAAAATATCGATGCGTTGTGGATTCCACTCCTGGAAAAGGCAACCGCCCTTTACGCCGCAGTTCACCGGTATACTTTACAGCGGTCGTACCCGATGATAGAACTCAGCCTCGGGACCTGCGGGTTAGAAACAGTTATCGAACTGAAGGCACTGCGAAATTTCTTTGGGATCGACCAGCAACCGGAGGTGTTATGGGTTATGTAGTGTGTCTTATGACCGTTGATACCCCGGTCAGCTGCCGCGAAAAAACATCCTACATGCACGAAAAACCAGAGCGGGAATGGTTGCTGAAAGGTATGTTGTACCGAAATTTCGGTACTTACACTTGCTTCTGTTTATGTTGAGAACTACTCTGTGGAGTCCGTACTCCCAAATTATCAGCTGCGTTTTTTGGATAATATACTTCTAGTGAATTTGCAATGGCCCAGAAATTCATCGTCCTGTATTCAAAAGCACTCTTTCGTGCATTCTTAATTTTTTATGCAGGTTTGAAACCAAGGGCACAGTATATGGTTGACGTAGTGGCTATTGTAAAAGGAGACGAAGACAAAGGAGAATGGGGGAAGCACACAAATATTACTTTTAGAACCTTCGGTAAGGTTTATGAGGAAGTAAACTGTTACTCTGGTAATGAGTATTGCGCTGTTGGTAACGAGTTTATAACTTTCGTGGTGTGCCTTTTTCTGTTAGCATTGCGGTGTACAAGTATTAGCTCCCCTTTTCGTAGATGCTAACCAAATTGACCCTTCCGCCCCCGAAGAATTTGAGCGTGACGATGAGTTTAACGTTCCGGTGAACAGACCTTTAGAAAAACTTCGCCTGCTGACGACTCCTGAATTTATGAAGACTTTTGCCAGTTCAACATCGTTGCCATCAGCGGTTACCGCGCCTGCTGACCGTGTTGATTACATGCAGTTGCTGATGATCTGTGTGCCATGCCTCGTCGTTTTTTTTATTTTGTTGATAATCATTATACTGCTGGTGATGCGACACAATCACAGGAAACATCGCCGCATTCCACAGGACAACGATGGACGCGTTTCTCGTGTTCGCGTGGAAGAATCCCAAGTTGAACTTCGGGCCGTGCCCAATGCATATGCGGCATATCCCGTCACAACTGCTGGATTGTACCCGGATTTATCACCAAGCGCACCTTCTGCATAATCGGCATGGACCGCATGGCCAAAATGGCATGATGACATTATCTTTGTCCTTACGCTTTTTAGTGTATCTAGGAGAGCAGTGTAATTAATTTTGTAATTAAGTGAATGACCAAAGATATGCTCACTCGCACAGTTAGTAGTACTTAGTACCATTTCCACGCTCGGAATGTTTTTAGGATGAATACCAAAACAGTGTGTGCAGGTATTGTAAGTTGTTGGCGATGACCTTTGTTGCGGTTTGACGTTACGGTGCTGTTCTTAAATTTGGTAATTACTGTTATTTACCAGAGCTTGTTGTTGATTTGGTAATTACTGATATTTACCAGAGTTTGTTTAAATCTGAAGTAAATAACCTTGATTAATATTGAGAAGAAGAATTGTTTTTAGCATGCTTCGCCTGCCGATATTTTTTCTTTCACTTCATTCATTACCTTTACGGTCGATGGTTTCTGCGTACGGACGGATACTAATAATCGTCACTGCATTTTCTTGAAGATGTAACCAATATAGCAAGAAGCGTACGGAGGAAAACAACAAAAACCGGACGCGGAGCAATTTAGTTTGAATTTTAAACTTGTGTGAGGTACGACCAGTAACACAAATCCATTTAAAGCAAATCCCAAGGCAAAAATCGCAAATGGTTATACTTCGACAATGTCTTTTACAGATGCTGTTGGCAGAGTTAATTGCCTTGACGTATCAAGCTTCCAAAAAGTTATTTATAGCAGTTTAACGTAGAGAGCTTCAATAATAGAATTAACAAAGAAACTCAGAAATAAATTAAAACACTAAGAGTCGACTAAGAGCAAGTCTGTTGACTGTCCGCGAAAACGAAATTTGGCTCAGGAGGCACATTCACTCCGTGCTGACGAATTACTTGTCCAGCTGTGTAATGTCCACAAGCCATGCATTGGGCAAGCGAGGCACCTTGGATAAACTGTGACAGGAATCCGCCAACAAACCCATCTCCCGCTCCATTAGTCTCAGCGATTTCCGAATCGGGGATGCGAGTGGCTGGATACTCATCAATGGTTAGGCCATCGTGGCACACCAACGCTATGCCCGGGCCTTGAGTAATCACAACTATGCGCTTTCGGGCACTGTTCAGCTTAGGCATGACCGCCACTTTCTTAGCGATTTCATGCATATCTGTTGTCTGCAATGAAAAAGGAATGTAAATAAAATAGAAATCAATATCGCGGGCCTATCAAAAAGTTATTTCTGTGCAAAGAAAAGCAGGGTTCCGGTACAGTAACAATATCACGCACAACGCTAACTCCGCCAAATCATACAGTTCGTTACTGGGGACGACTATTACCAAGACCATAGTAACACAACTTTAAAAGTGATCTATAAACCAAAAAAAACAAAAGAAAAGCATTATGATAATTACCCCCAAATCAAAGGCATGGGAGAAGGCTGTAAACTCCTGGTCGTTACCAAATACCACATCTACGTAGGGCAACAGCTGTTCCACAGAATTCTTGTAACTCTCGCAGACATAACCAGCTGAAATATTAAAAAGGAAACACTTGTTCCGCTGAAGGCAGTGCTGGCCAATTTCCAACAGACTTGGAAGACTGACAACAAGAAAATATCCCTGTGGAGACACAAAATATGTACTGTTACTGAAAAGTGTGAAAACAGAGACCATGGAACGTAAATTCTACGATATAAAATTTTTCTTACCGTGGTGTAGAAAAACTGTGCTTTCTCGATCAAATCTTTGATATCAGCATCTTTTAAATGCTCTTTGTCGAAACAAAGGGCGGCGTTCAAGAAGGCTACCAACGACCTAAAGACAATCCGCAAAAAAATAAAACAGGAAACCTGGCAAAGTACTGTAGCCTCAGCACGCTTTTGAAATTTATGGAAGTAAAACCAATTTGGTTTGAATTTTGAAGTACAGGAGTAAGCACTAGTAAAAAGAAACAGGCCATGACGAATAAAGCGAATACCAGGAAAAAAAATTTCGGAACAGCGCATTTATTACCACTTTCCAAAAATCTTTCCAAAAAAGACGAAACTGTGAAAGTGAAACTATCTCTGACTGCCAGCAGAAACATGATAACTTATATGGTTTGATACAGCAACTGACAAGTGAAATGCATCCCATTCAATCAAGCACAAATGCTTTATAAACTAATACTGCCCGCAGCGATTCTTATACTTTTTGGCAGACGAACGAACCTGTGGGTCCCGGTGACTAGGACGGGACATGTACCGGTGGGTTCTTTGTCCGTAATCTGGAACTTTACGTTCACGCCAACCTCCAGAGCGCGCTTCTGCAGAATCCGTCCAAACTCATCGTTGCCGACGCAGCCGGTGTTGGTGACAACATGCGGCTTCCGCAAGTGCCATTGCGCAATCCGGAAGGAATTCAGGCATGAACCGCCGGCAGTGTAGATCACGTCTTTGTACTTCTCCACCATATCGTGGGAACTATAAAAAATTTAATTCTACACTTGTGATTTTGAATAATTCCTAACACAATTCGTATGAATCGGAACAATTAATTAAAAAGTAGAAACGAACGTTGGAAAACTGATGAAAATGTTTGATGAAAAAAGCAGTTATTTATCGATAACAAATCAAATGTGAAAATATGGCTATACAATCTGTAAAATTTTTTTAGACAGCATGTTTAGACAAGTATGATTAAAAAAGTAATTACGACGTTGTTGTAAACGTCCAAGAAATATCATGGAAACAGAGAGGAAGCCTTACAGGTTCTTTTGCTTTTCTCCGCCGAGGATCGCATCATTAGCGTTTAGGCCGTATTTTTCCAAAAACTGCGTATCTACTGCGGCGGTAATATCGAGCAGCGGGTTCCCTAATCCGAAGAGTAATCCCTCGCTAAATCAGGGAAACAGTCATTACAGACAGAGCGGTACTTTAGTCAATGTCGTGCAGCGCAGTTTCTATGAAGAAGTAGTGCATTTCACCGTGTTATTCCAAATACTCGTAGTCTAACTTTGTAACGCCAAGCACCTTAAGCGAACATGCAATTATTGAACAACATTATGGAACTTACGAGAGATTTGATGGCTGACATTGACTTCCCATTATGAATGTTATTCGCAAGTCAGGAGCAGTGAGCAATACTAACAGTAATACTTTCGAGGACTCCGTCCAACAATCCGCTTCTAAATTAAGCAATGATCAATACTTCAGAAGTACTGTACTGAATTCTGACGCCAGTCTAGAACAGACGTTACAGGCCGACACAGTGCATGGCCTGATAAACCTGCCGGCAAGCAAGGAAACGAAAATGGTAAAACGAGAAAGCCCAAATTTAACACAACTACAGTACTATTAGATCGCCATAGACACTGTAACTGTACAGTCAGTAGTATCCGTTTCCCATTTAAAACTAGTAAATACCGTAGAATGCTATCAGCTGAACCTTGGGGCAACCACATGATAAGCGACCAGATTCTCGAAACTTGATCTAATGCTTCCGGCAAACTGCGATGTAGCGTCACTGCGTCACCAGGCATTATTCATTCAACGAAAAACTATCAGATAACAAATATAGAAGTATAATAAAATGGCTACCTTTAAAAATCCATTTGCTTCGAGATTTTGTATAATAAATAATAAATAATAAACGGTAGCAAAAGATTATGATTATTAATTAAGTATTTCAAATTAAGTTTTGAGTGTAGTAGGTTGTTAACTAATGTAAGTAAGGTTTCTTGTAATTACTTATCTTGTTATGCAACTACGTTGTGTATGTAAATAATGTAATAACTTTATTCAGTACGATATTTTTACAAATTCCTGCGCCTACTTTTAAGTATACTATTGTGTTTTGTGTTTTTTTGTAAATCCGCAGAAACATATAAAACAGTTGAAAACACAATCTGCCTGATCGTTTGCATCCTTTACCGGTTTCGCATAGTGTCAGCTGGAAACTGATGCACTTTGATTAAGCAATTCTTGCACTTAAACTTAAACGAAGCACGCTCGAGCAACTTTTGTTACTGTAACTGGACTTGAATGGGTTTACTGATTACTGCATTACTTCATACAGATCTGTAGGTACATTACGTAGGATCAGCCGTAGTTTATCACTAATGAGTCTTATCAGTTACTTGATATTCTGCTAATTACCATTCTACGTACTGTACCTGTAGACTGCAATTTATGCTCTAGTACGCAGCTGTTGTTTGACACAGCTGATTGTCGTGACGCAAAGGTTCTTGCTCAGAAAAACATGCCAACATCTTTTGTGGAAAGCTTGAATTGATATGCTTTCATTAAACAAACACCGATATCAGCGAAACGTGTAACTTTTTCGTTAATACTTGGTAATGGTTTAATGGTTTAATAGGGATTCAGCTGTTCCCAAACGCAGGACCGGATGTAAAAACCGACGTTCAAAACCCGGACTGCGTGACTGAGAGTATGTGCTAAAATAAGCGCTTCTGACAGATAACGATGCTCTTCCTTGAATTGTGGAATACAGAAATACTCGTATCTATTATGTACTTGGAATACTCGTATGTTAAAGATTATTGTGAATTTCACACAGTGGATGGTACATAACAGTATACAACACCGCTGTTTAATTTATTACTTGTATCATTTGCATGTATCTTCATGCGGAAATTGCTAGTATTTATATTAATCATTGCTGTTTATACAGCTGATATGCATGTTAGAGGGTTAATTGTTGTGCTAAATTGCAGACGGTTGGTCTCTTCGAAGCCGAGATGGATCTGAACAGGTCTCCGAAAGCACCGCACGACGGAAAACAGTTGGTTAAAATTAAGTTTAATGAATGTTACGTTATCCACTCGCAAGTCAGCATATCAAAACCTTTTGTTTCAAGGATAGTTTAACAAGTTATTTGTTATCTAGGGTTGGGGTTACGCCAAAATCACTTTTGGGAATCGGCAATGCACTTTTAGACATTACGGCTGACGTGAATGAAGATTTCCTCACTGAAAACGGCATCAAAACGGATCAGGCCATTCGAGGTGATCCTGCGCATTTTTACACTTTGTAGGTACCTCTTATATACTTCGTACTCGTATAATCATGTTTGGCCAAAACTCGTCATCCTATTGTATTTGTAACAAACATTAGTAGTAAATTAAACCTTCTTTTACTTACTTACAAAACATTATTTTATCAGGTTGAAATCGGTCAAAGATCGCTTCCCCACCAGACAATCTGCCGGCGGATGCTGTTTGAATGTGCTTCGCACGGTGCAATGGATCTTGGGAAAAGATGGGATCTGCACCTTTATGGGATCCATCGGCAACGACGAGAGCGGGGAATTTTTACTGGAAGCCGCCAAGAAGAGCGGGGTACGAATGGCCTGTCAGGTTATCGAGGGAAGTCCAACAGGTGCCTGTGTTGTCCTAATTACCGGCAATCAGCGATCCATGTGCAGTTATGGCGGTGCCAGTCGCGAATTCAGTTTTTCCAAATTTTTGGAAGATACCAGTCAACGCCTGTTCCGTGCATCATCTTTTATCTACATTTCGGTAATCAACTTCCTCTGTTGACGAGCAGTAAATAAGTACTTTTGTCATCGTTCTTTACGTTTTAATCATATCCGGGCACGCGGTGCTCACATTTTTTATACTTCTATCCCTTAGATTAGTTTAGGTTATTTATCTCGTTTGTTTTTCTTGAAGCGATGTTCAACAGTCGCTAATGAGGTGCACTTTTTCCAGGGATTTTTTCTGACAGTTTGCGCGCGAACAGCGCGCAGTGTTGCTGTTCACGCACAAGAAGCCGGAAAGCAGTTGATACTAGACTTGGGTGCGCCCCGAGTGTGCTGGCAGCAAACCGATACCATTCGTGCGCTTCTTCCCTTTGTGGATGTTTTAGTCGGTAATGATACTGAAATCACTGCTCTTGGTCAAGCCTTGAATATGATGGTAAGAATGACAATACCGGTACATTGTGGATCTTGTGATTGTGTTAAGTATTTTTTTGCTTTTACTACTAAAAATCTTTCAATGTATATTGTCATATTAAAAATTTTTGATAACAAATATGACAATATCCAATCTTGAACAAATTTCAACCAAATTGTACTGTATATTTATGTCTGTGTTAATGATATTGCAGAAAACGGATGTCTGTGACATATGTACCTCCATTGTCAAACTTCCTAAAATTCGAAGTGTGCAATCCCGAATTGTGGTGATGACACGCGGTCCCGCGTCTGTGCTGGTAGCCACGGCGGATGGATGTTCTTTCTATCCTATAATTACAGTTCCTGCAGAACATGTCGTTGATGTTAGCGGAGCCGGTGACGCATTTCTTGGTGGATTCTTGTCCCAATATATTCAAGATATGCCGGTGGATAAATGTGTGACGATGGGATTGCATGCTGCAAGCGTAGTTGTACAGCAAAGTGGTTGCACATTTCCGACAAACGCTCCTGCACTTTGAATAGGGAGTCTGATTGACGATCCTTAGTGACTTAGTCCTATAAATACTATAGTGGCCGTCTAATTGACTGCCTCTTGCATTTTTTTGATAGAGAAATTGTGATACAATTGACTTCCTGGCCATTTCTCGTGTTTCGGTTTAATTTATACGAGCCTTACGAACTTAAATTGGTTAACTTATTTAATTAAATGTAAATGAGGGCAAAAACAAATAACGAACTGGGATAACAATCCATGACGCTGTTTTATTGTTTCACGCCGAACGTCGCCCAGTATAAATGTTCATATCATTCAGGATGGAAAAATTAGCAGAGAACATACATCGAAAAGAATCTAACGATACGACTTCTGGTAACGAGCGCGAGCTCCGGGACCACCGAATTTCTTTGGCTCACATCTTCTCGGATCTGCCACAAGGAGCGTTCTGTCGTATTGGATGAGAACATCTTTAATGGCTTTCTTGGAGGCCTCGTCCACATCTGCAGATGATTATAAGGACCGTTTAAGCAGATTTAGGTGTAAGCAACAAGTACTGCCTCACATACAATCAATATTCTTAGTAAAAATCCCATTGTAATTGAAAAGAAAAAAGCAAATTTTGTACGGCAAGATGTGTGAGCATTTACACAGACCACAATTAAAGGTGCAATTAACGCTGCCTCTTTATGAAATTATGAAAATACCGAGCAAAAACCAATCAAAACAAATTCTGAAGAATTTGGACACTTACATTTCTGATAATATGCGACCAATCCTTTGGCGATTGCTTGGCGAATAGCTAAAGATAAAAAAACATGAATGATCAGGAATCTAGAAAATTCTGGTTATTTATTAGCGATAACCGTCAACTCACCATAGATCTGAGAAATAGTACCACCTCCTTTCACACGGACCCGGATGTCTACCTCGGAAAATCGATTTTTACCGAGAATTTGTACTGGTTCCAGCAGCTAGGAAAGGGGAATTACAGATAATTTATCCTGGAGTTAAGAACCGTCTTCTTAGGCAGTCAAGTGAAGTACCTTGTATTTCAGCGACTGGGGTTCCACGAACTCCAGCGGTCTTCCATTGACGCGAATCTGTCCGCGTCCGCGCTTGCAGTACGCGACTGCTGTCGCTGTTTTCTACAAAATCATATGCTCTTCAGCATCTCTCACATTTCATTTGCGTAAGCTTTATCGGCCGGCCATAACTGAAGTACCAGGCTACCAGCGTACGGCTCGCCGCTTACCTTTCTACCGAAGACTTGGACTGACTGGATGGGAGCTTTTGGAGTTTTCGGGGTCGACATTTTTTGATATTACCTAACCAAAGCCAGAACAGAACGATATGAGAACTAATCCCAGAGAAACAGCAATCTGGAATCGCTTGAGTGAAATTTGGTCCTAGCCAGAAAGTCGTCTACAATACGATGCTGTTCGGCGTATGCTACTATGCGCTACGGATAAGTATGCGCATGGAGTTTAACAGGTGACTGCTTGTCACGTGACTTCTACGGTTTGGTAGCTGGTTTTATTTGTCACGTGGACGAAGCGGTGGTGCCATCTATAAAGAGGATATAAAATTGATGTCTTATTTCCTCCGCTGGACCACTGGATAACTGCTACAAAATTAACAACCGTGTCAAAATGGAAACTGAATTTAAATCATTACGTTTTCCACTAGGGTAGGTATTAGGTAACCGTAAGTATTTTCAGTTAATATTTAGGTATTATGTATCAGAAATTTAAAACTGAAAATGGGTGACTGGATCCGGTCTGAGACGGTTAGCACTTCCGTTTCCGATAGCAGTCGACGTAAGCAACACTGCGCCTGGCCACTGCAACCCCGTGTGGGCAGCTTTCCGACAGCCTTTGATTTCGTTTTTGTGTTTTGGAGACCCTGCTTATTTTGAGCTTTTCTTTTTCGTTTTATTTAAAATTTGGAGTTTTTACCTAGGGTCTCAGTCCTGTCTATCATAATTCCCATGTTCTTTGTGAATCAACGCTATCGTCGTTGCAGACTGCTATATCTGTCTAGTGTCTACTGATTTCTTTATCCAGTCTTTGGAGAGCTGATTTCCGGATAACTGGTTGTACGTGTCACTACGTTTGGATCTCGACGAATGGAACTGCATCAGGTACGAACGGGATTGGGTTTTTCCTTTTGATGGCAATTTATGATTATGTTTCCCGTTTTGTTGCATAAAGTCACTAGCACGTAATTTTATTGGATGAGGGTATAATTGCATATTGTGGATTTCGGCTGAGTTTGTGTTTTCGTAGTGTTTGTTAGGTTTCTGCAAACAGCAAACACGGCAGACAGTTTGTGAAGTTTCTGTGTCACCCTCAAGTTGTAATAATGCTTACTATTAAGATATTTGTATAATAGTACGAGTACTGTACGATAATACCTACAAATAACATACAAGCCGTAATGCTGCTTTAATGGGTTTCAGTCTTGTAACTGCTGTACAAATGAGTAATATTTGATTTTTTTCAGGCCTGCATTTTTTATCAACCGGAGAAGAGCGAGGAAAAGACGTCAAAGAGTAGTAGGCCGAAGGCCGGTACCCCAAAAAAGAGGGGAAACAACGTGGTTACTGCTAAATCAGGTATTTACACATGGATTTCGTGAATAGTTGATGTTTCCTGTAAATTATTCGAATTTAGCATTCGGTTTATTTGAGTCGCCTTGAAGATCATTTCGTATCGATTTAGGTCTACGCGGCATTGAACAGCAGTATGTACATTATTTACAGTAGCTTTCGTAGATGAGGAGCTTTTTCTTGCTTCTGCACCGAACTGCTCCAAGGACGATTTCGAAAGTCTGGAACTGCTAATCGAGCCATTTACGAAGGTACTGTTTTGTTCTCACAAAGTCACAGTCACTGAGTCACAAGCCAGTTAAATATCGGTATGTATGTATATTAATTTTCTTAAAGTATTACTAGTAAAGTATTTTTATATGGTCTTTTGTTTCACAAAGGTGAGCAATGAGGAGGAGCAAGATACGGAAGTGCGCAGACTTGCCGAACAAGTTATCGAATGCGCCAATGGGATGATGAGTCGAAAGGAGATAAAAACGGCAAATCTGCCACAGATTGCGGATTTCAAGGCCGAAGTTCCTTTACTGAAAGTTGCTCTTGGTAGGGAAAATCACTCTGTGTTGATCACCAGAATCCATGCTGCTCTTTCGTGTAACTCACACCTTTACTACAGTCATATTAAACGCAAGTTGCCAACTAACTAATTTTATGAGACCATTCCATTGGTTTTTACGTTTTGTAGAGGATGATGCTGCAGTCGATGCTTTCGTCGGGGCTCTTCATGATCACGAAAGTTCCTTGCTCGTCCATTCATTTGACGGATCCGCCATTTCGAATATGAATGACATTGATGTGATGATGGTATGTGCCGCCCAAAAGATTAACAAAAAGTGCAAATGGGCACAAAATAATGCAGGGCCAGTCTTGATGGCACTGACATTTACTGAACTGTGTAATTGAATCATAATAGCGTGGTTTCTACGTGTGGGTTATTTTAGGGCACGGAATTGACATCCAGCGAAGAAATGGCTCAGTTCGGGCTGATCGGCTACCTGCAGGAAGAGAAAAAATTAAGCCGGAAGGTAGCTCATCTAATTCAGCACATAGACGGCCTGTGACTTACAAACATATACAGTAACGCGCGCTGTGTTTTTGTAGAAATCGGACAAAGCAAACGCAGAGCCCGTAATTGATCTTTATTTTGTTTTTACCCACGGTGAACTCGTAAAGCGGGAACTTCTCTTGAAATTCGCCACTGTCATTCAAAGCAGCGGATACGACGCGGCTGTGGTTTTGCTTTTTCGAGGACGCGCTTCCGCAATGGAAAACCGGTTTTCCAATTCGTCGACGGTTGTTTGCGAACAATACATTACCCCGGAGAAGTCTGTTGTAGCAGAAGATCTTTTGTTTGATGTAAGTGATTGGGTAAAACGTTGGAATAACGGCTGCGGCGCATAGCCTGTCGATTCGCTTCGTTCTTGTGAATTCCATTCGAAAAAGTTTGTGTGTTTAGATCATCGAGAGCAAAAAACTGCCATTCATGTTTGGACCAAAAGTTGTTTCGTTTCTAATGGACTGCGTTATGGGGCATTATGAGTCGCCGCGGTTGCTGAAAAATGCTTTAAAGGTAATGCGGCGGCAAACTTGCATTATATTTACGTACTGATTTTACATCAGTTAGTCATTTTCTCTGCCGGCGGTAGAATCAATTGAATAGCAAGAATGGAAATTAGCCCAAAATTAAGTAATTGCCAAGCGAAATTTTGCAGGCTTGTGTACTGATTTATTACACAAAAGAGCTTTACAAAGATACGAAGTTTGTCCCGCTGGATCGAATTAGCAACACTTCTGATTTTCGTGAACATTTGGATTCGTGTCGGTCTTCTCCTTCGTTTCGCAGGTGGAGATTTCAAGAACAGTTTGAGAAAATGGTCACTTTTCTTATTTCTAATATAATTTTCAGGTACCTGAAAAGCCGCGAAGGTTCGGAGAGGGTGGAGTTGTTGTTAAATGACGAGGTTATGGTGGAATTAATTAAAAAATCTTTACTCGAATACCGGTCGCTGTACGATATTGCGCTGCTAACTACAACCATCGTGTCGAAAATTTTGTCGGTTATTTGTAAATTACCGTGGTGGAAATGCTATTCCCAGATCCTGTCTAAAACTACATGGAACGATTGTCCAGATCTACACGAACATGGGTCGGTGAAACGTGGTACTGCTGATCTTTAGTTACGAGTAGTTATGTTATATCGCTGATCTTATTTTTCGCGGTTTTGTTTAGCTTCGTGGCATTAGTTACGACTTTCCACGAGTTAAATGATGCGTAAAAATGTTTTTGACTGTGATATATTGATAATATAACAGCTATTGATGAAGGATTATTTGATTGCAGGCTAAATCCAATTAAGATAACAGAAACCTTGAAAAAATGCATCGCTGTTCTCAAAGAAAAAAAGAATAAGAATATTTCTTCCGCCTCTGCGATGGAAAAGTCAGTACAGAAATATATTGACTCGGGAATAAATGGTATGTTGCAGTGTGATCCAAAAGGGTGCAATAAGAAATCAAAACTTTTAAGCGTGTTTTATTGCAGAGCCGGAAGAAACGCTGCTGAATTTTAGGAAACAGCCGAAACAGCGGTCACTTCTAATATCTTTGTTGGATGATTTGAGCCGGTAAGGCGTACCGACAAATAACGACAAATGCACACATGACCAATTGGCTGTTGATTTCCAAACCGGTGCCATTTTGGGAGTTAGATTTCAAATAAATTTCAAGGTTTTGTTGAAGCTAGCGTTTGTGGTTTGTGATAAACGAATTCCTCTTCTCATTCGATTAGGTACGTGAAACCACTGGACCATCTACTGTTTGGGGAAATTTTGATTTTTGATGACGTGCAGAGTGTGAGCGACGTACTGCTACCGGATATCAAAGCTATTTGCAGCGGTGTTTTGGGAGATTGTAATTCCTTACTTTCCGTAAGTATCTCCGAAATCTGTCTGAAATGCGCATTGTGCGCTAAACGGTATTTAGAATAATTAATACTTAGCAGTAATAAAAAATATGGCCGATTATTTATCACATTGTTAAAGCTTTGCGTAAAACGGTTACAGAGTAGATGTTTTCGAGCCTGACCTTGGACAACCTTTCTTGTTTTTTAGAAGAGTAAAGGAGAAAGCGGAACTGTGCCGGATCTTTGCCTTGTGTACAAAACGTTGAAGTCTAACAGGCGCGCTTTGGATCTTTCTAAGTCTTGCGCCGGGTTTTCTAGTCAGTTACGGGAATATTTGGAAAAGAAGGATGTGGAGCACAGTTCTCTTGATTCCCAAGTTCACGCGCGCTTCACATCGTGTTTACCGGCACTCCAGAATTTGGGAATTCTGGCGATGACGCAAATGGGCAGAAAACGGACTTACAGCATTGTTTAAAGTCTGTGATGGTCTGATGGTTTGATTTCGCGCCATCACGATAAGTGTTTACGACGTCCTTGTCATCATTGTCATTAAATTGCATACATGTCGCACCTGTTGATGTGCGTATCTTTGCTGGTGGCCATTCATGGGATCAGGCCGATCAGCTATATGTGACTGTTTTCTTCACACACTCTATGCTCAGTGATGAATTAAGCCTCTTAACATGGTAATTGATCCTTTGCGCTTTTGTGCCATGTAATGGCTTTCGGTGTTGGTACTTTGTTAATTAACTTCGTTCAAAGGCATGCCGACCGCAAAATATCTGTGACAAACCGAACGGATTATCTTGTACCATCGGAAGCTGTGACAAAATTAGTGCAGAAGATCCAAAACTCCAATAAATTAATAAATTACACCTAGGCGCCGATTAATATACAGATACGTTAAGAAATTTAAAAAGGAACAGAAGCGAGGACGTACGGCTACTTGTTTATTGTGATTAAATAAAAAACGTATGCAAAATTAACGCGCGCATTTAGAACCCTAAGGATGTGGGGTGCTAATAACTTTTTTTACACGCAATTTTTAAAACAAACTTGCTAAAACTGAAATGTGTGCCCTAAGAAAAAGGGCTCACAACTTCACACTAATTGCTCGTTATGTGTTTAAATGGCAGTTGCTATCATGCGATAGATGTTTTCACGCTGATTGGCAACACGGATTAAGTTAGATTCAAAATTGTTCTATTAATTAGTACTAGACGTACTGTAATAAGAGTATAGTATGTAGAAAGAATGCCAAGACCGGTAATGAGATAGTTTAGAAGTATAACTATAACATGTAATACTTCATAACAATTAAAGATATTTTAACGTTAAGGCTGATAATTGCGTAATATTATTTGGAATAATTATGATAGATGTGTGGCAAAAACACTACTTCTACTAGTGACACAGCACTGACCGATGAATACTGCCGCTGCTTTAAAGGTCTGTGAGGCAAAACAAAAGGTACCGCTGTGTGCTCAGACAGGGAAACCAAAACATTCTTGATCTGTTTGTCCAGCTCATAGATTGCAGGAATGCTGCAGGTTCCCCTTCAACGGCGCTTTAATTAGCAAGCGGCCAATCAGTAATTTATTGTTCAGGGGACTTGTGATTAAATACCGTTCTCGGAAAGGGACGATCAAAAGCACGCTGCCCAGTGCCCACTGCCGTCTTTCATGCATGCAAGCAATTCACTCTTGCTACGAGAACAGAGGAAAGCGAATTTAATCGGTCTCGTAGCGAGCCAAAAAGAGTATTTAATATCTCTGCGTTTATCTTCAAGTCAAATTTAGTTCAGTAAACCGTTTATTAGCAGGATCAATTTTAGCGAAATCTCTAACAAAGTAAAATCTCTTCCAAGGTAAAATCTCGTACAAGATTTTTGTGCTCGGATCAACCAACCTGTGCCGGAACATCGTGCCGGAATCTATATTATTTATGGTGTCTTCTTGCTTGTGGTATCGCGGTATCAATATTGATTTAAAAAGGTAAGTACACACATTTTTAATTTGTTCAAAAAGTGACTGAAAGCGTCTGACTAGATTCTTACACACCAATTGTTTTAACCGTATGCGACCGCAGTACAGAGCAAGTGCTGTAATATCGTCCCTGACTCCATATACCTGCCGGCCGGCCCGGTGTGTCCACCGAAATTAATAAAATTATACGCGTTGCGGAGTATTTACGAACCCGGTCTGTTGGTCATCAGTACGTGTTCTTATGTGCACGAGTGCAAAACTCTGCATCCTTTTTTGAATTCTAGTTTTCATACGAGTAGAACCATAGAGCGACCGAACTCCATGAAATTTATCAATATTCAGTTCTGCTGGTTGCATTGTAGCAGTGACCGCCATGACTTCGCGATACAGTACCGAACATACCGCTGCGCAACGAGGTGAGCTCCCATGGACGCCGGAAATGCTTGTACCGCCACTCCAGCATCCGAATTCCAACTGGTTCCCTTTTCCGGGATACGTGCATATGTTTGCCAAGTCCGCTCTGTACGATCCGGTCCAACTGGCGCAATATGGCTACAACCCATACAGCAACTTCGTCGTGCCGCAAGGTCATCCTTTTGCTATGCCACCGTTTGATTCGGTCGGTTTCCAAACTGAAAATGTGGAGAAAGCACACCACGACACAACTGCCAGCCAGCCGGGCGACGTTTACGCTAATTTCCGGGAAAGGGATGTCGATGGCAACTGCGAATACCAGGAGAAAGGTCATGGAGACGCTGACGTCGACCGCTCGCATCATATCGATATCTGGAGCGATTATAGCCGCCATCTCACTGACCGGAACACCATTTCCGCGGCAAACACAGTGTCCAGCAGCAAAATTGTGTTTTCAACGGGAATGCCAAAGCCGCCGGGGACATCGTTGACCGAAAAGCACCTACGCGGTCAACGCGTCAGCACAAAGTCAAACGCAGCCGAACAACGTTCAATGACGATCAGCTGCGAGTTCTGGAGGAGCATTTCAAGGGTGAACAGTACATTAATGCCACACAGCGGTTGGAGTTGGCCCAGTTTCTGGGATTATCGGAGGCGCAGATTAAGATCTGGTGGCAGAATCGCCGCATTAAGCACCGTAAAGCACACGCGAAGAGTGCCACACGAAGGGAGGCGGATGTGCAGTCTGACGTTGTCCGCGACACCGAAGACCACCGTGAACCGGGTTATTTGCCAATGCCCAATTGCTCTTACCCGTATCTGCACAATTATTAACGTTTTTTGTACGAATGCACTTCTAAACTAAATTCGAAAGGAACCTGAACAGTGATTTTACGTAGAAGTACTCATATACTCATTTACGTAGAAGCACTCACTTACTTGATGCATGCCTGCGAGTTATTGTTAATTTTTGTACTAGTACTTACTTCTATCGTTATTTTCTTATTATCGCAAATGACGAAGAGGAACTTAGTTGCATTCATTTTATCGAAGTTTGTTCTTTAATTTTCATTGCGCTTACTGTGATTTTTTTTATATGTTTAAAATATATAAAGTATGCGATTGAATTCACCAGTTGTTTTTTGTTGCGAAATGCACGGTTCATAAACAACAGCAACCATTGACCGGTTTTAGACTTTCAGTAGAAGCAAGGTGAACAGGGTATATATCGTGGTAGAAGTGCCGTGTTCTGTTGTAAGTACAATAATAGAGGACAGTAACAATGGAAGTAGTACCTGTAGTTACTCCTGCAACATCAACAGGTACTTGTTAGGCTTCTTATCTGAAAGATGGCATGTGCATCGAAATCATGGCAAAAATCGAGCTTTGACACTGAATTCGGTAGCCGAGGGTAGCTTTCCAGTCTCTCCACAGGATAACGCTACTCCACGACCTAATCGGACCTACGTGTACGTTAGACAGTTCACGTTTAAGTTTTCAACCATCGCGCTCGTGTTCGTACATACTGTAATTTATTATCGTTCGCTTATGATTACAAAATTCGAGGCGCTCTTAGTGTCCGATACCGCAGTTTATTGATTGGTTGCTTCCCTGTAGCGATGTGGAAATGGGATAAAAACTAAGAAATTCCGACCCAGTTAAAATGAAAGTGCATTTGAAAGTGCTGGAACTCTAAACCTCTAGTAATTACCAAAACAACAGGACAGTCCGCGCTGAGTCATTTTATCAACTGGAAAAAAGGTTTGCGAAAACCAGCGTTGGCAACATTATGCCGCTGGACAAGACTTTATCCTTCCGGAAGGCGACAGAGCAGTCCCCATTTCAATGTGATTATGTGTGCATGTCTGTCAAACAGTCCTTTGATCATCGACGGTATTGCTCAGGGCCTGATCCAATTCTGTATCAGCTATGTCCGTTTCGCCACCAACAACCTCATAACTATCTAAGGTCTGCTGCAATTCCTGCTCCCACCCTTCTTCGGCTGCTTTGCCTGTTTCTGCAAGGTTTCCCATATTGAAGAGTTATTCATTTAAAAATGCATCACGAGTAAGAATAAAACAGCTTATAAGGTAAATTTGTACCCGAAGTAGCTGATTTGCCCGGCTTGTCAGCTGACGGAGGGCAAGACGGCACAACCACGTGCTCGGCAGTATGCGTGTCGGAATCGCCCACTACAGAGCCGTCCATAAGATCCAGATTCGATGCAACTGAGATGTCGTCTAAAATGCAAACAAATGACAAGCTGAAAACACTCCATGAATATCATCACATAGAACTCAACACATTCCGGTAGAAATTAACAAACAATAACTCTATAAAGCCTTATTATTAACGATAAGTTGCAATGGTAAATGTTTAACTAAAAGAATGTGGTCAACCGAAATTCAGTTGAACAGGCAACAGGTACCAGAATAAATTTTATACGAAGCTTAAACACGACAAAAAACGAGCAAAACAGTAAAGAGGGATAACCAGTAAAAATTAACCAGACAGGTGTGCTTTCACTCACCTCTGTCAATATCCCCTCTTGGAGTGTTTGTGCCTAATTATAAACAGAAATATATCATAAAGAAAACATTAGAATAAGAACACGAAATCTTGGTAGCTTGCCTTCCATGTCAGAGGTATCTACGGTCAACATGGATGATTGTTTTATCAATGAGATACGATAGTAGTAATTTCTCCAAAAGTCGTGCTCGCTGACGCTGCAAAAATGTAAGCTTATTACTGGATAATAAAACTTCAAAAATCATTAAAAAAAATTCAAAGTAACAAGATACAATAAGTTGGATAAATAAGCATACAAAGTTACAATTCGTAGCCTTTATAAGAAATAAAAATCGCATTCAACTGTACGTTAATAATTTAACTACTCACACTTTTGGCACCAATTCAAAACGTTTTTTGTTAAGCTCCGGATCGTCTTGCAGAAGAATAACAGCAATGGGCATTGCGCTCTCGAGATCAAATTCAAAATTGGCACCCGATGGAGGATCGCGTGTAAAATTTCTTCTATCCTGCGAACACGAAGTCAACACTCGTTGAGATGCGGTATCCGTTTTAAAGCAAGCACTCTAACAACATCAACATACTGCCGACAGCGCCAAAACTTGTTTCTTCACTTCCTCCTCGTTGTTGCAGCCGCTCCAAGGGGCCACGCCTGGACCCTTATCACGCGCCATTCGTTCCTGAATGAACTCGTTCTGCATTCTGTTGAAGCCTCCAATGATCGTCTAAGGGTTCACGCAAACACGGGACAATTGACGCTAAGATTCGACATGGGTAGAACACCACGAATTTACTTTGTCTTCAAGAGTTTTTTGCACAGCTTTTGATGCCTCCTTTGCCTGTTCAAGAACGCTCTGGCTTGCAGTGGTGATCCCTGCAGCCAAATTGGAGAATACCCCTGCAAATTACATATTTAGTGACAAACCACTACCAATGCAAAACAAAAACAACAAATCGACAATTTATTTTTAGAACCTTTTAAAATTCAATTCAGCCCCAAAAGTCAAAGCCAATACAGAATACTGAACCACGAATCGCACTTACCAAAAAGCCCAGCAGTTTTCTGTACCTTCAACGGTTTCTCTACAAATAATGAAATCCAGAATTAACAGCGTATGAAACGATAAAACTACGGTCCACTGATTCCACTATAATACCAGCGGAATTTCCCTCTGCACCTGGATGACTTTCCACGTTTTCTGGCAGATGTTGGGCTTCCTCGCTTTCTTCAGTACGCTTCCTTGTTGAATCAGAAGCGGTATCTGTCTGCAACAACGGACTAACTTCCATATCAAAATTTCTAACACGTTCCACCGGAAAATTTTTACGGTAAACAAGATTAAACTGAACGAATTCACGTGGATGTTAACTGGTTAACAATAAATGCATTCCCAAACAAAATGATGCAAATTTTAAACACCTTTTAAAAGGAGCACTGCGCATATGCTGAAAATGCGATGAGCCGAACCAACCGAACCTACACGAAAATACTTACAGCTTTATGGGCGGAGACATTCTTAACTGCAAATCGTGGGCCGCAGTTGCTGTAGTACTGTACAGTAAAGTGGCACAGTAGTAGACAGACTCACAAGAAATGCCTTGTGGGGCTGCCGAAGAACAGCCACATTTTTTTCAAAATCAGGAACATCATCTTCGGAAGCTGGTACTCTGGAAAGCTGCAGTATTTTTTCCTGGAATACGGAATTGTGACATCTGCTATTTACATTTTATATAATTTGAAAGTTTTTCATTACGACCCAATAACAGGTAAACCAGTGCTACTTAAAGTACGTGTGCCGTCGCTGCCGTTTGCGGTTGTTCCTTTTTTAAGTTTTCCTTTTTTTCAGTCGCAGACTATCAGTGTTACAGGTTACTTAATTGTTATGTTTCACCTTTTGCTGTTTGCACTTTGCTGCGGCAATTTGATTCGCCTTCGCGCTTTGTTTCCTGGCCTAATGTGGCGCAAAGCACAACATCTTTTATAACATTCCTGCTGAAAAATAATAAGGGTTTTTGATAGAGGTATTTTCGGCCGAAATCCAGGAAATCGTGAATTGTGACAATTGTCATCCATTTTATCCAAACATGGCAGGAGACCACGGAGGTGATAGTCTGAACATAACAGGATGGAAGAAATATTACAACACTACGACCATCCTTGGACGACGAAATGTAAGTGCTCGAGCGCTGCTTTTATTCATCGTCAGACGTTGTCATGTTGATGTACGACTCGTAGGAAGCTTTTGCCGTGCTAGTTTAGAATTTCTGAATTTACGACTTGTGAATCGTTGTGATCAGAATCATCAGAGATAAACTCTAACAGCGCAACACTAATAACAAGAGTTTCTTAGTTGTTGACGTCTGACAAATTCACGGCACCAGATTTTCCAAATGTTTATTGTTTTCATCAGATTCTCTGCTTTTACGCGTACGGCCATACGAGATAGGAAATTAGGAGTGCTTGCTACCTTAACCTACCTTTAAATTGAAGTACTGTAATAGTTACAACAGAACATAAAAGTGACCGGTTTAGCCGTTCGCAGTGTTTTCGTAAAGCGCACATGACAGAAATTTCAGTCAAAATTACTTAATTTGTTAACTTACCATTATTGCTTACTGGCTTTAGTTTGCCTTCGTTTTTATAGGTTTTGTATGTATGTATCGTGTTTATCATGTTGGTTTTGTACTTGCAGATTGCGGCATCTACCTACGGGATGCTCCTTTTAGGGTTTTTATATCTGAAATTCAGACCGAAAAAGGCTGAACCTTTGACTAAGACCACTCCGGTGCCCTCGGATACTGCACACCACGCCCAGGATAAATTTGCTACTGGGAAGAAGCACTGATTTCGGGCCCGGCCGGTGTGATTAATAATTTTATCAGCGTGGTTGTTTTGGTTTGTCCTGCTTAACGTTATGATGTATGTTGTGTAGTATTGTTGTGCAATGGGTCAAGTGGACTTAGAAAATTAAGCTTCAGGTTACGAACACGATTGATTACGTACTGAAGATTACCAAAATGGCTCATATCGATCGATCTTGGTTGGTTTTAAACTTTCCAGAAAGTTTATGGCCGCTAGCGATCAGAACAGCATCGTGAAACAGCAAATAAATCAGCGTTCCCAACCCAGAAACGCAAAAATGCAATTACTGGACACAAAATCTGAATCATTATTTTAACCGGACAAAGTGTATTTGTTGGATCCTTTGTAATTTGGGACTAACAACTTTTTCCAAATACGTGCATATATTGGTAGTTTGCCCTTCATAGTAGTATCCTCAAGTCCCAGAACTTGCACTCGCATAATTTCTAGCATATCAGGATTTTCATTGCTGATTCCAATGATATAATCCATTTCGTCATTCAGTGCTACCTATAAGCATTTTAGAAATGTTGCATACTTCTACCACTTTGTTTCTACAGAATAGCTGTATTTATAGCTCGCGCAGCCGCGCTCTGTTTCTGTAGTAATGTACTCTTAAACCTTACAATTCCGCTCTTTTTGTGAACTTTTTCGCCATTCACCCGAATTCGGTTCTCCATAAATCCTTCTTCAATTTTCCTGTAATGAAAAACCATACCATAATAGAGGTCTAGCGGTAAGCCGACGACAGCTATGGAATTAATGAAAAATGTCAAACAGGTTAGCCACGTTCGTAGAGGTACTTTACTCAATTTCAATATTTCAGTACCAATTTTGTTCCAAAAGTAAAACTTACTGTTTCAAAAATATCTCAAAGCATAAGTCTAAAACGTCTGACAGAAATCGTCTACTCCAGAACGTACGCGCGATTGGCATTCAAAGCTGTTTTCATAATGTTGTCTATTCTGGCAGTGGACACGTTCACTTTTACATCCTTCCAATCTTTTACTTCCCCGTCGTCATCATCGTCTTCAAGAACTCCACCTTCTTCATCTTCTCCTGTCTCGTCTTCGTCTTTTTCCACCTAACAAATATTTCAATGCAAGTTATGCAATGTATTGCAAACTGCAAGTGACGAGGAAACACTGTTACACTGCCAAACAAATGCTGCAATGTCAAATAAGAAGCCCCGAAAACTGTATTATTACTTACGGTAAGCGAGCAATACATCTGGATACAATAGAAAATAGAATACTCGGCTACGGGCCTGTGCATGTGGCATCTTCGTAGTCACCTACCGTTTTCGCACCTGATTTCTTCCTGGCGTACCCCCTCATTTGAGCAGAAACTGGAAGCCATGGATGGACAAGCTGCGAGTGAGCTAAAGAAGGCCTCCGGGAACCCGAATTAATGGACAGCCGCCCAACGGGAGATAAGGTATGAATGGAACCAGTGGAGATAACGGCAGCGCTTCTGCATATTCCCAGATAGCCAGCTGACAAACTGGGTGCGTTACGGACTACTGTGGGCAGCCGTGCGCAGTACCGCGACACTATTCCAAGAATGGCCGATCTCGAAACGTTTGTCATTGTGAAGGGACGTGACTGATTCGCATGCGTAAGTCGAAAACTGAACGGTAAAATTGAAAAATAGCTAAAATACTAAACAGAAAGCTAGAAACAACTTCGTAAGCTCTCTGGCCGTACGAGTAGTTCAGTTACGGACTGCCAATCTTCGTCATAAGAACAGGATACCTCAAATAAATCAAGTCTGCAGAAACAATGGGTATGTTTCAAAAGTTTGTGCCCTTCTTAATTAGCTGAATGAACTGATTACCATACGTTATAATTTAACATTTAACGTAAATTAAGTATTGTACAACGGTACAATAACAAGTACAGTAGTACTTATAAAAACAGTAGTACTTATATTTACAAGTACAGTAGTACTTATACGTACCGCTGTCGTTGGTTGCCCACCTCGGGTTTCCGGTCAACAATCTGGAGATCGTCTACTTACGATTAGTAAGTACAGCGTAGGTATATCAGATAGCCATGGTAATACATCAGATACATCAGTTTAAAAAGCCATGGTAAGTACTTCTGCTGCGATCTATAGAGTACAGATGCATTTCCCAATTTTTCTTGGTTTTTGATTTTGAATTAGGAATATTTCCCTCGGATTCCTAGATTACAATTCTAACTAAGTGGGAGTGATAACATACTGGAAATCGATATGGAACCATCAGATCTGAAATTCATCATGGACGCTGGGCAAACTTTTCGATGAATGGTCGTCACAGCTGGAAGTTTAACTGAATACTGCAATGGCGGACACTGACAGCGATAGTTATGCGTCGTCGTCTACATCCAGTTTCTTGTCCGCAGCTGCGAGCGCTGTCGTTGAACCAGCCTCAGATGAATCCCCGGACTTCGCCTCCCCTAGACCAGCGAAGCGACGAAGGGGCAAACGAAATGCGGTAATTACAATTCAAGTCTCAGCCAAGGATGCCCAGAACCTTAGCGATATTCACGATATTGGCGGTGGCACCTATTATCGCGCATTGCCCAGCTCCGCATTTGAAAGACCTGCGAGGCGTCGTCCTACGGTTATCGTCTCTACAGCAGATTTCTCAGCTGCATCTATCACGTCGCAAGTACAAGCTTCGCCGCAGTCGCCCAAGGATGTCAGCTCTAGTTCAAATCCCGATATGGAGGTTGATATTCCGAACCATAGTGTATCCAGCGAACAATGTGAAATTTCCTTTCCTGCTACAGCATCTGTAGAATCTCCAACTAGAGCACGTGCTTCATCATTTGATGAATCTCCGACTGTTGCCCCTGCTGAATCCGTTCTTGAGCAATATACAGAGTACCCAACTACGCAGAGCAACCAAACTGCGCCTGAAGGAGATACAGTAAAGGTTAGTTGAATGTTTTCTGCATTCTCGACCATTTAATTTGGACTGAGTTTTCTGCAGTATTTATTCGGTATATGAAGTGTAAAGGCTCACACTGGTGATATAGCTATAGAGTACCAGTTTCGATTGCTTTCAGTTTTGCTGTTTTCATAAATTTCGGGCTGAGGTGATTTGCACGCGCTTTGCTGTTTGTACAATCCTCTAGTAATGCATCCAGAGTCAGGATAATATTTTCAGATTTTGTCTTCATGTATCTGGCGTTCAGTAACCACCGAAACACTTTCCATTGCAGTCACTGCCGGTTGCGGCTTTTGGAGTGACTTACCTCGTTCAGGACTGCGGCACCGAAGGAGTTGTTATGAATGGCCAGTTTTTTCAGTTGGCCAGAGCGTATCATGAGAACGAGTTTCCGCCCGGTGAAATTGGAAATATTGTTACATGTTTCCGTGGTTTCGACTCAAAGCTGTATTATCTGCTGACTATGTAAGGGAGTCGCTGTTGAGCGTTATTTTATTCGCACGTAAATGGATTAAACGTTCGCGAAGCGACGCCTTAAGCAAGGTGTAACCCATACACCCTGCCTTAAGCATTCACATACATACTCAGTATTACGGAATTCTGTATTAAACAGCAGTGGTCCGATAAGATCCGGAAAGTGTTTTCAAAAATATTGTTTGAAGCCTAAAAATTGGTACCGCACAGTAGTACGTCGGTTTGTGTTGGGTAGTGCTGTACGCGGTCCTGAAAAGATATCGGTTTCAGAGATTTCCTTGTAGCGTTGATTTGGATTTAAAACTAATAAAACTAATAAAAGATTAGCTTGTAACCTGTTCTATTTGTTTTGCAGGCTAGATTATGCTGACGTGGTGTTTGTGGTACCACGGGATTTCTTCAATTCAAAAGCCTCTCACCGCGCCACGCTTCTGGATTTTTACCAGAGTTTTCCGTTGAGATGACATTTCCACCCATGCCTCACTCTCAGCTTGCTTTAACGGTCAATATTTAATCAGCATATTTATCGACACTATTATCATTTTTCAGAAAAATTGTGATTTGTTTGTAGTTTGACAAAAATTATGTGAACGTTTGAACTTTGTATATACGTAGTTGAATGTATAATAACTTTGCGAGAAAAGCAGCTATGTTAAAAAACTTTTGATCTCAAGACGCTAGTTGTGACTTGTGAGTTCACTGACTGTGAGTTGAATGCGGTTTTGTGCAACTATGCTTAATCGACTAAATTTGTAGTGATTATTTTGTTTGCAGTATTCGGACTATGTATTCTCAATATTTATTGCTGTATATGGTTCTGTATTCTGTATATTATTGTATTTAGATACGGTGGCCGCAAGTTGCTCGTAACCTCAATAATGTGGAAGTTGTTTTGCTACGTGCTTACTGCATACGTAATATTATCGTTAGCTGTACTATTAACCATACAATTTAATTTTACAATTATATTTTACGGTTAGTACAGTGGTACCTTGGAGTAGCAAGTAAGAATGCCTTATAGTTCAGGTTGATAGTAATTATGTACGTTTCCTCTGCCTTACTTTTAGCTGTACAGTGTATTGTACAGCGACTATAGTGAGCGTATTGATTTTGGAGATAACAAAAAATGGTTGCGTTACAAATTACAACATCATCGAATGCTACTTCCATTCGTAATTAATTTTTAAATACTGTATGCTATGTTGCAATGTACGTGTACGTATATGTACGGGTAAATACGAAATGATTTCGCCACGAATGATTTCACCAACGAAATGATTTCGCCCGGTTTACAACTTTACATTTGGATCTCTTGATTCTCTGAAATTTGTTATTTAGCGAGTATTACGCAAACGATGTCATGTGATTGCAGTAAACAGGCAGAGTAGGCGGCCGCCCAGTCGGTTGACTCACATACATAAGGACCTATCTCGTGCGAGACTGCGAGCCACACAAAATATAAAGCACCAAGAGAGCAGACATATAATATGTCTGCTCTCGCACCAACAGTCTCCGCAGCGGCGCAGCGTATAAAGTGGTGTCACTTTCCATTTTCTATCTTGTTGCGGAGAAAAGCAGTAGCAAAGCGTCGTGAAGCTAACAGATTTCTGCGTTTTTTTTCACTTGTAACTCAGTAACTGTACTATTTTAATCAGACTTGTTCTATAATATCCGTCATTTCATTAGATTGTGCTATCTGACACTTCGTCAAAACTCAAAGGATCGTCTATTAAAAATGCAAGCGCTTCTGCTTTTCTCATTTGCCTGTTTGCATGCGCTTTCTTTATCAGCGCTTATTCGGGATGAATCCTCCAATCAAGTTACCGAAGACGGAATTCTTTTCGACTGGCATAAATTTAAATCCTTCCATGGTGCAGTAACTAATCTCTTCTGACTTGCGTGATAATAATAACGTCGTGTCACTCCAGTTATTGTAGTGTTAATTTAAGTTACAGTAATCAGTTAATTTATTCTGCTTGTGCAGTAAAGGAATACGATGGAGCAGAAGATCCCGTACGACGCAAAGTGTATCTCAGAAACAGCCAGAGAATTCTTCAGCACAATAAGGAATACGCGCAGGGTCTGCATTCGTACAAACTGGAAATGAACCATTACGGGGATATTGAACCACAGGAATTCCGGAAGATTATGAATGGCCTGAAGCGGAACTACAACGAAAGCAAATCCACCACGCACTCGCTCTTCTTGACGCCGTCCAATGTGCAGATCCCGGATACGGTTGACTGGCGACAGAAGGGCTACGTTACTCCTGTAAAAAATCAGGGTCAGTGTGGATCATGCTGGGCCTTCAGTTCTACGGGCGCGTTGGAGGGACAGCATTTTAAGAAATCGGGAAAGTTGGTATCACTGAGTGAGCAGCAGCTGGTCGACTGTTCTGGAAAGTACGGCAATGAAGGCTGCAATGGTGGATTGATGGACCAAGGTAAAATTTAATACAGTAGCTGTCGGCGTCGCTGACTAAGCAGTAAGTGTAAGCAGTGGTAAGAATTGTTGGAAATTAGTCGTATTCAAATTGCTGCAAGAAAGTGAATATTTTTAAAGGGAAAACTAAACCTGAATTGAAACAGATTTAAACTTCTACTTCCTACTAGGACACAGATAAGAAGGTTAGGACTTTCCATAATGTCGTGGTTAATTTCGTAGTTGGTTATGGCGTGTGGAAATCAGTTTGTTAGTTTAATAAAATAAATGTAATTTTTAAAAAAAAAGAAGTTTCTTTTGGGTAGAATTTTGGTTTTTTACGCTGACGCAAGGAATCCGTTCTGAAAACAAAAAGTGTAGCATAGATTGCTGTTTTTCGGTTTTGATTTATCTTCCTTGATGTCATCCGAAGTTCATCGTGTTAGATTTTTTTAACGCTCTCATACCGGAAATCGTTGGCTGATTTAGTCGATTAGTGGTGACTCTCGGTATTTGAAAACAAGCAGATGTGGAAGTTAAGTATCTGATTTCCTGTTGAATTCTTTAGTGGCTTGGACTTTGCTGTTAGTGCTGCCTGAGATTTTGGATGAGTGCAGTACAGTCTGTTTACTGAACTTTACTCACAAAAGCATGCATTGCATGCATTGCATTGCAATGGTCCGCTTCGCAATTTTTATGTACATGCCGTGACATGCGTTCATGTGTTCGATGACTGCCGAAACTGGCCCGAAAGCGAAGTTCAAGCTTGTAGCTCGCAAGTAATTATTTCGAACTTTTTCGTTCTGATTCTTTTAAAATCAGCTGACGAAGCGCTGTTTCTTTCGTTGCTGATGCACGCATACAATCATGTGGTCACATGTGTGACTTCGGTCTTTGTCAGAATCTTTTTAGCCAGTTTCGCGGTATGTGTAATTTCTCGAACCATTTGCGTGTGACGACGTCGGTATAAGTCTCGAATGCTTTTTTCAGCGTTCGATTACATCAAGGATAACAAAGGTTTGGACACGGAAACTTCATATCCTTACGAAGCAAAAGTAAGTCATTTTAGTGGAAAATGTTTTGTGACTGTATGGAAAAGAGCATACGTAATTTCGATGCGTTTCAGGATAAGAAATGCCGTTTCAAGAAGGATACCATTGGAGCAACAGATTCCGGTCACATGGATGTCACGCCGATTGGTGACGAAGGAAAGCTTAAAGAAGCTGTTGCTACTGTTGGTCCAATTAGTGTTGCAATTGATGCCAGCCACGAAACTTTCCAATTTTATTCAAAAGGTATAAAATAAAAGTGGAAGTACTTATTGTAATGGAATTTTATTGTTTTAATTTAAAGAATGACGAAGCCAGTAGGTAAGTTTTATTCATATAATGATTCATAAAAATAATGTTGCCGATCGGTTTGGTGTCTACCGTATTGCAGTTGTCTGCGGTATATTATTAGGGTCAAGAAACTTAAATTTGAACTTGATTACCATTTGTTAGGAGTGTATGATGAAAAGTCGTGCAGCTCGGAAGATCTGGACCACGGAGTGCTGGCCGTTGGCTACGGGACAGAGGATGGAAAGGATTACTGGTTGGTGAAGAACAGCTGGGGTGAGGAATGGGGAGATGATGGCTACATTAAGATGGTTCGCAACAAGAAAAACCAGTGCGGCATTGCCACAGCTGCCAGCTATCCTTTAGTATAATTTTCCTGCCAATCATGTTCCATTCCTTGCCTGATCATGACTATAATCTCACGTCTTTGGTGTGCCAGTTCGGATTTGTTATGTGATAATTTCTTCAGTTGCGCATCATCAGATTGACAGATGATTCTTTTCTTCTTGAATTCGGGAATATGTTAATGGTTAGATTCCCGTGCATTTAGCCTTCTTTTTGCGAAGGTGGCACAGTTTTCATGTTCCCATGTTTTGTCTTTTATGGTTTTTTAATCTTTTGCACAGTTTCATTCTTGTTTTAAAACGACGAACAACAAAAAAGATTTCACATCCATTTGGTGCATTACAGAGAATGTACACAGGTTTTGGAATAAGATCGGCATTCACAAACTGCTGTTAAGAGATACTGTAATACCGTACTTGATTTTTTTCGAACTATAACAGCGCAAAGCTTTTGTTCGTCTTCGTACATTATTTAATCGAAAGTGCTATGAGCCCTAAAATTTTGGGGCGCATAGAAGTGACTTTATTTAATTAATTTAAGGTTTGTGCTACCTTATGCCTTATGGTACGTAGCTCCACATTTACTTACTTTCCTGTTTCAAGAAAATGAAATTCTTTCTCGTATGCATACAATTTCATAAAATTTAATTTCGTAATTGCAAGGTTAATTTCGTACTTGCAAGTAGCGAACGGAATATTCGGAATAGCAAACTTGTATACTGAAGCTATAGTTAACTAACCAAACAAAATCGGAAGAATCGATTACTATACGAGTAAGTACAATACTGTGCTTCACAAGTTTTGAGTTAATTTTATTGATAAGTGTTCAGCAAGTAGTGTTGGCATAAGCCAGTATTCGATTATCGCTGCATCGCCGCTTCGGTACGAGTACTCATATTCCTCATCGATGTGCAAGCTATAACAAAGTGGTGACTATCTCCAAGCTGAGTTATTTTTAAAACGCAACGAAATAAGACGATTAACAATACTATAATATAAACGAGTAATAGAAACATCTTTTTTTGAAAACTGAGCTTTTGCCTCGGGTAAAACGTAGGCGGGTATTCTATTCTAGAGTCTGGGCTAAGAAAAATTGAGCAGTACTTCAAACCATTAAGCTGGCACAAATAGTTCAACAACAAGATAATGCACATCTCAACATCAACAACGTGCTCTTAACAGTATGCAAAAATTGAAAACGTTTTTGAGGCACCATAAAATCAACAGATCAGATCATGTCCCTGATTTCACCAACCTGGACGTGTTAAGCAGATGCCAAGAGTTAGTGATATCCAAGCCAAGAATGGATTTAAACTTCATATAAGAACATGTAAATACAAAGGGCACCACAGATTATTAGAAGCGCGGTCAAGTTGAAGAAGAGGAAGCAGAGGCAGAAACCGTGTTACCGGTTACAATAGGTGCACCAGCAATAGTCGCGGGGCGGGAATACGGGACTTGTTCCCTGTTCGTTCCCAAATGCCGTTTTTGTTTAATCACGCCACCTGTTAAACCCAGGGTTATTAAGTCCAAATGGTTAACGTCATCAACAGCGGAACAAGCTTAAAGGTTATCCCATAGTCATAATGAGGTTATCGCAAAATTAAGGCTTTTAAAAAATCAAGCAAATTATATATCAAGACTTGGTAACCTTCACCCCATTGCACAAGTTTTAGCCCACAACCAGTTTATTCCCACACCGTTCGAATTAGGTACGACCGTACCAATACTATTATTTAAATAAATTAATGGCGTTTGGAAAAATACATGCGGTCCAGAAGCTTTTAAAGTTAATAATGTAATACCGGTACATGATATACGTATTAAGTGATTAGTGGTGCCGTGACAGTTTTGCCAACCACTGACCGTAGCAGACTATAATTATAAGGTAATGTTGGAGTAATGAGGGCGTAAGGTACGTAGCAATATGAGTCGATAATATCACACAATTGTTTTCATAATTATCATAGTATTAGAGTGAATTATTAATTTTGGCACATTCTTTTTAGAGTAATTTTACTTGTTTCTAGACTTAATGTTTCTGCGGCGTCGTCAAAAACTTCCTCAATTAGCGTTCAGTGTACTGTAAATGAGTCTAAATATTATTAAACTTTCTGTTTCTCTGACCATGGTGAGTTTACTTAAATAACATTAAATAATCTCAAATATCGTACGGCTGGACTGCTGGAGTAAGACAACTGTATTGTAATCATAGGCTTTTCTACATTTTCAACCGTGACCTTCGTTATAACTACGAAATTACTGTCAGGTACTGGCCTTCCACCACCACTGCCCTTCCATCTACAGTACGGTATCCCCGTTCACATACCCTTTCACGCTCTCATAGCAAATGCCTTTCAAAATTAAATTTAATTCCAACTTTCGCAAATTTTTATTCCCCGCAAAACAATTTGTTACAAAATCATTGGGAATGACGTTAAGCAAAAAAATGGAATGCTTCCAGTACTGCATTCTGGTTCGGAAAGCTCTCAGACAGACAGTACATAAACGGGAAAAAGCGCACAAAACAAGACCGTGATAAATACAGTACAAAAAGGCAGCATGATCAGCACAACAGACAAAATACGCAAAAGCATCCACATTACAACAGATCACGCCATGGATGTACAACACAATCCGCATGCAAGGCAAACATTACGGCGTTCAAGGAACGATGTCCATGGTCTCGCAAAAAATGGAGTAACAAAATTAGCCGAACTTCGATGCAAAAAAACAAAGGTATGGCGAGAAAGCAAGCAGGAAATAACTACTGCGCCTGGAGCACAAAGTAAATGAATATGCGCAATAAAATTAATAAATGCAATTACGCTAATTCTTTCTGTCTCGACTAGAACAAAAAAGGAAACAGCTGCTGGATAATAAAGTTCTCTTCCCAAAAATTAAATAAGAAATTTCCTAGATAAGGCATAAAAATGAGTGAGAGAAATGCGTAAAAAATGTGCATTTGGGAAGAATGAAAAAGTAGTACTCTGTGCCGGGTGGGAAAGAAGATCACGGTAATGCAACGCAGTCTTAACGGGTAACAAACCCACCAACAGCTCCAAGCGACTCCAAGGTAGTATAATCACCATTCAACAAGGAAGCGGCCAGCGCTGGATTATAGGAGGCAGCCGCAGCGTATTCGTAGGGGTTGAGCAAGAGACCCGTGGCGTCCGGCACCGGCAGCGAAACGGGACTGGCGGAGGCGTGGTAATAGCGTGGAGAGGATCCCGAGGTGTTGCCCATGTGCTGATGCGTGGCCGGCAGCATCAACGGAGCACCAAGAGTCTGCTGTCGGGCAGCAGCCTGCACCATGGCCGCCTGGTTGGCCAACATGCGGGTAGCGTTATCCACGTAATACTCTGCTCAACAATATTACAGTATAATTGACAAATTACAGCAAGCGACTGAAGAACTTCGGCACATTAATGTAAAACGTAAAAGCAAATCAAATAGCTGGAACGTACGCGAAATAATAGGATTCATGCCATTGCTAATAGCGAAGGCCTTTGGACTTTCACGATAAGTGCCATTAATAATTGCCAGCTCCATAAGTTGCCGCTTTTTCAGCTCATCGTCAGCTTCGTTCTAGGAGAAGAGTAGCAACAATAAACATCCAATTAATCCAAAAGGTTTGCCGAAATCGACCTACCATTGGGACCAACAATTTGCGAACTTCATCGGCCGCCCGCTTCAGCTTGATGCGTCCTCGTTCCGGAGTATCTTCCACACTTATCAGCACATGAAGATTCTCGTCCAAATGCTCCCAGTTCGGCTTACCTCGGTTCTGAGCCTCCTGTAAATAATCGGGTTTTATTTTTTTATTATGTTCTAAAAACTGCAGGTGTATAATCTATTAACTACTAGAGTTGTCTGCTCAAGTAGTATCAAATTTATAGTAGCCGCAATACAGTTATCAGTGCTACTGTAAAAAGTGCGATAATGCCAACAGCGAATGCTCACCTTCTGCTTGTCACGCATCGATCCCTTGCCGCGAATCATGATCTTACACTGAGTTTCCTTCTCCAGCTGTTTTGCGGTCAGTCCACGAGGTCCCAAAATTCGCCCCACAAAGTTGAACTAACAGATTGCAAAAAGTAAGTTAGTGTCAATCAGTCAATGCGTACGTAGTTAACTACGAATCTCTAAGACCTATACACTACCAATATACTGTACTGTATGAACCACATAAACCAACACATGACCACATATGACCTTTGGCACAATAGTAGGTACAAGAAACAAAAATGGGCAGAGTGTGTTATAACTGCTACTTCCATAAATTTTTCTACATTGCAAAACTGGAATTGTCTCTTCTGCTGCAGTAAATTTCAGCCAGTTTAGGCTGACAAATACGACAGCACAGTTCTTAAGATAGAACCTAGTTCTTTCTGGTAAGGATGTAAAGGATCTTTGAAGCCGGTACTCCGTATGAAACCGTATTTATCTGTTCTTTGCTCGGGATCATTCGCTACGGTTCAGAAGCATTCACTAACCGAGATAGTCACTCTACCAGTACAGTTGACAAAGACCACATTCATACTTCCAATTAAAATACAGTGAAATTATTTAAAAGCATAACTTTCAGTTTAGAAAGAAAAATGAACCACATAAATCTGACCTTTTGGCACGACAGAAATTCAATTCTTAAGAGAGTCAACGTTATTAACAAACCCTGTGGTATCGTTTCCTCAGCAGGATCGGTAAATAATTTTTGCCGTTTTTGACATGATTTACTAAAGCAACTGCATGGTAATCTCAGATGGCACACAGAGCGCAGAGAGGAGTTAAAACGCACATCTTTAAATACCCCAAATGAAATCTGATGAGTGACATAATCTGTCGCTAGTGCGATTTAAGAGTTAACAGCCGTTTGTAACAAATCTTCCCTAAACTTTCCTTCTCAGAACGGTTATTTTCGAGTATACGGCTGCATCCTATAGACGCAGTAAATTCCATGCAGCAATAATCAATCTCTCAGTCAGCCAAACTAGTCCAGATGCAACACTTGCTCCAAGTGTCATTTGCTACTTATTCGTGAAAACACCGATGACCTAACGCATATTTTGAAAAAGCACGCGTAGAGAGTACAGGTCTACAGGATGCATGCACCAAGCGAACTAAACCAAAGACCGCTCGAATCAGTCGAATGTGACTCTTTGCGGCAACTAATTAACAGAAAACACTACTGACTGTCGGTACATGTATACAATAATGACGTTCAAAGTCGTCTGGACTCCGGATTTACACGTTTGCATTGCCTTTCTAACATTTAAATTTGAAATATCACAACAATTTAAAATCTGAAAAACAACAGCAAATCCAATTAATCCCAATATTCGCTTATGCGTTAATTAGAATTTGAAGGCGATATTTACAGCCTAACCTGTTTTAAAACGTTGCACAAAATAATACATATTCCGCATTAATGCTACCGGGTGGTATGACACTTACATCGGGATGCTCGTCGACGGGAATGAAAACCTTTTCTGTCTGGGTCATGGCAGGGCCTTCCTCCTCGGGCAGAACCAGCTCTTTCGGACCCTCTCCATCTTGGAACAAGCTGATTCGCACCTTACTGATCTCTGCAAGCAGCACAGGCACAAGATCAATATTTACTTGTTGTCGTTGGTTATGCTTCATGGTCAGTGACGGTTGTCGGCACAGCTACAGGTGCATATACTTGTATTCGGTCGCCAAATAAGCGACAGTTATAACTGTTTAATTATAATAACCATCAAACAAGTCATATTTAAATTTCTAAAAATCATGATTACAGGAAATTTTTCAATCACACTCGGCCAGTCAATAACTTTTTTTCGGCAGTCTGAATTTAAGGAAATTTATTCATTAACCGATAAATTACAGAAATGATACCAACTTCCTCATAAGGTGAGCAGCTGCATATGGCCCGCAGCCAAAACTGACTCATTGCACTTTAACCGCTAGCCGACGTAACGCATAACTGCACATCGCGAAAGAAGGCATGCCGATAAAATAACAGTAGTTAATCTAATGCGTTAAGCAATAACCACTTTTTTTAGCTAACGGGAGAAAAAAAGATGTTGTTACGCAGTACTAAGTCTGGGAAAAATTCAAACTACCGCGGCACGTGTCGAAATCAAAAGATGTACACTAACAGGCCGTGACCCTTCGGATAAACTGACCCGTACTTACAAAAAATAAACAGAAAGCGCACATTCACGGTTTCAACCGGAGACCTGGCTACATAATCAAAATTAAGTAAAGTAATGAAGTTACTACAATTCATCAAGGCAGCGAAAATTCACCATTATATTTTACTTTTACCAAAATAACAAAACCCAGTATTTTTTTATAAAGGAACTATAGTAGTATCATTCGGGGAAATGATTCTGGGAACCCTGAAATGTGGAAATAGGAAATTTCCTGACCAAAATGCTCGTGATGTGCAAATGAGCCGCAAAAAATATTTCATGTAAATTATAAAATACCGAACATTTGGTGATCATGAGGTCTTTATATTTTGGGAAAAAAAGGCTGCAGTAAAACTGGATAAGAATCCTTAATTTCTCTTCAGAAAAGCAAATGGGTGTGCCATTTACCTTCATCCAGCAAGCGTTCTACGTGCATGAAGGTGTCGCGCGGAAGGTTGGCCAGCTGTCGCTTATCCCGCAACAGTTGACCCAGGTGATCCGCCAGACTTCCGGGTGCGATTGACGTCTGCAGTACGCTGCTGTTCTGGCTGCCCACACCGCTGGAGATGGACGCGGAGGAATTCAGGGCATCGTTGGAGCTGTGGTGTGGCGAGGATTTGGGACTGATGGATGGAGAGCGCCCGGCGGATCGGTTCAGGTCGCTGACCGCCGAAGCGCCTGATGAATAACTGCTGCTGAGGAGCCCGTTGACGCTGGCTGTGCCGCCGGGCTGCAGATGAGCCTGCACGCGTTTTCCCATGTTAGCAATATAATTTCCGTTAGAAAGAATGCCGGAACCGGGACTGCTGTAGCCGGAGGAACTGTTGCTGGAGATGGACAGGTTCTGCAGGGAAGGATGATCGGTCATGGTTTAGCGAAGGTTTAACAAAAAAATAACTAACAGATTTTAAATTTAAATTGTCCAATTTAAAGTCTGCCAACAACTAACGACATTTGCTGCTGACACAAGCATGTGAAAGCACAACAATAAGTCAAGTTCAAAGGTCACTAGTGTCCATTAGAACATATTAAAGGACCAGCAAACAGCGCACGCAGGGGCTAACAAGCTGCATTAGCTAATCAGTTGTGTTAGTTGGTGATAATAATCGGCTAGCGAAGGGAAAGAAACGTTACCGTCTCAACCATGCAGTCTCCGTGGCTTCTTAACACTAATAACAAACTACCACTGCCATCGGCCATTTGGCTGCTGCTTTCGGCTCATGTTTATGCATGAATTCCGCATGTGCAGTACGAACTGTTAAGGGATGGATGCGCTCGTACAGCTGATAGAATCGTATTGTACAATATGACAGCATGAAGATCCGGCAAAACCGCAACTCCATTCGGTTCGCTAGCGAAACTTGAAGGCCTGGACGAAGAAGAGCAAATTCTCCACATGCGCAGCCAATCTGATCCATTCATCAGACACCAGGATGCCTATCAGATTACGATCTCCGTATCCGTTTCTGTACGCGACAGTACAAGTAAGTATGTTATAGGAGTTCTGCAGTATAATACAGTAGCGGATCATCGTATTCTGACGCCGGTACTTCTTGCCGGAGTAATGACACGGAATGTCGAAAACAGTTGCAGACTTTCATGTTGCAGTCACCAGCGATTCGTATCGCTTTCTTCTGGTAGCCCGGCATACGTTCAAATAACCCTAGCGCATAAAGTTGGTAGTAACATAGTAGTAAGTAACATTTCTTAAATTTACCATTTGAGTCGGTGCAAAACTAGAATGATGCATATGAAGTACGTGCGCGGATTCACCAGAATAGCCTGGGGCCACGCAATGAGAACGGCACTGTTATCGAGTATTAAATGTTAAATCAGAGAGAAAGATATCTTTCTCTCTGGTTAAATCATATAGCACTGACTTACAATTGTTAGAAAAAGTGAATTACCATCAGTACGGGTAGTGGATGTCATTCAATGTATCTATACGGACCGAGAGCTAACAATAACGGCTTCTAATTTGATAACAATCATGTTTTTAATTCGATTTTCTACTTTCCATAAATGTAAAATCAATATGCAGCTGCAATAAACTGAATACTTTTAACTGCCGAAGTCATTTGTCCAAGTTCCAAGATTAATGAAATATCAAGTTGTGCTTGTGCTGTAACAAAGGCCGGCTAGCTGGAACAAAAGGCCAAAACAAGCACCCGAAAGGATGCTATCAACTGATAAGGTCAACTTTATTGGTAGTTAAGGGTACAAAATACAGTTAACTTCTTGAAGAAACATCCTTTCAGCGTCGATGATTCGTTTTATATATGCATCCTGCTTAAGCAGTTCATCCCGCAATTCTTCGTATTCTTTCCATAAATCACTGTCAACTTTGCTTTTGAACATGTCTTCAATGTTTTGCGGGGTGTCTTCCTCCTCATTTCCACGGATGCATACCAGCTCCTGAAAGCAGCAGATCTGAATCTGATTGCCGAATTGAAAGCAGACCTGGGATTTATTCGCAGCCTGTAAGGATGACTGGCACTGCCACTGGTCAGAACATGTTACAGTATAACGGCATTCTGTACCCTACAGTTCTCACGCGAACATGGCTCACTTCATATAGAAATACTTGCAATAGTAAGTATATGAACTATTATGATTACAGTATTGTAAAACTGCTTTATTGTAAAACTTAGTAAATTATTTATGCACGCTTTTACAATGAGTTCTTGTAATGCTATCGAAGTAATAAAAAAGGAAAAATGCATACGCGAAGACAATACGGCACTGTAGTACTTCATGAATCATGAGTCATAAAATTCGATCATTAAAAAAAGAACAAAAAAATCTAAAGCATATAAATTCTGTTCTACTTATTACCCACTAGTCATACTATGTAGGTAGCACAAAATGTAGAAATTAAGAATGTACTAAAAGCATGTCCGCAAACAAATTTTACCCAGAATACAGAAAATCAAAAATACTTTTCGCAAACAAAACCAAATTTAGCACATACTTGTACTCTAACTGACAGTACATACCGTACCTTTTCGGAGTTTTCTATAGAGGAGTACGGAGTACCTCTACAGAAAACTGAAAATATCTATAATTACAAATTATTCATAATTTAAATTTTCAATGCAGTAGACTGACAATGAGTAGATTTCGATTTTGGGTACATTTTCCATACAGAGCAATTCGTACGCAACTTACTGTACATACGCTGTAGTCTGTAGAATATAAAATAATAAACCTGAAGTGCAATTACTTACTAAGAAATTTGGGAAGTACTTAATCCCACAAGTTTAACTGTTAATAGTGTTAATTATTTAATAGAGTTTAACAGTTTGAACTTTAAACGCTAAAACTAACAATAAAACTGCAGTTTGTACAGATACATCTAACAATCCGTTTTACTTAATCGCAAAGTCGTTTTTTTAACAACTTAAAGATTGACTACGATACTTCGATTGGTACGTTCTCCGGAATAAGTGTATTTAAAACTTCTTCCAAGATCCGCAAGCGGCGGAATGATTCCGAAATTCCTTTAAGCCATTCGGGAACTGGATTCATCCGAGCCGTAAGGGTAGCCAGCTGCGCTTTATCTACTGGGAATGCAGTTATCCTTCCAGTCCCAAATATTTCCGAAATGCCTTTCATGATTGATGATAACCATTCTTCACCGCTGGTAATCACTTCGAGAACATTCACTTGTGCAACATCCACGTTGGGATTATTTGTACTGGTGCTGGCTTCCATCGTTAGAGTACGTCTTCCTACACACGAGCTCAGTTGGCAACCCTCTGTACGCAAATACTTGCAATATGTCCGGTAGAAAGAAGTGAGAATATATTACGGCAAATTAATCAAGTTTTCGTACGCCGTTTTAAATTTTGGAAGATATATTTAAATTTATGATTTACAAAAAAAAATATTGTTGCATTCCTGCATTTTCCTTTCTCTTTTGACTTTTGAGTCTGTGACAACACTCATGGTCGGACCCGGCTGTCTTATGTTCCACAATCCGCATGAGGCAGTTACGTTATGCTTTATATCAATAATTCGGAGTTGTGCTCACCATCAGTTGTCGGTCGGTTTGTTTTCCACGCTTTTTTTCGCGAGCTGACAATAATTTTGATGTTTCCCGCTTTCGTAAAGACCTGAGCATCCATATTAATGGTTAATAAAAACTTAAAATTCTCAATAGCTCGTTCACCCGAATCTTTTTGTTTGCAGGGAATCTATGATTTATTGGAATTTTTAATCTGAGAGGTGCCGTAAGTAATACAACGCTTGCAAAAAATCAAATTGTTGATTGTTGAATGCTGATCCTTCTACTGACTTTCACAGGAAGCAAACTCAGCGAAGTTACCAAAACTTCACCGTGATGACTACGACAGCAAATAATTGCGGGACAGTAACGCTGTACCAACAGTTTAAAACACTTCATGAAGAAGAGCTATTTGATTCGCTGGTTGATCTCGGAGATTTCCTTCTAACGTCTGACTGCCGTCCTCGAAATCCCCAAGCACAACGCGATTTATTTCGTGGTCCCCGTGAAGAATTTCGCAGTATCGTCTTGTATGCTCATGCGTTACTTCAGGTACAACAACGAACAACTAAATACTGTTAATACTCGTACAGCTAACAAATTTATCACAAGTGTATTAACATATCCGTTAGACATTTGTGGACTCCCAGGATTTCATGTTTTCTCTAATTTTAATTATTCTTTGCAGTTTTTTGCTAGTATGTAGTATGTAAGCACGAGTAGAATACTACTTATTTAATTGACCTGACCGCGTTATTGGACCTGGACTTTGTTACAGGAGCATCGATACCGTCAGGCTATCGATGTTTACGGGCGCGCTTGTGCCATGTTGTATCACACGCACCCGCCTCCGGGCTCGGCTGGAAAACTTGGCGGCCGATCACTCAGCGGGCCAAGAGTGGAAACCCCCGCTGGCACTACGGGGTTTGAGCGGATTTTTACTGAGGACGATATCAAGTATCGCTTGGCTCAAGCGTACGTCTTTGTGGATGATCCTGATGAGGCGCTTTCTGTGCTGGACACGATCCCTCCCGCCAACCGTTCGGCCAAAGTCAATGTTATGATGGTCAAGTTAAATCCCGCCCGGCAGGCTTACGCTCTGGACAAAATGAAGCAAGTCGTGCGGCAGGCTCCCATGGCTTTGCGCGTGCTGAAGATGTGGTTTGCCTGTAGTGGGAAGATGGTAGAACTTAATGCTAACTTGGGAAAGAACGTTGCAGAAGAGAAAGTCGCACAGCTTCTGAACAAATTGGTGCACTGTCATGCATACATTGCCACGGGGAATTATTACTATGCCTATCAGGCAGCGTGCGCTCTTTTGGAAGAGCCCATTCTGTCCCATAATCCAATTCTGATGACTATCCAGGCAAAATGCCAGAATTCGTTAGGCAATCAGGAGCAAGCGGGAAAAATTCTCAGCAGTATTGACCACACACATGCGAACTTTTTTCAGGATATGGACGAATATGCAGCCGTGTTGTATGATCAGAACGATGTCTCTGGTTTGCAGAAGCTATCAGAGCGATTGGTTAAGTGTGCCAATCTGTCTCCTGAAGCATGGACGTGCAAAGGGTACACGGCTTTAGCACGGAAAGATTTCGCCTCAGCGGTGCGGTATGCAGAGCATGCGACGAATCTCGACGACACGCACTATCGGGCTCACGTTCTGCGGGGCCTGGTGTACTATAAGAAGGAGGACTTCTTTGCGGCTCAGCGATCCTTTCAACGGGCTTTTGATCTGTCGCCTACCTGTCTGGATGCTCATAAGTATCGCATAGAAATTTACCAGAAAAAGTACGGTGAAAAGGAATCGATAACTGCTGCCGCCGATATGTACCGACTCTGCAAGAAAAATCCGCGATGTGTGCAGATTTATGCAGAATGCTACATAAATTTTGGATATCGCCTGCGCGAAGTCGCTACAACATTAGAGAAGCATTTAAAATCTTACCCCCGTGATCGGAAGTCGGCACTGTTATTGGCCAGTGCATACGAAAAATTAAAAGTACCAGATCGTTCAGTGGAAGTGTTGAAAAAACAGATGATGTATGGCAGCAGTAAAGAGATCCATCAGTTTTTGGCCCGCTTATATAACAGCCTGAATAATGACGAGAAGGAGCAGGAGCATACGAATTTGGCGGATACGTTCCCGGTGGCCGGGCTGGATCCGCGGGCGGACAGTCCGATGCCGGGGCCGTCCAATGGCTTCCGTAGCAGCTCGCCAGGATCACCGCGACTGCCTTCGCCTAATGAGGATGATGGTCCAAACGAAGATTCCGAAGCGGAAGAGGAAGACGACGAAGAATCTTTTATGGAATAGTTAAGGAAGTTCATTTTGCGAATAAATGGAATTTGTTGGGTTGCGAGCGTTTTTTATTTGATTATTCGTTCACAGTCACCTTTATTTAAACAAAAGTTTACACTACGGATATTGTACCGTAAATGACTAAAAGTTAAGAAATAGTGGGAAAAATTTTTTCGGATGTGGATTTGCAGTCTTAGAGAAAAACAAGAAGCCAGTTAATGATAAAAAGAAAAAAAAAACAGTTAAAACAAAAAAGGAACAAAAATCTAAAGAAAAACAAGAAAAGCCGGCTATTTGTACTGGTAATAATTGGTAATAAAGGGGGAAAAATTTAGAAATAATTGGAACTGAATAAAAACAAGCGGATAATTGGAACGAATCTGTACAACATTGGATAGCACAACAGTACTTACTTGTTAATTACTTCAGTAATACATAATATGAGTAAGTACGTAGAGAAATTACTGGAGAACTCGCAGACATAATCGTTTTGTCTCTTTGTGTTACTTCCGGGTGGAACGTTTCCGGTTGAGCGGACCGCCTTTTGTGGCAGTTACATGGAGCCAGGGCACGTACTGAGGTCCCCCTGGCCTAGGGCGACGCGCATTTATTCTCCCTTTAGCCATAAGTGCCGTTGCCACGTTTCCCATTCTACTGTCGCATGAATCATTCACATTTTGTAAATGTGGCCAAAAACAGAAATTCGGAAATTTTTTTACAGTTCCATTTTACCGTCATATTTTCAGTTTCATAGATTAAACCCGGGATCCGAGTGATTTACACAATCTTTACCCGAATACTATTTCAACTTTGAGTTAACAGAGCAGCGGTATTCATAGTTAGAGCGCCTTTGTGCCTGATCAGAAATGGCTCAGATGGTTTTGACGGCGCTGTCAATTTCTCTTGGTATCTTCTTCTGTTTCGTGGGAACCCTGAAACTGACGCAAGTTGTCAGCTATGAGATGCATAAAGATCTGGTGAGTTCTTTCTTTCATATCAGTTGAATATGGTTTGAAATCTGTTCTGGTAAGCGGCGGTGTTTATCTCTCTTACTATCCACCTGATGTAGAAAAAGAACTTCGCTGCTCAGGCCAAAGTGTTCCCGGTCCTGTCTCAGCTTGGCGTGAAAGTGTCACCCAAAGTATATCGAGAAGCTGTTGGCTGGACCGAAGTTGTTTGTGGACTTGCATTACTGCTAATGCCAGGTGAGGGACCAGATTATTGAAAGTCATTCTCAGCTGATACTTGCGCGCTTTAAAAATAAATAATTATATGATAGAAGCGAATCTTAAATTGTCATTGAAATAAACTCAATTGTTATTAAATATTTATTTATGATAATACCACTTTTGCTCCGTATTCTGATGGTTTCTAGTGTATGGGTCGTTTGCTTCTAACCACAATAGGAGTTACAATCACAAGCTAAGAAATTAAAAGACAGGTTGAAGAAAATTTGATAGGCGCAAAATGGCTGCAGTTCTTTGCCAGATTCTGTATTATCGTGATTTTTCGGTTGTTTAAGTTAAACTTTGAGGTATTACTGTCTCAGTAAAGAGTAAAGGCTTGATTTGGATTTTGGATATACAGTAAACGGTATGGAAGAATGCATTGTAATTGCTCGGGAAGGACAGGAATGTGATTGCTTTATATGATGGTTTGCCTTGTTAGCTTACGCAGCATAAGCTAACAAGTTATACTTGAATAACTAGAAGTTAGGTATAGGTATATGCTAACTAGAATAGCTAATATTAAAGCTGTTGTTCCGTAAGCTGAGGACAGAACTGTAATGATAGAACTATTTCTCTTAGTGGTTATATACAAATGCACTGGTAAACGTTTCTTGACAGTTGGTAAAAGTCCCGTGTGTTTAATGCAGGAGCTATGAAGCAGATTGCCAATGTCATCCTTTTCCTGGTGGTGTCATTGGCAATTTATTCCCATTGGAAAATAAATGACCGGCTAGATCGAATCGCACCGGCAATCGTCTTCGCGCTGATGCTGGTTTGCCGTTTCGTTATCAATGCTCAACTGGCAAGGCGGAAGAACAGTGCAGCTTCCGGGGAAAACCACGTGGAGCGCAAAGTAGACTGAATCTGAGGACAGTTCCTCTGATTTCCCTTTATCCATATCGTCATCATCGGACAAATGCCCCTTGTGATGCTTTACCCCATTATGGCACCTCTTTTGTTGATAAGGAATCTCACGTGAAGTACCTCTGTCGGGGCATGGCAACCGGAATCTACTCCGGCGCACAGTGTCCCCGAAGCGAATGACCTCTGTGGTTGAGACGCGATTCTGGTTTTTATTTGTTTTGTTCGCGGTCATTTGTGTTTTTATTTTGTTTGAATCCTTCCGTTGAGTATGTTTTTGCACAGAATCTCCAAGTGTCGTGTAGAAGAATGAAGCATGCATGTCACGAAGTTTTTCACCGTTGTTTGTGCGCTATTTTGATTGGATGATCCGAAATCTTCCAAGATGTTATGAATTTTCAGTTTTTTGTGGGACTCTGGCGGTAAAATTTTTTGAGTAATTGTGGCTTCTGTAATACTTCCGTCGCGCATCACCTTCAGTTTTTTATTAAACAATCTCTGAGGTAAAACATTTAACAAATGTATCGAACGACAATTTACTAAAATATTTTTATAGTTCTTCAATCCAATCCAAATACAGGGCTAAACCATGCAAAAAACAGTTCCGGTTGGTTTATCCCAGACAACACGATCTCCTCGCAGAGTTCTCCAAAGTTCTTTCATCTTCTCGCAGAACGTAGCATCTTGAAAAGTTATGCTCATTTCTCTAACCCAAGGGCAATTTTCCACTATTGACTGGAACAAAGGCCAGCATTCGTCGCAGCTCAACAACCCGGACAGGTTAATTGCAGACCATGAAACTTCTTTTCGCAAAATTAGTCGCAAGATCAACCTTACGTCTTCGCCACCCAGTTCACGATTACCTTCAAAACTAACTTTGTTAAGATCCAAACAATTCTTGAACAAGGGCGACAAGGCATGCAGCCATTTCCTATCCAGTTTGCAATAGGTTAGAGACAACTCACGGATGCTGCGTGAAATATTGTCGATTTCACGGTATAAACAAGCCGGTGGCGCACAGGCATCCCGAATTGTTCCGCTCAGATTCACAGACCATACATTATTCGAGCAACACATTAGAGTCTTCAAAAACCCATGAGCTCCGATGTGGTTCATGGCAAACGACAGCGTCCGTAATTTTTCACATTTTTCCAGTTTACCACGAATTTCGGAAGAAATGTCGTCCAGGAAACCAGTACTAAATCCACAGTCATCCAACTTTACTTCCTCCAGATTAGGAATAGACGTTAAAATATCAGCAACTATTTTCATCGCGGCATTCGAAAAATTATTATGACTTAGATCTAACTTGGTGACCATTTGTAAAGGTTTTACGGAACCGAGTGTCGTTGGGTTGAGGCTTCCTCTAATGATTTCCAAACTCGTTTCCGTCATATTGGCGCACGATAAGTTTAAACTGGTCAAATGCGGCATTGTTACTAACGTTTCGTTCAACACTGGAAATGAGAAATCGTTAAGCAAACACCCTTCGCACGAAAAATGTCGGATATTGGACTGGAATTGCAGTGACCGAAAAATCGGTGCCATGGAGCTCGGCTCGACTAAAAGGTCATCCAACACCAGCTGCCCCGTGTCTACGGCAATGTTAAGAGCTTGCAAAATATTTTGATAGAGCGGGGTTTTTGTAACTTGACAGGCCTTGGTGTAGCGCTCGCCGATGGGAGGCATATCCCATGATGTTGGTAATCCGCAAACTTCCTCGAGCTCACCGACAACATCGCTGACTTGGTCAGCCAACGACAGTACCGCTCCATCGCTGGTCATTAACTGCAAGCGTGGTTGCAAACCTTTAGCTTCTGCGTATCGAGTGGCAGCCTCTTCAGCAAGCCATGAAATGGTTTTACCGGAACCAGATGTCAGTGGGACTAACACCACCATGTCCTGGATGCGTATTCGCAATCTTCGTACTGCTGCAGTAAACAATATAACACACTGTGTAAAACAAAATACCGTTCTGCTTGAAAATAAATGACTCCATTTCTCACCAGGTTCACGAACCGCAGACATGAATTGTGGCTGCGCATTCGAAACTCCTTTCTTTTGCCGGTACGGAGGGCGCCGTCTGCATCGGCAAAGTTGCCAGTTCCTCATCGTCATTGTCTTCTTCGTCTGGGAGCTCCAAAATTTCCACATCAGGATTACGTACCGTTCGTCTGGACGACGAAATTTTAGATGAAGCCGATCTAGCCACTCTTTCAAAAGCACTGTCCTGGGATACAGTGGAGGCTTGTGATCCAGGCTTCAGTTTCGGTTCAGCTCGCATATCAAGATCTTCTGCCGGCCTCTTACTCGAAACGATCGGAGACTGCCGCGAACCAGAAGTAAACAGCAACGCTGCGGCATTTTTATTGACCGGCTGTTTATCGGCTGTAATCACGTCTTCAACCAGCCAATCATCACCAATAAAATCTTCCGCTCGGATTAACGCATCGTCATTGGATATTTTCTGGAAGTTTGGCGAAGGACTGCGTTTCCGTTTTCGTTGACGCGAACTTCCAATACCCACAATAGCTTCACGATATATTTCTGTCGGATTGGAGTCCAAATGTGGTGACGCAGATCGCTGACGGCGAAAATGTGAATTCAATTTCTCGCCACTTTTATGTGATCTATGTAATTTGGAATCAGTCTGATTGGGTTCCGATTTCCCTGGGAGAAATTATATACTGTTATAATTATAGAGGAGATTTATGATAATGTATATCTTAAATTACCCGCTGTTTTGTTGCGCAGTTCATTCGGCTTGGCTCCTGACTGCAGCATGGCCCCTTGCAAATCGGCGATTAAATTTTCAAAAATGCTCTTGGTCTCCACATCATCTTCATCCAGGTTACCGTTCTTCCAAGCGTAGAGTGCATCGATAACAGTATTGCCAAATCTATCCTTTTTCAGTAAATTGGCACCGCGATCGAACAACAACCGGACCATGTCCAGATTTCCGCAGTTTGCCGCGTCCACAATCGGCGTCATGCCATCGCACTGACTGCCTCCACCTTGATCATCCAACAGAGCATTGTTTTCAATGAGCAGCTTAGCAATTTCCAAATGATTATGGTTGGCAGCTTCGTGAATGGGGAGCCAACCACAATAATCCCGCTCATTCACCGGATGACCCTGGTTTATGAGATGACGAACTCTTTTCAAGCTGCCGTTGATTACAGCCACGTGCAGCGGGGTCTCTCCCTTCTCGTTCCGCCGGACTTTGTACTGACCCCGTTTCCTTGGAAGCAGGCCTTCCTCGTTTTCCCCTTGTTCATCGTCGGATTCAGTAACACTGCTCAAATCGTCGAAGTCAGGTGTTGCAGATCTAGGATGAAAGCAAAATGTGCCTGTAAAACCTGCCGCATATAAACTCTGTTGCCTTATAGCAGCTGCCTTTCGAACATCATCAAGCAAAATCCCTTGCCTTAAAATAAATCAACAAAACCAACTACAATTAGGCAGTCAGTCTAACTATGACATTAAAGGTGTTCACCTCGATGAAGTCTGTTCTTCATCATCATCGTCTTCACTAGCATCTACTCGTATTCGCAGACGACGTATACGATCGTCCAGTTCAGTGGTTTTGTCAGCATCCCCAGAAGAACGGTACAAGGAACGCAGTTCTTGCAGGCACTGAAGCAGCAATCCGGAATTATCCGCTTTTTCCGCTTCTCGGATAGCGTTGTTGTACATATCAATAGTAAGGTCATCGTTGCTTTCGCTGCGGTATGTATAATCTGCTATATTCAGCCACGTTTTACATAACTGAACGGGATCAATCCGCAGTCTACAAAACAAAAATCGGTACTACCAAACCACACAACAATCCTCAATTCATTTGTGTAACTGGCAATTAATATTTGCAGTATGTAAACCTACTTCACTTCTTCCAAACAGTATTTCACCGCTTCTTTGTACATCTTGAGATCCGCGGCGGTTTGGGCAAGGGATACGTATATCGATGCTAGCTGGCCGTTCGGTCTATCGCAGTCAATGGCAGTTTCGAGCATTTTTTTGTAATATCGTAGTCCGGTATAATAACACTCACATCCGCAGTACAAATCTCCAATTACTTCAAGAAGAGACAAGCGCGTCACCTTATCGTCACACTTTTTGAGTTTGCCAATGCCCTCCCGGAGTTTGGGAAGCGAATTTAGCATTCGTTTTGCCTTGTGTTTGCATTCTGCCTCCGCAAATTTTGATTTGATAAGTCGCTTCAGGCAGTGTCGAGCCTCCGAAAACTGTTCAGATTCCATGAAAATCCCCGCACGAAGCTGCAGGCATTCGACTAATGCCGACTTCTCTTTAAGCCGCTTGCTAAGAACATACGCTTTCTCCGCGAATTCCCGGGCCGATGATACATTGCCGGTTTTCTGGTACAAAGCGCTCAAAGTGGACAGGCATTTTTGTTCCTCATCTTCCAGCTTTTTTCCACTGATTTCCGTTCTGGCATCGTGAAGATATTTGATAGCACGTGTAATCTGACCACTCATTTCAGCAACCAATCCAAGGTTAAGATACAGCCGACCAACCATAGCGAAATATTCACCTGGAAATTTAGAAAACCGGCATTATGCAAAAAATCCGTCTAGAAGCCTTTTCATTAAATTATTCCTCATATGGATTACGGGTACTTAAATTTCACAAAGAATAACGATGTTTAATTACTATGTAAAAGATCACTGAAAATAAAAGTAACATTACGCGGCAAAACAGTAACAATCAACAAAGACTATTTCCGTACCTCTAATGTATAGTTTTAACTTTTAGTCACCTACGGCTTATCATTGTACTTTGGCTTACTGATTTACGAACAAAATGGATCCACAAAAAATGCTTTTAAATAGTTAACAAGCCGTTTTAAAATCTACAACACTTAATAGCTGTTTCAGTTTCTAGTGTGCCCATTCCCACGCATTTGCGAAAGGCCTTACCTGAGTCAATTTCGCCTTTCAAAACTAGTGCTATGCTCAAGCTGGACTGGAAGGACTGTTCTGCTTTGGCTAAAGCTCCCCGCACATCGTCCGCAGCTTCTGCTTTGCACAGATACGTTCGACCAAGGGTGGCATGCGCTCTTTGCTGCTCCAACTCATTTCCCAGCTCGCGCGCAATGACTAAGTGCTGTTGCTGGTACGCCAGAGCCTTGTCAAAGCTCCCCAAGGCACAGTAGCATTCACCGAGTTTCCGATTGGCAATCGCTTTTCCCAGTGCGTCTTGAAGTTTCTCGCACATTTCCAGCTCAGTTTCGTGCTCGTTAATAGCATCTTCGTAGCGTCCTTCTTTACTTAGCAGTTCGCCGAGATAATTGCAGATTTCTGCCACCTCCTTGTAGTTTCTACGGTTGAGATTTGTCTGTTTATCACGGGAGAGCGCTTCAATCTGGCTCTTGATGCTCTTATTCACCATCTTGTCATGCACCACGACCACGGGTGTATCCCAATTTTAACGGGTTAAACGGGTGAAACCGATGGCTTGGACGACGGATCTCTCCCTTTTGAAAAAGATTTTGACCAAAAGGTTAACAAGAATGAAATGTGGTGCTTGCATCGGCTCCGAACTCCAATCTGTTAGCAATAATCAGTATGCACTAGGAGTAGCTCAGAATACCAACCAAAGCAATGAAATCTGCATAAAATCTGACAAACCACGGACAGCACTCAAACAGATCGTACTCGTATTAAACTTTGATTACCTTATTGCATTTTTCTATAGAAACTAATTCTTAAATGCTGGAATACAAGACACCCTTTCGTAACAACCATCAGAATAATAACGTTAACACTTCTGGAAAAATCAGCAAGAAAGCTGTTTGAAAGCACGTTTGCAAACTGAGAAATCAGAAATGTTCAAAACAACGTGAGCACTGAGAACAATTCAATGAGCGCTCGCCTGGGCTGACTTCTGCGGCAGGCGGTCAGGGAGGATTACAGTACAGTCAAGGCATTACACTACACTACACTGTATGATTTGCCATGGTACAGTACTGTAAGTACTTACTACGAGTAGGCTTACCACGACTTAAAATTTTAATAAGGCCAGCTCGAAAGGAATCTTTGTTCGGAGTGTTTTGCCAATTTAGTATTTACGCATTTCGTCCTCCAGAATATAAAATTATGAAAATAACCTGCAGTAATAACTTTAAAAGGCAATAGCGATCAAAATGACAAAAGTGCAAGCGCGGACACACTACTTCAAATACGAGTAGCTAAAAATTTAAACATCAAACCAACAACCAAAAATCAATATCCTCCAGTGGGTCGAAAGGTAATGTACTTAGCGCAGACATAAACGTTTCCCTTAATTAATTACCGCCCAACTAAAACGTTGCCTAAGAAAAAGGCAGCAGAACACGCTTCTCCAGTTAATTCACGAATTTTTCGACCCATAAATGTAATAACTCGCTCAGCTAAAGCCGGATCAAAAACACACAGCGTTTCAACCACTAAAGCAAGGTATATAGGTATATAATTAAACAGTAGCAGGAATTATCTCTCATATACCTTGACTAAAGGATAGAATAAAGGATAAAGGCCGGTATCGCTTTTCTGAATGAAGAGCATGGTCGCCGCTTCGCATCTTCTGCCAGGTGTGCAATACATACTCCCTGCCTTCTTCGAGCTAGCTTGCGTCGTGCACTAATTCCTTGCATCTCATACTAACGTTCCTTGCCGGACAGGTATCAGCAAATCCGGTTTCATCCCGTCTTTTCCGGATAGGCCCGTCGGTTCCAGTTGGCATGGGAAGTCTGCGCTTTCACAGCATCTATTTCTTACACTGCTACTGTTTAATTATGGAGGACACGTTCCCTTGGATAATACGTAAATTAATTATTAAGTCGAAATAGTTCGTCAGTGTATACAAAATTCCAATCCAAAATCAGTATGGTGTAAAAGGTCATGAGACTTGCTAAGTCACATACCATAACCGAGATGATAACTCACAGTAAACGGACGCAGAAGTTCAAGTACTCAGTGACTCACGTAATACAAACAGCGAAAACGCTCATGAGCAGCAGTTGTGTAGTGATTTAATTGACAGGATTTAGAAAATTATGAATACCGATTTTAGTTTACACTTCAATATATTTCAGGTCGTACTCAGTTAGTGAAAACGAACAACGCTCAGCAGTTGATAGAGCAGAAACGAACTTCGAAAATGACGATCTCAACAGTGTACTCCGATGAACCCATTCATGGTCAGTTTTCCACAAAGTTCTTTCACAATTAGTGAGGTATGAAACCCAATACATTAAACCGTGCTTGGTAAACTTTTACGTAATCTTGGATTAAATCGTTCTCAAACAGCCATCGACATTTTCACGGGAGGGTGTGGGCTGTATCCGGTTAGAACAAAATCCTCGGCTTGAAAATCATCAATGTTTTTGATTTTTCGTTGGATAGTTAACTGAGGGAAGCGCAGTGGGGTTCGCAGCAACTGAAATAAATAAATCAGAAAATTATATCTTTGTACCCCACGGTCAGATTATTCAGTCAACTTAATAAAAAACAAGTCAACTAGCAAAATCAACGTTCAAAAAGAAATCGCCGGTGAATAAAGGCTACAGACTACAGAGTTACAGTACGTGGCCGCGTCACGAAAAATTTGATATGTGGACACAGTGACTGATTCTGTGATCTACATTTATATATGTACAGAAAAGTACGCACCTGTTCCTTCAAAGCGTCCACGTGATTCACGTAAATATGAGCATCACCAATTGTGTGGACAAAATCGCCAGGTGAAAGGCCCGTAACATGAGCTATCATGCACGTTAGAAGGGAGTAGCTCGCGATGTTGAAGGGCACACCCAAACCCTGCAAAACGTTTCCGAGAGATACAGCAGGCAGTTATCGACCACCGGTTAGCAGTGCTGCACTAGAACTATTCAAAAACCACCGGACTAAATCAAGTAAACAACCTATTAAACTGATATTCCAAGGTAAATAAACAGCAAATAATTGTGTATTCTGCCGCTACCGGATTATCCCGAAGCACAACTGCCTAATTATACGGTCACATTTGCACAGTTTACTGTACCATGTCAGCTGATCGTTGGTACATCTGGCAGGATAATTCACCATTTGACACGTAAAACTGCACCAGAGCGTGGCATGGCGGAAGAGCCATCTTCAGCAAATCTGCGAAAATCAACTTGTGACAACCGTTATTAGTAGGAACACACAAGAAAATTTTCCATGAATTTTGGTAAACTTCGACCGGAGCAGCAACAATGGCTGTGACAATAAAAGTTACAGTAGCACAGTCACTGCTACAATTTATTTCGATTAGACAGACTGTAATAATCGAAATAAATTGTAGCAATGACTGTATAATACAGTGAAGCATTTATTGCGGTTGTACAGAGAATCTTGAACGCTAAACTTAACTTACCGGCTGGATTCCATGCAGAAAGAATCAGCCTTCGATCATTCGGGTTGGATTTTATTTTGTGAACAATATCGTTCAGCTGATCAATGCCCTTCCCACTGTAATCCGCATGGCAGTCGACGTATTCAGCCCCGAAGTGTCTCCACTGAAATCCGTAAACCGGACCGAGCTCCCCTAGAATCAGGCATCAGCGACAGTGGGTGCAAACTGCATTATCAAGAGAATGTAGTGCTTCGCAAGTTCCAACCTTCTTCGTAATGTTTCAACCCGATACTATCCAAGTAATTACGCGATCCATTGGCGTCCCAAATGTGAACGTTCTTTTCGGCCAAGTCTTTAGCGTTCGTTCCACCGCGAATAAACCATAATAACTCTTCCACAACACCTTTCCAATACACCCGCTTCGTGGTCAAAAGAGGAAACGAACCTATAGTAAAAGTTTTCTTATTGCATATCTCCCGAAATTCGTCACGGTTGTTAAAAACTGCAGATGAGAGCTGCAGCTTGTTTTGGAGCCTACAATACCTTCCCGCAAAGAGTAACGGGAATGCAACCCAAAGACTGATAAGGTCCCCACTCCGGTGCGATCAGCTTTGAAGGATCCGTTATCCAGAATGTAGCGAAGTTGGTCTAGATACTGCATTTCTTCGTGCCTGCTGGATTCACTGTTTTGTTGTCCATCATATCGAAATTTCAAATGATTGTGGAGCGCATTCTTCGCCTGACCCGTAATCGAACCATCACTGTTTTCCATGAGGATAACAAGCAAGATCACATACCTTACATACAGTCATACACAGCACAGCGTACTTATAGAAAATATTCAAAAAGTGGGCGGATCTTCAAGGAAATTTGTTTTTGCAAACTTAGAACTTCTTCCTAGAGGTGGAGAACCACAAAAAAGCAAAATCAGCGTAGACTTAGCTCAAACCTCAAACATATGGGGCATTATGGGCAAATCTCAATCTGCCAGAGAGAAGGGTTCGCTGTCTCTCTCAGGAACTGGACTGCGTCAGGCTTTGTTCTTATTTTCTACGTCTAGGGAAGCCTCCATGGGGCGGTGGTCGTACCTGCTTTGGAGCGATTAATTATGCACATCACTTCAAAAGTATTTTCCGATACAGTTTTTGCAAGCTTTTGAAAGCTTTTGGCATGGTCTGTGTATATAATGGCATGGTCTGTGTATGTATATATATACACAGACCATGCTTTTGGTTTTGTAAGCAGTAAGACTGTAAGGAGCAAAAGTTAAAAACTTCGATGGAGTTTCTTATTCCAATGATGGAGTTTCTTATTAATTATTTTTAGCAGCACATCATATGAATATTGTTCCATCATCTAAAACGGATGCGCTGCTTATAGCTTGGAGTCACCATCTAAATTAAAATCTATTTGGCTTTTTCATATTGACGCGTTGCCGTTGTACCGTGGATGATGGAAGGAGGGAATTTCGTGGTGTTTGTAGTCTGACAGCCTGTTTACAGTTTAAGTTTTGATTCACCAGTGATTCTTTTGCTTTTAACAAAATTCTTTTGTCTGTATCTTTTGTTTACGGCGAGAGCATCGTTTAATGAGCTGAGAGATGGCTGCGTCGGACCCATTGACGGAGCAAGCCGTTGCATCCATGATTAAGATCCTGGATGTAAGTCAAAACATTGCAGTGGGTTGCAGATGTATATGATAATTTATAAAATTACGAAAAGTTAGAAGAAAAACTTATCGAACTAATAACTACTGTAGTTATTGTTTGGCGTTATTTTTTCAGTTAAGTGGAAGCCGTAAGTTAACGAGCGGAAGTTTACAATATCACTCTTGTTTTTCCTTTAGCGATACGAATCCTTCGTCACTCTGTTCTCTCACACGGTGAAGAATCCAGTAAATGATCCTTTAAATGAATTGATTGATCGACTTCCAGGACTGTTTTTACCAACCGTGGTGAGTCGGACTATTTGTGATTTTGTATGCCTGCTCAGTCTTCGCACAATATGGTACATGTGTATTGTATATTAATAAGTGTATATAGATTATAGTAATTAACTAATAACTATAAAGTCATTAATCTACAGTATTACTTAACTAATATACCTAATCTACGAGTACCCGGTAGATATCATGCGTGGTAACACCAAGGTGTATAGGAGTTTTCTCCTGTATACCTTGATCGCATGTAAACTGGAAAAGATTTCTTTTTGCTTACTCGTATGGAGGATGCAGTTATTTTGAATACACACAAAGTCTGCATACTGTCAGCAATGAATGTTTTAGTCTCTGGAAACGCAAAAGACGATATTGGATCTGCTGGTGCAGTATATTCTGAACCCACTGAACAACAAAAAAATCTGCGACGCATTGTACAATGGCATCCTTCATACACTCCAGAGCGCCAGTGTCAGTCACCAGAACACTGCGGGAAAGCTGTTTCTCCTGGCTGTGCTGAACTCTCAGTTCGAGCTGAAGCAACCTGAACTGTGCAGACTGGTTGTGCCTGTTTTAAAATCGTTGGACATGAAAGCAGTCGGGGAAATTCTTCGTGTAGGCGAAATACGAAATGCATTGTTGCAAGCTGCATGAAAGCGGTGACGCTTGAAGCATTTGAATGTCAAATTGTCCTTAACAAAGTTGTTGGATAATGTCTGGTATTTTAGGCTGCGGTCGAAAAATCCCAGCGGCTCCGCGCCAAACGGAAACTTGGGGCTGAGACCGATGCTTATGGTTATCTCGGAGGTTTTTTGCAGATTATTCTTTGCTCCAGCACTTGTCCGTCGGTTATTTTGTTACCGGAAATCGTAAATACCTTGTCCACGAAAAATTGGCGTTCTTCTGGTTTAATAATGCCTTCTGCGTCATTTTTTGAGAATTTCGAGAAAACGGTGGAGTTGGTTAAAATTCGCGAGCGTCAGTTCTCTTTTCCTGTTGTTGGATATTCATTGTATCACAGTCCGTTATGGGGAATGGATCGCACAACGCTGCAGTTTACCATGCCTGCTATTCAAGAATTTGTCAGCGTACGTACTGTATCATTTGTGCGATACTTTGGTTATGATTGTTAGCTATAGCTTGGAGTAGCGTGTAAGAATAGCTGTAGAATTGTGCTTAATTGCAGATTTAACACAATGTATTCTAACTGCAGAGGACCTTAAAACTAAGGCGGATTGCATAAACTTGAAAATGACTGCTGGAAATTTCGTAGGACAAATTTAACCCACCACAGACGGAATTGGTTCAATATTTGCTGGAACAAGCCAATAGTCGACCAATGTGCCAGAGTATCCTGGGCATATCGAAGCAGAATACCATGTTGTCTTTGGGACTTGAAGGCCAGATCGTTGCCGTTATGGTGCGGCATTTACAATGCTTTGATGAGCAGCTGTTATACACAAACTGGATGCACATCTTAAACCACGTTTTAAGCGCCGTCTCGTGTAATTACATACGGTTCAGCTCGGTTATGCACAATCTGGAAGTGGCTCTGGACAGCATTAAACTGGACGACCTCAGTACTGGCAGATTTTACTGCATCTGGCTGTTTTATCAATGGGTAGCTGCGCAGCATAACCTGCCAGTCTCCGTAAAAGATGTTGCAGGTATGATACCTCGAGATTTTTGAATGAACCCGGTTTTTGTGCAGTTGATGTGACATAAATTGCAACAATTTTGCATGCACTCCAGGGAGCCTGCGTCTTATTTTGAAAATGTTTCCGGAAGAAGAATATCTTCATGTTCCTGAGCTGTCTTCGAAATATGCTATCATCCATTTGTCACCGGGATATCTGTGGGCGTATGTTTCTCGTCGGGCAAGTTACGAAAAATTTCCCTTACCATGCGGAACACCACGATGTTTGCTGGGGCAGCTGGAATTTATTCGCACCTGCATTGACCGAGCAGTCTTACCTAGTGGTTTGGGATTTCTGGATATTACTCTGGAACATATTGCCGTAGTCAACTGTTTCGTACCCATGTCACCCACAAAAATACCGGAAGCCAACAGAATGGATGTAGGTCGTTGATCCTCCCATATAAGTGCTCCTTAGTCCTCGCTATGCGTACCGCTGTCCTAATGAATTTTATTCTTCTGTAGCACTGTGACAGAATGATTGCCTCGCTGACAGAAAATTTGGTAGATAACTCGACTTCGTCCTCCTTTGTCGAAAGACCCGAGACCATGGCTGCCCCTGGCGGTTCTGTGGTGCTTCGCGCTACAAAGCCGCTTTCGTTGGAGCTGTTGGATGGACTTTCGGGTCATGCCAGGCTGTTATTGGCCAACAGTCTGGCACCCAGTTTTACCCGCATTATTTCGGATTACGCCAGCAAGCCGGAAAAGGTTTTTCTTTCATCCGGGTTTTTGGAGACAAATGCACGGTTATGTGTTTACGAAGAAAATGAACAGTCCGTTTTGGGGTGGATGATACGAAAACTGCCAGAAATAGCAATCTCAAATCGCGCTTGGTTTGTGCTTGTTGGTCAACTCGAATTACTAAGTTTTCGTGCTCCATATATTCCATTCAACTGGAAGTAAGCGTTTTGAGCTTCAAAAATTGTACTTTAAAGCATGTTGAGCATGATGCAGCCCATGGTAATGCAGCCCATGGTAATATTGCATTTGTTGTTTCTAGGCCGATCCTGGTGGTGATGGTTATGAACATTGTGCAGGTAATATAGTAAATTTTTCTAATATTCCGAGTAATCTTGTTGACGGTGGATGTGTTGCAGAGGTTTGTGACAATGACAAACACACACAGTCATCCCCACGCAGTACTGTATGTGGAGCAGTTGGCAATTAGGATCATTCAGAGTTTGAACATATATGATATGCACTACATCCGTAACTATTTGGGGAGCGCTAACGTGATAACTGCTCAGCAAGAAGTAGAAGAACTTCTCCGCCTCTCACTCCTGACATCGTTCCGTTTGGCGCAAATATCGGGACTGGATGCGACAACCATGCAGTTTCTTACGAAATACGTTGCAGAATCTCAACAAGTTGTCGCTCACTTATGGGGAAATCCAGGTACGACCAATGGAAATACTTTTCTGTGGAACGTTTTACCGGAACCAGTGCAAAACTTGTACAAAGATGTAAAAATTACCCGGGAGAAACCGCAGTCACGGCGTATGGTGGATGAGATGATCATTCGCCTGCGTGCCGCTGCGAATGACAACGATGTACGCACGATTCTTATGGGAACTCATGGGAGTTACGTGTTGCATATGTACTGCATAATTTGGAAGCAACTGATGGAAAACATGGACCAGAATATGCCGTTCCGCTCGCCGGCCCTGATTGCCGCTGTCCTTGATAAGTCAGGATACAAAGGTCAGCTGCACATGTTACGGATTTTTATCGACTATATAATTATGGAGCTCACAGCCATTCCGCCTCCGTCTCCCGAACGGATCAGTCGGCAGCTCGATTGCCTGCGACTGATGATTTGGAAACTTGGTATCATACCGTTTGAAAGGTTCCTCTTCATGTTGATCATGCGACATTTCGACATGGCAAATGAGCTCCAAATGGCTCTTGTAATCGTAGTGCAGCTCTGTAAATCGACCGATTTTCAGAGCCGCCTGATGGAAACAGTTAATCTGATTCCTCCGGATTATTTGAATCACGAGCAGACGTTTTTTGAAAAGGTTGTTGCTTACCATCAGTTGTTCCCGGAAGTGTACTATTTCAACGGTACATACGACTACACACAGCCAGGAGTGCCGGCTATTAACCATGAACCTCTGCCGGTGTATTTTTCCAATGTTATCCTGCGATGCGTACCAGTTTTTAACATTGTTATTCACCGATTTCTAGAGTTTCCGAAAAATTCTTCGCAACTACAGCATTTCGAATCCTTTTTGGACAATATTGGGAAAATATTCCGCTACCACGACCATCCCGTAAATTTTATCTGGCAGACATTACATTTTTATGACCATCATCTAAAGGATGTGTATAATGTTCGAAGAAAATTAATACGAACCATTTTGGGAGCTAAGGCAGAGTACCATATGCCGAATTTTTACCTGACGCGGTATTGTGAAGCCTATCTGACTGCGCCACAACCTGATGCATTTGTGTTTTCCGCCGAATATTACGATTTTCTTGTAACAAGATTGACATTATGCTTATATAGCCATAATTTGGAAATTCCTTATCATGGTGTCGAATGGAGATTCCATGAGCACCCGAGCCCTGCTGCTCACGCCCTGTACACAAGTTGCATAGAATTGATGTGCATTCCGGGGCCGTCGGAAGCGATAACAGAAAACTTACTAAACGTTGTGCGTCGACGCTTTCCGGCAGCTGAAAATGGATCCAAAGAATATGCGATGCAGACCTACGACCAGTTCCTGCAATGTTTGAACTGCGTCGCCCTTATGATCTCCGCCTTGCCAGAACGATTGTTTGTTGGTCTTCTTGGATTCTTGAGGACGCTTTTGGAGGATACGGATCTTGTGACGGCTGGGAACGTGCTAATGGATATGTTTGATTTGAAAAAAAGCTATTTCGACATGAAAAAGCCGATGCACGGCCTGTTTTTACAAATATTCCACGCCACCATTCTTCACGGCGGTTCCGGTCATTTGCTGAAATCTTTGGAGTTTTTCCACACTGTTATCGTCCCATTTCTGGGTGCTGAATGTCAGCTAATCTATGTTATGAATTTATTTGTTCCGTTGCTGCCCAAAATCGGTAACGATCCGGTCAGGTTGGGCAAATGGCTGTCGGCAATTTTAATACTAATACAGCGTGTGGGAAGCCGGCAGAATATCGTTTTTCAGCATGCTGCTACATTGCGCGATGTTTTGTATTATGTTATGGAAAATTATGGAAAATCTCTTGATCTGAGAAGAGATCAGGTTACCGAACTCCTATCCACCGTCCAACCAGAGTATGGGAAATATTTGGTATTCCTGCAGCAGTTTGTTAAACCTGAAGGTGATAATTCAACATAACATGGTTGAAAAATTAAGCAGCTTGACAGTTTTGTTTTTGCTCATTATTACTGTGAAGTAAGTAGTTAAGTATGTGTTCATTTTTCGCATTTATAAATAAACTGCTAGTTTATCATAGTGTTTTTTACTTTACGTTTGAATGTTGGGAATTGTGTCCACTTATTTCAAATTGTTTTGAAGTATAAATCAACAGGTGTTGTTTTAAGTGTCCTCAGTATTCAGAATAAATCTGTGTGAAGAAATTGTGATCGAAAGTGGACAGTGACCAAGCACAGTCGGTTACTTTACCAAGAGCACGCACAACAGAGGCGTTTTTACTGACTACCAGAAAGTGTTACCAAAGCTTGAAATCATTATCGTTATCCTAGTCCGTAAGGGACGCACATAACACGGCTACACTCCCTGAAAAGAAGATGCAGTGTCCAACACCATTTTTCCCAAGGCACTTTCGGCGCCTGTGAGAAACTCCGGAGTGAGCTCTCGGAACGTCATGACAAGTCGTCGATCACAAATGTCTTCCGGTATAATAGCATGTTTCCATTTATGCCTGGCTTCGCCCATCATAAGAAACAGTGAACGTCGAGGCATAGGGACATGCACGCGAATCTCGGGTGGTAATCCCGACTGCGCTGCGAAGCTATCTGTCGGAATTAGCGAAAGAAATGTGTCGGATATCAAGTTCACACTGACTAGCCGGTCGCCCCACAGCCACGTGTCGTCAGTATGTGGTTCAATATGAGAGCCGCGCTCGCGGGTGTATTCTAGGTTGCATAATTCCGCGCATCGGAAATCAGAAAAATAATCCTTACAGTCACCCTGACTAATCATCCGCTCCAATAAGAAGCGGGAATAACCTGGTAACCCAGTAAACGAGGCAGGATTCAATTTCTGCTTCTTAAAATTTACTTTCGGTCCGTAATCCTAAAAAGAAAAAAAACTGTTAACGAAAGGGTCGTAATGGAAAACGTAGCGACGAAATTTTATGGAGGAACAGTCGGAGTCACAACTGTACATTAATTCGCTACTACTGTGCATTAATTCGCGAAGATTTCAATTTTTTACCTGTTTACGTCGTCCAGACTGCGACTCTACCCAGCTTCGCTGATCAATGCAGTTCACAAGGAATTCCTCTTCGTTTTCGGAAACGAAGTCCAGCCAAATGTACAAACCGGGAAGAACGAAAGCATGGCTGCTATACAGCGTATCGTCATGAATGCATTTGGTTCCTGTACAAGACGACGCTTCCTTTTCCGCATCGCGAACAGAACTGCTGTACGAACAGGATATCACTTCTGGAAAGGCATGGTGACACTGATAGCAATACGAGTATGAATGTGGCAGTGACTGAGAGTTTATATAAGACTTCATTCCGTTCCTGGAACAATTCCCATCATCCAGAATATCACTAATATCTGCTCCTTCGGGTCCACGCTTGTCCGCTATATTGCGCGATACACTCAGATTTTCCGCGAACAGATCGGGTTTGCAGCGCACACAACATCGGACGCCGCGACAGGCACACGGTTTGCCTCCGTAGACCTGCAGGCAATCGATAGACATTGCTTAAACCTCTTCTGCAATACCTCTTCGCAAATAAAAATACACTTCCAAACGGACAATTCCAGCCCTGAAAAATATCATCTAGCTAACAAAATTAATATGTATTATTGCGTATATAAATTCATAAAAGAATAAAACTGCTAAACAAACAAGCGTAATCAGTGAAGTACCGGAGTAAGGACGGTAAGTAAAATAATGCAGACTTCAGAGTTCCGGGCCGGCAGACCCCCATTGCTGCAGCTACTTCCATACTGAAAAATAAAGCATCTTTTTACGGCTGTTCTGTAGTACAGAGTAGACTCAGTAGAAGTAGTTTTTTTGCGAAGTTTGGTTAATAAGAACGATGTTTTTGTTGACGCAAAGTCGGCAAAGAGCATTACGAATACGATTTAATGTTATGAAATACCGTTACAGTAATAAAGGCATGAAATGGACTACATCACGGCTGTCACCACTTGCGATTCAGCGAAGGATCTCTACGCTGTTCTCGATAAACTGTTATCCGAAGGACCGGAGTCCGTACGAGAACGGGACTATGCTCTAGTCCTGCAAGAAGCACTGGAAAAGTTATCGAGTTTCGCTTGTGGTCTCAGCGATTTCATCCCTCATCTGAAGCATTTGCTGCGACTGGCGGACACCCAGGATTCTCTGCGCTTGTTAATAAGCCTTCTAAGAAACGGATCACGGTTAGACTGCCTTCTGTTGTTTTGCCATGTTTCACGACTGTTTATTATTATTACAGTTTATAGCAGACAAACATCTAAAACGTTATTCTTGTAGCACGGTAATTTTTGACGTTTTGAACCTCCTTGAGTATCACGTGCTCCATGTTCTGCCGACATTTATATCCCTCGGAATTCTGTCAAACGAAGCAGACGACTGGGCTGACGTTATTAAATTACTGGGATCGCTTCCGGACCGCGTGACGCCATATATGTTGATAGATTATAGGTTGGTGTTCAGCAGTAATTTCCGTTCGTTAATTTCCTGTTTTTTTTTGGCGGAAGCATTTTGGACGGCTGTTGTATGTTAGGGAAGTGTTATCCGGGAAGAAATTTTTCGACCACGTTTGCTGCTCAGTGCTAAACGGATTGCATCGAAAGCATTTGGCGCTCAGCGAAAACCGCAGTGTTTCCTTGCATTTCTATGGTAGCTTGGTGGGAAAATTCTGTCTGATTGGGCAAGAAAAGGCAGTCGTCCGATCGCTTATTCTTCCCGCGTTGCAGAAATGTGAAGCAAATTTTGTCTGGCGTAGATTGTTACAGACCCTTTTTAAACATATTCCTCATCGAGCGCATGAGCCTTTGATTGTTGAGCTGTTGAGTGCTGTGGAAGATGGTCGGCAAATGGTTTTCGTAGTTGGCTACGATATTTCGGAACCGCAGCTCAGCCGGCTTCTGACAAAGACAATATTCTTTAATAAGTACTTTCCTCCGCCGAAAGATGTATGTCGAATTGTCATTAGAGTCTTTCAAGTTTTATCCCGCGAAATCATTTTGTCATCGACTGTTATCGTTTGCTACAGGTTCATATTTTTCGGGCAGTGCTTCAGCTTTTCTGGGCCTTGAATCAGGATCGCAGTGCATTTAAAGAGGTAACGCATTCAGTTACTTAGTAATTTACCGTGCGGTCCAAAGCATCATCAAATGATATGCCTATCATGCTCGAGTCTCAAGATTGTGCTATGTGCTGGAAATGTTTGCTGTATAGCTTTTGATTTCCCACAGCAGAAATATTGATAGTTTTGAGAACGCTGTTCGGCATATGTTTGGATTGTTTGCGAATTCAGACAACTACTGTTTTTATTTTGTAGGTACTCATTTCCCTGGCTGGCGCATGGGGAAACAGCTGCGCGCACCGCTTTTTAGCCGTGGAATATGAAATGTCACTGACAAAGGCATTGATATTGGCTGCTGGTGTTTTGCGAGAATGTTTACCTTGTGATGCGGAACTCAAACAGAGTACTGCAATATTTCTGTCTTCCTTTTAACCGTTTGAAGTCTGTTTTGTCGTCCTTCTGACAATATAATTTTTGCACAGAGGTGCTTGTGGCTGTGCTACCCGGAGTTGAAAAGCGTTTGAAGTCCACAGATTCCCGGACAAGACGAAGTGGAATGGTTGTGGGAGAGATCGTGACCAAACTGGTCGACATAACGCCGGAAGCAGCTTTGAAATTTGAGGTACGAGCGACTTATTGTTATTATTCTAATGTTGGCTTCCTTCAAATAAATCGGAGTGAGCCGAATAATTACTCATCGCTTGCGCCGACTGCGGATGATCGTTAATATGTACTTTTTAAAGCCGATATTGGGAAATCTTGTCCGCTTTGTTTGAACATGTTTAAAGAATCGTGTGCGGGATCGATGTTTTTTTTCTGTACAGTATGTGGACTCCGACGATACAAAATATTTGAAATCCCTGATGGAATGTCGTGCTGTTGAATCGGTGGGGTTTCCTGGCTCAAAACAACCAGTTTGGACGATTAAGACTATTGATGAAGAAAACGCTCCAGTGGCGGAGCCAGTTACTCAAGGCGCAGTCAAGCCACTCGAGGATCCTCTTTCCGAAGCAGTTGACAGCGATGACGATCTTGTTCCATACAGCAATACTGTTTCGCGAACTTCAGTCAAAACAAAGTTGTCTCTCGGTAGACCACAGTACCTGCAAGATTGCTATGATGGTAAGCAGCAAGGGCATGTTATTGCATCCTTACGTAAAGTAACGTAAAGATATTCGGTTACAGTATTGCTGTGTATATAGGCCTGATAAATAAAGAGGATCCTGCGAGGCGAAAAGTGTGTTTGGAATCTCTTGCGGGACTTTTGGAAAAGCAGAAAGACACCGCTGAGTTTGTGAGTTTCGAGAGCATTTGCATGCCCATGCTTCCCCTCACTACATCCCGTTCGATTTAGATGGTGGACAATTTCTTGCAAGTGCTTTATTCCATTGAACTGGAGGGTTCTCTGGCTGACTGTTCAGCTGATCGAAGTACTGCGCTAATCAGAATCGCACTTGATCATCCGAAAATAAGTGGATGTTTTTATGGAAAGGAAGTCAGAATGAATAACTACGGCCTGGGCGCTCGGCTGGAAATGCTTCAGGTGCAAGTGCAATTGCTGTTCTAGCTCATTTGAACGCTTGTGGACTCTTTTCAGCATCTTTTGGATTTGCAGGTTATCCGAGCGGCAGCAAATGAGCTTAGCCATTCAGTTGGTGACGTTACTGCTATCGAAACGGGAACACCTTTGGAGAGTACTGTCGATGGCAAAACTCGACGTTTTGCATCGGTGTGTTCCCCTTTTTCAGAAATTTCGGTGTAGTAGACTGTCTGTTCTCTCTTACTTTATCCGAAAATGATTTTGTTATTTTAAGGCTACCAAAATATCCCATGGAATGAAACACCGTTTTGTGAACTTTGCTCGCTTTTATATTATGCCGCTAATAAGTACGGGCTATACTCCAAGGACACCGGTGTTTTTACTACAACAAGAAGATGCGATGCTGCTAAGTCACCTGGTGCAAACTCTGACGCTTCTTATGCACTATGCCGAAAAGTTGCCGGAGACTCCAGGTCTTTGTTTGCGCGTCATTGAGTATGTGTGGGATTTAAAAGACCACCATGATCCGTAAGATGCTTGGAAGTTGAACCAAATTTCTGCTATCACTTAGAACCGTTTACCCAGTGAATTTTTATTTAGGGCTGTCAAACAGGCCGTTCTGGTGTGTCTTGCTGTGTGTGTGCAAGCAGTGCCTTTGGATTTTACGTCTGCAAACAAAGATTTCGGATTCATTGACCAGCTTAGACAATACCTTTCAGGTAATTCTTTTATGCGCGTAAAAATTTGTAATTTTGTTGCTGTTGCGCGTTAAAATTTGTGCACAATGGTGATGTACCATAAATATTTTTTGCAGATGTGAAATCCTTTGATCCCAATTCGAAGTGCGCGGAACTGGCTTCTCAAGTTCAAAAAATGTTGGATCATACTATTAGCAGTAAAATAATACTTTTTTCGGGACCAAAACAGTCTTTCTCTGCTTTGGATATAAATCGACGGGACTGGAAGCCTGTAACTCTGGAAGACGTAAAAAGGATATCATCGTTGTCTAATTATTCAACCTTTTGGCGAAGCTGAAAAATGATCGGCTTTCATCAGTTTAGCATTCTCTTGTGATTTATAAATATTGGCATTAAATTGTGATATATTTTGGAGAACGGAAAGTCGATGCCATAGAAGGTGCTTTGGACAATAAATCTTACAAACGTACGCTATGCGGGCGCATATCTAGCAACAGCATGTGCGGGTGTATTTAAAATTACAGTTTTCATTCCGTCAAAATATAATACAGGCCTCAAGTGCAAAAGTCTTCCGTTCTTGAAATATTTGACGATCTTGCAGTAAGCATTGTTGCTGCCTTAAAACAGACTGCCTGCCCATAGTCTATAGCTAAATTAGGTGAACATTCCTTTGTCAAGGATTTATTTAAAAGCCTCATAATAGATCTCTCGAACTGCAACTTGCAAATAAAAACATTGTTAACTATTTCTAGGGTCACGAATACGATAAAGAGACTTGATTTTTGTTGCACGGTCCATTTCGCAAGGTGCAATAATTATCTGTACAAGGCTGATGAAGCACGCATCATAATGCTGCAGAACACACAAAAGATTACATTAGCATCCCGTACGAGGAAATAACGTCTATTTTATAATTATATTTAAATGCTCTAAATGCGCGGCTCCGAATTAATTCAAAATTATGTCTTTCCGTGCAGAAACTTTGACAGGAAGCTATGCGATTTGGGCGGTTCTGTATCTCGGAAAAACGACATGAGGTGGATTGCCTGTTTCCAAACTTCCATAGTTTCTCTCAGCTCCATCTGACCCTTTACAAACAAACAACGTTACTCATACTGCACACACAAACTGACGAAACAAGCCAAACAAAAATAGCTATTTTTTATGTTGTTAAACAAAATTTAATGATGCATCCTTTGCGTGAGTGGATTTCTACACAAATTGTATATAGATATGTACTATACATACGAAATCAGGAATAAACCCTACCCTAATCGTATTAAGTTATTAACAATGTAAGTAACGTTCAGCTAAATCCGCATGCTTTTCCTGTTTGCAAATCTGTACTTCGCTCAACTTTTCAATAGCTAATTATCTTTTGCATCGATTATTCGCAGCCAGTTTTAAAAAAGAATGCACAAAATACTCCCGATAATAATGCGTACGTATATCATCCACAAAGCCAAGCGATTTTCACGGAAAAGTACATAATCAGTCACTAATTCTCACTCCAGTGACTCCATCTTGCATTTCAAAAGGAATGAAAACCGCCAGCAAACGAAGGAGATGAGAACAAAAGCCATTACAACACCAACGACAACTACGGTGACTACCTATGACTCTATTAATGCGAACACTTTAATAGGATCTTTAATTATTCTTTACCTTTGCAACCAGCATGTCGATAACGCGAATATCGGTTACATTTCGATTTGCCATGAATATCTCCTTCAAACGCTTTCGACACTGTTCCGCACTGACAGGGACATGGTATTCCATCACTGTAAATACCATTTGTTATCCCATGCTTTGATGGTAGATTCATCATTCACTGAAATTTGCTTTCTAGCACTGGCCAGTATTTCAGTATGAAAACAAAATAATTACCAGATAACTAGACACTAAAGTTGATTTAACGCTGCTGCTATCAGATTCCCCGAAAACAACAAACATGCAGGCTGATGTTCAGCAATTACTCACAAACTGCAAATTAGGAAACTTACAGAAATACGGGATTTCACGATACCAGGCTCGGTACAGCAAAAGTACTTGACGACGAGCTTGTCTTCGGTTTAGGGAAAACACGGGAGCAACTTCGCGGGCACCCACATTCACTCCCGATCTGATGCCAGGAGATCGGGCGACGAGAGCGCCAGCAGCGCGAACACTTTGAATCATGACTGCATCCAAAAGAAAAAAGCTCAGAAATAATACAATTATACAAACAATGTTGCAAGGTGCCTGATTACCCAATAATATTCAAAAGAAAATTTAATTACTGTACGCGACGACAGTTCATCAAAATTTAAAAGGCAGTAAAATACCTTCGTAGTTACAGTTTTAACTGTTTTATAGAACAGGGGCACAAGCCTATGTGTAAATGATATGTACGGACTCTGCATTAGTACACACTCTGCCAGCGACAACATATCGCGCGGGTATTTGGTTCTGTCAAAACACAAGATTCTCGAAACCTTATTAAAACATAAATGATAAACATATTAAAACCTTTTTTACAAACAGAATTCCGACTTTTTTGCCGTGAGTTTTAGTGAGGCGTGCGTTTACAGTGGTGTGTACAAGGTTTTTTACAGTGCTTACAGTTAGTTAAAGTTTACCATACATGATGTATGGTGTATGGTACATCCATTGGACAGATCTGTGCATGTGAGTTTGTGAAAGCAGCAGGCGTGGAAGAAAAATGCCTTCTTTCGACATCGAAGGTATCCACGTCGAGTTTCCGTATGAGGCATACGATATCCAGATATCTTATATGACACACGTGATAAAATCCTTGAAATCACGGACGAATGCCTTATTGGAGAGTCCTACTGGTACTGGCAAAACCCTGTGTCTGTTGTGTGCATCTTTAGCATGGCTGGAGCACGAAAAAGCGCGTCAGCAGCTGCAGCGTTTGACTGGCGCTCCATTATATTCTGCTGGAGCGGAGATTCCCGATTCCTGGCCGTCGCAGCGTTCTGCTGCTGAGCTGACGAAGGCGTTAGTGGAAACGAAAATCATTTACGCGTCCCGAACTCATTCCCAATTGGCGCAAGTCATGCAGGAGCTGAAGAAAACTCGTTACAGAAATGTACGAGTGGCCACGTTGGGCTCGCGAGATCAGCTGTGCATCAATCCACAGGTAAGCAGTACATCCGACACTTACAATTACCGTGCAACGTATCTACAAATTTAAAGTAAATTTAGTTGTTTATATTGAAATAGTGCGTAAGTTCTAGTGAGTCGTCTAACGGTAATGTTGTACGTATAACGTGTTAATTAGTATCATGTAAACTTCTATTACAGATATGTTTTTCAGGTTTCGCAGTTGCCTAACATTGCCGCCAAGAATAAAGTGTGTCGTGATAAAGTCAATACCCGCAGTTGTAAGTTTTATGTTCAGTTGGAACAGCAAGCCAAAGAGAGTACATTAGCTGTGGAACCGGCAGCTGATATTGAAGATCTGCTCAGTTTCGGCAAGAAAAACCGAGTGTGTCCGTATTATTTGGCCAAAAGTTATGAGAAGTCAGCCGAAGTGATTTTCATGCCGTATAATTACATTTTCGATCCCACCGTCAGGCGCACTATCAAACTGGATCTTATGAATGCTGTTATAATTCTCGATGAAGGTACGGCAAAGTTTAAGCGGCGAAGTATGATTTATTAGTTTTTCATAGATGTAATTTTGTTAATTTTTATTGTTATATAAGTATATAAATTTATTATTATTACGTTTATATTTATTATTATTTCGTTTTTTTATGTTTATTTATTGGAGAAATATTTTTGTGCAGGGCACAATGTTGGCAAAGTATGCGAGGACAGTTATTCGTATGAGATTTCATCCACTGATCTTGCCACAACGATCCGCGAAACCGGGCGAATCCTGAATCATTTGGTAAAATCGAATGAGATGGAAACAGCGTCAGGCAGCACTGTGCAGTCGAATGTCACTAGGGAATTGCAAAATCCGGAACGGTCGGAGAAAACACGCGCCGTTGCCACATTAAAAAGAACATTACTAGACTTTGAAGCGGCACTTGATGAGCTCTCGCTACCGGAGGACGCCAGCCACGGTTGGGTACGACCAATGACCTTTATGAAAGAATTGTTTTCCGCGGCTAAAGTAAACCAAGTTCGTTTTGCGGAATTAAGCACTTCCGTTAGTGAGCTGCTTGCTGAGAATGAAAACAAAGATCAGTTCTCTGCTTTTTCGAGTCATAATGCGGGATCTCTGCAGAAATTCGTTGATTTGATGGAAGTTGTTTTCTCGAAAGACGTTCAGAAGCATCATCCGTATTTTCGCGTCTATGTCCGCAAGGAAGACGTAAAAAAGAGACTAAAAGACGGTTGGAGCGGAGATGGAATTACGACCAAACAGAATCGCGTAATCAGCATTTGGTGTATGAGTCCAGGCTGTACGATACAGACTATCATGCAAAGTGAAATCCATTCCATGATAATCACTTCTGGCACGCTAACTCCAGCGGAGCCACTTTTAAAGGAACTAGCCGTACCGTTTCCGATCCAGCTGTACAATCCACATGTTATTAGTGGAAGCCAAGTTTGGGTCGGAGTGATATCGAAAGGTGAGTTTTTAATATTATATCTATTTAGATTCGGTAGCTTGAAAGAATAATAAGTCGCTCGGTAAATGCGATTGAAAAGATAATAATAGCCATATGATTCCGACTGCAGATTTAAGACTCTGATCTCGTTTCGAAATGTTGTGATCATGTTAAACGCAAAAGTTAGCGAAATGTAGCAGATTATTATTGTATTTTTGCAGGACCGGATGGAATCCAATGGAACTCACAGTTCAAAAACCGTGATTCTGTAGACTACAAACGATCTCTTGGTCGGGGTATACTGAATTTCCTTGAAGTGATTCCGGATGGAGTATTAATATTTTTTCCTTCGTATCGTGTCATGGATGATTGTATTACCTGCTGGAAATCGTTTGATTTGTGGGAGGGAATGTCAAAAAAGAAGGCATGTTTTGTTGAGCCGACTAATCGCAACGAATTTACCACCATGCTGTCGGCATATTTTCAAGCAGTTCGAGAAAACGGACCCGGAGCGGCGTTTTTCGGCGTCTGCCGTGGGAAAATCAGCGAGGGCGTTGATTTCCCAGATGTTTGCGCTCGCGGAGTTATTTTGACTGGTCTACCGTATCCAAATAGATATGAACCGCGCATTCGCGTGAAAATGGAATATTTGCAACAAACCTATGGAAATGTCACCACTCGGACACTGACTGGTGAAGAGTGGTACAATCGGGAAGCCTGGTCGACGGTCAACCAAGCCTTGGGGCGTGTAATCCGTCATGCTAAAGATTTCGGAGCTTGTTTGCTGTGTGATATGAGATTCGAGAACGAAAGCAGCAAGAAGCAGTTAAGCGGATGGGTTCGTAATTCTCTGCGGAATTACGCCTTCCCGGTCGGCAAGCGAGCATTAGCAGATTTTTTCCGAGGTCATTGTGGAGAACTACGTCTGAGGTCCTCAGATGTGATACCGTTGGAAAATTTTGGACCAGAGAAAAAATTCGTTACCGCGTCTGTGAAGCCAGAAAGGGAAACTTCCATGGCTGCGGCCTGCGCTGTCCAAAAAAGATGCGCTGCACTACAGTCGGATGCCCATGTGTTATCTTTGTATTCCGGTGCGGCAGTGTCGAAAACGAAGCGAAATGCATCTGTTTTTGCTGCAATGGATGCATCGGAAGATTCAGCAGCGCTGGAAAATGCTGTTCCGGCTATTGCTTCAGCTGATATTCCTTCCACATTCTCTAGCCTGGCCACTCAGTCGATGCCTGTAATTCGCAAAAAAATTGTCGTTAAACCCAATAAATCCGCGGAGTTGAACTCACAGTCCGGGCCTGCACAGAGATTTGTCGACTTGCCCCGAGAGAGTTCCGTGGTTGCTTCGGCTAAGTCCTCAAACGATCCAGCAGAAGCAGGAGTTAAGGAAAGGAACACAACTCAAGTGTCGGATACTTTATCTGTCTTGCGGACGGAACTAAACCATGCAGATTATGCGGCGGTTTCTCGCGCACTGAGTATACTAAGGAAACCCGAGTGTGACGGATGTGCCTCTTTGACAGAAGCACTTCGCCGTGTAGAAGATTCGAGCAAGCGCAGGAAAATTGCGCTTTTATTAAGCAGGTATATTCCAGTGCGCAGCCGTCAAGAGTATGATCGATTTCTGGATGGAATGGGCTACGTTATCACTTTGTAATCAGTGGACGCAGCGTTGTGATAATTGTTACTTGTTGGCCGTGTGGCACACGAAAAGTGAAAATTTAATGTTGCTCACGTCGATGTTTTATACTTGTGCAAGTTTATTATCAAAAGAAAATTAATAAATTAGAAGAAAAAAATGAATGTACGATGGCATAGTCCTGTGCTGTGGATATATAGGGTCTCTAATTACAATCGAGATGAGATTACGTAGTTCGATGGGTGAGATCATATTTCGTGCATACGAATTCATATTGTAGCGTAGCAGAAGAAATTTTTGGAGCTCGCAGCCAGCATTGTAACATTGATAATATTTTATTTTGCGTTAAGAGTAAGAATAGTAAACTTCAAAACAAGTAAACTCCAAAACAAACACATCTTTAGAACATTTGCACACGACACAAACAATCATCTAAAGAACGATATGTAGCAATTTTTACGTAATGTTAACAGTACGGTTGTGCCAGAGCTACACTGTACATGCTGATTAGTATTTAATTTCAGCACAGAGTGCAGTTTCGCATTAGAAATGGAATATATTGTGAACAGCTCTTGACCCTCGAAACCGTGCATGGGAAACCAAAGGTCACTTTCGCGTAACAGAGCTACTGACAGTGCAGCGGCTCACTTTGTCGACGCACTCGCTGGTTCTCCCCGTTGGAGTATCCGCTGGCCTCATTCGTCTGTCCAAGTGGGATACCACGGTACGGAATATATGGTGTTTTCCGTTTTGTCATTGTTATGCAATCTACAATGGGGCACACCGACAGACACAATGTGCATCCTGTGCATTCTTCCGTAACGTGGGGCAAATGTGTTTCCGGATCAAACGTAATAGCTTGGTAACCGGAATCATTACAGGCCATGTAGCATTTGCCGCAGTTGATGCACATGTCCTAAGAGGGGAGAGTTTCATTGGTCATTGATTCCTCTAATAATTGTGCAAGATTATTCTGACAAGTACAGTACCTCATCAATGATGGCAACCACTTGTTGACTGTTGTCCAGGTCACCATAAGCGCCGATGCGGTCAACAGCCCGGTTCATGACGTCTTCCAGACGCAGTGCCGGCCTCTTTTCGAGATTGTATGAATCCATCAAATGCGCTTTCTCTTCCGGTGTACCTTCTTTTCCGTGCGTTTTGTCCTCAGCCAGTAGTTCCTCGCGCGTTTCCATGTGGTGACCAAAGAATGGCAAAGTCTGTATTACAAGGCAAAAATCGGCACAAAAGTTAGATTAACGTTGACAGCATGGAATTGGCTGTCAGGGTGTACGAACATTATCTCCCATTTTGCTCGGCCGTACGACGGGTTTGCCCTTTTGATGCTTCAAAGTCGGTGGACTTTGTCCTGTAATAAGTAGCAGATATTGTCGTTATTAAAGGTGTCGTAAATGAATGTAATCCTCATACCATCCCATCCGTCAAAGCCCTCCATGCTTTCCAAATATAATAGTGCCTTCAGGCCGGTAATGTAGTCCTAGAGAAAACCCACGTTATACCAAAACTCGATTACTTACTTACACTTACTTATTCAATGCAGTTCACAAGCTTAAGGATGGTACAATTTTAGTTACCTGCACAACGGTGAAATCCTGATTCTGTACCGCACTGCATATTTGCACAACATTGGCGCCAGCCTGTAAGAACTGCAGAGCGCTTTCGGCACTATCGATGCCACCCTGAAGTGAATTAATGACAAATATAGTAAACGGTACAGTGCGCGTAAAATCGCGGCTACCGTGGCCAAAATTGGAAAATCCGGAAACACGGTGCGAATGGCACTGACAGCGCGCAGGGCAATCGGTCGAATGGCATTACCGGAAACACCCCCGTATGTGGTCAGCTGTTTATTGCCCACTGCCGGCCATGCTGCTCCGTCACCCCGCAGACCCATTAAGCCGGAAACGGTATTCGTGGCTGTAACTCCGTCGGCACCACCTGCGACAGAAGGATACGCTGCAGCAATCTGAAAGTTGTCCATTGCACGAAGCGTGTTTTACCTAGTTTTGCGGCACGCGCAATGCTGACAATGTCGGTAACGTTGGGGGTCAGTTTGGCAAAGAAGGGAATTTTCACCGCTTTGCGTACCCAGCGACAGATATCTTCAACTAGTTCCGGCTTCTGACCACAAGCCAAACCCATTCCGCGTTCACCCATACCGTGCGGGCAGCTCAGATTCAGTTCCAGTGCATCGGCTCCGGCCGCTTCCGACATTTTGGCCAATTCTGTCCAGTCAGCCTCATCGTGCGAGCACATAATGCTGGCAATGAGTATCTACCGATTCATCAAACAACTAAAACATTGTTGCAAACAAGGAACGCATCTACCGAACTTACATGGTCAGGAAAATCTCGTTTCAGCTCTGTGATACTTTGACACCAGTAAGCAGCTGTTTTTTCGCTGATCAATTCAATATTCAGGAATGCTCCTTGGCCTGGCCCATAGAGATGACCGGCAGTTGTGCCGCGCACAATACGTGGACTGACGTTGGTCACAATGTCCTAACAAAATTGGTTTAATGAGTACGAGTATTTCATTCGTTCTGTTTTTACGTGCATATTTGACTGTTACCTTATCAAGAGCGAACGTTTTCGTCAGCGCAAAACCCCATCCAGCTTCAAATCCTGCAAATTTGGGATTGTATATCAAGCCAAAAAATAAGCGTATATTAAACGATATGATTTTACTATATGACAAAAAACTGTTGATGACATATGCAAAGGTGTCTTACCTCTTCGCATCATAGCGCTGGAAGTGGTCGGCGGCGCAGATGCCAGACCAAAAGGATTTTTAAACTTCAGTCCACAGACAGTGACGCTAATGTCCACGAGGTCAACCGGAGTGTAAAATAGCGGCAAGAATGGTTTTTCGGGAACGCCAAGATTATGTACGCTCTGAAAACGTGGTATACTATATACATACAACGGTTTGGTATGCATGCCCTTCCGCACGGTTTGATATTACAACAAGCAGTGAAATATCCGAATTAGACAATTATATGAAACGAATTAACTTTATCCACTGTTTGAGACCTTGCTGTTAGCAGGTGTTCACAAGTAATTGAACGCAAGTTACTATGTTAAAGTTATACCTGCAAATATCTATGCATGGACCACGAAGCTGATTTTCCATCGTTGACGGCTTCGACCGTCGTTTCCGACACACCGGCAATGTCTCCTCCGACAAATAACCAAGGGACATCTTGCGCGGTCATGGTCAGTTTATCCACCACTGCATAACCGTGTTTAGTGAATTTCAGCGGTTCTAAGGCTTCCTTTACAGCAGTATTCTTCAACGTCGAGCCAAAAGCCGAAATGACGAAGTCGGCTTTCAGGCGGACTTTCTGATCGGCGTCCTCAATCCAGTTTCCATTCTCCAGCTGTTCAGTGCGATAAAATTCCATTCCAGCAATACGGTTCTCTTTCATAATGACTTTGTGAGGTTGCATGAAGGGAATAAACTCGCATTTTTCTAATGGAAGAAAAGTTAAGGGTCACATAAATTTGGCAAAGCTAAATTGAACGCTATATGTGTATTTTCGGTTGGTCACAACAAATCGTGCAACGCAGGTTGATATAACGCCGGATGCCATTGTCATCTTTATTTTTTTTAAAAATAGTAGAAAATTATGTAAGCGCTAATTATTTTATACAATTTGTATACAGGAAGACAGACAAGTGACTGTTCAAGGAATGTTCAGGAACCAGCAACCGTTTTTTATTTCAAAGGTCATTCATTATACCGTACCGTCTTTCGCTAAATCCATTTCTTCCGGAACGGCACGAACAGTCGTAAAACCTAAACAGTGCGCAACCACATTAAAACATCTTTTTTTGGAAGACAATATCATAATAATTTAATCAGTCTTTTTGCAACTTTGCATACCTTTCCGGAAGACAATAGTAACGCGACGAGCGCCGCATCGCAGTGCGGACGAAGCGCAATCCAGTGCCGTATCTCCAAGCCCCAGTACAATCACGTTGCCCCATAATTCCGGTAATTTCGATTTACATGCACACATTCCTAAACGTATAAAGCGGCTTATGAGTCGTAAAACAGCCATTAGCCGCCTCATCCCGAAATGGTAGAATTGAAACGTATTGTCAGATATGGTTGCAGCTGTTTACATAATTGTGTAATGTAGTTTTTCTAAGTATATTATTTAGTAGTAAGTAGTTTTTCTAAGTATATTATTATGCACGTCCACTCTTCTGCTAAAGTCTGCAACCGCAACGTGCACGCGTACGTAATCGTGCACAACACCTTTACAGTTAGGTATACCAGTATTTTTATTTTGTACTCATGACCTTGTGGAGCAAAGAAGAACGCTGCGTACTTCTTTTACCAGAAGTATTTCGTACCAAATTTTCGAACCATTTATCCTCGTTTATCCTGTATCATTGTTGTGTCTTATTCACATGAATGCGCTGCGTACCTGGTTTACTAGAAGCGCTGACAGCCGGCAAAAATTCTTTGGATGTGTAGAATCCATTTTCCGGTGCCAGATCTAAACATCAGGGTTGCTGTGGGCTTAAGGGCGAGAAATTCCATGGCAAGATGATTGAAAACACGTACCGTGAAACATGGGATCGCGTTTGGGCTCAGGAAGTCCGATGCCCACAAAAATAGAGTCATATCCGTCTTTACGTAGTGACGCAATGGATAAACCGTCAAAACCAATGCCAGCACCGTATTTAATCTACAAAGTTAATTAAACGTAAACCGGTCATTTTCCTAAGTGTACTACTCTACTGAGTAGGCTTTCCGGAGGTATGCATATTGTTACAATGGTCGAATCATCGTAATAATCAAAAATATGTGTACGTAGATGTTATATACTAATTAATGGTAGAGGTGCAGAGCTAATGTGATATTACCTTGACGCCCAAATCCTGCATTAATTTGACTTCCCAGGAAACCGCTTCAAAAGGCAGGCGGAACTGAGGGATTTCGGATGCGCTCAGACCAGCTGGAAATTTCTCTTTTTCAAAGATGGTGATGTTGGAGTAGCCGAGTCGGGCTGCAGAAATAACGATTTGTTAGTCGTTTGTTTATAAAGTTTCGGTTCTCCTTTCCAAATTTACCTAAAAAGGTAGCACAACTTATACTCGCCGGTCCGCAACCAAGAAGTGCTATTTTCGATTGGTAAGATGCCGGAAGATCGTGAGCCAAATTCGGTGGTTTGATTTGCTTGATTTGCATTTTCTTAAACATCTGCAAAACCGGCATAAAACTAAATCCAATTTCATAAACGAGTGGCGATAAGGATGTTCAAAAGTAAGCCTTCTTAATTCTTTTTTCCTAATTTTAAAAACACAATGCGCAGTCTGTCTGCAGCAACATATGGCGAGTATTTATATATGATACCAAGTACTTACTATAGTGTGAAAAGTATTGTACCAAGTACTTACTATAGTGTGTATAGTGTATAGTTACTTATGGTTAGTCAAGCATAGCGTTAACTTGGAATTGTTCCTACAAGTATGTATTGACAACTGTGCATGGCATACCTCCACCGCAAACTGTTGTAAACCTCCAATGTTTATTGGACCTTTTAACAAAAAAATATATTCTTCAGATGCTTTCCGAGATGAAAAATTTACTTGATTGATTACCTTCTTCGGAGGCGAATAAATTGCATCCTCCGACACAAAGGTCACTAGTAGGACACACCATTCCACAAGTTAAACCTGCAAACATTAACGTTTTAAAATCTCAAAATCAACAGATCGGTTGATCAGTGTGATCGCTTTGGGAAAGCGGTTTTAGAATTTGAACTATCTATACGTACTTCTATCTATTTTGCCGATCATATAGCGGCTGATCATTACATAACCATACGTAACGTATTCAGTGCACGCTCACCGACAGGGTTATCCGACAAGATCGCTTTAGCTGCACCGTAGTAATTCTGTAATAAACGAAAATACAAAATCAATACTCTCTGAATATTGTTCCAAATAAAACAAAATCGCAATATAACAATTTTAATTAAGTGCACATTAAAGGGTATTTCGATGTTCACATACTTTGGTGGCGATGCTGCTGATAAATGCCTTGACGTCCAACTGTAAGATTTACAATGGTATGATTGTATCGTCAACATTTAGCCGGCTACACTGGTTACCAAATCCAGAATCAGCTAGCGTTCACCAGTTGATTCTGGATTTATGTACGGTACCTGCGTCGGACAGGACTTCTGACACGGAGCGTCCGCACATTTCAGACATCGAGAAGCCTCTCTAAGAGCGCCTCGCTCGCTTAGCGTTGTATGTTTGATGTCGTCAAAGTTGTTGTTCAAAGGTTTGCATGTCTGTTATGCACACCGGAATAACAAGAAACCTTATCAATTAAAGCAAACAGTCAGAAAAGCACGGCACTTACAGAACATTGCTTGTCCTCGTTGCGCTTCCATCGTTTCTTCTCGCCCTTTGTTATAATGCTGGGTTTCCATGTGGCTTTCTGAGGGACTTTGGGATTTAAGGCTAGTAAGCTCTCGATATCCGGTGAATCTTTACTTAAAAGATGCGACATTGTACAGTGATTTAAGCGCCGTAGCTTTTCGTCAAACAACGGTCAATCACGAAGATTTCACCTGCAGTCAGTGAAATCAGTAAAGCACACCACAACGAATTGCATGTGAAGTATGTTTTGCGCTAGAGTGTATTAAATGTTGTCCTGAATGTGCAGTAGCCGCCAAATAGATAACACGGCTGTTACCTTCTAGGCATGTGTTGAAAGCGAAGTGCATGCTGTATCGGTTTAGAGATCTTTTTGCTATCTATAGAATGGCCTTTCCAGATCAAAGAAGATAGTAGCTAGCAAATTGTATTTACCTATAAATCTGCTCACTTCGGAACATTTATGAAGATTGCACATTATCTACTTACAGCTCCACTGCACGCGACGAAACATGTACCTTGCATCAAGTACGATGCCGCAAAACGGTAACCAAATCTATTAACGTGTATGCAGCACGAGAAGCGAGTGGCATTACAACGCTTGAAACATATTGTTTTATTTTATTCATCACTAGTCACAAGAAATTTTGTCCAGACAGCAAATTTAGGCTTTCAAAAACAATTAAAATTGTCCGGCACTTCAACAATTACAAACTGCTGCGCTATGCGCCTTTTGGCCACCGGAAATTTCCGAGCCGCGTATTCCGGTTTTCTTTTGTGAAATCAGTACGCTTGTCCCGCAATTTGTAAAAGACGTACAGCATTATTTGATGGCGAATGAGATTTATTCTTTGGAATTCAAAATACGTTGTGCCAGCACAAATCAGCAGGTCGATCTCACAAATTAATATCAATCAGTCAGAAAGCTACTCTAATAACTGCTAGTATTATCATCATCTGCAATTAAAAGGAGAAAAAGGACACCGCTCGCACTTCTGGCAGAAAAGCTAAATCTTTCAGATCAAAACAATAAACTATCAGTGAGCAAAATAAACGTTGTGATTCAGAGGAACCTAACTGTACAATTAAACAATATTAACACCACACCGGAAAAACGGTGCTGCAGTTAGTCTCTAAACAAGGAACAGAAAACCAAGAAGTCATTAATCACCTAGGAGAACTGAGCAATCCGGAATCGAATCCCATACAGCGGAAATAGGAAATCATCAACTGCGGACAATACTTCCAGCAGACATCATAGCGCACAGCTTCGTGCTGGGGCAATCGCTCGTCTGCATATCGAACCAAAAATCGTACTTCTTTTGAGGACGGACTGCCAACATTGATCATTTCAAGTTCGGCGCAAGCTTCTATGGCTTTGGCTACTCTTCCTTGTTCCAAACCACTTAGAGAAAAGACAGGTACTTCAGAAAGCGGTTCCTAAATAAAACACCATGTACGAGCAGATGGCAAAAAGATCCTTCCATAATGTCACTTACCTCTGCGATGCCGGAAGAAGAGGCCATATCCTCAGCGCGCACGTCTGATTCTTCAGAATACACTCCTTCGTCAAGTGATGCAGAGGAATTGTTCAGGCTAAAAACATGAACGGGATGCACAGGGTGGGGTTCAATTTCCATGCTCATATCGGCATGACATTCCTCAGAATCATCTTGCATACGCCCATTCTCGTCCACCCGTTCAGGAGCAGTCGATGACGCAGTCACAGCACCATCCATTTCATGCTGCACCAGCACTACGAATTTTTCCGAGCTCCTGTTAACCGCATTCTGTGTTGCTTCCGGTGCCGGACACTGCATAGGAGTGTCATATTTTTCCGCAGAGGGCACCGAAAGTTCCTCTGCCAGCGAAACAACAGTAGATTTTTCGGCGGATTTCTCGTTCGACATTTTCTGCGCTACTGGCACGGAAGCTGAAGTAAGGGAGACCTCGTCATCATGGCTATCATCCTCGTCAAAATAACATCGGCGAACGTTTTCACTTTTCCGCTTGACAATAGGGACATCATCTGGCGACGAACTCCGGCTAACTGGATTTCCCCTGGCAAATGGTTGAGATATCATGGACATTGCACGCCGCTTATTACGCTTTTCTCGTGATCTGGCTAACAATTTCAACGCGACTGCAGTTTTATCAGGATTTTCAACAGGGACTGAAGTACTGGGCACCTCCTTTCTTCGAACTGTTTCGTCTTCCTGTTTTCTCTCAACAAATTCTTCCTCCTTTTTTTCGTCTGTCTCACAATAAACCGGTTTTCTCGATGATATACGCAAGCCGTAGTTATGCTTTGGCATCACACTAAGACTTCTCATTGAGCCTCGCTGGCGCAGAATTCTTTTAACAGCATCGTCGGCGGCAGTTTCTTGATCTACAAGCACGGAGTTTTCAGATGAAAGAAAGCGGTAATGTAAATCAACATGGGGAAACGAGTAAGTTTAAATTAACCGAACCTATGAAAATGCTTTTGAAAAATGAAGACATATGGATTAACATTACTTACTGTTGCATTCTGGTTTTAATTACAGTAACTGCACTCTAAATCTACTAGAACTGAAATTAAGTGCTGTAAATAATAATCTGCATTTAACAGTATCATATCCAGCGTACAACGCTGATACGCACCAGAATCCAATTCCGAAACCCTTCGTTTTGTTTTTGCCCTGCGAGTCTTTCGACTGTAATTGTCTAAAATTGAAGAACAGGATGCTTTACGGATCCATGACAATTTACGTTTAGCTGCAACAAATACACACCCAGATGAGCCATCTTACTAGCGACTGCATCTTTCAAGACGGGTGTATGCTCCACTGATTCTCTCTTTAGTTCTTCCTGACAAACATTCCGTAATTTAATGTTTGTCACTTCCGGAAAGGTAGGGCTCCGCACAGGAGATGGAGGCGCAGTACGCTTCTTGTTATAGCGAGAAACATCAGCCGGTGCCACAAGTTCGGCAGGCAACCAGATCATTTCTTCACTGCAGTGTTAAACAAAACAACAGTTAATTACTGCGACTAATGACGGGGAACAGAACGGAAGAAGACCAGCAATACATAAAAAAGCGAAGAAGACCAGCAATAACAGAACAATGCAACGCGCTACATCTTAGGAATTACTTCACGGCAAATCGTCGGCAATCTATGCTAAAATACTCTGCCACTATTAAACTTCAGTTGTGGCACCACTGCAAGAAAGCACTGCTGTTCAAGCTGTCATCGAAACTGCACTACATAAAAAACCACCTGCCGAACACAGTGTTTTCGCACACGTACCTTCCGAATGCGCTAATCACAACGCGATACTCCATTTGTTCAGCGCCATCCAACGTGAGGAGAGGACTTTGACGGTGATCGAGAACAGTGCGAGCGTGGACAACACCCTTCTGCACATTAAACGGACCGCTAAAATGATTTCCTCGCAGTCGAGCCGGGCTGGTGGCGGCGGTTGTCAGAAGCTCCTCGGTTTCGATATCGTCCGCAATTCGAAATCCACACATTTTCGTACTGACCAGTTCTTCTGGGAGCCAGACTTCGTGCCACCTGGAATGGAAACGGATGACTTCCCGAAGGGATATTCCATTACTACAACTGATGAGCACGCATACAAATCAACGGAGGGATTCGATCCATCCTGCGGCTTCAGTCTCCATCGCAGCTGCAATTCATGCTGCGCACTGCCATCCATATTTGGTAAGTCTGACACACGCTTTCGGCCAGTTTTCTGCACCAGCGGATAATCGGACATTTTCCGTCCTTCAGCATGGACTGCCAACTGTATAAAAAACCTTTACAAGAAACCGAACTGGAATCGTGGTTTGCGTAGAGCTGATAGAACTAACATGTAAAATCTAGCAACTGCGGGTCACTTGCATGTCCTGGTATTCAAAATCAAAATCAGCACACCGAACAGGATATCTAAAAGAACAGATGCAACACCCATATTGGCCATACATGATACAGGCCACGCTCGCTATTGTCAAATAACTTAACACCATAGTTTTTTTTTAAATTTGTCATTAACATTGAACTGCGAACGGGGTTCACAGATCATATCTACCCGGAAAAAATCATTTCTTTATGAAGGCTTACTGCATGGGTCTCCAACAAGTTTCGGTTTTTCGACAGTTGAGCGAGCGCCGAGAGTTACTCACATTCCCTCATCCACAAAGGAGCATAACGTGGATAAAAGTCACGCCAATTGCTTCAAGAATGCACACGCTGGAAAACAAATGTTATTAAATCTTCCTGGCTTGCATGGGTTGTTAACCTACATATCGTCATATCTGTTAGCTGAGTTAGCAACCAGATTTTAGACTTTGTTCATTGTCACTGTTCTGGCCATAAAGCCAGCCGCCTTCGGATGCACAAACTGAAGTCGTTTGAAGTATCCGACATTTGGTCGGGGCCTGGAGCAGAAGATGCCTAACTGGAGTTTTCAAAATGAATTGGAGCAATGAAGTCAAAACTTGTACAACTATTTTTTTTATTGCATAATTAGCAAAATTAACGGTATTTCCAAAATCTGCCATGAATTTCGAACCTCTCAGTTCGAAAACTTCGAAGTTGCATTGATCGCTTGCTGTGAACAGAACTTGCTGTGAACAGAACATGCGCCTAGCGCCTTTAATACAGCCTTCTCCCATGCGCTTTTACGATACGAAAATACAGTTATGCCTATAGCACTGCGTTAATTTAAACTCCGCATGCGATATCGGCCGCAGTGTGCCAGTGGATTTATTTAAAATTAAGCCGTAAAAATATCGAAGGAGGAATTCAGAATGTTCAAACCATACCAATAAGTTACGGTGCCGAAAACGGCTTCAAAACCGAAAACACAGACCATGCCATTTCAACAACAGTAATGGTACTTAAATTTATCAACAAAACCGAAGGGAATTTTCAACAACTGCAGACATAATACCCACAAACATTATCATTAACAAAAACTGGTGAAGACCACTAAACCAATACAATCGTCTATTCCACACCCATTCCGCAGCGGACAGGAAGTGGTTGAGGTTCATCGATCAGTGATCACTGCGCCAATGTGGACTTTGCTCCCACAACGCAGCGTTCCCCAAACGTTTTCACGGTAATCACAGCTCTTCCAGAATATACTGGACGGCTTGGACTACGTCGCTGGCAATGAATGTGGGATGTGGCTCTATTTTGTTTTCGTCACCTTCGCGGTATTTGCCTGTCTTAACCAAAATAGCCGATAAACCGGCTTTCATAGCGCCGCATACGTCATCCCTTACATCATCACCAATCATGACAATTTCATTCAGCTTATGCGTACTCAGAACGCCAGGGATAGCCGATAAGAAAAAGGCAGCGTCCGGTTTACCCACCACTTGAGCTTTCGTGTCCGTCGCATATTCTAAACCCGTCACAAAAGCTCCTGGACCTGAAAAATTAGCAAAAGCATTAGCAAAAGTGTTAAAATTTAGGCTTCGAGATTTATGAACTTAATCATTCAAGCCAATTCAAAAAAATTCTTGGAAAATGCTTACCTAAGGCACTTCCGTGCTTGGTCTGATAATATCGTGACTTATGAATAGCCACAAGGTGAGCTCCGTCATTCAGTACCATGTTAAAGGCTTTGTTCATATTCTCGTAGTTCAGCTTTTCGGGCGCTAGCCCAATTACCACAGCATCAGGATCATTAGTGGGAAGGCCTTCAAAGTCTTCCATTGCTTCATCGGAAACTAGTAACCATGGTCGCCATTTCTTGGCTTCCAAGATCTTCCTGGCTGCTGTTATAGAAGTGAAGATTTCGTCGGGATTAATATGGAAACCCATAGCTGTCAATCTTTGATGCAGCATCCGTTTGCTCTCCTTCGTTGTGTTGGTGACAAAACGTAAAGGCATTCCTGTTTGCCGTAGGCGATCAATCGCCTGTACGGCGCCAGGAATGGCGTGATCATCCACATGTAAAGTTCCACTAAGATCAAACAGAGCCATGCAGAATCGAGTCATTTTCGCGTGTCGATGAAGAACCCTGAACGTTGGAAGGAGAGGTTTGAGATCGGTATTAGTCGGCATCGATGAATTAGAGAATTCCAATAAAATAACTTCAGATTCGAAAGCTCTGAATTACTGCTCTTTAAAAATGGCAGTTCACTTTATGGGTTGATCCGGTATAAACGACGAAAAAAATATAAACGCAACTGCGATTACGCATCAAATCCGTTTCTTTGAAGCAGACTACTGTACGTTCGGAAAAATTATGAATTGAAAAAAGTCTGCAGACAGGAGACAGTCAATGGACAAATGTACCGTATGAATCTAATTCGAATGGGTAGATTCTATAACGCTAGACATCTGAGTCACTGACGCGACCCGCCGTCGACGGATGAGTAATAACTGTGCATTACGCCTTACGGGATGACGAACCTTATAATGTTGCCGCGAGTCGGCGAAGGCACTCACAAAATTAATATCAAACAAACCGCGAGTCTATGGAATTCCGAATGGCCGGGAGTTTTGTTGATGTTTGCTGTTTGATTCAGAAAGTTTGATCAAAGATCAATGATTACAAGACAATGAATTTGGATAGTTTGGTTTAAAACCATTGATTTTCAAATCAGTGATTTTCAGTCAATGATTATGAATCAATGATTTTCGGACACCATGATTTGAAATCAGTGATTTTTAGTGATTATGAATCAATAATTTTCGGACACCATGATTTGAAATCAGTGATTTTCAGATCAGTGATTTTCAGCCAATGATTACGAATCTATGATCTTCGAAAACCATGAATTTGAAATCAGTGATTTTCAGATCAGTGACTGTAAATGACTGACTTAAATGGCTTGATTTTGGGTTAGTGAATACATTTCACAGGCGATTGAATTAAAATCAATGGTTCATTAAAGACTGATTTGCAATCATTGATTGCCCTGCACTGACCTGCCATCAGTGATTTTCAATACGCAACCGTCGCCGCGTGCACTGGATGCCGCTATTCGGACTTGGAAAACACGAAAATGTTTGGTATCCAGTGCACCGTAGACTCTGCGGCACAAGAAAACCGTCTTAAAACGCGGCTGCGCACTCCTGTTCACTACCACCCAACCAATCCGAATTGCGCACAGCTACTCAATACTGAGTCCAGATAACTAATTGCTAGTGCAGCTTTAATTCTAGCATAATAATGATGTATTACTTGTGACATTCAACTAAAATAATATCGAAATAATACATTTTCTTCTGGATAAGAACTTGACATTTCATTAGCAAAGATGAAATAACAACCACCATTGCTTTTACATCTTCCATTAACTGGCAAACTGAAAATCGACGAGAAGCAATATGTATATCAATTGAACATCTTAACTTAGAAAGCTTATTAATCCTTTTGTAGTAATGTACATAAAAAATGATAACAATGCGTGCACATAGATTTTACTTACTTTTCGAAAACAAAAACTCCGTTCAGTATATATGGATAAATTTTGTAATGCTCTGCAAGAAAATTTGACAACATTCTAAACAAATACGAAAGCAACACATGTATCTGAATCATAGAAAGCAAACATTTTACAACAGGTCGTACATTGAGATGTACTGCTGGCTGTACGATAAATAATGCTAATGGTATTGCTAAATTGAACTTGGTGCTCTACAGGTTAGACTGCAGGGCATGCACTAGGTTGTACTCGGGCTGTGCTGCAGGTTGTACTACAGGAACATTAGGCAAACAAGCGAGGCAAACCAGCACGCCGGGGTCGGCCGCACTATAGCCATATGGCACAAGATATCAGCTAAGCATCTTGAATATTTTCTTAATTGTATTTTATCACATCAGAAAAACAAATATAGTAATAGCACACAGAATTTAGGATATTAAAAAATTTAGGCAGCCCATCGCAATGATTGTTGATTTGTTTAACGTAATGCATCTGAATTCTTAAATACTTTTCTGAGCGCAATATAAGTCACCCTATTAACACTTTTTTTGCAAAAAACTAAAGACAAAAGTGTTTTTTTTTCTGAAAGCTGCAGATTGTCCGCGTCTCTGGTTTTATGAATTTGTTAATTCGGCTCGATGCAGTGCTAAAATTCATTAATAATTTTGTCTTGCGTATCAAATATATATCCATGCTTCCAGTTTACCGGTTTCAATTTTTACGCCTCAAATTATTTCTAATGTGATTAAGTATAATTACAAAAATATTCAATATGCTTAACTAATATCTTCTGCATTTTAACTATACTCCGGCGTGTACAGAACTTGTTTGCCTAATGTACCGCCTGTAGTACAGCTCGTAGTATAGCCGTAGTACACTAACAAGCAAAATATTTCCATTGAGTTATTCTCACATACCAGACGCCTATCGCTTTATAGAAAAAATTTTTGTAGTGGGTTGGTTTCTATTTTTATCGTTTAAAAACATGTAAATTAAGTATAGCATTTCGTCCTGTGACGTGTCTGTGCGCACTTCAAAGATGCCGCCCATCACGCATCGGAGATACCGATCTTCTGCAGCGCTGATTGCGGGCATGCTGCATCGCGTGGTTATTAGCTTGGCTGATCATATCCGGATTTAGCTGAAGCTGGCACAAAGTACGCTGTAGATTCTGAGCACTAAACACTTGAACGCGGTGTAATTTTGTTTGTGTTCTAAAATTCCAAATCTAATTTCGACGATTTTGAACCTTAAATGCACATGAAAATATCAACAATCTATTTTGTGAACTCTTTGTAAACTCAAAACTAAAGCAAATAAAGACTCTTTATTGCCAACGCAGATGTCGTACAGGCGGGCCAGCGCTCAGTTTTCACCGAATTTCAGTATTTCGGATGCGTGATGGGTGGCGTCTTTGAAGTGCGCACAGACGCGTCATTGGACGATTTGCAATACTAACTTCATTTTTTTTAAACGATAAGAATAAAGACCACCCCGCTATAAAAAACACTGCTTGACAAAGCTAATTTTTCTCCATAAAACGATATGCGTCTGGTATGTGTGCGAATAACTCAATGGAACTATTTAGCTCGTAAGTTTAGTTAGTGGGAAAGCCTGCAGTACAGCTTAATGTTCAGCTATCACTGGTCAGTCTTACTTAATGTACATCCTGGAGTACCCGTTAATGTCCTGCCTGGAGTAAAAGCTTTATGTTTTTCGTGACCGGATCACTGGAACACTTATATTATCTCGCTTGCATAGAATGCCATCCTTTTCTTCTTTTACAGTATAACAGAATTTATGGTGATATACAGAACTTCGTTTAACTTGTTTTTCGCATTTTTCATCAAATAATTAAAAATGTGAAGCACTGCAACATATCATTATTTGTGTATCACTCTGAATGATTTCTAAACCTTTTACTGGAGTAAATTTATTGGAATCGGTAGATAGGAATCGGAACTTGTAAAGCGTGAAAACTTTTCCAAGTCTGAATAGCGGGTTTCCATTGCACGCGGCGACGGTTACGTATTGAAAATCACTGATGGCAAGCCAATGAATGGCAATCAATGATTGCAGGTCTGTCTTTAATGAATCATTGATTTAATACAATCACCAGTGAATCACCAGTTAATTGTATTCAGTGATCCAAAATCAAAACATTTAAGTCAGTCATTTTCAATCACCGATCTGAAAATCACTGATTTCAAATCATGGTGTTCGAAAATCATTGATTCATAATCATTGACTGAAAATCACTGATCTGAAAATCACTGATTTAAAATCATGGTGTCCGAAAACCATTGATTCATAATCATTGACTGAAAATCACTGATCTGAAAATCAATGGTTTTAAATCAAACCATCCAAATTCATTGTCTTGTAATCATTGATCTTTGATCAAACTTTCTAAATCAAACAGCAAACATCAACAAAACTCCCGGCCATTCGGAATTCCATACGAGTCGGGACTCTCCTCCGTGAAAGTCGGAGTCAGTGTGACACTATGCTGCTGTGTGCGCCTGATATGTACTGTACTATGGCGTACAAAACGCGCAAAATTAACATAACGTGAAGTGCTGAGTTATGAATGGTGATCTATAATTAGTGAATAATAACTGCTGATTAATAAGTGTTGATTTTAATTACATCGGTGATCTTTAAGTGGTGATTTAACAACGGTGAATCAATAGTGCTGATTAAATAAGTAGTCCTGATCAGATAGAGCTGATTAGATAGTGCTGATTTAACAATGATGATAAGACTGGGGTGATTAAAAGTGTAAAAGTGGTGATGATAGAGTGGTGATTTATCAACGTGACTGCCGCCTCCTGAACCGGAAGCCTAATTTCCGGACTTCGAAGAATTTTCTGAGTTCTTGTACATTCCAATTCCACCCACCAGTTCCAATGAGTGAGTGGAATTTAACGCATTCTTTGGAAGTGACAGTTATTTTTACTGGAAATGCTCTTCTAATGGTACTGAAATTTGTTTATTCTTAGCGACTTTGGATTATTGCGATCCATTTAAGAGCAAGTCTCTAATTTTTCAGTATTTATCACTTTATTTGTTTAGAAACCAAGAGAAATTTGAAATGGATCAGTTTTTTCAGTTTGCGTACTCGGTTGTAAGACGTGCGGAGCGTTATTTAATAGTCCAGAATGGGATCAGGATCAAGATAGTTGACGGAGCGCTGACAGATGGATTATTTATGGGTAACTTGCCCAAACAGCAACGGTTGCTGATAAATTTGTTGGAATTTTGAATGTTTTCTTTGTTAGATATACGAGAGATATCTGCGAAAATATTCCGGAGGAGCGGACGGTAAGCGCAAGAGCTTTTTGATGTGTTAATAAACTACTCCAGTCGCTTACGGGATCTACTGCAGAAGACGAAAACGGACTGTGTCCGTTTCCCATCACGCAGCACACCAGATGGAAAAATATTCTTCCGGAGGATGATTTACTGATCTGCGGTTCGAGGTTATGAATGTATTGCTGAGCTGTATGGAGTTTCTAAGAGGACCGTCACGTACAGATTGGCAGATGCTGGCTTGAATAGGAAAGTAAGGGATGTGCCAGCATCACGGCACGGTTGGGTGTAGTACTCGTAGATATTTTAGTTCGTTGCAGATTTGCATTGGTGAATTCTTATCTTTTTTGATTGTTATATACGGTATAAGCAGGCTATGTGTTAATTTAAATTCGTTTGCTTTTTCAGTACTCGGAATTGAGTGATGGATTTGGATCGCGTGATTGTGGACATTTTAAATTCGTTCCCGAACGTAGGATATCGTTACATTAACGGCCAGTTAAAATCAGGAGGTTTAACAGTTCAACGCACGAGAATTCTGGCTTCTATGAGAAGAGTGGATCCTTATGGCATAGCCAACCGGTTTTTCCATTTTGTTCCTCGCCGCGTTTATTCAAATGCTGGACCGAACGCGTTGTGGCACATTGATGGCAATCACAAGTTGGTCCGCTGGGGATCTGCATCTACACGGTATTATTGACGGTTATTCTCGGACGGTTATTTCCCTCGTCGTTGCAACGAACAATCGGGCAAGCACAGTGCTGCAAGCCTTCCTCGTTGGTGCTGAAGCTTGGGGAGTACCGTCCAGAGTGAGAAGCGATTGCGGCGGTACAATACCATTTTTGCGCTTTTGTCAGTTTTGCGATTTTTGCTTTTCCTCAGTGTATTTTTCTTTTTACGAGTCGTCAATTCTCAGTAGTGAATGATCTTACTATTTTTTTCAAATTAGGAGAAAATTTCGGAGTTGCACGCTGGATGGAGCATTATATGGGGCCGAACCGCGCCAGTATCATTATGGGACCGTCAGTTCACAATCAGCGGATAGAACGGCTTTGGAGAGACTTGGGTCGCGTTGTGATTAAATTGTTTCGATCTATCTTCATTCACATGGAAAATATGCGAATTTTGGATATGACCAGTGCCCGCGACATGATGGTTTTGCACTTAGTATTCACGGAAAGAATTCAGGATAAGCTAAATAGCTTTATTTCCTTTTTTAATAACCACAAATTGCGCACGGAGGGCGAGAAGTCACCAAGGCAGTTGTTTGTTCTCGGCTGTAATCAGAAGGATTGAAAGGTTTTCCTCTGGAAGAAATCTTGTCGGCTGATACTGCCTGACGCCGACGTGGATGTCGCAGAAAATTTCCGCAGTACTTAAGAAATCAAGTTGGCCATTCCAGGGATTCTGTCCCGGTGTGCGATATAATCAGCCGCTTCCCTGTTGAAGCTCAGTTAATTCGGGCTAGTATGGATCTGATGCGGGATGATGGGTTTCATGGAATTCAGGTTTTGCGAAGCAAAGGAAATGTTACAACATTATTTTGGATAAAGGTAGATATGACAAATCAGTGTATCCGAATTTTAGAAAACCCGTGGTGTTACTCCGTTGATATTACTGATACCGGCAGAGTTAAAAGCGATAGTTTAGATGGAAGAAGTGAGCTTTATGTCATAGTAAGTGAGCGTTGTATTTACTGCTTCTGCCGAATTTAAGGTTTTGTAAATTCTGGATGTGTTGTTTTATCGTGAAGGCGCAACGGCCTGTTGAAAACTAAACATACGGCGAGCATATTAAGTGAAAAGGCCGCTGCGCTGACAGAAAAGTCTAATTTAATACAGTAGTAACTATTACTGCGCATTAAATTTAATACAGTACGCCGCCTCCTGAAAATGTGCCGCCGGTATTGACGACACATAAAATCCGATGAAGTGCTATTCCGTACAGGCTGCTATTAAAATTTACGTCTATAAAGTATGATACATTCACGTGCATTATTTTATTGTCGGAAGTTTTATGAATTGATCCGGTTTGTTTCTGGTCTCATTCAGCTGCGTTAAGGAGTCCGGCATCCCTGCACGCACGCGGGATCGGTTGACGTGGATCACGCTGCATCATTTATCTTCCCATGGCTATGAAGATCGGCAGATGAACAAGCGACGACTCTGTCAGCTGACTGGCATCCAGGATGATTTGCGGGCAAGTTTTGCGGCCATGAAGGTACCATTTCTCCGCTGATGATTTATTTACTTTTGTATTATAGAAAATTCTGTGCCTAAAAGTGCCTTTTGAAACTTGAGATGATTGTGGTTGAAATTCTGATGTACTTTTAGTACACCGTTTAATTAATTCTTTGTAAATTTCAAGTATAACAAAACATTGTAAGGTTGCACAGAGGTTGCGAGTATTGTTGCTTGCTACACGTACAACGCTTTGTCTGTACTGTGGAACTTTTAGTACTTCAGTACGGCGTTTTGAAATATCGATATTTGATACTGGTTAAGGCGTTTATGTTTGACAAATTCACTTTGCTCAGGCCATCGCCATAGCCACCAAACTGAATCCCCAACAGCGTGCGGAAACAATCAAGGGTATTTTAAATGACCTTGACCGAGGCCAAGAGGCCCAGAAAATTCTACAGACGTTCGGCATCAAAATTAGTAAAGAATTGCTACGTATGCCTGGGCGAGTGTTACAGCGCGAACAGCTTTATCTGTGGTCAATCACCAAATCCCGTTACTGTTCCGGAAAACGGCGACTGGACGCGTAATACGACCGGTGGAAAGCTTATGGATCCCAGAGGGCGGAACATTGGACCTTGATTTTCGAAAAGCGGGACCAAAAATGCGGAAGATTCTGCTCGCGCCTTCCGTGACGCCAGTCAAAGTCTTGGCATGCCGCTCGGAAATCCTCAGATAATGATGCTAACTGCCGATCAAAACATCACATATGCCCGTAGCATTGCTAAAGCCGCGGTGGAAAACGAAGTATAATATTTTTCTCTAATAATTAAACAAGTTTTTCTATGGATATCACAGTTCTAAACTTGTTTAATCGCTTCGCAGGTCATTATGAGTCGTACACTGGGAAGGTCAGATCGTTTGCGCGCATTTGCGCAGAAAATCGCTTTGCAAATCAATTGCAGGCTGGGTGGATCCATTTGGCATGGCTAAAATGCTGACAATGTAAGGCTAAATCTGCTTTTATGAAGATAATGATAACAAATTTTGTATTGTTAATTTGTTTTTCAGAAGAAAAGATCCAATGAGTCTTGTGGTGATTGGAGTGGACGCCTGTTACGACATCAAACGAAGAAAAGATTCGATCGCAGCTTTGGCTAGCACGGACGACGATTTCACGCACTGGCATAGTCGTTGTAACTTTCAGCCACCAAAAACGGATTTGGCATCAGGGTTAAAGTTTTCGTTCGCTTGTGCAATGATTTCGTATGCAAGGGTATGAGCGTTTTAGTAGAACATAAGAGATTTGACTTTCTCAGACGTTTTGCAGGTAGTCCCGGTCAATGCCGTTGATTTATCAAGACCAGTCCATTTCGGAATCTCACATCCATACTCGGAAACACTACAGTATTTTTGATGAAAGTACAGTATTGCTGACGGAAGGTCTTGCATTTTTCTTGCGTGCCGTGTATTAAATTATGATTTTATTTTCGTGTTGATATTAATTTATGCTTAAAAAAGTACCTGTTAAGTATCTCATGGTCAGTCAGCGGTTACGATACTCGTACTGCCGATTACGTTATCCTGTACGTTACCACTACCGTAAAGTCCATGTATTATTTTCCATGGCTGTATGCATCGGATTGTCTGAATTTGTGAATGTTTACTTTTTTGTTATGCTGTTTTAATTGTTGTGCAGGTGTCTCACAAGCAACAGCTGGTCATTCACGGCAACGATCGGCATGAGTTCTGGGAATCTGTTTGCGTGTCGGATGTTAAAAAGCAACCGGAAAACAGCGGCACATTAAGTTTGTTATCCAACGAGAGCGGTGGCATCATTGATGATACGGTGCAGATGAACACCAGTCACGGACATCTCTTCGTAGTTGTTAACGCCGGTTGTGCGGCAAAGATCTAGAATATTTAACGAAAAAAGTCTTGGACTTCCAGAAGAAGGGGAAGGGTGCTCAAATGGGCATCGTGACTGTGCAGGAAAGAGCTTTGATTGCAGTTCAAGGTTTGCTGTAACGGAAATCTGTATTCATAATTGCTGTTCAGGTTCAGTTGACTTATTGCACGTCTTTACGGGTTACGGATTATATAAGTGAGTTCTCACGTTCTGTTTCAGCATGACGACGTTTAAAAAACTGTTAAAAGTATGTATTGGCATGGAGTTATCATATTATCGATAAAAACAGACTTTTTGTCAGTATTGTACCTATTCGGCATTATGTTAAAGAAAAATCTGCTTTGGTTTTCGTTCGTTTGATTCGAAGTTACGGTCAGAGTGACACTTAACCTTTTGCCGTATATATGTCCTTTTTTCTCTGATTAGAACCGGAAATGTCAAGAGTTATTCAGCCCGGCTTAAAGGATTCGTTGGATAGCTTGGAATTCCTGCAGACTACGTTTTGTACACTGTACGGATTTGAGGGATGTCGAACTACCAAATGCGGCTACACCGGCGAAGATGGCGTTGAGGCACGTGCTTAGTGCTTACACTATGGACGCTCTAGTGTTCCCATGCATAATTCAAACTTCAGATATCCTGTCTTTCCATGGACGCTCTAGTGTTCCCATGCATAATTCACTATGTACGCTTTAGTGTTCCCATGCATAATTCAAACTGCAGATATCCTGTCTTTCCAAAGATGCTGCGCCTTTATGTGATATATTGTTAAAGTCGCATGAAGGGCAGGTACGAATGGCTGGTTTGGGAGCCAGGGATTCACTCCGGCTGGAAGCCGATCTGTGTTTGTCCGGAAACGATATTAACGAACAAGCGACACCGGTAGAAGCTAACTAACCTGGACGATAGGTAAACCTATTAAAGCAAGCAAAAAATTTCAAAGTATTCCAAAATTTTTTTAATTGTTGGAAATATATGCGTAATTGTAGGAAAACGCCGTCGCAAAGAGGGTGGAATTCCGGGTGCAGAGAAAATCCTTCCCCAAATCAAAGGGGGGTGCAGAAGAAACGTGTTGGAATTATTTCCACTAGAGCACCTGCCCGAAGTATGAAAACTTGCGGGCATATTACGCATGACATTGTATGGATGTGATTTATCAAGGATGTGGTATCGTTTGCATGTCATCCCAACAATGCTTTTGCAAACTTGGAGTTTGTCCGTAAAATGTGGAGGGAAAAGTTTCGAAAATGCCTTTTGTGGAGGCAAATTATTACCATGCCAAAGGACATAAACAGAGCTAATGTCTGGCGTTACAGTATTACAACGCGCTAAGCAAAAGTATGTAACTGGCTGACCTATGATTCCGTTATGTTTTTGGTTTCGCTGTCGTTCGTTTTTTAGCCTGTGCAAGATAACGGGATCGTCATAACTGCATTGTTATAACTGCACTCGTTTTTTTGTTACTAATTGTTAGTTGTTTGAGTTAATAATCCTATGCGCAAAAAAACCAAAGGTCCATAGTTGTATTTGACCGGCGGTTAGCTTCATTTGCCGCATAATGTGTTGAATGCATTGCAAATAAAATTCTACCTGTTTTTTTACAAAGCGCATGATGTTATTGCAGAAAAATACTTTGCTGAATCCTAAACCAGGAACCGTGTGCGATGAAGGAATTACTCGCCGGGATATGTACGATTCCTATCTTGTGCCGCAAAATGTGCGTGAGGGGAGCGTATCACCGGTTCGTTTCATTGTGTGCTGCCAGCCGCCGGAACCGAGGTTGACCGTGGATGACATCCAAGGCTTAAACTGACCGACATGTACTACCACTAGACACCGGAACTATTCGTGTGCCGGCATCTTGCATGGTACGTTCGGAATAATATGTTTCATTTCAGATCGTAGTTGAAATCAATACGCTGTTGATATTTGCAGTATGCCCGAAAATTGGCGTACCAGAGTGGAGCATGCTATGAACGCAGCAACCGGACACAGCGCTGCTGGAAACATTATTTTATCTGTAAACAGCTGAAATAAGATCCCGCATGGTAGAAACGGTGTGATTGTATTTTACGGATGTGAGTTCGCCATGCTGGATGATTTGCGGGTAAATTCTGCGTCGATGAAGTACTTCGTATGTCAATTCGCCTCTGCTGATTCATTTTACTTTTTTCCTCAAAAATCGTTTCACACGAAAGTTTGTTGTCGAGAATAATACGCGTACGGTAAAAATCTGCAGTGGAACACGACTAATGCGCGGAAGCCTTTGTTTTATGCCGGCCAAAATTTGCAGACAAATGATTTGCGAGCGGCATGGAAGATCTAAGTTACCGCATGTGGGCTGTCTGTTCTTGTTCCCACCTGCATGCCGCTGTAAGCTGCTGAGGCGCCAATGGTTATTTATTCGCAGCTTGCTCGTAGCTGGTCAGTTATTGCCACGCCTTACGCATGGGCTGCTGTAAGAACTGTTAAAATCATTTTAAGCGGCAGATTCAGATTAATTCACATCATTCGGTTTCTTTTAAAGTGGAGCGTAGAAACATCGAATTTTATCTAATTTTCGTTGACAAAACATTTTTTCGTTTTGCGTTTCGTGTGTGTGACTAAAATGGTTGATTTTAGCTATAAATGTGGGGTAAGAGATTGCCCATGTGTGATCCCATTAAAGGCTGACATCGATTTTTCCTGGAGCGGACCGTTGGGCGGGCTTAAATGCAGTGTTTTTGGATGTAATCACGAGTACGGTCTGCATATTCGCTGTAGTTTATTGGCAGCTGTTAATCCCGAATTGAATTCAAACATGGGAAACTCCGCTAGCCATCGCCCCTTATGAATGAAAATGAAAATGCTGCAAGTATCACCGGATCCACAACTACAGCCCAGCACGCTGCTATCAGCCCGCAAGGAAGCGGAGCACAAATTGTTCAGCCGCCAGTTCCTGGAAGCAGAGCTCAGGTTTTCACAGGAAATGCGGGGCAGGGTCAATATCAAGCCTTTAATATGGAACCTTACGGCTTGGGAAGTAGTTCAGTACAGCCATTGCGAAACTTCCAGCAGCGTGAGTTGCCATGGAGTACATTTGGCGGTGGACAGCCAGGCATTCCAAGAGCACCGGCACGTGGATCTGTACCACCTGGATTTTCAAGCAATTCGAATGTAGGAATTTCATCTTTGCCGGTCGGCAGTGGCCGGGGCGGCCGGCGAGGCCGTGGTGGGCAGCAGTATGCAGTCAAACGACCCAGAACGGAGGAATTTCGCTCAATGACCAGTTCAAACCAATTCGGACAGCCAGTGAATCAGAGGCCAGTAGTACACCGTAAATATCCCATGGAGATTTACTTTTTTCGTAGCGCCGAAGGAAATCAGATTCCGTCCCAGCGAGTGGGGTAAGTTTTTGAATTTTGTGGGTGTAAGGGTTTTTTATTTGAGCAAAATTAAAACCTTAAATATTTGTCCAGTTTTAATTAAAAAATAAAATGTTTGTACGCTAGTTAGTTTTTAACGTACGTTTTATGTTTGAAATGTATACGTTTTTTTATAGTGATGTTATTTACAGCGAATATCAGATGGAACTAGATTTCATGCGGAAAGCGGGACTAATTCGGCAAGTTGAGTTTGACGTACTGGAAGGACGTCACATCTATACAAAAATTTCCGAAGCATTTGGCGATTGTCTTGGCAACCAGGAATGGACGTTGTTGAGCCGACTTGATGAGCCGGGAAAGCTAAAGAGTCCGTTTATTTGGCCAACAGATTTGGATGTTTTATCTCCATCTTGGGCGGATCAAGACTTGTACGTACGAAGTGAAAAATGTTAAACCGTTAATTTCGCATAAAATATTCTGTTGGTTTGAACTGTCGCGTACGATTTTTAGATACACCGAGAGGGCCCTAAACCAAGCGCGAAGACGCATGTATATCGCTCTAGCTCATGGTACACTGAATATCCCGCGGGAAATTTTTGAGGAATTTGCTGCGGTAAATAGTTTGTATAAACAAAACGATATGACGTATGCCGCTGTGATAATGTGTGTTTACAGGATCAAGGAAGAACTGTGGAAGAACTGGATTTACGAAACGTTCCAAGTAATAAATACATCCGAGGTTAAAACTATATTGCTATCGTTACTAAAAAAGACTTTTCCAGCTGGTATCACAAATTCCCGATCCCCTTTTGGTCTGCGAGAAACATCCCGTGCTTCTACATCCGCCTTGGGGAGTGCCTCCCGTGCTTCTACATCCGCCTTGGGGAGTGCCGGCCGTGCTTCTACATTCGGCTTCGGGAGTGCATCCAGTGCATCATCCGGCTTCGGGAGTGCATCCAGTGCATCATCAGGCTTCGGAAGTGCCTTCGTTGCTTCTACATACGGCTTTGGAAGCGTGTCCGCATCAAGGAATTCCTTTCGGGGACGGTTAGACGATACTTCTCCGTCTCCACCGTCTTCACCGGATTTGCCTCGCCGTCGTCGCGGTCGATTAATGTTCAACGATAGTGCTTCTGGTCGTCAATTAAGCAATAACGTCATCGTACTTGGTGACTCGGATAACAGCGAAGCTGAAGAGGAGAAGAAGAACGCTGTCGCGGCCAGTAGTGCCGCAGTTACAGAACAGGTTATTGGCTTTGAACAATTAAATCGAACAAAAATTTATGGTTTTTATTTCGCAGATTATTGAAGTCGCTGAATTTCCTGAAGTTGATCCAGGCGCAAGTGAAATATCGATTGAAAGCATGAGATCTCGGCTGTGCTTAAAAGTTACCGGTCAGCGACCAATGGTCAAATCCGACATCGTATTTGTTTGGATTAAAAGAAGCAGCAACGTACAAAATTTTATCGACTTTTACTATGCGCGTGCTGATGGTTTGGCTTATGGCGGAAGAATGGAAGTGGAAATGGATGAGTAAGTGTAATAACTTTGCTTTTCAGTTTGAAGATTTTTGACATGTACATAAGCGCGCTACTGTAACAGACACGGGCTGTAACTTGTGAGATGTATTATGTAGTTTATGCACCGGTACTGAAAACTTTATTAAAATACGCCGTGTTAAAGATAACATGCACACAAAAAGTTTATTCTTGTAGTGCGTCGGATTGGGACGGGCCTTTCAAAGAATGTATCACGGAGCTTTTGGAAGGGTTCCGCTCGTACAAGATTCCGGATGTTGATATTGATTTATTCGAAGTGACTGATGGGATTACTTTGATAACCGGAAAAGCGATTACAACAGAAGGAGGTATCTCGGCTTTGCGGGCATTTGGATTTCTTCTGCGTGAAGCAATACTTCATGGGAGTCCGTTCCCTCAGTGGTTTAATAATTCCGCTTTCCGGTACGTTCTGAACTTGCCAGTAGAAGTGAATGACATTTTCCGCTTCAACGTTGGAACCGGCGATACCATCAAGGACATCCTATCGGGCACGGGGCCGATCGTCTGGGCAAATGAAACATCCTTGCAGACTTGGGCAGAGAATCATCCAGCTTTCCCGGTAAAATTCGACGAAATTGCCCTATAATATTAAATTTAAGAAAATTGAACAGCTAACAACGTCTCTAAATTGTGGATAGCACTGAAATGTTGTATTGCAGACTGTTGCGTTGGTGCAACAAGGACGCCAGAAATTGTGTCGACACATCGCCGAGTATGAACTGTGCGGGAAGCGAGCCTCTAATTTGAAATATCTAAGTGAAGGTTTGCTGGCCGGAACGATGGGAAAGGTATGAATCACTGTTTTTGGTTCCTTGTGATTTCCCTTACTTGCAATAAAATCGTTGTAGGAGCTGAGAGAAATACGTGCTCAATGGAAATTCTTCGAGAAAAGCCTTTATCGAGAATTCGAAGAAGTAGACGATTTGCTGGAAGAGTTTCTGCCGTACAATGAACATGCCGAAGATATTAGCGATGAATTGATGGCTGAGCAGCTGCAGATTGTGAACTGGTTTGATGAAATTGTCAAACACGACCTGAGCCACCATGAACGACGACAACTGCTCCGTTTTGTTACTTCCGGGTACCGCATTCCGGCCACTCCGAAAATCGCAATTGTTTTTTCCGTTGGACGAGAAGAAGAACGTCGCCCTCAGGCATCTACGTGCAGCCATAAGCTTATGCTGCCCGTCGGATGCGAGTCCAAGGACAAACTGCGGCTGCACCTTCGCGAGTGCATTTTATCTGTGGACAGCGAGATGGCGGGATTTTTCCAGATAAAATGAACAACGTGTAAGAGAAATTTACTTTATTAATGACTATTTGAATTTTTAACACCTCTAATTCAACCATAAATCACATAATTAAATTAAATTATTGCTAAATCGCTGTATTTTTTGAGGGATTGTTAAGCGGTAGCTGGGCAGTCGTGTGGAGTGAGAAATAACGGATTTGTTTTCGTTCCTGATTTGGGTGGAATAATCAACTAAATTTGGATCCGACTTGAATGGATTACGGAATATTGGACTTCATTTAGTTTTGCAACATGCTGTTAATGGCTTTAATAACCGTTAAGTGGAAATCTGTTTGGTTTTAAAGGAAATTCTCCAGCACAATTTGCTGGCCGCATAGCATATGAATAGCCGCATGGCATTTGAGTACTAGTTCCTTCGGCAACGGGAATGTTTTTTATGTTCCAGCGTAATTAATTTCAATAATTTGTTATCCGTGTTTCATGTTATGATGGAGAAACTGAACTGATTTTGATTAAACGCGATGTTCGTCAGCCGAAAAATCTGTTACCGGCTACTCGGAGCCAACTGCAATATTTCCCACACGAGACTTTCAAACTTTTAACCGGTACCTATACTTAAATAACATCTATTATCACTCAAGTCTTAAGCGCGCAGCCCACCTGGATCATGATCTGTTCGGCTCATATTAAAACCATCTAACAAATAAAATTGACAGAATTAGGTATGTAAAACACAATTGTAGTAAAGAAATCATTATGACAACGGAATCAAATGCATCAAGAAAACTTCCTCGAACTGAACACTTCGATAACTGCGGTAATCGGAAATAGCAATCCATTCCACACGGTGCCCAGTTAATGACCGACCTTCCCCGCACCTGGCTGCAGTTCCATAGCACGTCTCAATTCATCAAAAATAACTAATACAAGTGCACCACCAACGCCACGGAACATGTTGGACAGGGCGCCCATAAAGAATGTCGGGAAACCTTAATTTTTGGCAATTTTCATCATGGCGTCCAGTGAATTCTTGTAGAGAATTTCGTTGCCTGCCGACTGCATCATCACGCGTCGTCGCACGGTATCCCACGGATACCTAAAGCACAAACAAAATTCAGAAAACGTACTAATAACGGAGCTGAGTTAGAATTATGCCATAAATTCGGCAAACGCCGTGACGGTGAGGGCGATCTTAAAGTTAAGCATGATGGGCACTCTGCCTTCTTTGAAGTAAATTTTAAATGTGTCAGATACACCAAAATATGCAGCTCGATAAATAAATATTCCCTGGACGGAAACGTTGAAGCTGCGATACAAGGCGCGAATGCCATCGGTTTGGTAGGTTTTTCTCATACAGTTTCATAAACCAGTGAACTTACGAGTCCCCGCGTTCTCACTGACATCCACTCCTAAAAAACAGCTCATTTCAAACGTAGTCAGCCAGTCAGCCAGCAATTCCATGCACGTCCGATCTACTGTACTAAACTGTTGAAATCTTTTTGCAATACTTTTGTTCAACATTTGTGTTTGTTGTTCAAATTCCAAAATTCTGAGATTAAATTATGGAAATCACATAACATTACACAACAAATGACGTCAATTCCGAAAAACACTGTTGAAAGCAGAAAGAGGGATTGGAACATACGTCTTAATGTAATTAACTCGGAAATCCAAGTTCTACACTATAAGCTGGTATAATTCCATAAATCTATTAATTTTAAAAAAATAATTCAGTTACTCGCAATAACGGATAATCAACAATTTCGATCCGGTTAAATGAAACGAAGAACTAAACTTTCTCGCAAAGAACCAGTCAGTATATAGTACTCGTACAAGTACATACCAAGCCGAGTTCGGGCAAAATCCAAGGTAAAACCAGCGACGTCATACCAGCTGCACCCCCGGCCAGAACATGCCCAAGAAGGAGTAGAAAAACTGTTTATTCTTGTCAACGCCCGACAAGAAGATGCGCTCACATTGGCCTTTAAATGCAAAATTCAAGGCTTGCGTGGGGAAATACCGAATGACGTTGCCCCAGTTACCACATCAGAAATTGATTTATCCCCGCTCCTCCAAATACAAATGAAAGCGCCCATCTTGCCTTTATAGCGCTGCTGCTTTCTATAGTCTTTCTGCACCTGTTTAATGAGCTTGACACGCTCTAACGGGGCTACAGCCGTTTTGGAAATGGCTGCGGCAATTCCCCCGGTCATAAAATCCTTGAATACTGCTGTCGCATCCATGATGAAGGTATCAGCTACGTCAAATTATCCGAGGGAGGAACCAGCGATATGCAGTCCTACGAAAATATAAAAGTACGGATGACCACCTGCGGCGGCCGCTGTCTGTATGCACAAGCAAGTTTACAGTGTCAAGGGGGATACACGCTGCACACGCAGTCATTCAAATCAATTTAACAATGACGAAAAACCTCGCAACTTGCTCAAAGATGTTGTCCAAACTAGTACTGTAGCAGAAAACGCAACAAATCAGATACCTTGCAATCCTTATCGTAAGCATGGCAAGGTTTACGATAAATTGTTTATTGTAGGCTTTTACGACAATTCGATTAAACGCAGGAGCACTAGTGTTACTTAAATTTTAATAAAACGACACGTAGCGAAACCACTTACAATCAAGAGACAACCAGTGGCAGAAGGTCTGTAGTCGTTCCTGCCGGCCGACTTATTTTCAAATTTCGAAAAACTTTAACCTGTTTAATTTTTACGCAAACCTTAACTTTATGGTTCTTCATTTTCAACACGCCCACAGAAAGTCTTTCACGCCTTCAATCTCAATCTCGTCCGAATCCACTGCAAGCATAACGTCCTTGCGCGCAACAACTTGAACAAGACAAAATCATCGTGTAAATAACTGTATCGACCACGCAAGCTGGCTGCACACCGAAATGCAGCGATTACGAGCACGATGCAAATCCTCAAGTTTTCACAGACCTTTTTAAACTTTTCCACCATTTCTGGGCTGAATTTACCGCAGCCTGCCTTCAAGCTGCAACACAAAATAAACCGTTTTAAAAAATGAATTTAAAATCATTACTTAATTTAAATGATTACTAATTTCGGATCGGTGCACTTACTTTAAACTTTCCAGAAAAGCAAAATTCAACGGAATGCCGTCATGCACTTCGGCCGACTGGTTCTCCGGAACAGTCGCAGATGCGGCAGATAACGAGGAAAACACATCTGCAGGCTGCAGCAAATTCACATCCTGTGGTAGACGAGGTTGAAACATAACAGTAGCGGATCCCACATCAGCCTGTTTCTTCTTTTCTGCCAGTTGTGCGAGTTTCTTCCCTTTCTCTCGGCGATTCTTGAACCAAGTCCAAACTCCTTTTTTCCCGTGGCTTCCAGGTTGGCCGATTTTTTCAGCGATATGCGCGCGGGCCACGGAATAAGGAATTTTCAGCCCTCCATTATAATAAGCACATAATATCAAGCTCTGCTCAAGGCTGAAAATGCTCTTTAGTGGTGTACTGGCGGATTTTTGGGTTCTCCAGAACTTCTCCACCGGCTTCCATTTTCCAAATGATAAATCAAATGACTGCCACATGAATCAAAATATTCCTAGAAAACCCAAGAAATGGGAAGAACGGGAAGAATTCAGTTTTAAAAAGCTGGGCGCATATTCGCAAGTACAGTACTGTAAAGTGTAAACAGTAAAACTAGCACAGCGGAATGGCAGACACAGATGACTCAGCATTTAGTGAGTCGAACGTGCTGAACGAAACCACAAGTTCGTAATGCCTTTTCCGGTGCACAAGGCGCCAGTTACGTTACTAAATCACCACATTCCAATCATCACTTTTACATCAGGAGTTTAAGCTCACCGCTTTTGAACTCACCACTCTTAACTTACCGCCCAGAACTCACCGCATATAAATCACCGATTAACTCTCACTTTCACATCCCCATTTTCTAATCAACACTAATTTATCAGCAGTTATTATTCACTAATTATAGATCACGGTGATCACCACTCATAACTCATCACTTCACGTTATTTTAATTTTGCGCGTTTTGTACGCCATACTGTACATATGTAGTACTGTAGTGACTGTACTTACTGCTTTGCTTGTTTATGTGACCCAAATCGGAATCCGACGATAACTGTTCAGGTAAAGCTAGGGAATTGGGCGGTAGGACGATAATGTTCAGAACCCAACCTGGGAGTGCACTTACCTGCAGAATATTAAAAACGGAATGTGCACGGCATTAACGATAAAATAAATCAACACAACCTAGTGAACCTACATTATTAATTTTATTTGTTACGTACTTATAACTTATAAGTCGGTGGTTGTCCAATTGTCAGCAGTTATTAGTTAATTTGTTACCGAAAATTTTTATCTGGAAACCGAGATCTGCTGATTAGGAATTCGAATTTTTCAATGATCCCGCATTTTTCACTGTAAATCAGTAAATGTGACCTGCTGTAGTTTCTGTTTCGTTAGCAGATGATGCTCTTGAACACCAATCTTAACCTCAAACCGAGGTACCACTTCGACCAAGATAATTATGTTTTAGAACCAAATCATGTTCGACATCAAGCGAGGGCTAATGATAATGACCCCTCATTTTTTTTCTTATTATTAGGATGAGATTCGCAAGGTAACCGAATACCATAATATTATGTTGTGGTGCTTGTAATTCAGCGAATTCACATGTCTCACATCATTTGTTTGCAACACTGCTTAGCTAGTTGCAAATTGCAGCGAGAAATAGCGTCAACTGGACGTGGAGGCGAATTCCTGTCCGTGAAATGTATTTCCCAAGTGGACTGGCTAAAGTTATCAGCACTCTCCCTCAAGAGGAGGATGACCAGTTTCAGTACATTTGCTGCAATCGCGAGAGGATATTCTGCTTGATTCTCAGAAAATACTCCATAGCAATATGGCAGCTGCGGGTAGGCAAGATGTGCTTTGTGTCCAGAACGACAGTTCTTGGCGTGCGTTCTACACTTGTGACTCGTGCATTCTCTGTTTCTGCTCGTGATTTTAACCTAAACATGACGATACATTCGCTACGCGTTTAACGAAGTGCGTTTTGCGTCGCACAGCCGCTTGTCCAGTTAACTGCCTACAGAAGATCGGAGATGTCCATACGAAATTTGGGACATAATGTCAGCGCGCTCTGGAAGCCTGACTCATCGGCCATCGTCGTACAAGTATTTACCTAAAATCACCAATTTTTTGCCGACTGAATGAGAAACTTTTTCTTTCAGACGGTGGAGATGGGATTAGTTTTTTTCGAAATCGATGCCGATATGTCCGATAATGGAAGTTATCAGCTGGAGGATGTGAAGTAAATACTGGGAATTCAGTTAATTAAAGCTGATACGCGGAGTGAGTTGTGTGGTGTTATTTTGTTCGGCAGAAACTCGAAACGGGTTTCCGATGAGTTATACGTAAAGGAGATGATCCCTTATATCTCGGTCGCGCTTACCGCCAGTATACTTGTATCCGGGAAGATTACGAGGTGATGCGAATCGTGTTTGCATCTACCGCTTCGTGCTGACGAAATCCTTGCTTTCCAGTTTGGAATCTCTGCGCGATCATGTGCTTGTGTCCACATCCGATGGGTTTATTCAGCGCATTCAGTGGGATGGATCTGTCAGTGAAAAAATGACATTAGTAGTGGATAGAATTCCATTTTCCGTCGATTTTCCGCAATCGAAAAGTGAGAGTAGTGTGAAATGGATTTTGCTCACGCATCTTTCACAGTGTTTTGCTACGCTGTAGAATCTTATCTGCCACGCAGCTCCGTTCATGTGGTTGATATGGATTATTCTTTCCTGTTGGGGGGATTTTCCGTCGTGTTTTCAAACGGCCGCGGAGCTTTGCTAACATCTACCCATTCCGATTTTATTCCGGATTCTGTGTATTGCGTATGGGTGCCATCTGAGTCGACATCCTTTACATGCACCGCAGTCAACCACAAATATCGACTCATGGCTTTTGGTTGCGAAAAGTATGTGTTGCCTTTTGGCGTTTATAAACTATGTGTGAAACGTTGTTTTGCTTCCTGCAGTGCACAAGGAGCATTATACAGTATCGAAGATCAAACGGAAGGCATTCAGCTGACACACAGACTGCAGCTGCTGGACAAAGACTGTCCGGATATGGTGGGCGCGTGTGGCCCCGTCGTTGACATGAACTGGACGCCCGATGGCTGCGCTCTGGCCGTCATCTGGAAGAACGGTGGATTTTCAATATGGAGTGTATTTGGAGCACTCATGACGTTCTGCTTATCCGTTGCTCATGAAGGTTTATCCCGGACAATCAAAGCTCTGGTAAAATACTCAACGAATCCCATCGTGTAGATACACAATTTTTTATGGATTTAAAAATCTGTATTTCAGGACTGGGGCACCGAAGGTTATTCCCTGTGGCTAATGGATCCTAAAATCGTTTTTACATACAGCTTTTTGAAGAGCGCCCTTGCGATGAACAATTGTTCTGTAAGAAGTGTAGTTTTGCAGTGATTACCTTGTTTACAGTATTTTTTTATAGACAAACCGAATGTACGTATTGCTGCAAGGAGAGCAGTGTCTGTATTTGAACACGGGAGACCGTGTGGTTTCTCCACCCCATGGAGCAGTTGTGAGTTCCGGTGATTCCAGCTATAAACTCTTCAGCAATAAAGCATGGACTATTATACAAGTATTTGGAAAAGAAAATTTGCTCTAATTTTATGCTTTTAAGAAAAATGTTGCAGTTGGCATATCGTTACCTCGCTACGAATTGTCCTTTGCGCTACGCTGTTGTGGACGCAGATGCCGAAGCCATTGCGGTAGCGGGACGGTTCGGCTTAGCCCATTACTCCGTTTCTAGCCGGAAGTGGAAAACGTTTGCCAACGATACTGCTGAGCAGCTGTTTGTTGTCACGGGGGGATTGGTGTGGTGGAAAGATTTTATTGTTTGTGGATGTTACAACACAAAAACGGAAAGCGATGAGGTAATAATGTGATTGTTAATTAATGTCTTAATGCCCTTGGGAATTTCAGAACACGTTTTTATCCAGTTTTTGAGTCTAGGTGCGGTTTTATCCAAAAGGGAAACAACTGGATCACAACTCGGCTGTTGTTTGGAAATCCCAGGCTTCAGTTATTTCATTGAATATTTTTCGGGATATACTGATTATATTTTCCGGTGATTGGATGCTGACTTTGTGCAGTTTGGAAAGAAAACAAGCTGACAGTAAGCGTGCTTAAATGCCCGCGATGTTAAGATTCTTATAGTGACTGGTTTTTCGTTTCAGCTCCAAGCGTTTTGATTCGGATCTTGCAAATTATCTCTGTGGAAAATATAGCTCCTCATCCACATTGCGTCGTATCTGTTGACTTAACACCTTTACGCACCGAAGCCGGTAAAGTGGTTGCCGTAAGCATGCAGCTTTTCGGCAGCAATATCGAAGTATTATCTTTAGGACAAAGGAAGCACCCGGGAACACGGGAAGCTGAAAGCCTCTTGATAAATGTTTGCGGACGTTTATGGATAATTCAACGAGAGCCAGATCTTAAAGCCGATATGAAAACTGAATCCCGGGATTCGGTGGTACGGACTTTGTAGTAGCGACTGAATTCATTCAATGAGCCGATTCATTAACATTTTACAATATCCGCAGAATAATATCATTACCCCAATGTTACTATCGTCGTGTGTGGAAATGCTCTGGGTTTATCCGGGTTTAACTCCATCCAGAGAGAAGCCACAATTAAGCGAAGCACTTTGGATGTTCTGCGGAGCACATGGAATGAAGGTTGTTGGTTGAAACATTGTTTGATTTTTTCAAAGGTACATCATGCTCCTGAATGTTAGGTCTGGGTTCCTTTGTTTTCCAAAGAAGTCAATAAGAGGACAGCCTTTCACTCACGCAGAATCATGCTACCGAATCGATTGAAAATTTTGCCGCTGTGTGTGTTATTTGACGAAGCTATGGTACATGGAGCGGAAAGCGACTTCATGTTTGACTCTTGTTCAGTCGATGGAAAAAGCATATCTTTACCGGCTTTCACAGTTCAGAGGACGGTAAGCGTCGAAGCTTCTCTTTTTTACCAGAAATTTTGAAGTAATTACAACAGATGATAGTTTCTTTTATTATCCCATTTTAGAGTGAAGTATATTTGCCACAAGTTTTAAGGCAGCTTCTCCGCAAAAATTTGGGTGCTCATGCCTTGGATATAGCTCAGACATGTACAAAATTACCGTACTTCAACCATTCATTGGAATTACTTTTGCATCAAGTGCTGGAAGAGGAGGGCACGTGTTCCGAACCTATACCTGATCCTTTGCTGCCGAGTGTGGTGGCGTTTGTGCAAGAGTTTCCGGTCTTTCTGCAAACTATCGCTCACTGTGCGCGGAAATCAGACATTGCCCTTTGGCCTCAATTGTTTGCGGAAGCTGGAGAGCCCCTTGATCTGTTTCGGGAGTGCCTGGATTCCAATCAGTTGAATATTGCCGCTTCATTCTTGATAATTTTGAATAATACGTTGAGCGTCTCTTCAGTTAAAAAACAGGCTTTGATCCTCCACGATAGAGCTAAAGCGGATGACGACAGCAGTTTAGTACATGAGACGGTGCGATTTCTTCGGGCATTGGATCTTGAGGAGCAAGAGGGTCAGCGGAAGACTCCAGAGAATTTAAATTCCAGCAAGTCGCCAACCGGTTTACAGCATAGTGTGTCCGTGGGAGAAGGGTCGGACTATGCATCGCCTCTGTCACCGCAAGGCACATCGACATTCAAATACGGGCCGACGGTGCGGACCAGAACCACCTCGGAATCGGTTCAGAAAGCTGCAAATCTGAAGCGAACAAGTAGCGCACCCTTTGCCCGGGATGATATTATGCGATCAGTGTCATTGCTGTCCAGCCAGACGAATGGAACATCCGCTGAGAACGGCTCGATGGCTGATGTGGGAGAAAAAGTAGACCCTGCTAATCCGTCCAGTTCAGTGAATTATATGCATATTCCTGTTTCTTCTTCGACACCGTCCATGGTTTCCAAGCAGAAATGGAATCGACGCCGTTTCCCAGGCTACGCTCAAGCGAAACTTGATGGTCCACAGAATGCTTGATGTGTTTTTAAGTTTGTATTTCCGGTGATTGCCTCGTTTTATTTGTGAGCCATTATGACTCGTATCAATGTGTGTGTATTATAGTGTTTGGCTGATCAGTAATTTTATTTTCATCTTGGTGCTCCTGAATGATCATCGGCTACAAATTGATAGTTATTTTCAATAAAGAGTACGAATTATTTTTCCTTTTTCAGTATACCAGATAGACGCCTGCAATATGTGCACTGGTTGAGACAATAGGTAAAATAAGGGTCAAAATGTTGAAAATGAGTATCGCCCCTCTATGCAGGCCCGGTGCTATGGTCTGTCATTCTTCCATCCATTGTGTTAGTTAATATCCCTCAGCTAGTCAACTTATTATTGTCTATGCATTTGCAAAGGGTTCGGGACCTTTTCATGTTTGGCAGTTTACTTAGTTACATATTAATTTTGGCTTTTTTATTAGAAGAACCCTGTGCGCTAGTTGCAAACTCCTTTTTTTATTGGTAAGTTGGCGCTAGCTCCACTAACAGTACGATTGCCTCAAATGGCAGATACTAAATTAAAGGTTTTTGTTTCTTTGCGTAAGTGGTAGTGGCATAGAAACCACTTCCACGTCTGCTTCGTGTTTCTGATGACCCCGCTCTCTGCATTTTCCTGACACCAAATATTTTCACTTTTAACCACTCATGAGTTTGCAGTCTTGTCCTGAGAGCTTGGGTCACCGTTGGAAATAAACGTCCGGTGGCCGTAACTATTGCTGACCATCAGCATTCCTCTTATTGTTAATGCTGCCATATTCGCCATTTGGTGAAAGTGGAACCTTAAATTTCTCGCCACTTGAAGAGTGTTACCCATTTACGAGTGTTACCCATTTACGTAACAAATATATTCATACCGGCTTTTCTTACCACATTTGTAACGACCGTTACCGTTAGTTCCTGTGTGCCGCACGTGTATAGGCAGCATAGCCGAAACATGAAGCATATCATTAATTAGGCAGCATAGCCGAAACATATCATTAATTTTATCTCAACTTTCCACTAAACGCAACAAATTTTCTGCTCCTGACGAGTACGAATACAAACCCCTGCGATTCGTCGCCGCCGTTCAGACTAATAAAAGATAAAAATATTAAAAAGCTATAGGTAGAATCGTAGAAGGAAAAGGGTTCACGTTCACACATTGGAAAGCTAAAACGTCGAAACTCGGAAGCCATCTCCTTAGGGTGAGAGTCGCTTGAAATTAGTGTACCGTTGTTGGGCACTTTACTGGTCTTGGCCACCAAGCAACCATAGGTACTACTGGTTGTCAGCAGTAAAATTTATTCCCAGGTACTGTCAGTGTGATCGGTTTTGTCGAGGTACGCATTAACAGCGCACCCTGTCGACGCATTTGGATACTGTCTATGGATCGATTGTGAGTGTTTTCCCTTAAATTGTAATGGAGCTGACCGAGGAACAGAAGCAGCGGATAGAGAAGAATAAGCAAGAAGCCCTTCTACGACGTAAACAAAGCGAAGCCAGACTGCAAGCCCAGCGACAATTGTCCGCTGTCTCGATATCGACAGGACAACCACAACAACACCCTTCAGGACCGCCGCTCCCTCAACCGCGTCCTGCTTTTAGCGGACCGAGAGTACCATTTAATACTGTTCATTCAATCGCTCCGATCAGTACTGGCGTGATTGATCCTCTGGTCCGCCCCCATGCCTCAGCGTCCGCATCTTTTCCAAACGGATCAGTCACACAGTCTGTGGCGCCAGCACCTGTGCAGTTCAGACCGGTAACCGGTCCGCGACTGCCACAATGCTCGGATTATCCCCGACAGCCTCCTCCAAAACCTCTTCCTGTTCGCAAAGTCAAGGCATCGGCTGTGGTGACGTCGAAGAACCGTGTGGAAATCCATAGTCCATACTGCGCGCAGTTGATCGAAACGTTCAAGCGCTTCAAAACGAAGCAATATGACACAGCGAAACGCATCTGGTCGTTCGAATTCTCAGACTACGAGACGCTGGAACGGACGATCCGCACGGAGTTGGGGAATTATGTGGAGTTTGAAGGATTGGCGCGGTTTGTCGTGGATATTCTCGTCAAAGGCCGCCATAAGCGGACGCCCGCTCAAGATGTGGATTTGGCCGAGAAGATTCCCGACAGTCTGCTGCTGCGGTTACTGCCTTATCAAGTGGAGGGAGTCACGTTTGCTGTCAGAAATGGGGGACGGATTCTCTTGGCGGATGATATGGGTTTGGGAAAAACCGTACAGGCGATTGCGACGGCAGCGTACTTTAAAAACGACTGGCCTGTTCTGTGTCTTACTCCCAGTTCCGTGAGGTTTGAATGGAGAGAACAGTGGCTTAGGTGAGATGTTGCTGCAGTTATTTAATTTGGAAGGTTCAGAGATTACAGTATTTTTAATACAAATTCAGCATTACCGTTTTTTTGTAGTTGGTATTGTGTTTTTTTTTCCCGAATTAATAAGATACGGATAATTAATGTGAGAAAAATGTTTTGGGCTAAGCGAATAATGGATGATCAATTCTGTAATTTCTGTTAGCTTCTTCCGAAATTTTTTTTCAGTTGATAATTAACGAAAGAAAAAAATGAATATCGAATTTTAATAATGCAAACCTAAATTCTTGCTCTGCGTATTAGTTAATCATTCGATATTACTTTATAATTCGGTTGAATGCATCCTGTTCTAGGTGGATTCCAACGCTGAAACCGCAAAATATCGTCGTAGTGACGAACAGTAAACAGTCTGATCAGTTGGCGAATGCGCATGTTGTAATCACCACTTATGATCTCCTTGTCTCAATGAAAAAGCATTTTCTGCCCCACACATTTCCATTTCTGATCTGCGACGAATCTCATGCCTTGAAAAGTTATAAAGCTCAACGTACCAAAGTGGTGTCTGAAGTTGCGAAGAAAGCTGTCCGGATTTTGCTGTTGTCGGGCACCCCTGCTTTATCCCGGCCGGTGGAATTGTATTCCCAAATCGAACTGCTTGACCGGACCATTTTTAGAACATTCCCCGACTATGCCAAACGCTACTGCGATGCACACGTAGGAAGTTTTGGGCATATGGATTATTCGGGTATGTCAAATGTGGAAGAATTGCAATTGATTCTGGAGGCCACGGTAATGATACGCCGAATGAAGAAAGACGTTGCCAGTCAGCTACCCGACAAGACTCGGAGTATAGTGGTGTTGGATCCGGGGAAGGTTCAGTTCCCATCCGAGTTGAGCTCATCGGCAGAGAGTTTTCGAGAAATGCAGTCGCACTCAGCATCATATGCACAAATTCGCAAAACTCTGCTGACTTACTTCCAACATACGGGAAAAGCCAAGCTGCCGGCTGTCGTTGATTATTTAAAGGTGAATACTTACTTTTTTTATCTGAAACTTTTGATGAACTTTACGCTCCATAACTGCATTATATTGTTGTCCGGATTTTTGCTGTTACTTCCTTAGTAGACAATGCAAGCTGCATGTAAATTGCGATGTTCAAATTGAAAGTTTATAATGATGTTTGTTATCTTTCTGCAAGAATTTATTTTAATCTCCGAAAATTGTTGTGCCGTTAGGATCTGCTGGAGGAGAATAGTTCCTTAAAAATGGTAATTTTCGCTCATCATACGCAAGTTGTTAAAGAAATTCACGAATCCCTTGGCGGTGATAGCCACGGCATAACCATCGACGGATCTACACCGACCGAAACAAGAAAACATCTTTGCGACAAGTTCCAGCGCGATAACACATGCCGGAGTGCTGTGTTGTCCATAACAGCTTGCTGTACCGGCATTACATTGACGGCCGCTTCCTTGGTTGTCTTTGCAGAGTTGTATTGGAATCCCGGCATTCTAGTGCAGGCGGAAGATCGCCTTCATCGATTGGGTCAACAGAACAATGTTATGGTCAGGTGAGTAGCAGAAACATGTGATTTGTATCGGGGTCTGTGCCGGTTATATTAAGTACAGTTTCTGTTTTCTAATCATATTAGGTATCTTGTCGCGAAGCAGACGGCGGATGACGAACTGTGGCCATTGCTCAAAAGAAAACTGGAATTTTTGAACGATGTTGGTCTGAGCACAGACAATTTTAACAATATAAAAACTACAATACAGCATGCTGAGGTGGACTCAGCTAAACTGGAAAAAGCTTTGGAAGATGAAGGTGACGGCGAAAACGGGCCACCTTTCAAACGAACGCGGACAGACGAAAACATTGATATGACGGGTTTCGATAGTCCGATGGAATGAGTATTTTCCAATTCTTTTCTGAGTATGGAGTTGCTTGTACAGTTTTTAGTTTTGACTGGGAACAGAGTTAGTCGGGCAGAAAGGCGGATTGTGCATGTCGAATCTTACAAGTTCATATTTTCGCAATCAGCCCGCTGCATGCTATGGGTAGGATTGTTTTGAATTCTTATTGTACGAGTAAAATAACAACATCTCTGTGGAAATCATGTTTGGAATTGGAATGCAGATTTAAGCACCGTGTAAGCTTGTCAAGATTCACGACTATAGGAAAATTAAGAAAAACCGCAAGCGCTGATAGTCGTACTCATTTTTTAACGGAGTTAACAAAATAATTATACTGTTTCGTTTTCGGTTTATACGCCGCATCTCTGCAGTGGGCAGCAGTGCCACGTATTAAATTTTAATATGCAATTAAAATTAAACAACAAAGCAGAACTGCAGATATTTAACTCCGCTGACAATTGTGAATACTGTCAAATGCAACCAACAAATTCAGATTAAGAGCCAAACGAAATAAAAACATTGCAAAATCACGCACACGCTGGAATTGACGTCATACAATGCAATTTTGTGGAAGAAGTTAAAAAAGGTCAACCGTGAAAGCATTTCTGCAAGAGATCCAGAAGAGCGGGAGCAAAGCGTCCGACAATGAGTGAGTCCGTTTCCGGCACGGCTGTCGTGGTTCCCGTTACGCAGACTCAGCGGCATTCTGATGCGTTGATAGTGGTGGGCCGTGGCGTACGATGAATTATTAATAATGACTTTGATTTCTGCTAACACCTGCGCCATAATTCACAGCAACTTAGTATGAAATAAAAATGCACGGAACAATTCGGAGAGTTTGAAATCTGTCGACACAGTATGCTACGTAAATTAAGTACATAAATATTGTAAATAATAAACAAAGCAAACAACCGAGCACCTGTTGCACCGGTTCTAGCACCTTTATTGCATAATATTTGTCTTCACCCGTGTTAAAAGCTCACTTTTACCCGTGTTAAAATGACGTTTTGTAGTGAGTCAACGAAACTGGAGAATTATCGAGTGACAACCCCGGCCAAAGCTGGCATGCATATTTTAATCCTGAAAACTTTCGATGCCATGAGAACGTTACCAAAGAACTGCGCTGCTCCTAAAAATCGGGTAGCATTCAAGGAATACTGTTTAATCTAATGATAAAAGACAACTCCGCAACTCTATTAAAACTTATAATACTGCATGAAGGAAATAATCTAGTAAACAAACCAGTAAAACTATCAAACAATCGAATAATCAAACTGGCACACACAAAAGCTTTGTAATGTGGTGATGCACAACATTAAATACCATCGGTTCCTGTGCAGAAAACGGTAATCCTTCGGATTCCTCCCAACATTGTCGAGCTGCCCACAGTGCCCAGTCCTATCAAGCTAGCATCCCCGTGAAACTACAAAAATATTCAAATTATAAAAGAACTCTTTTCTCCGTTTTCTGGTTGTTTCCTTCTCCCTTCTCACAGCAACAACCACGGGTCTTTCCTAAAGAAAACAATCAAATGGGTGCCAGGTGTCGGACTAGCGGCTCTGGCCATCACTTGTGGCATTGGAACTGCTGGCATGGGCACTCCTTGCGCTATCACTTCGTTGAGGTGGTTGTGGAAAGCAGTGATCGTTCTGCCAGTGCAGCTTCGCACTAGTGTTACCAAATCTTTCAGGGTCGCCGTACTTTTTGCATCAAACTTCGCACACCACGTTCCAGCTGCATACTCTTTTTCGTACATGTATACAGCATGAAGAGGGTCCAATACTTCATCAGTCAGGTTCATCCGCAGCTTGAAAAATGTGGCATCAATGTGCTGAATCCTCGAAGGTCTGAAATTCCGGCGGAGCCTTTTGGAGTTGGCTGACTTAGCAGTGCCCTGAGAATCAGGGTCGTCAGAATCTAGATTGAGCGCAAAAATAAGAATCGGCAAATGATTCTCTCGACCTCCAACATGAACCAACATCCGCAGATGCCGAGACTCTTGCAGGGTAGAGTCTTCCACTGGCTCTCTGCTTGGCCAAATACATAATTCCCGCTTTTTCGCGACCAGTTCGGAACACCAGAGGGCGTCAATAATATCTTGGAAGTCTTTTTTCCAACTGGCCTTCAGAAGAAATGGTCGGTGTGAGTCCTCATGTGCCAAGAAAACAACAAGCACCGCATAATCGCTGCAGTTGGCTTTGATCAAGGACATCTGATCGCTGTACTTGCAGCTGATGATTTCACCTTCCGGGAAAATCAACGTTATCCGAGAATCGTTCTGATCTTTATCCATTTGCAACACCTGAGCGGCCATCATTACTTTCGATCAAGTACTTAAAATGAACAGCAGGTCGTATGGAAATCGTCCTTTTAAAACTACTCATTCCTCACCAACAGAGAAAGAGATCAAAATAGTTACGTAACATAGGTCATAATAGCAAAAATGAATTTGGCATTTGTTGGTAATGCGCCAGTCGTGCGCCGGGATATATTTAGAAAATTTAAAAGTCAGACATCTTTCTCTGCTGGCTGGTATACGGCCAGTGCAGCGCACTATGGTGCATAAGTTATGGGGAGTGTGCGCTAAGCAATTCAGAGCGATTACGATTCCGATTAAAACATTTCCTCGGAGAAATTTCTTAATCGGACAACTTCTTAATCGGTAGTGATTAAGAAACTTCTCTAGGAGGTGGCTTGAAATTGGCCAATAGCAGCGTTCTGTGAGTCGAGTCGCTTTCAGTGACTCGGGCAAACTCTTAATCGGTCATGTTTTTAATCGGTTTTGGAGCTTAGCGCACTCTGCCCTATGTTTTATAGAGATAAGGACGGGTATGTTAAAAAACGGAGTTGTGCAGCGCGGTATCTTGAATACGTGCGGTATAGTTGTTTTGACCATTCGGAGCGCAGATTATAAGCTCCGGATCGTGATGACATCATGATTCATGACACACGTTACCCGTCGTTATCTACGGCGCATTATGCACAAAAACCAACTGGCGTTGGAAAGATACCGGAATGTCTGAGTCTTCGTATTGTAGTATTCACAACAGGATAAATAAAAACTGCAAGCGCTGGTACTGGTACGCATTTTTTACAGAGTCAGCAAAATAATTATTATAATATGGTGTTTTGTTTTTCGTTTTTACACGACGCATCTCTGCTGTGGGCGGCAGTGGCACGTAGTTTATAATTAAACAACAAGGCACAACTGCAGATCTTTAACTCTGCTGAATACTGTCAATGTAACCAACAAATTCAAATTACGAGCCAACGAAATAAAAACATTGCAAAAGCACGCTGCGTCAGAAGGAACGTCATAAGATGCAAATGTGGACGAAGCTTAAAATGATCGATTGACCGTGAGGGCATGGACCAATGAGGTTTGACTAAGCCCTGCTCCCAATTCGGGACACAATTTCCTTACACATTCGAATTTCGAGGACCTAAAACTGTATGCTGAGAGAATGTTGTGCCCCCGGTGGGCCGCGGACCGCCTTGCGTGCCCTGCGAGAAGATACTTCCGGTGTTGCGTCGCTCGTCCTCTTCACTGTATACATGCTTCTGGGGATCAATGTACATTGACATGCTGTGATTGTCCGGTTTACAAATACCAATCAGGCGGTAAGCTGTCTCGAACATCTGGTTGCGCAATGATACAATTATGAACTGCGCTGACACTGCCCGCTCCTAACAAAAAAAGGTCAACAATCGCGAAGCTGGAAAACTTGTACAATGAACACTGAACAGCATTCATACCTTGACGAAAAATGCAATTACAGATGTATTACGAAAATCAAGAGCAGCATCGATCTCGTCCATAATATAAAACGGAGTCGGCTTGAAATAGTGCAGAGCGAATATCAAAGCCAGGGAACTGATGGTCTTTTCACCGCCCGATAAGTAACCAATATTCTTCCAGGACTTGGTTTTGGGTTTCACCCTAAACGAATTCTCATGAAATAAATGTAGAAAGAGAACAAACAGGACAAATAAACAATTACAGATACTTCTTGTAACTTCTGCAATAATGTTGTTAACCATAATATTTTAATAACTCACATAAATTCCAGTCCTTCCGAAAAAGGATCAAAACGATCAATGGGCTCCAATGATGCATCTCCCCCGAGCGTCAACTGTCGGTATGTAGTTTTCACAATATTTTTAATGATCCGCAAGGCAGTGTTAAATTCGGTAAAGCGGCGGTTTTTCAGTGCCATATAAAATGAGAAGCCGAGTTTTCTTCTTTTTCGAACTTCCTCAACACGATCCATCAGCTGCTTTCTTTTTGTATCCTACAAACCCACCATGTATAACAATTCGAAGCAAATGTAAAGCAGCATGTAAAGCAACACTAACAATATCATAATATTCTTTGAGCTTCGTTAGATCGGGTTTGAGACTGGACATTCTGAACTTCAGCTGACCAATTTCCTCCTCAAAGTCGCGATCCGCTAGTTCCTTTATGGCGGTTTCATTGAGTTTTTCTAAGGCAAGTTTTGCACGCCTATCATCGGACTGCACTTCATGTAATTTTATAGCATCCATCTAAAACACCATCAATTTTATTATTAGCACGAGTATTAAACTGCAAATAGTACTGTAATATACTCGTATATGCACGTACTAATAACTGCTATTGGCCACAGCCTTGTCACTGATAGTGAAATAAAGTTACTAGGTAGTATTGTGGCTTACGTTGCTTTGGATCTTGTGGGCCTCTTTCAGTAAAGCCTTCTGGTCAGCAGCCGCCTTGTCTCGTGCCACTTTGAATTTCTCCATTGCGGTTTTTTCCGCTTCTAACTTTTTGTCCAAAACATCGACCTGAACATTGCTCTTCTGATACTCATTTTTTTTCTGATCGAGCAGCTCCTGTAAGAACAATTAACAGATGTTTAGCATCTCACTAACAGACAAAAAAAGCCAGCAGAAATCGTACTTCTACTGCTAACAATGTAAGGGCTCACCTTGTCAGCTTCTCGTTCTTTCTGTGCAGCTTCGGCGGCAGCAACAGCACCCTTTAATTCTTCACCTAAGGTTTCAATTTCTGCAGTCTTTTTTTCGAGATCTTCGTCGCGTTTACGAAGATTTTGTTCAGCACGCTCCTTGTCACTACAGTGCAACGAAGAGTTGATGAAAACATACCATAACCTTTTATATACCGGGAAATTAGCGTTACCGTCCATGAGAGTGGATTTTGTTCTGTTTGTCCTGTTTCTGCTTTTCCAACTTTTCCAGAGCGCTCTTGGCGTCATCCTGTTTCTTGCGCAGTGGCTTCACTTTGTGTTCGGTTATGCGAGCGATTTCCGTATTCGTGCTCTTTATCTGGTCTTCCACCTTAAATAAACAGAAATTTTCCTCAGACAATGCAGCATTATTTTTTATCACGGACCTAATCCTGTTGGATATATCAGTTGTTCAATAGTTAGTTTATTCACTATTTGTTTGTATTAATTTGATACCTGTTTGAATGCTCCATCCACTTTATCGAAATCAGTTTGCAACTTTTCCAGTGCACGCTGAAAGTCAGCTTGTATTAACGGATCTGGTGTCAGTTTTTTTACAACAGTCTGCTGTTTCTCCAGGCTTTCTTTGCATCGCTTTAATTCTGCGTCATCTATCTTGAGCCGATTCTGCATTGTCCGCAGGCCTTCCTCTCGATTGCGAACGCCAGGCTCAAGTTCGAGCAATTCCGCTTCCGCACGCTCAATATCTCTACGCAATTGTCCTTGGCGGGCTTCTAATGCTTCGCATTCGGTCTGCAAATGTTCCAACTTGGGTCCATTATAGGCATCCCGCACTAGCTGACCCTGAGCGCTGGTTCGAATTCGTCCTCGTAAGATGTCACCCCCACCAGTCATACTACCCGATTTACCGTCTACAAACAATTCGCATTCCATTAAAAAAAACCTGAATAAATCAACTACCTGGATCGTTTTTCAGACAATTAACGTAAACTGCCCTTCGTATCTGCGTACCGACTACTTTCCCGTCCAATGTTATCACGCGAAATTTATCTTTTCCGTAGGCAATTCTGGCGGCTGTGTCGATGTCATCTGCTACTAACGTATTACCCAAAAAATAATAGAAAACGGCTCGATAAGCAGGATCCGCTACTTGGATGAGATCAAAGAGTCGTTGACTACCGGCTGGCCTGTCAAAGATAATCAACGGTATAAAATACGTCCACCAAATGTCGGAAATATATGCACACAAAAAACCAGTACATGTACAACGGCACCAAAACAAAGTAACGTACGCTCGAAACGGTGCGTTCGCGGTGTTGCCTTGTTTTGCGGCAATTTGTTCAAGTGCACAAATACTCGCTCGTCCCAGATTTTGGTACTTGAGGTATTCCAGCAACTGTTTGCCTTGGTCTTTGTCTCCAACAACAATGTGGTTTAGCGGACCGGTATAATTCGTGGATATCGCCGCATCGTATTTTTCATCGATGGTTGCCAGTTCCCCGAGTCTAAGACGATATCAACAAATAAATTACTCGTTATACATATACATTATAACTTATAAGCTTATTCGCAAAACCGCATACCGTCCGACGATGCCTGCTAACTGACCCTGGTCCTGGGCTTGCAGAATACGTTCCAGCATTTTATCGTTGGAAGCCGTTTCAGTCCTCGCCCGTGCTTCTTGCAGCGAATCGCGTTTTTGATTTAGCGAATCTGTTACTTCCGAAAGACTACGCTGGGCTTGCTGAATTCCACTTTTTCTGGCGGCGACGTTCTCTTTTATTGCAGGCAATTGTTGAGTTACGATATCAAATTCTCTGCAACATGTACTACTTTATTTCCCTGCTGAGGTAAGTTACTTACTTCATTGCTCTGACCCAGAAACTTCCGCAATTCTGTGCTCAAGTGCTGCAATTTCTTCGGTGAGTTCTTGCTGGCGCTTTACAGCCCTGTCGTACTGGGCGGTAAATCCATCCTCTTCTACTTTTTTGTCATCGAGCTGAGAAGCAGGACACAAAACATAAAACACGTGCGTCCCCGTCAGAAAACCAATGAAATGTCAACAATAAACGAGTTACCGTTTTTAGCTTTTCATCCCGTTCTGGCCGAATCTTATTCAGCTTCCCTTCCAACTCTTGCTGTTTGTTGTTTAGCTCGGTCAAATGCTGAGGTAACTCTTCCAGCGCCGCCTGCAGTTGTGTGCGAGCTTCTTCCAGAACGTTTTTAGACTCATTAATTTCAACGTCTAATCTTCGAATGTCCGATTCAAGTCTCTCCGGAGCACCATGCAGTTTTTCTAGCTGCAAATCATTGGATTTATAATGAAGATTTCGTGTCGTGTTCATTACATTACTCCAAAATGGGCATGATTATCTTCCAAGCCTCACTTCTTGCTGAAATTTTTCCCGTTCCTTTTCGAGGCGAACGACATTATCTTCCAACGCAGCGAGTTTCGTATGGAGCTTTTCCTTGGCCGTATCGGCATTTTTGACCTTTGTTCCACTAACAGAAGGACCTGATTCCAGTTCTCGAATCATCCTGTCAGGAAATCGTTTTACTATCGTTTTCACTTACAAAGAATCAACGAAACATTGTGAAACAGATATATATACTTTTCTAAGATTTTATGTTCATCCGAAACCGTCTTCAGTTCCACCTCCACGCGTAGATATGCTTCTTCCGCCACTTTGAAATGCTTATCACATTCTTTCACAGCTCCGACGGCTTGTTCATGGTCAGCCATAACTTCCGAACTACAGACAGCGGTAAATGATGGTGAGGTCAGTGCTTCAGACATGTCACATACGAGCCCCACTGCAGACATGTTACACAATGACAAAATTCAAACTTACTGTCGAATCTGCTGCAGCAGATGCTGTCGATGGAAAACCTCATTCTCCGTCAACAGAAAATCTTCGGTTTCTTTCTTCACCTGCTCCAGGCTTGTAAGCGTCTTGCTAAACTGGAACACCTCCACATTCTGCAAGAACAAAATTTTTCACACTGAATTTCCTGAGTCACCGTGGTCCGGTATAAGGTTATACTGCGCCATGCACGCAAATATTTTGATTTAAGAAAGCTGTAATTTATAAAAGTTGCAAAGCTGTTTACTTGTCTCTCTTCCTCTTCCGCCAGATCTTCCACCTTCTGATTCATGACTTTTATAGGATCAATGTACTGATTCGTGCCAACAATGTCTTCGATATACTCCAGCATCTCTTCGTCTTTTTCAGTTTTTCCTTTCGGCTTCATCATCGCTATCTGTTCCACTTCACCCTGTAAGAAAAAGTCCGTTAAAAGCATAATCATTAAATGTCGTCACGTATCATTGCTCTCGAAAGATAAGAGCGAAAATACGATTTACTCGGCAGCAATATGATCACACAATGTGAACAGTGAACTAAAGGATTTCTTCACCTGGAGTATCAGGAAGCGATTGTGGTCAATATCGATGCCGTCATTTCGGAGTCGCATCACAACTTCCTCGCGCTGCCTTCGCACGCCGTCTATATAATACAATGATTTATCCCCTTCTTTATATGCTTCACGAGCGATTGAATACTCAGATCCCGAAACGACTTGATGGGAATACAGATCATTCGCCTAAAGATAAGGTGGTTCCCATAAATTCTGCTTATTAAGCAACAGCGATTAACGATAACTTACGTCAAATATTATTCGAGCAAAATGAACTGTCACGCGGCACATTTTGCAGTCTGGGTATCTGGCGCTCTTGTGGATCAATTCGCTAACTTTACTAGCTCGTAGCCGCTTTGGCTTGTAGCCGAACACAAATAAAAGCGCATCAATGGTGTTGCTTTTGCCGCTTCCATTAGGTCCAATTATGCAAGTAAAACTCTGGATATAAAACAGCTCAGTTATCAGTTCTTCGGTAAAATTTAAAGACAGAAGAAATAACTGGACCACATTATGGAAGATTTATACCCGATGAAACGGCCCGATAGCAATGCGACCAGCATACGATTTGAAATTCTCAAGAACCAACGAAGTAACAACGAAGCGACCGTCGCTTTTGTTAGCATTCATGCGCTGTCGGAATGTGGGAAGCGGCGGAGGCATGGTCACTCCAAATACTAAAACAAGTTGCACATGGCGTACAGAATTTACATGAAAACATTACGCTTACTGATTTCACATGACATAAAACATTACGCATTTAGGTTACATTACGCTTATTTCAAAAACTTCCTATGTAATATGGGGAGGTTGAGCAAAACTTAAATAAAAATAAATCACAACATGTAAAAAACAGTAATTAAATTCAATATTTCAGCTAGGCCTGATCCAGTTGGCTGCAACATACGGAGTATCATACTTACTTCTTTCTGCATTTTCTAGTGCGTCCTCCAGAGGTACAGGCGCGAATTCGTCCACATCCATGGCCTCCGCTTCTAAATCCAATTTGATAGATTCGAAGTCTTCTGCGTCACCGTTCTGCGTTGCGTGGTCTTCTTCGGTGTCCATGCCCAAAGCAGCACAGCTGGCTCGATACGTGCGACGCTGTTTAGGTGTGGCCGTATTGGGCTTTGGCGTAAGACTGACTCGCCCATCGCGTTCGATGCGCTTCGCTACCTCCGGGTCCACTTCCCGGGAAGCGCCATCCACATGCGCTTGGCGATCTTTCAACAGGTTGATGGGCGAGGTTTTGGTTGCAAACCGGGTTTTTGAGATCTTTTCTGGTGTGACAAAACTGCCGTTGGTAGCAGGTGCACACTGCTTTCCTGATGCAAAAAGTATCGCTCAAGTCATGCACGAACAAATTAAAGAATCAAGATAATCAAGATTCTGCATCAGCACTGGAAATGGTGAGTCGAATAACTAACCAGCATTTGGGCTGAGATTCTCTGTGAGTGTGTCCCGGGTGCTTTGACGGGTTTCGTCTTTACGACTAGCATTCCATTCCGAATCACCAGCTGACACAAGTGATTCCATTTTCTGAACTTTCTACAGGCACATTAACAAGTGCGGGATAATTAGGAAGCATTCCATGAAAGCTGAAAATAGCGCCTAAATTCGTAACGTTTCTTCTTTTCAAAAAAAGAAGAAAACGAAATCATCAGTTTTCGTGATAAACTATCGCGCGTAGACAACAAACTGAAACAGCCGTTAGTTCTCAAAACAGTACTTAATAGTAAGTTGGTCCACTTGAATTTACTTGCTAATCTGTACAGGGAAGCACAGCAATAGACCGCACTGTAAATACGTAAAGTTTGACATGCCTATCGCAGGCGCATTCTCAAATTCTCTGTATGGGAGCAAAAGCAATTTCGTCTCTTACAGCAAGCCATAACGACCACTCGTTTTGTGAATTGCCCGCTATAAATTGGCAGAGTTCGTCTCTTCCCGTACGGTTTCCCGAATGTCTATTAGCAAATTAATTCCAATATTTCCATAACTTCCGTTCAGATATTTAGTGTACAGCAAAGTTTAGTGTACTGTACACTGTACAGTAAGACTTTTTACCGCGATTCACTCGCTTTCGGCTACTAAAAAATAGTAGGCTGGTAAGTGGTAATTTGGTAACCGTATGACACGGCCGGTAACGCTCCAGTTGGACCAGTGTGCTTCCAACTTCCGGTGCATGACAAAACAAAAGCCGCGAGAAATACTGGAATACGTAGATATGCTCAAAGGTTCCGAATATCGCAGCTTACTATTTTTGAGAAGCAGAAAGCCAGTCCTGGTAAATGTGGATTAAAGTTCAACTACTTAATAGTCATTTTATAAATTTATGATTATAAAATAATGCATTTGTTGTTTTGCTGTTGTAGTTTGTTTTCTGGCAATTCCGACATAATTTTGACGGATGAAGATGAAACTTCCTGAATCCAGTTTCCCGGAGCCATTGGCTTAGAAGCAGATAGGCAGTGACGTGCTAAAAGGATAGCATAACCCGGAACGGGGAACTGAGTTTGTACGAATATGAAACCGTGTCCGGTTCATCCTTTGGACTTTGGTCAGTCACTATCGTACTCGTACCCATTCTAATACCTTCCGTTGTGATAAATCAGGAGAATATGTTAAAAGCCTGCATATCCCACCCGAAATTCTGGGCAGGAAATAAATGTTAATCATTCTCTCAATAAAAAATAAAATAATGTAATCCGAGACAGTTATTATTGTGGCGTTGGGGTGTCCTTCTTTGCAGTCTGCTGCGGGCTGTTAGCACCTTCGTTTATTAATTACAGCCTCTACTGACTGAGGTTACTCTGGATATTGGAAATACATCCGCCTTATCCTGCTATTTCATCCCATTATGCGTGATTATTTGGTCTGATTGTGTTGACTCTCATCTCCGTAGTTGCGAAATGAGGCTATCCGTGGTCAGAGACGTCGAATTGGCCGGTTTGCAGAGGCTGGGCAATTAAATACGAGCACGACCGGCAACGTGCACATGACATTGCGAATGGCATATCATGGAAAGTAGCACCGCACGGCTCATGGCTGAAAGAGCACGTAAAAGACCTGGCCGTCAGCGTGTAGTCCGATCGATAGTGCAGCTTCCATGTCTCCCACGATTCGGCAGGGAAACAACGTACACACATGCATATTACGCGTTTGATCCAGCTCAAATGGTTCTGTGCACCACTACTGCAGTGAGGAATTCCTTCGTTGTGATTTGTGTAAACTGAATGCTAGTTTGTCCCCACCAGGAATTCTATCCAGAAAATAAAGCCATCAATTCATTGGGCATGGAAAGGTGTCGGTGTTGTGGATTGCAAGTAAGCCCGTATGTCTACTGTATGCATGCATGGCAGTTATGTATATAATATATAGATATACGCGCTCGACGATATAAATGGTCAACTGAAAAGTGTATTATCTCATATCATGGCAGTAAAATGGTGCTGGAAAATCAGAGATAGTAACAATTTTATTTTAATGATATGACATTGAATGTGCATTATGTGCTTACTGTGCAGCACCTCTGTATCTGACTTGAAGGTGTTTTGTAATGCGAGACCAATGATAAAATTGTTTACTGCTGCCTCAGAAATGCATGTGCAGACTTTAATGTACCTCCAAGGCCTTTACTCGTTGAACCGATCGCGCAAGCGGTGATTTTCGGCGACTGTGTGAATTATCTGGCCTGACAGCATGTACGGGTGATATTTCATTTTTAATCTGATAGACACCAAATTATGCATATTTTCAGTTTGACATTGTGTGCTGCATCTTGTTTTCTTAAGCCGCTGGACTAGACGGAGTGTCTGTGGAGCCGATGGACTAACGAGTAACGGCGGCACTTATGTACTCGTATCTGTGGACGGCGTAAGAAACACGGAGGAAATTGTAGTGCAATGTGTGCGCTGGATAGAAATATGAAACTATCAACTCACCCTGATGTGCGATGAACAGAGATCTAATGGTTTATTGAATATTCGATAGGAATCGCTTTCTGCTCCGGATGTGGGTCCATTGATTTACAAATGTTGATAGACCATTATTTTCACGGTAAGTTGTAAATTCCATCCAACTGATTAATTTCCGTCCGTATCATCCTTTTTATTGAGCACGCAGCATGTTGTGCGCAACTGTCGCTTGAATTGTTTAGCAATGTTTGTCAAGAGTGTTTTTGTATCATATTGGCTCTTGATTATCTAGTGCTTGTTGCTCTTTACGAGATATTAACAGGTCAGCTGGAATGGCTGTATCTTGTGCTCGTACGATTAATCGAACGTGTATATACATTATACATACATATTATTTTTGTCCAATTTTCGATTGTTAGCGGCACTTTGTAGAAACGAATATTGTTTCAGTTGGTATTTGGTTCGAATTTCCGTCAGATCCGCAGTGGTATTCGTATATGTTTGAACGACGTTAAATTAGTAAATTGATGCTGCTCATACATCGAGATATTTGTTTACTGACCCTTGCTTTTAGGCTAGTTACAGTCAGGTTTAATCATTTACCTTCGTTTCACCTGGTTGAAATTTGCTGAACCTTATGGTCAGTTATGGATAAGATGTTACATCATTCACCGTAAAAAGTTCTTAATGCTGGATGTGATCGTTTAATACATACTGACAAAAGTCAGACGTTCGGATTATACTGACAAAATGGTGCTATAATTTAAAACATTTTTTCGTAATTGCGAACCATACTAATGCGTATAAATATTTGAGAGAGCACACGCGGTTTGGTATAAAACCGGTTTTTGGCTTTGATAGCATTATCTAGAAAATATATATAGCTATGTAGAAGTATTATTTTTGAGTACATAGTTTAATTTGGAGCTGCTTTAATTTGAAAGAGGTGGGAAATGCTTCAGTTTGCTTCTTTCTTCCTGATTTCTTTCCCTTATAACATATCCGCAACGGGCAACCAATAATTTCATCATTTAACGGAATCATTACAAACTACTTATGTGAGAAAGTTAGTTGATGTGAAATTTCTTACCAATCAAAATATGTGCGCAGTTTATACCGATTTGGTTTGTTACGAACGCAGGCGTAACTGCATAGTTCTTGCCAACCGTTTATAGAGATTTCCCACATCGTTTCGTTGATAAGTAAACATTTGCAGATGCACCGCTCGATTTGCAAACCGTTATGTTACGCTTTTCTTTTTGTCAGACCTTCCAGCGATGCTGCATCGCTACTCGTACGCCTTCGGCTGCATGTTAGCAGTTCCCATATAATACTGTATGAGTAAATAATAACTGTAATTATATATTTCGCGACATGTGATAAGTTTTGATAATGTTGTATTTCAAGGTGAACACTGGGTAATGCAAAAATCTTTAACAAACCGCAAAAATGGCTTGTGTCGCTCTTACGGTTGGGATTTTGAAACAGAGCGCTGGTACTTGCATACGGTTTAATTGGGAAAAAATTTGAATGTTTGTCATTTTCTGCTTGGTCTTTGTTAGTGTGTCCCTGGAGCGAGTGAATTCGGACCGTAGCCTGTAGGTAATTAAGCGGCGAGGAGCTGTATATGCAGTCGTAATCAACTAGTTAGCGATTCAGCACTCGTCGCAGAGGAACCGAATAGTTTTATGTGATAGTGCCGGATCATTTGACGTTCAGCCTAGTAGGCACTGACGAGTCCTAAACATCCGCAGGATAAAATAGGTCGTCGTTGGTGTATTTCTTGATTTACTCCCACACACATACATTTGAATCCCGAAAATGCGCTTGAAAGGCGGGGAATAATTAGGGATGTGCTGTGGCTTTTGTGTTAATTTTGCAGTTTTGCCGATGACAGGGAATAAAACAGCACCAACTCGCAAGACGCCTCAAGTGTGCTTGATGGTTATCGGGCGTCACTTTTTAACAACAGTGATTATGGTTGAAGATGTCTTCTATCGTTTTGTGATTTGCTGAATGATTAATCGTCCCAGCTGACAATGTTGGTTTGTTGTGCTGAGAGGAAATGTTTTCACATTGTCAATTGGAATTGCAGAATGCTAGCGGAAGCTGCAAACATGAAATATACTCGAACAAATTTATGCGCAGAATTTTGTTATTCAAACCGCTACAACTTTATGCGTTTTATGACAGCAACGGCTCCGCAGATCACAACAGGAAAAATTTAGCAGAAACTCGGAATACTCTAGGATCGCGATTTTGGAAGTAGTCTTTACAGCAGTTGTTGCTGTTGCTTGCATAAGTGTCAATGATTTAGATTCTTTTGATCATTCATAATTCTGCGGCACGTACGTACGGATAATTTTGCTTTGAAATCTCACGGGTACATCTGAAATCGTCGCTACCTGTAATTTATCTTATCATTGCGTTGTTTAATAAAATATATGAAAATAAAGTGCACTCATACTGCAGTCTTTGTTACATTACAAGAGTGGTTTATAGACAGTTAATAATAAGAAATTTTTCAGTTTTTTTCACAGTTATCTATTGCTAGTACTTAATCCTACGGAGTAGCGTCACTAGCGTGTGTGCATTAAAATCAAAAACGATCCGGGCCGGGTATTAGGATAAATTGCCATTTTGAGGCCGCAATATCCAACTTAGGTGTTAAGCCTAAAGTTGTTATTGGTATCCCGCTTCGGACGAGTTGAACTACATAATCGTCTATTTAATCCATTTTTAGGCTTGTTAGAATTTGGGTATTTTGTGGGCGCATTAGCTAACCGGCCTGTACCAAAGATGGATACATCGATTTATCCGATTTGCAAAGTGCGTGATTGGCACTGCTGGATGCTATTCAGTAGGTCAGTGCAGGCATGGAGTAACGATTTTTCCTGAACTTGCATCTGGGAGAGAGACGCGGAGTGCGCATTTATATGTGTAGAATTACAGCTGTACAAGTTGTCAGTGAATTTCCTGGTTCCCAGTGGTCCGAAATGGACAATGCATGCTCCTGGTCAGTTGGACGATAGTCATAGTCTGACAGCCTTATGCCACTGTTATTCCTTTATGAAAAGCTTTATCGATTTGTTAAAGGGAAAATACGACAATTAATGTATGAGTGGAGGAAAACGGGCTGGGTGATCATGCCAGTGGCTGATTCTTATATACAGATACGCTGCTACAGGAGGATGCTATAGAGCCGTCAAAGATCCCTTTTGTTATGGCTCATGCATAATCGAGCACGTAATTTCCCGTTTGCGTTCTCAAATGTTGCTGAACTCTGTGCTGTTTCTGTATGCTTATGAAGTCTTTCCTTCGAAGTCCTATCCGCCGCTAAATATTCTTTCCTATTATTTCTGTATCTTCAAAAAAAAAAGTTTATACTCTAAAACGGAAAAACCTGCTGCGCTGTACGCTTATTGGATAAAACCTTTTTGTTGTCGCTTTTCCTGAAAGTTTGGTAATATGGTTCAGTTGTACGGCATTGTATGTACATGTACGAGCAGTGCAACACAAATGGATTTCTTTAGTCTTTAAAGTTTAATGTACCGAAACCTTCTCGTCTTTTATCCCGAATATTTGGTGAATCATGCTTGTTCATGCAAAATTGCCGAATTTTCTAGATTTTGGGCTATATTACGTAAATATATGCGGATAATACGGATAATGCCGTACGTTTAACACAGTACTGAATTTAGTGAACACATGCCAGTTTTTCAGATTTCACTTATAAAACCTCCTTTATCTGTCGATGTACGATTTGTCGTCCAGTGGCTATCGGGGTTTTCTTCGTGAGCATCGGGAACTGATCAGTGGTAGTTCTTCACCTTCCTATTCATGAAGAAGTAACGGGAACAACATTTATTTGAGTATGCAGTAATAAAGTATCGTGCATGGTATTAAGGAAGTTAGAAACTGATGGGTTTTGACCGTTTTGTTTCAACTTAGCTGTTCCTGGACAGCTCTCGGGTAGTCATTGTGGACACATCCGTGTTTGAAACGAGAAACAATGGATGTACCCACGAAAAGGGAGTGTGACAATACGCTGTTTGAAATCTGGGACTTGCAGGCTGAATATATGGCATGGCGACTAGGAAAATTAATTTAGCAACTTTTGAAATACAGCCACTGGTACAGGAGTTAATTAACCGTGGCCATTATTGAGGTTTTAATTTGTTAATTATATTCGTCTGCCCTTGTTGACCCTTGATGTTTATTCCTGTCATACGCCTGATTTTTATTATGAACATGTTTTATAATAATAATTATAACACAACATACATTCCAACGTGCGCACTGTACTACTGGCCTACTGCTCAGTTATTGTTTGTATCACAATATCCCACAGTAAAAGGTTATAATTACACAACTTTGCTCAGATAAGGCTCGTTCAACGCAAAAAAAGGTTGTGATCCAATGCAGCAATAGGTTTGGCTCGCTAATTTTTTAGTTGTATCTTCGCGGTTCCGTGTATGTATTCATGCGCTTCAGCCAGCAAACCAAAAAAGACAACAGTCGAAGAAATTAACAAGAGATCCTTTATTAAAGGCAAAACCACCCAACGTATCGATACCTCATGTAGTGCGGAATCTGCGGATA